GGGGGGAGGTATGGTACATACCGTCCGGCGCGGATGGACGTCGCCCGTGGGTAGATACAGACTACAGAGAAAGTCAATTCAGGGACGCCAATCTACGGATCGATAGCGATCGCGGCGACTGGTCTTATCTACGGAGAATGGGCTCATTTGGCCCCAACATTGTCAATCAAGCTTTCAACTGAAGGTTCTGTTCCGGCGTGTACCTCCACTCTCTGTCCAGGACAAGAAAAGTACCCACTACCCAACCCCATTCTAAAGCAAGATCATATCGATTCGTTCTCAAAAGGCCAGATGTTGTAGAGCACCGGAGCATCCGTCTTACCCCCGTCCATGGAGACCAGGACGAGAGGTTGTGCGTCGCTCCACTGGTCCTACTACTAAAACCATTCAGGCTATCATGATGGCAAATCAATCCTACCCTGACTCATACGCCGTCTTCTATGGTACGATAGTGACTGAAGGATCATTCTCGGCCGACGCCTCGACGGCCCCCTCACGCTCGCTAGTCGCAAAGTCAATCCTCATGGCTCGCACACCCGGACGCCGTCCGAGCCTTAGCCAGTTGGTGGCTGGAGGATCAAAGACCAATCCTCTCTCAATCCTTTTCCTGTCACAGGCTTATAGCGCATGCTGAGGCCGCGAGAACCGTGACATAGCAGATGAACGGAACGGGGGGTGCGGGAGGGAGCCAAGAAGCCCCTCTGCGGGATCCAACAAGATTAGGGCCAGAAACAGCGCTATCACATACGGAATAGAATACGGCCTGTGCTAACTAGTGGCAATGCCGGCAGAACTGGCTGCGCTGAAGCTGAAACATTGTCAATTGGTTCGAGATTGCATTGACGCTCAAGTCTTGGGGAGTAGTTGATCTCAGCAGGTTTATGGCATAGTGACATCTGAGCGAGAGAGGATGGGATTAGTGATCCAGCCATCCAGCTGTAATGAGCTGGTTTGAGGAACAGATGTTCTCTGAATATCCCTGGACGCCATGTAAGGCTTCTCACGCTTGTGTGAGCCTGACAAAGTACATAAAACATATAGTTGTCTCTGTGGCTGAATCAGGAGGATCACCACGCAGTCTGTCTATCTACATTTCTATAGTCCTTAGTTCATATCAAGTGTAGAGCTACATGTCTTAGAGCTGCAGGACACTAAGCTGAACCAGGCAGGTCATGATTGTACTTGTGCATAGACGAGATGGTAGCATTGATTACCACCATCTGTATGTAAACCAGCTCATCCAGCAAGGTGAGTAGGGTATTTCTCCCCCTTAGTTATCACTTATAAAGGAGTCCAGACTGGCAATAGAGTGGATATGTACGAATGGATCAATCCGCCGGGGATTTGAGCTAATCTGAAAGCAATCAGAGAGATCCATCAGCTTAGCCTCATTAGATAGACTGCAGAAACCCACCTATCTGATCCATGATATGCCAACGGAAATGAACACAACGAATCAGTTACACTGGTTGAAAGATCACCGTGGACTGTTGAGCATAGAAACTCGGCAGTCGGCATTTAATATGGCATTTGGGGGCGGCTTACCTGGCCATTACGCGACTTTTGCCTTGCTTCATCGACCATAGCCTTGATGTGATAACCACCCCTCTTAAACGGCCGTATGTCCCTACTCTTCTTCCCCAGCTGTAGAAGTATCATGGAGACCAACATCTCGCCACTCAACGCCATCAGTACGCCCAATGAAGACTGGACATGCATTAGCGACGTGGAGCAGCGGAGACGCATTCAAAACCGCGTTGCGCAGCGGAGACATCGTATGCTTTCTCATCATCTATGTGGCCGGTTAGGTTCTAACGCCCCGAGGGGGATCTCACAGGGCGCAGGATCAAGGAGCTCAAGAAAGCCTCCAGCCCATCCGTCCACCCCCTGCCCACCGACCAGTTCACAGCCAGCCGGCTGTCGCCCAGCTTCCCCAAAGCCGCGCCATCCCCTCATCCACACCCGCACAGCACCCCTTCGGCAGACCCTTCCCGCCCTATCCTCCACACCCCGACCGTATACCCGCTCCCGCCGCTCTCGCCCGATGTCGAGATGATGCTGCGGCAGTGGTACGCGCAGTCGCTGCCTCCCGCGCACGCCGGGTTGGGCGCCACGCCCCTGGGCCCCATGGACGGGGACGCCCTCCCGATGGCCCAGCTGTCGCAGATGCACCTCGGCCCGGACCTGCAGAAGATATATGGATTGCCGCATCTCGCCGACCGCGCCGGGGACGACCTGCCACTGCCCGGCCTTAGCCCGCGTCCGTCCCATGCGCGCCGACGCCCCGAGCTGGATCGCACCCACGACTCCGAGGACGACTCGAGCAGTGACTCGGACGACGACGACGACAACGGCGGCGGCGGCGATGACATGATGCAAGGCGCGCAGGGGAGTGGTCTCCCGGCCCATTCCCTCCAGCACCGCGGCCCCGGCCACGGCCACACACTCCCGCCCCCCATCTCGGCCCGCGACAAGGCCCACATCGACCGCATCCGCCGTGCCTTCCGCCAGGGCTTGCGCGCGGGCCTGGCCTCCCCGGAGGAGCGCGCCTCGGCCTACGAGGACCTGCAGAAGCGGCTGGTGCGCGCCATCAACAAGGTCATCGAGCTGTACGACTACGGCTGCTGTCTGGATGTCATCCGGCCGGACTCGGACCTGGACCGGATGATGCTGGCGCTGCAGGAGCAGCTGGGGAGGGTGAGTGAGACGGGCAGGATCCGGCCGGGGGATATTTCTATCAAATGAGGCGTGTGCAGAAGGGGCGATTTAGCGCTGGTTTGGGGGGAATGGGGCTCTGGCTTGGTGGATATGTTGACCTATGATTGATGACAAATGAACATATAGCTTATACGAATGGTAGTACTAGGTGGCTTAAGATAACCTTGGTTCATTAGACTACAAGCGTGTAGTAACTTGGCTCTACTGAAGTATTCTTCTATAACTAAACATTGGCCGATGCCTCCAAGGGCATATTCCTTGATACTGGTACGGACGATCTTAATCCACGGAGCCTAGGCCTCTATTTCGATCTATTCGCGCTCGGTGGACTGGCAATCGATGAGACCGATCTGGGCCAGACGCCTATAAGATGCGCCTCAGATATAGTTTGACGACATGCTCTTAACGAGCAATGGCCGAGTCATCGTCTGCCTCCTCGGCTTCTCCTGCCCCTGCCGGTGTCGATACATCAAGACATGAAATCACGACAGCCACAATAACACCTATCCCCCCGGCCACCATGAACGGCAGGCCCAGCCACCGCACATCGCCCTGATTCAGTCCCACCCGGAACAGGGCAGCCAGCAGCGGTCCCGAAAGAAGCAGACCAAACGTCTCAATGACGGTGATCATCGTGTACATGCGTCCGGTAAACTGGGCCGGCACCAGAGACGTGACGACCGAGCGGATGATGTTGCCGTAGCCCCGCCCAAAGGTCGAGAGGACGAAGCCCACCGTGGCCATGGCCACCGTCGGGGACCATGCGACGAGGAAGAAGCCCGCGGAGAGGACGACGATGCTGCCCCGCGCGAGGACCATATCCTTGCGCGTGTCCGACAGGCCCAGCCGCTGCTGCAGCAGCCAGGAGGCGGCCGGCAGCAGCGCCACGTACGTGACGATGGTGGCGACCGACTTGATGGAGATGACGAAGCCGGCGCGCGCCAGGCTCAGGCCGTAGCGCTCGGAGATGTACTGCAGGTTGAGGCTCTGGGTCGGCTCTTCGACGGCGTTGATGAAGAACGTGAGGAGCAGCACGATGACTTTGGCGTCGTGGCGGAGGACGGCGGTGGCGCGGCGCCAGAGGGCGGCGAGATGCGCCTGCAGTTCGCGGCGCGACTTGCTCTCCAGCAGGGCTCGTACGCTTGTCTCGCTCTGTGTGGTCGTCGACCCGTCGCCGGTCGGGTTCCGGGCGGCATCGGCATCGCGGGGTGGGGCCGTCTCTTTCAGCAGACAGGCAATCAGGAGGGCCATGAAGGCACAGATATAGCCTAGCTGGATGGGCAGCCATGGCCCGTGGGTCTCCATCAAGCCCGACGCGATGGGCGTGGCGGTGATCTGCGCGACGTATTGGCCGGTCATGAGTTGGAAGAAGGCAGTGGCTCTGGTCATGATGTTTAGCTATGCCTCCTGGGACATGGGGCAATGTCGCAAGGGGGGGGGTGAGGGTACCTTTCATTCTCGGGCATGACATCGGCGATCATGGTCCAGATCATCGAGAACAGCACCGGCGCGCCGCCGCCCAGGACGGTGAAGATGGGCGACAGCCAGACGAGCCGCAGCGGGAAGATCTGCCACAGTCCACAGACAACAAGCGTGAAGGTCATCGACAGTAAGATGCCAATCATGCTCATCAGCACGACGGGCTTGCGACCCCATCGGTCGGCCAGCAAGCCGTAAGGGATGGCCAACGCGACGCCTGTCACCAGTGTGTCCTTAGCAAGGGTATCGGAAACGGGGAGTAGATAGAAACCGCGAACACAACCAGCTTTCACCACGTACCCGGAATGGCCGTAAATAGCGCTTCATACCCCCGGACGAAGGCGACCTCGGCCTGCACCGGCGCGATTTTGCACCACTGCTCCCGCACACTGCCCCCGGGCCCAATGCGGCTGGGTTCATGGGTTTCATAGTATCGGTAGCAGGCGATGCTTTCGTAGAGCCTCGTCTGCGGCACCGTGACCAGGAAGATGCCGAAATCGCCGATGGTCAGGAGCAAGACGCAGAGTGCGAAGAGATGGAGTCGCCGACGCGCGGAGCCTCCCGCCTTGGGCCTGGACCGCCCATGATCTGCGCTGCTCGAGGCGATTGACCCTGGACGGTCGTTCAGCAGAGGGTCAGTTTCGTGTGCGTCTCGAAGGATGGAACTGGCAGGCGATCGGGATCGAACGGCCATGATCGAGAGAGCTGGGAGGGGGGGTCTCCCTGCGGGTTCTGGAATCTGGATAGACTAACTAATGAACAGCCTCGGACCAGACCAAGAAGATAAAGCAAGGGAATAGATAGACCGGCACGCTAAGCGAGATAGACTTCCAAGGTTCCAGTCCCGGCAGGATGAATCTCTACTGAGTATTTAGAGGAAGAACTGCCAGCACAGTGCAGTCAGTGAGTAGACATAAGATTACTAGTAAGAAACCAAAAATTACTAGCATTTCCGACGTTCCATTTGGTAATAAATAAATAATCAGAAGCTGACCAGGGCGTCATCCAACTAATTTGTAGACTAAAATAGTTACGATGTTGGCATTCAGAGAGGAGGAGATCGAAGTCCCTGAAATGAAGCACATCATGGCTTCAGCACTCCCTCCTCAGATACAATCAGACATCCAGCTCATCCATCTCGAATTGATAGTTGCCTGGACTCGTTAACTACTTCTGCGATAGGACAATCCTACACTACCATCCACAAGTACACACCGTCGGATCCCGTCGGTCCAACAAGATAGACAAATGAAATAGACAATCACACCACAACTGGGTGATAAGACGTGTACAGAGCATTGATTGAGCAGGCCCAGTGCCCTCTAGGCTCTCGTCCTAGACCTACTCTGAGTACATAGTTCTACTTCCTGGCTCTGGTATGGGGATTGGGGATTGGGGTAGTCTACAACCATCCGGAACCATTGAATCCTGGTCGTTTAGCGCCGCTGATCCCCAATCATGACTTACTACGTAGTTACGTAGTACTATAGTAGTTACGATCTATTAAAATATAATAATAATAATAATAATAGCTTCGGACAGGTAATAATACCGCCGAGAAGAAGGCAAGCAAGGAGTACCGAGTAAATGACCAACCGGGGAATTTCCCTACCACCCGCCCATCTGCTGCCTCCATCCATATCAATCAATCAATCAATCATAATAATACCAATAATAATAATACCTTCAACTCTGCGCTCCATAACCATACTCCTTGGTCACTTCAAGCAGTCAGGATATTCTCCTCAACCTGGCATTGATGGCGTGCGACGACAACGCCTTTGGTCCAGTCATCAACCACGGCTGTCGCGCTGCTTTTGACTTCACCCTCCTCTTTGAGCAGACCATTCTGTCCATCGCACCATCCGCCTTGTTCCTGCTGCTGGCTCCGTGGAACTATGTCTGCTTGCTGCGGGGTCCACGGAAGGTTCAGCCAAGCTTCCTGGCCTGGTGGAAACGAGTGAGTACAGCCCTAAGCTTTCTTCTTCATAGAGGAGCACCGGATGGCTAACACTTCCACCGGCAGTGCTGTATTCTAGTCCTCGGAGCCCTTCAGATAGTCCTCCTGGTGCTCTGGGTGCAGCCGTCAGCGCCCGCCACCAACGCCTCGGTGGCGGCTGCGGCGTTGGGGCTCCCCGTGGCGCTGGCCATGGGGTTGCTCTCCCACGCTCAGCATATGCGGTCTGTCCGTCCGTCCACGCTGCTCAATGTCTACCTGCTGCTGTCTCTGTTGTGTGATATCGTACAGACCAGGACACTATGGCTCCTTCACGGAGCTACCGCCATCGCGGGGGTCTTCACCGCCGTGGTCGTTCTGAAATTCGTGGTCTTGATGACGGAGGCTGTTGAAAAGCGGCGGCTACTGGAAAGGAAGCATCGCCATGCAACCATCGAATCCACCAGCGGCGTCTGGAATAAAATGCTCTTCTGGTGGGTGAACCCGCTCTTGTGGAAGGGTGCCCGTACGATCCTCGAGCCCGACGACCTGCAGACGATCGCCGAGAAGCTGCATGGAGTCGCACTGGAGAAGGTTCATCCCAGTGTTCTCGCAGGGGGTAGGGCAAATCTGGATCTATCACGCGTGAATGGTGGAGAAGACTAACCGGTTAATCCATTCAGTGGCTGACCAGGAGCGAAAATATGGTCTTTTCTCCGCCCTCTTGCGTGCGTTTTGGCTACCGATCGTGTCGGCCGGTTTCCCACGATTGTGTCTTCTCGGCTTCACCTTTGCTCAGCCGTTCCTGATCAACCGGACTGTGACCTTTGTCAGTCAACCAGTGACCGAAGAGACCCAGAATGCGGGATACGGCTTGATCGGAGCGTTTGCGTTGGTGTATATTGGCCTGGCCGTAACATCATCTTCCCCCTTTCCCAACTAATCGAGCAATCCGCTGAGATCACACATAGGTTTCCACCGGCGTCTACACCTATACGATGAACCAGGTCATGATCATGGTCCGAGGATGCTTGGTGACCACGATCTACCGTCGGACCCTCGCGCTGAGCACGCACGAACTCGAGGAGTCGGCGGCCGTCACTCTGATGAGCACCGACGTGGAGCAGGTCATGCTCGCCGTCGAAGACACCCACGAGGTGTGGGCCAACGTGGCTCAGATTGGCTTGGCTGTCTGGCTCCTCGAACGACAAGTATCCTGGGCATGTGTCGCTCCGATCACTGTCTCACTCGGTCAGTCGTGGCTTCTTCTCCCTCGACCTCAGCCCATTCGCTAATCCAAAACCGCAGCCAGTGTCGTCGTGTCGGGACTTCTGGCCCCATTGATCGGCACAGGACAGATGCAATGGAATGAAGCTGTGCAGACGAGGATTGACGTGACCGCACGAACCTTGGGCCAGATGAAGGAACTCAAGTTGCTCGGCCTGACGGACAAACTGACCACACTGATCCAGAAGTTGCGCACCGCCGAGATTCGGATCTCGACCAAGTACCGCATCAAGTTGATGATGATTCTGTCAATCTGTACGACCATCTCTCTCTCCCTCTCTCTCTTCTATCATCCCCTGGAGCCCCTCTTCTCACATCAAGCTAGCCCAGGTTGCGCCCATTTTTGCCCCCGTCGTAACGTTTGCGCTGTATGCGATTGTTGCTGCAGTCAGCTCTCATCAGTCCCTGCTGTCCGCCCAGGCCTTCACATCATTGTCTTTGATATCGATTCTATCCAACCCAATCGTTACTCTGACCCAGTCGGTGCCGATTATTGCGGCCGGTTTGGGGGCTCTGACCCGCATCCAAGAGTATCTATCTACAACCCCGAGGCAGGAAAGAAGGGGATTGGGGGTACCAGCACAGAGTTACAACAACCCAGTAGAGTCGACTCAAGCCAGCGAGAAACCTTATCAGCTTGCCGAAGAAAAGGCTTCAGAAAAGTGTGGCTTATACGCAATTACAGTCGAGAATGGAACGTTTGGCTGGGACAATAAGGCTGCCACTCTACAGAACATCCACTGCAAATTTCCGACTTCATCCTTGACGATCATCATCGGACCTGTCGGGTCCGGCAAGACCACTCTCCTTAGGGGTCTTCTCAATGAACTGCCCGGCATCGAAGGAGAAATAGTCGTCCATGGCTCTTCTCTCGCCTTCTGCGACCAAAATCCATTCTTAATGCACGCCACTGTGCAGAAGAATATCATTGGCGAGTCAGCCTTGGACTTTGAATGGTACCAGACGGTGTTGAAGGCCTGTGCACTGGACATCGATCTAGCCCTACTCCCACATGGAGATCAGGCTATGGTCGGAAGCAATGGTATGACATTGAGTCGAGGACAGAAGCAGCGGATCGTGAGTCACTTTGTTCTAAGCTTTCCACATTGCGCTAATCCATTGTCCTAGGCAATCGCTAGATCAGTCTATGCAAAAGCCAGCATCGTCCTGCTCGACGATGCACTGAGTGGGCTCGATCGACGCACTGAAAGGCAGGTTTTCAATCAGATATTTGGGAAGCAGGGGCTTCTGCGCCAAATAGGCTCAACAGTAGTGCTGGTAACGCACGCAAGTAAGTTGATTGTTGCCGAAGAGGATAAATCTAACAGCTCCACAGATTATCTTCTACCGGATGCTGATCAGATCATCGTCCTCGGCAGCGAGGGAAGGATTGACAGCCAAGGAAGCTTTGACAGCTTGCGGTCCAGCGATGGCTATGTGCAGAAGCTGTCGATTGAAGGGTACACCGCGACACACGCTGAAGATACTACTGAGACTCAGGCCGCGCTTTCCACTCAAGACGATCTCGTGCGAGCTGCTGAGACCGACTTGAAAGACCGCCAAACGGGCGAGTGGTCCGTGTATGTGTATTACTTACAAGCTGCGGGGAAGATCAACTCCCTCTTCTTCTTGATATATGTTGCAGTCGTTGCGTTCTGCTATAACTTTCCCAGTGAGTTACACGTCACAACAGGCCGATGACACGATAATTTAACGGCCAACTAGATCTATGGGTCCAGTGGTGGTCAGACGCCAATGAAAAATCCTCGAATGCCAACCTGGGACTCTACTTGGGAGTGTATGTGGCGCTGGCAGTGGCGGCGATGGTCTCCCTGGTTCTGGCTTGCTGGTATCTGATGGTGCGAATCGTCTCGAGATCGGCAGGGAGACTGCACGAAACGGTGTTGCGGACAGTCATGAGGTAACCTAATTCCCTTGCACGATGCAGAAGATCAAGCTCATGAATGCATCGTAGAGCACCTCTGTCCTTCTTTGCCACGAGTAGCGCTGGGGCCATTACCAATCGGTTCAGCCAGGATATGCGGCTCATCGACATGTCGTTACCGATGGCTGCCATCAATACCGCGCTATGTACGTTAGGTAGGCTCCCATTATCCGAAGAAAGAGACTAATGCCTGCGAAGATGCCTTTTCCTGTGTGGTGCAGATTGTCATCATCTCGATTTCCTCCAAGTACATGGCCGTCACCATCCCCTTTGCTCTGGGTGTCATCTATCTGGTGCAAAAGTTCTATCTGAAGACCTCGCGGCAACTCCGGCTCCTCGACCTGGAAGTGAAATCGCCGCTGTATTCCAATTTTATCGAGACTCTGAATGGCCTTGTGACGATTCGCGCCTTTGGGTGGTCATCGCAACTGCAGGAGCAGAACACCCGGCTGCTGGACGAATCGCAGAAGCCCGTCTACCTGCTGTATTGCGTGCAGCGATGGCTGACGCTGGTCATGGATATGCTCGTGGCCAGTCTGGCAATCATCCTGATCCTCTTGACGGTCCTCCTGAAGGGTTCAACCAGCGGCGGCGCGATCGGCGTGGCCCTCGTCAACATCATGACCTTCAATCAGGGCTTGACGAGCATGATCAAGTGGTATACGTCCCTCGAGACGGCTCTGGGGGCCATCTCGCGGGTGAAAAAATTTGAATCGGAGACCGATTCAGAAGAACGTCCGAGCTCGACGTTGGGCCTGGTGGATCAGGAGTGGCCCCCATCTGGGATAATCGAGTTCCGGAACGTATCCGCATCTTACAAGTTCGTAGACAAGCCCCTTCCTGTGGCATTGGTCATGCATGAAGCTAACAATCTCCAGCAACGGGTCTTCCTTAGCGCTCAGGGACATCTCGATGTCGATTCAAGCAGGTCAGAAAATCGGGATATGTGGGCGCACCGGCAGGTAAGTCCGAATGCCCACCGTCAGGAAGCTTTCCTAGGATTCTAAAGTGCTCCCAGTGGAAAGAGCTCGTTGATTCTGTCCCTGTGTCAGATGGTCGACCTCAGTGGTGGCTCGATCTGGGTTGATGGGATTGACCTCTCGACCCTGCCCCGAGAAAGCGTTCGCTCCCGGTTCAATTCCATTACGCAGGAACCATTCTTCATCCCAGCCACAGTGCGCATGAACCTGGACTTCACCGAATCACTGTCAGATGACGCCATCATCGAGGCTCTCCAGAAGGTCCACTTATGGGATTTCATCGAGGAACGCGGCGGACTGGACGCCAAGCTGGTGGCCGATGCGTGGTCCCTGGGTCAGCAACAGCTCTTCTGTCTCGCGCGAGCATTGCTGAAGAAGAGCCGGATTCTCATTCTGGACGAGATGACTAGCAGGTACGTGACTCATCACGCAGAGGGGATTTCTATTCTAGAACCCGCGAAACGATTCTGCAGCAGCCGGCTAACACTTGCCCAGTGTGGATTCCGAAACGGACAAGCTGATGCAAGTCGTCATCCGCACCGAATTCGCCGACTCGACCATCTTCTGCATTGCGCACCGCCTCGATACCATTCTGGACTTTGACCGGATTGCGTTCTTGGATAAGGGTTCGTTGATCGAGTTTGACAGCCCGACGACGCTGCTCGAGAAGGGATCCTCGGCGTTTGCGCGGCTGTACAATGGCTTGCCAGATTCGAGCCTTTAGGATGTATTGTCGGTTACGATGCAAACCTTAAGAGGCCGATTGATTAGCTGGTAGAATATTGAGTTAATTCAGGTTAGGTTCTTCATGTCTCTCGCTAGTCCTTCGCCAGTATCGACTCTATGGGCATAGGTCTACTCTGCAGGACTGATCAGATTACATATAGATTGATTGTTTTCGTATAGAATAGACAAGATAACTGAAATGACGGAGATATCAACTCTACAAACTATACTAGACAGTAGATCTCGAGGCTTCTCTTACTGTTTGTTGGTCATATATCGATTGGACTGTTGTCCTCGAATGTACACTCAACTATTGCGTCGTTACACACTACCTGAGGTTATTTTCTACTTGTTCACTATCATGTGGATTATTAAATATATTGTATGAAATACTCGAGCAATTCACAGGTCTTCTCGTATGGAGAAGGGGAAGCGTCAAGCGTTGCTAAGGTCAAACATATATTTCCCGCAGCTCTACAAAGTCCACCGTACACACATAGTTATTCTAGATCTAAATGAGCAAAAAGTATGGCTACCTACTCCTTTCACAGGGAAGAAGATATCAAGCCAAACTGAAACAATTTAGTCACTCGCTAGTCTAGTTCCTGCTGACCGGCTATTTATCAGTAGCGCTGACCGTCTTCTCAGATTGATTGAATGCTGACCAGGCTGATGCTGACTGGGGATGTAGATGTAACTACTACTACTAGTCTACTAGGATTCCGGTAATTGTAAGATCCATTATAGTGCTTACCACTTTGGATACCAACGTACTCCGGAGTACTCTGTCGTGAGATCTGATACTACTCCGTAGAGGTAGCTAGCTGCTAGCTGCTAAGCCCGCTGGCATACGGCAGGGATGTTGATAGATAGACAACTTGATAGCTCTATTTGTGTTGATGGACGGAGGAACAGTGTGAACTTGATTGCCCTTGACACCTGGACGGGGATACAAGAGACCTTCATTCTGGAGTTAGTTTACCATTCACAACCCTCCACGCTATTATTATTCTTCACATTATTCGATCCGAAGGAGTATCAAACAGGAGACACAGTAAGTCATGGCACCCGCACTACTAGAAACAGACCCCATTCCCGCCAATGGCAGCGCGGTGGACGAGAAGGTAAGTTACTGGGCGAAGTATCTGGCGTCCACCGAGCCATGCCAGTTTCCCACCCGCAACGATGGTCTGGACGGCCAGAGCCGGCGGGAGCAGCTGCCCGTGGGCGTAGAGACGTTGAAGTTGCGCGAATTCTGCGCGGGACGGCGCGTACCGGTGATCAACGTATTCCAGCTGGCGTGGGCGATGGTACTCCGGGCCTACGCGAGATCAGAGTCGGTGTCGTTTGGGTACCGAACGGAGGGCTTTGGACTGCACGGAGACCACCAGGAGGACGATGTCGACGTCGCACTGCCGTTGGCAGTCAAGGTAGGGGGGAATGTGACTATTGCTGAAGCTCTCAAAGATATCGCAGCAGATTGCAGCCGGGGGATTAAGCACCGCAACGAATGGCCGGCCGGTGAAGCGGCGCCCTTCAATACGAAATTAGTGTTGCATACAGGTCTTGCTGAGAAGAGGCAGCAGGAGCAGCAACTGGATGTAAGCAGGCAGTTCAATTATAAGAACGACGACTGTAAGAGGCTAAATCGTATAGAATGCGATCACGCTGCACATTACCGACGCGGGCGCCGACATCCTCGCCAGCCTGCACTTCTGGACCGCCGTGCTGTCCGGAGGCCAGGCCATCAATGTCATCCACACGCTGCAGCGAGCCGTCTGTTGCATTCTTCACTCGCCCAACGAGGAGATCGCGGCACAAGATCTGTTCAGCGAAGCGCATCGAGCGCAGGTCCTGGAGTGGCACCGGACACGCCCGGAGTTTGTGGACTCCTGCATGCATGAGCTTGTGTCCAAGCAGCTCAGCCGACGACATCGTGAGACCGCAGTGTCTGCGTGGGACAGAGAACTCACCTATCAACAGCTGGAAGATTTGTCGGCCAGCTTGGCCCACTATCTTGTCTCTCTGGGCGCTGGACCCGAGGTTCTCGTCCCGGTGCTGTTCGAGAAGTCCATGTGGGTGCCGGTTGTCTTGCTCGCAGTCTGGAAGGCCGGCGCGGCGATTGTGCCTCTGGACCCCAGCAGTCCCGTCTCGCGTCTAAGAGACATACTGGTGGAAGCGAAGGCGACAATCCTGGTGGCATCCGCGGCGCAGGCAGAGAAACTGGCGCATTCTGTCGCGAATCTCGTCGTTGTTGACGAGGAGCTGGTCCAAAAATTACCACGGCATAGCGACGCGCCAGTATCATCGGTCACCCCACAGAATACCGCATTCGTGTCATTTACATCTGGATCCACTGGACGGCCAAAGGTACGTGGATGCTATGTCCAGAGTGTTGTATTGACTCTATACTAACGAGAACAGGGTATTTGTGTCGAGCATTCGGCGTTTGCCTCGGCCTTGAGGAGACTGCAAGGTGCATGTCCTGCTACCGAAACTACCCGGTCCCTACAGTTTGCCTCCTACAGCTTCTCCCCGGCGCTGTATGAGATCTTCATGCCCCTAATTGCCGGTGGCGTGGTCTGTATTCCGTCGGAAGATGCGCGGCGGAATGACCTCGTCCAGAGCTTGAACGAGATGCGCATTACGTGGGCGGTGTTCACGCCATCGCTGCTCAAAGAACTGAATCCAGACGATATCCAGTACCTCGAATCCATGGTACTCGTCGGAGAGCCTCTCTCTCGATTCGAGGCTGCGCCATGGGTCGCAAAGATCCATCTTGTGTTCTGCTATGCGTCGAGTGAGAACGGCCTGATCGCGTTCAACGACCAGATGGGACAGACCTCCGACGTGCGCAATGTCGGACACAGCGATGTCGGCTGGATCGTTGACCCGGACAACCATGATCGACTGGTGCCCATCGGTGTCGTGGGCGAACTGCTGGTTCATTCACCGGCCACCGCACGAGGCTATCTCGACGACCCTGAGAAGACGTCGGCGGTGTTCGTCGACCGGCCGTCCTGGTTCCCCGTGAGTCTACAGCTGAAGGGCCGGTTTTGCAAGACCGGAGACCTGATGGTGTACAACTCAGACGGAAGTCTCAGCTTCGTCGGCCGCAAGGATTTCATGATTAAAGTGCGCGGGCAGCGAGTCGAGATGGGAGAAGTTGAGCGACGCCTGGCCCATCCACGAATCCAGCAGTCAATTGTCCTATTCCCCGATTCGGGCCCCTGCAAGCGCCGTTTGGTCGCGGCTGTCTCGCTTCAAGACTTACCGTCGTCCGAGGTCAAATCCCAACGGACCCCGTTGGCACTGTTAGAGCCAGCAGACATGAGGTCGAGTGCGGAGTGGGTCGAGTCCATGAGAGTCCAGATGTCCCGGCACCTCCCCAGCTATATGATTCCCGAGATATGGGTGCTGCTGGAGAGCCTCCCGCTGACGCTGTCCGGAAAGGCAGACCGTCAGAAGACAGTGAAGTGGCTGGAGGCGATGGACGACGAGACCTACGCATATATCACGGCCCTCGGCGAGGAGGAAGATATTGTTGATGAGGAGGAGACTCCAATGGAGCAACTGCTGCGGCAGATCTGGGGCGATGTGCTCGGTCGAGCCCGTGTGCCCCGGAATCGCTCATTTCTCAGCCTCGGCGGCGATTCCATCTCGGGCATGTCGGTGCTGTCGCAGTGCCGACGGGCAGGCGTCCAGCTGACTTTCCAGGATATTCTGCGCTCTCGCAATGTCTCAGACCTGGCAGGAAAGGTGACTGCGGTGTTGGAAGCGAAGGGATCCGGCGATGGTGATGGCGCGGAATATGGACTGACCGCGGAGAAGCTCAGCGCGTATAAAGACGGACTGCTGGAAGTGGGTGTGACCGATTTGGCCAGCGTTGAAGGCCTATACCCATGCTCGCCCGTGCAAGACGGGATCATCCTTAGTCAAGGACGAAGCTCAGGCCATTACTGGATGTATGTGATCTGGGAAGCGATTCCGTCCCATGGCAACACCATCAGCACCGAACGCCTGACAAGTGCGTGGAGAGAAGTGGTCGACCGGCACCCCATCCTTAGAACGCGTTTTGTGCGAAGCCCATCCGGGGAAGCACAGTTGACGCAAGTGGTGGTCAAGTCTTCAGAAGCGAAAGTGATCCATCAGCAGTTGAAAGAGCCAGTAATCCCTGGGGTGTTCGAGGACACTCAGTTGGTCGCTGAAAGCGGCAACCTGCACCAATTGACCATTATGACGAGCAACTCAGGGCAGACTTTCTGTAAACTGGAAATGAGCCACGCCATTGTCGATGCCTTGTCGTTCCCCATCATGCTACAGGACCTGGGGCGGGCCTACGCTGGAGAGCTCGTGCTGCAGCCGGCGGCACCGCGGTATAGCGAGTATATTGCGCATATCCACAACGGATCACTCGAGCAGAGCATTGAGTACTGGAAAGAGTATCTAATTGAAGCGACACCATGTCACTTCCCCTCACTTGGGGGAGTGGATGATCCTACTCACCGGATGCAGAGTCTCGAGCTGGACTCTGGACTCCCGGCGGCGACACTGCACGCCTTCTGCCGCCGCTACGGCATCACTCTGTCGAATGTGTTCCAACTGGCATGGGCCCTAGTGCTTCGCTCGTATACAGGATCGGATGACGTGTCTTTCGGATATCTGACGAGTGGACGAGATGCCCCGATCGAGGGCATCATGGAGCACGCGGTGGGACCGTATATCAACATGCTCGTCTGCCATCTCAACCTCGATGACGAAGCAGACGTGCGGCAACTAATCCTCCAGATTCAGTCAAACTTCTTGGATAGTCTTCCCCATCAGAACTGCTCGCTGGCAAACATCCAGCACGCGCTGAGCCTATCGGGCCAGGCGCTGTTCAACACCGCCATGTCTGTCTCTCGCGTGGTGCCAGACAAGGTGACGATCACGGATGGCACCAGCTTTCAGATTTTGGACCTCTACGACCCGACTGAGGTATGATGGATAGCCATTCCCGCTTGGACGCTTTCTAATGTTTCATAGTACCAAGTGTCGGTTAATGTAGGGATCTCCAGTGACAAGGTCGACGTGCGATTCAACTACTGGCGTTCATGGGTTGGGGACACCCAGGCGACGCAGATTGCGAGCACTTTCACTCAGACCTTGCGATCGATCGTTCAAGGTCTGCCAGACCAAAAGGTCGGTGATGTAAATCTCCTGAGCGAGGCGAGTCTCAATCAGATCTCGACATGGAATTCAGTCAACCCCGAACTCGTGGACGAGTGCATCCACCATCTCATTACACAGCAAGCGATCCGACAGCCGCATCATTCGGCCATTGAGTCATGGGATGGAAGCTTCACGTATGCAGTGCTCGACGATCTCTCCTCGAGATTGGCCCACTACCTAGTTTGTCTGGATGTGGGAATCGGTCCCGAGACGATGGTGCCTCTCTGTTTCGAAAAGTCGATCTGGACCGCCGTCGCGATGCTGGGAGTCTTGAAAGCAGGCGCCGTATGCTGCATGCTAGATCCATCGCATCCCGTTGGGCGACTACGCAGCATCATCGAGAACATCAAGGCACCCGTGGTGCTCACGGATGGTGTGCATGGGCTCGATACCGAGCTGCTGTCCGAGATCTGCACCGAATCGGTGATCGTCAATGCCGCGTTAATCAACAGTTTGCCGCAGAAGGATGGGCCTGCCGATACATCAGTCCGACCTGATAACGCTGCCTTTGTCGTCTTTACGTCTGGATCTACTGGTACCCCGAAAGGCATCGTGATCGAGCACAGAGCCATTGCGTCGAGCTCCAGGGCGCATGGAACGGCCATGAAGCTGAACGGGGACGCTAGAGTGGTGAGTATCTGAGTATCAGTTGACAATGTATGTGACTGACCAGAGGATAGCTACAATTCGCCTCATATGTCTTCGATGTCGCGATTCAGGACCACTGCACCACGCTGATGCGAGGAGGCACCATCGTGAAGCCCTCCGAGTACGAGCGCATGAACGACCTGCCCGGAGCAATCAAACGTCTCCGGGCCAACTGGGCCAATCTCACTCCCACTGTAGCCAGTTTACTGCTGCCAGAGGACGTTAGCGGGCTGAATGTGCTGGCACTCGGTGGCGAACGCATCCGGCAAGAGACGGTGGATTCGCTCTCCAACAGTACCAATTTGACGTTGATCTACGGGCCAGCTGAGTGTTCCATGACGATGTCCGCCAACTTTGGAGTGCGGCCCCATTCCAGCTCAGCCAACTTTGGCTTCGCGTGCGGCTCATTCATGTGGCTGACAGAGATCAACAACCATGATCGCCTGGCCCCTGTCGGCGCCGTAGCGGAGGTCGTCATTGAGGGGCCGATCCTTGCCCGGTGCTATCTGAACCAACCCGATCTGACGGACCAAGCGTTTATTGAGAATCCAGAGTTCACCCTTGGACAGACGATTGGTTCGGCCCCTAGACGGATGTACAAGACGGGAGATCTGGCCCGATACAATGCCGATGGCTCGGTCAGCTTCGTCCGACGAAAGAACATCCAGTCCCAGGTGAAGCTGCGCGGACAGAGAATCGAGTTAGGCGAGATCGACTTTCACCTCTGGGGCAACGAATGGGTGAAACACGGGGTGGCTTTTATGCCAGGATCGGGGCCCTTCAAAGGGAAACTCCTCGCTGCAGTCTCTCTGCAGTCCATTGTTTCCTCCAATGATAACGAAACGATCCGTGTCGTGAGCGATGCGCAACGGGGCGAAGTGGCCGTCACGATGTCCCAGGTGCGTGGACACTTGGCGAACCACTTACCCCCATACATGATGCCCGAGGTCTGGGTCGTGGTCGAGCACTTCCCATTGAACACGTCCGGCAAGATGGACCGGAAGCGAGTGATCGCATGGATTGAAGGCGAGCTCTCGGATGAGGTCGTGCGGGGAATTTATCATGCCGTGGACGACAGCGATCCGGCCCAGCAGGCGGCAACGAGCATCGAAAAGAAGCTTCAAGCCGTCTGGAGCAGGGTTCTCAACAAGCCCATTGAGAAGGTGCCTATTAACCAGTCCTTCGCGAGCCTGGGAGGAGATAGTATTACTGCAATGCAAGTTGTATCGACTTGCCGCGCCACAGAGAACATTGTGGTCACGGTTCAAGATGTGCTTCGATGCAAGAGCATCTCGCAATTAGCTTTCAACGCTCATTCGGCCCAGAAGTCCACCATCTCGATGGATGAAGAGCTGGATGTGGCATTTGCCCTCACACCAATCCAGCAAATGCATTTTGACCTCGCTGTGGATGGCTGCCATCACTACAACCAGAGTTTCACCGTCTCAGTCGCCAGAGAGATTTCCATGGCGGACTTGAAGAAGAGCATTGAAGCAATCGTGCGTCAACATTCCATGCTTCGTGCCCGATTTACTCGTGCTGCAGATGGGAAAAGCTGGACTCAGCGTATCACGATGCAAGTGGAGGAGTCGTATCGCCTGAAATCACATATCATCTCTAGCGTGGACGAGACGCGGCCGTTGATGCTGCAGACGCAGGAGAGCCTCAACTTCCAACAAGGCCCTCTGTTGGCGGTAGATTTTGTCAAATTCAATGGCAAACAATTCCTATATCTCGTCGCACACCATCTAGTGATTGACTTCGTCTCATGGAGAGTCATCCTGCAAGACCTGGAACAGCTATTGGCGTCTGGAACCTTGCAGTATGACGAGAAGCCGTTTCCTTTCCAAACCTGGAGCCGTTTGCAAGACGAGTACAGCCAGCAGTTCCTGGCTCCACAAAAGCTCCTGGGCGATGTTCAACCTACAGACTATGCCTTCTGGGGCATGGACGGGGTGCCAAACCTATTCCGCGATGTGGTGCACGAGAAATTCGTTCTCGACGAGACGACAACAAGAGCACTTCTGGAAGGATGCCATGAAGCATTACGAACGGAACCCTTGGACATCATGATCGCCGCCTTGGGCTATTCATTCGCCCAGACGTTCGGCAGACGCACTCAATCAGTCTTTGTTGAAAGCCATGGCCGCGAGCCATGGGATCCCGCCATTGATCTATCCCGGACTGTGGGCTGGTTTACCACCATGTATCCAATTACACTAGGCAAGACTGAAAGCATCATCGAAGCGGTCCGTCAAGCGAAAGACCTGCGCCGCAAAACGCCAAATCGTGGCTGGTCTTACTTTACATCTCGATACTTGAACGACGAAGGGAAGCAGGCGTTTGGGCATCATGGGGCGCCAGAGATCCTCTTCAATTACCTGGGCGTACTGCAGCAGTTGGAACGAACCGATGGTCTGCTGCATGCAGCGGAATTGAACCAAGGCATGTATATCGATATTGGCGCCGAAATGCCACGCAGCGCGCTTTTCGATGTTGCCGCGAAGGCCGAATATGGCCGATTGCATTTCCACGTCTTCTTCAACAAGAAGATGGACAATATCCCGGAGATCCAGAGGTGGATCCAAGCCTTTGAGGCGACTCTGCAAGATGCAGCAGAGCAACTCATCCTCCTCAAACGAGAGTACACCATCGGCGACTTCCCCCTCATGGACTTCACGTACGACGAGCTCCAGCAGTTTGTGGCCCAAAAGCTGCCCCAGGCTGGCATCACGAGCCTCGCCATGGTGGAGGATGTATATCCCTGTTCCCCAATGCAAAACGGAATCCTGCTCAGTCAGTCAAAAACTGGCGACAACTACCAGTCCTTCTTTCTGTGGGAGCTGAAGTCAGACAGTGGCGCTTTCGTTGAAGACGATATAATACGACTGGGACAGGCATGGCAAGACGTCGTCAATCGCCACCCATCTCTGCGGACTCGGTTCATGGAAAGCTTAGCGGATGACTCTGCGTTTCACCAAGCTGTATTGAAAGCTGAGACGGTAGAGATCCTTCGCCTCGATAGTCATTCAAAGGATCCTGTTGAGGCCCTAAAACAACATCACAAAGAGTTCCGATACCAGGCAGGCAAGCTGCACCATCTATCCGTCTGTATCGGAAACGGTAAGGCGGTTTGCAAACTCGAAATCAACCATGCGATTGTTGATGGCATCTCCATTGGCGTGCTAGTGCGAGATCTCGAGCAAGCGTTCAGTCATTCACTCAGCGGAACTGGCCCGCTTTACAGCAATTATATCTCTCATGTCCAGAAGGAGAGAAATTCCAAGCGCAGTGACACTCACTGGAAGAGCTATCTTTCAGACGTCGAGCCCTGCTATTTCCCGGCTTTCCAGGGACAGAAGCTCGATGACCAGCGAGGAGAGCTGGAAGTCGAGTATGTCCAGCTATCTAGATCGGCAGCCAAATTACGAAAGTTCTGCTCTGAGACCGGAATTACCGTTTCGAATGTTATTCAACTCGTTTGGGGCATTGTTCTGCGAAATTACACAGGACAGGATGATATCTCTTTCGGATACCTGACCTCTGGTCGCGATGCGCCAGTACCTGGCATCCAGGATGCAATCGGGGCCTTCATTAATATGCTCATCTGCCGACTGCACATTCAGGGGACCGAGTCTGTGATGGATTTGCTGGAGAAAGTGCAAAGCGATTTCTTGGCCAACTTGCCGCATCAGTACACCTCACTAGCCGAGATTCAGCACGCTCTGCCTTTGGGAGGAAAGGCTTTGTTTAATACCTCACTTTCGGTCCAACGAGTGGCTTCTCGTGACGACAATGAGCGCCAGTTGAGGCTAGAAAGGGTGGAGGCATATGACCCGACGGAGGTAAGTGTGATATGCCTGATGGTCAGATAATGATAGTGCTGATTATATGATAGTACGACGTGACGGTCAACGTCGAGGCCTCGGATGAAGATGTGCAGATGGTGATTTCCTACTGGAACGCGCAGATGTCGCAGCAGCAGGCACTTCAGGTAGCCAGTCTCTTCAGCTACACGCTAGATGTCGTGCTCGAGAATCCTGATGCACAAGTCAACCACCTGGACTTGATCAGCAATGCTGATTGTGAGCAAATCCAGGAGTGGAGCAAGAATGTGAGTACTGAAGCGGAGTCGATTGAAGACAAGATCAGAAAGCATGCAGTCGAACGACCCGACTCAGTGGCTATCAGCGCCCCAGACGCCAATTTGAGCTACGCAAAACTGGATCACTATTCCTCTCTGCTGGCACAGTACCTCATAGAGCGTGGCATTGGGGCAGGGGTTGTTTCGATCCGCACGGCAAATTCAGCTTGGGCAATAGTTTCTATGCTCGCTGTCCTGCGCGCTGGGGCGACCTTTACACTTGACCAGGATGACAACCAGCATGGAAGCGCCAAGTTCAGACTGGTATCTTGCGACAACCCAGGATCAACCAAAGCACAAGACAGTGCGTCAATCGTGGTTGATCAGACATTCTTCGACAGCCTGACGACCCAGCCCCATATAGTCCCGGCCGACAGGGACCGTATCGCATTCATTATAGACGGAGTTCGCATGGATCGTCGGGCCTTCTATTCCGGTATCCATCAGCTCGGCAGATTATTGAATCTGAATGCTGAGACGCGCGCCCTGCAGCTGGCTCCATACACGTCGAATGTGTCGGTGACGGAGATATTCGCTACTCTGAGCCACGGGGGTTGCCTTGTTGTGCCAGCAGTACGCGGCCAGTCAATTCATATTGCCTCATATATCCAAGGTAATAATGTCAACTGGGTCTGCCTCTCACCCTCTGTCGCTCGCTTGATCGACCCTGAAGAGGTGCCGTCTCTCCAGACACTCCTCCTCGTTGGGGAGCCTGCCGGATTAGACAATGCTACCGTCTGGGCCCCGAAGCTGGGTCTATTCACTGGATATTGGGTAAAACAGGCTTGCGGCTTCCCTCTCATCAGCAGAGTCACTCTTGATAGCGTACTGCCCGCGGTTGGTCGTCCAGGTGGCCAATGCTGGATTGTGACTCCCTGGAATGATTCGCAGCTGGCGCCCGTTGGCTGTGTGGGACAGTTGATTGTGGAGAGCTCATCCGTGGCTAGAGGATTTATAGATTCTTCTATCCTAAACCCTGCAGTATCTGACCGTCCGAATGGCCTATCTCAAGATACCTTCGCTAGAGGACTGAGAACTGGCGATCTCGTCCGCTATACCACGGATGGTACGATCGAGCTTCTTCGACGGAAGGATGGCCTGATCCAGGTGGATGGTCATCAGATACAGTTCGACAAAATTGAGAGTCACATCAGATCGTTTGACTATATACGCAATGCCGCTGTCTCAGCACCCAAGAGCGGGATCTGCGCGGGCCGCTTAACAGCCATGGTGACATTGGTCGCAATTAAGACACCAGCCGTGTATAGCACGTCGCCTAAGGCAGTCCACAAGACCGGGCCAAATGGATTAGCTATCAAAGCGGAAATGTCTCGGATTCGAGAGGAGATGTTGGAGTATTTCCCCTTGTATATGATCCCGACACTGTGGGTGGTTGTCGACGCGCTTCCCCTTGACGCGTCCGGTGTCGTAGATCGAGTCCAAACGACGAAGTTCTTCGAACACATGGACGATGCTGAGTATCACAGTATCATGGAAGAAGCTACCGGTCCATCCGACGCTCCGGAAACTTCGGTTGAGCAGAAGATGCGAGAGATCTGGAGTCGCGTCCTCCACCAACCAATTGACCAGATCGGAACGTCGCGGTCTTTCCTGAGCTTGGGTGGAGATAGTATCACCGCCATGCAGGTCATTTCCCTGTGCCGTGCAGAGAGAATTCGCGTCACTGTCCGGGATGTGCTTCGTTGCCGGACCCTGGCTGATCTTGCGTCCCGAGCTGAGGTAACAGGTTCAACCACGGCTATCGAGGAGAACGACGACACTCCCTTTGGACTGAGTCCAATCCAACAAACATACTTTGAGTTGGTCCCGGGCGGACAGAATCATTATAATCAATCCTTCTTTGGGCGTTTCACACGTCGCAAGGTCTCTCCAGAAGAACTAGAAAGCGCCATCGAAGCTTTGGTTCTGCAGCATCCGATGCTGCGAGCCCGGTTCCACAAGAGCGAAGTTGGATGGACGCAGAGTATTGCAAAGACAGCAGACCAGTCATATCTCTTGAATACTCACCATGTTGAAACCAGGGCTCAAACAAAGGAGGTGATGTTGCGGACTCAAAAGTCCCTGGATATTGAACGGGGGCCGATTCTCGCGGTTGATCTGTTCGATACCTCGGAAGAAGCAGAGAACGCCCTCTTTATTGTCGTGCATCATCTCGTCGTTGACCTGGTGTCCTGGCGGGTGATATTGCGTGACCTCGAGGCTCTGCTGGAGAAACAACCACTACAGACACGTTCCATGTCGTTCCAGACGTGGTCGCGACTGAAGGCTGGCAGTATTGAGAGCCTCACTCCCGAGGATGTCCTGCCGATCAAGATTCCCGAGGCGGACTATGCCTATTGGGGCCTGGAAAACGCTCCGAATATGACCGGTGAGGCGTCTCATGAATCGTTCTGTTTGAGCCAGGAGGATACGAGAGCACTGCTCGGTACTAAGGGATCGACTACCCTCCGAGTACAACCAATCGATGTAATTCTGGGAGCAGTTGCACATGCCTTTGCAGCCACGTTCAGTGATCGGTCCCTGCCAGCTATCTTCAATGAAGGCCATGGACGCGAGCCGTGGGATGACAGCATCGATCTATCGGACACGGTAGGCTGGTTCACCACGCTATACCCTCTTTACATTAGCCATAACAAGGAACAATCCATTCTCGATGCCATTAGAGGCTTCAGGGACGTTCGACAACGAGTCCCCGGAAATGGCCGGCCCTACTTTGACTACCGATATTTGACCCCTTCGGGAGGACGAGCTTTCCAGCATCACTCGAAAGCAGAGATCATGCTCAACTACACCGGGCCTTATCAGCAGTCCCAAAATGGGGACGCATTCTTAGAACCGATTGAGTTCGATCAGATGAGCTTCGCTGCCGATGTTGCAGCGGAGATGCCGCGTAGCTCCTTGATTGACATCCTGGTCAAAGGCGAGCCAGATGGAATGCGGTTCCACTTCTTCTACAGCCAGCGGATGCGCCAGCAAGAACAAGTAAAGGCGTGGATCAGGGGCTGCAGAGAATCGATATGCACAGCTCTTAAGACACTGGATACGATGGCATTCGATTACGCACCCACTGACTTCCCTCTGCTCTCATTGGCAGCATCAGAGCTGGACCAGCTACTCAGTCGTTTGCCGTCAATGGACGTTTTCACACCTGATCCTCTCAGTGCTCAGATAGAGGCCATATTCCCGTGCTCACCCATCCAGCAAGGCATGCTCTTTAGTCAGATGCGCGCATCTGGGTGCTACGAGACGTTCAGCGTCTGGGAGGCAACGTCAATCGGGTCGACAGTGAGCGCCGAACGACTGCACCGAGCGTGGCTAGACGTTGTGCAACGGCATGCCGCCCTGAGAACAATATTCATAGAAATTCAGGACGGAGAATATATCCAGGTGGTGCTTACAGCCGTCACCCCGACAGTCGAAGTAATTGAAACCGACCTGGTGGATGAGGTCAAGATCAGACAAATGCTAGTGGCTCTGAATGGCATCTCATTCAACCCCCATCGTCTGTCACACAAGTTGACAATCTGCAAAGCACCCGGCCAGCAGGTCTTTTGCAAGTTGGAGCTGAACCATATCATTATCGATGGGTCTTCAGTTGCTATTCTAGCGACTGACCTCCGAAGGGCCTATGACAATGTCCTTGACAAGGCATCCCGGCCGTTGTACAGTGACTACATTTCGCACATTCAGCAGCAGAATGTAGAAGACAGTCTCAGTTTCTGGGTCAAACAACTGGATGATGTCCGCCCTTGCCACTTTCCACGACTGACGGACGGTCCCGACAGCCAGGCGGCAACTACGCCAGAGCTCTTGTCCGAAGAAGTTATTCTTGATAGCTCACTAGATACCATCACTGCATTCTGCTCGCGAACCGGCATCACGATTGCTAATGTGTTTCAGATCGTCTGGGGTCTGGTATTACGAGCGTACACTGGCTCAGACCAGGTCTGCTTCGGATATTTGACCTCGGGACGTGATGCCCCCATCAGCGACATTGCAGACATTGTTGGTCCTCTGATCAACATGTTGGTCTGCTCTTTGGATATGACTGAGTCAGACGGATCCATCGAAAGCTTGCTGCGACGAGTGCAGCAGGACTTCTTGGATAGCCTGCCGCATCAGCATTGTTCCCTCGCACAGATCCAGCATGCTCTGCCCGGTGTCTCCGGAGATCTCTTCAACACGATCTTGTCTCTACAAAGGTCGTCTCCGCCGGTGTCATCCGATTACACTTTGTCCCTGGGAAACATTATCGGACATGATCCTACCGAGGTATGATATTAGCACCATTTCGCGGGAGTTCAGGCTAACTTTCCCCAGTATGATATCACAGTCGATGTGCAGGTTCAGCCACAAGGCCTTCAGATCACGATTGAAACATGGAATACGCGAATGTCGAAAGAACAGCTCGCGAGTGTTGCCAGCACCCTATCCCAAGCAGTCAACGTTATTCTTAAAGACAGCCATGGATCGGTCCAGACCGCCGATCTGTTCAGCGAGCACGATAGGGCGCAAGTACTAGCATGGAATGGCGTGTATCCCGAATTGGTGGACGCATGTATCCATGACCTTATCACTGCGAGGGCGAAGGCAACTCCAGAAGCGACAGCCGTCTGCGCCTGGGACTACGGTGATCTTTCCTACTCCAAGCTGGATGAAATGTCCACGAAACTAGCCCTGGATCTGGTGAACCTCGGGGTTGGGCCCGAGGTGATTGTTCCATATTGTTTCTCCAAGTCCGTCTGGGCCATCGTTACTATGATCGCCATTTTGAAAGCTGGGGGCGCTTGTACAGCTTTGGATCCTGAATATCCCCAATCACGATTGGAGAGTTTGATCAAAGAAACTGGAGCTCAGGTGGTTATCGCCTCGCCATCTCATTCAAGCCTTTTCGAGGGCCTAGTGCCTCACGTGGTTGTTGTCGATGGGACAGCTTTCAAGATGGGTGATACCGGATTCAGCTCCCTAGAATCTCGAGTGGCACCAAACAACACAGCTTTTGTCGTGTTTACATCCGGCTCGACTGGTATTCCTAAGGTATGAACTAAGATCATTATTCCATCTCCTACTAACGCTCCCAGGGCGTGTTGCTCGAGCATCGCGGCTTCGTCACCAGCTTCCAAGCTGGCGCGGTTCGCATGGGAATCCGTTCCACGACCAGGTCCTACCAGTTCTCCAACTTTACCTTTGATCTTTCCATCGAAGACATTATCTCACCACTGATCGCCGGTGGCACTGTATGCGTTCCATCAGAATTAGATCGCGTCAACAATCTAGCCCATTCCATCCGAACGCTGGATGCCAACTGGGCAAATCTTACCCCTTCAGTAGCGACTTTGCTAAATCCTGAGGCTGTTCCTTCTCTCAAGACAGTAGTCCTCGGAGGAGAGGCCCTCCGACAAGATATTGTCGACAAATGGGCGGAGCATGTCGTTCTTCTCAACGGCTATGGCCCGTCCGAGAGCTCGGTGACTTGTGCTATCAGCTCTCCTATCAAGCCTGGTAAAGATCCAAAAAATGTTGGCAATGGCAGTGCCTGCCACCTGTGGGTGACTGATGCTAATGACCATGACCGACTGGCACCCATTGGCACGGTGGGGGAGCTGCTCATCGAGGGACCGACTCTCGCCCGTGGGTATTTGAATGACACCCTGAAAACTGCTGCGTCATTTATCGAGGATCCAGCGTGGGTTGGAAAGTTCGGAAGCAATAAAAAACCTCGTCGGATGTATACAACAGGCGACTTAGTTCGGTATGCCGTTGACGGGTCGATCGTGTTTGTTGGGCGCAAGGATACCCAGATTAAGCTCCACGGCGTATGTGATTCGAGGTCTCCCTATCTGTGAACCATTCATTTGATGCTAACTCCATCCAGCAACGTATCGAACTGGGCGAGATTGAATTCCACCTATCTTCCAGCAACGCGGTCGAGGAAGCTGTGGTCATCTTCCCCAAGAGTGGCCTGTGCAAAGACCGTCTCGTTGCGGTATTGGCGCTATACGGAACAGGACCCCCGACTCGAGACAGCAATGATATATCTCTTATTGGAGATGACAAAAAACCTCTTGCTGCGGAGAGAGTTGCCAGCATTGAGGAAGAATTGTCCACTCGTCTCCCAAGACATATGGTTCCATCAGTGTGGGCGGTGGTCACATCTCTGCCGAAACTATCTTCGACAAAAATAAACAGAAAAGCCATACAGCTCTGGGTTACGGAGATGGGCCCGGACGTCCATCAGCAGATCGAAAGCCTCGTTGATAAGACGACCGCTCAGGAGCCATCCACCGCGATGGAGAGGAAATTCCAGGTTATTTGCAGTGAGGTTCTAAATAAGCCCGTCAAAGGTGTTGGACTACACAAGTCATTCCTCCAAGCCGGAGGAGACTCCATCAGCGCCATGGCATTTGTGGCACGCTGTCGCAAGGATGGTATCCTAATTGGTATCCAAGACCTCCTTCGCAGCAAAAGTTTGGCAGAGGTTGCCTCGAGGTCGCGAGAGATGACAGAGAGCAAGTCATGCGTCGACGTGACGACTGATACACCCTTCGATCTCTCTCCGATGCAGCGTATGTACTTTTCAATGGTGCCTCACGGGTTCAACCATTATAACCAGAGCTTCCATCTGTCATTGACACGGAAAGTGGACGCATCGGCTCTTCGTGATGCGCTGGCGCAGCTGGTGAGAAAACACGCAATGCTGAGAGCACGCTTTATAAACTCAAATGGGTGGACGCAGACTATCCTTAGGGATGTCGAAAATGCATATCGATTCAATGTGCAGGACGTGAAGACGGTGCAGGTTCCGGCTATAATTCTTCAGCGGCAGAGCAGCTTGGATATCGTCAACGGCCCAGTGTTCTCAGTGGATCTTTTCAATATTGAGAACGCCGAGCAGCAGCTTTTCCTCGTGGCGCATCACCTGGTGATAGACTTGATCTCCTGGCGCATCGTTCTTCAAGACTTGGAAGATATCCTCCGAACTGGTGCTCCGTCAGCGTCGTCGCTGTCGTTCCAGGCTTGGTGCAGACTGCAGGATGAGTATATCTCCAAGCAACTCCATCCTGAGCGCTTTCTACCATTCACAGTCACCGCGTCAAATCTGGACTTCTGGGGAATGCAGAGAAAGCCTAATGCAGTAGGCGACTCCAGATATCTTTCCTTTACTCTCACCCCCGAACTCACGCAGAAGCTATTGGGAGAGAATTGCCATCGGGCTCTGCGTACAGAGCCGGTCGATGTCATGTTATCTGCAATCAGTCACTCTTTCTTGCAAGTCTTCCGACGGTCAGTACCAGCCATCTATACCGAAGGACACGGTAGAGAATCATGGGATGCGGACATCGATTTGTCGAGCACCGTTGGATGGTTCACCACCATGTGCCCGATTCAGACCAACACCAACGAGGCCAGCGGCCTGATTGATGTCCTGCGACAAATCAAGGATGTTCGGCGCGGAACCCCTCAGAATGGGTGGAGTTATTTTGCGCACCGTTTCAGAAAGGGAGCTGAAGACCAAAAAGCAATTATGGAGATGAACTTCAACTATACCGGCCTGTATCAGCAGCTTCATCGTGCTGATTCTTTGTTCCGGCCGGTCCAACGCCAGAATATGGATGACACTGGAAAGGAGATGCCTCGGGACTCTCTCTTTGATATCTTGGTTACCCCGGGTGGTCCAGAAACCCTCGCCTTCCACTTTACCTTTCCTCAGGCTATCCTCCATCAAGAGAAGATCAAGCTCTGGGTCGAGCAATGTGAAGTTTCGCTCAAAGCGACTCTGCAGCAGCTGGAGCACCTCGAATCCCAAACCACATTAAGTGACTTCCCACTGCTTCCGTTGAGCTCCTATGAGGACCTGGATACCCTGATCAATGATCGGCTCTCCAAGGTGGGAATCACGGATATTGCAGAGGTAGAGGATATCTATCCTCTCTCAGCGGTGCAACAGGGTATCCTGCTCAGCCAGATCAGGTCTCCTGGATACTATGAAACATTCGCCGTCTTTGAAGTCAAGACGTCAGGCTCGATTGACGTCCAGCAATTGGCTCTCGCATGGCAACACACCACTGATCGTCATCCTTCTTTACGGACGGTTTTCATTGAGAGTATCTCGGAAAGCAATCCACACTACCAGGCAGTCCTGAAGCAGATTTCAGCCAACATCCACTTCGTCGAATTAGACGATCGTTTGGATCCAGTGAGCACGCTCCAGCAGTCGACAATTAACGACTATCCAAACACAGTCCAGGTGGCTCGCGGTGAACATCGGTTTACCATTTACTCGACTCCGCAGGGTCGGGCTTTTGTCAAGTTAGAAATCAGTCATGCGTTGACCGATGGCACAGCCATGAGTATCATTCTTCGAGATTTCTGCGCTGCGTATGATCGCCAATTGCCCCGATCACCGAAACCGCTGTACAGTTCCTATATTGCTTACCTTCAGAGTCAATCGCTTGACGAGAGTCTCGCATACTGGACATCTCGCCTGGCCAATACGGAAGCCTGCTTCTTCCCAACGCTGAAGGGCAGCGAAGATGATGACCTGCGTGTAGTTGATGTGAATATCCCCGTCAGCTTTGCTGATATGCGCGATTATTGTTCGAAGCTAGGAGTCGCGATGTCCAATCTCTTCCAAGTTGCATGGGCGTTAGTACTCCGAGTATATACTGGCTCTGACAATGTCACCTTTGGATACCTGACGTCAGGACGAGACGTCGCTGTGCAGGGGGTCGAAGACATCGTCGGTGTCTTCATCAACATGCTAGTCTGCAGCATGGAACTAGCACCCTCCAGCACGGTGCAGTCTGCGTTAGAGACGGTCCAGAATGACTTCATTCAGGGTCTCCCGCACCAGCATATTTCGCTGGCTCAGATTCACCACGCTTTAGAGACACCCGGGTCACTCTTTAATACGATCATGTCAATCCAGCGACGGGGTCCAGCAAGTTCCAATTCTTCCCTCGTTCTGGAAGAGATCACCGGCGCAGACCCTACCGAAGTAAGTGTGGCTCCCTTAATAGCTATAGCTTTCACTAACATCCTACAGTACGATATTACAGTCAATGTAACTATTCACGAAGACCAGGCAGTTGCGAATCTCGGCTATCGGTCTTCGCTGCTCTCCTCCACACAGGCTGCAAATGTGGCATCGGCATTTGCCCAGGCACTGAAAGCTATTGTGGACCAGACACCAAGTGCAAACGTAGGAGAAATCTCCCTTTTCAGCGAACATCATCGGGAAACTGCGCTTAGCTGGAACACTGTGCTACCCGACGTGTTGAGTGCATGTGTCCATGACCTGGTAATGGACATGGTCCGTCTGAAACCAGACAGCGTCGCTCTACGGTCATGGGATCACAACGATCTCACTTATGACGCTCTCAACACTTTGTCCACCCGTTTAGCCCATCACCTCATACAGCTCGGTGTACGTCCCGGCACATTCGTGCCGCTGTGCTTTGAGAAGTCCGCTTGGGCTGTTGTTGCGATGCTCGCGGTGATGAAAGCAGGGGGCGCGTATGTCGCTGTGGCACCACTCCATGCTGCAGACCGGAAAGCCCATATCATCTCTGCCACGTCCGCAACGCTCATTCTCACCGGAGAGAAGCAGAGCAACATGTTCGATGGTATGGTTGAGACAGTCTTCCCCGTCACAGCTGAGACCGTCCAGCAGCTTGACCCTGTGTTCACCATCCCGCGCACAGAGGTTCGCTCCTCACATCCGGTCAGTCTGGTCTTCACCAGTGGCACGACAGGAACGCCGAAGGGCATCGTCGTCGAGCATGGCGCATTCGTCACCAGCTCCCACGCACACGCCAAGGCCCTTGGTGTGGGCAAGAACTCTGTTGTTGGTCAATTCTCCAGCTTTGTCTTTGATGTCAGTATGTCTGAGATCTGGATGACACTGATGCATGGTGGAACGGTCTGCATGCCGTCCGAGGACGAGCGCATGGGCGATCTGGCTGGGTTCATCAACCGGAACAAGGTCAATTGGATCTGCTTGACCCCAACTGTTGCAACTCTTCTACAGCCTGAGAGTGTGCCAATGCTCAAGACATTGGTCCTCACGGGCGAGCGTGCAGCCGCCCATAATTATCACGTGTGGTCCGAACGGGTGACACTCTTCAATGCCTATGGCCCGGCCGAGTGTGGTGTCTGGGCCTCGATTAACCGGGTTCAATCACCAGATACAGATGCATCGTCCATCGGAAAGCCAACCGATGCATCCCTGCTCTGGGTCGTGGATCCCCGTGACGCGTCTCAGCTTGTTCCACTTGGCGCAGTCGGCGAGCTGGTCATCGAGGGACCCCTGGTGTCTCGGGGATACTTGAATGATGACGAGAGAACCAGTGCGGTCTTCCTGGCAGATCCTGCATGGACAAAGGCCCTTGATCCGCCGTCCTCTTCTAATGGCACTAAGACGATCAGAAGAATGTACCGCACAGGTGACCTGGTTCGCTCCAGTGGTGACGGATCAATCACCTTGATCGGTCGTGTGGGAGGTGACACGCAAGTCAAGCTGCGGGGGCAGCGAATCGAGCTGGGTGAAATCGAGCACCAGATTCGATCTAGCCTGCCTACTATTCGGAATGCAATCGTCGAACAGGTGTCCGTCCAGGGAGATTCAATTGTCAAGACGCTTGTGGCTTTTATATCTCTAGCCGACGGTGTTGGAACGACGACCAAAGGCGCCACAGACAATCCCATGAAGGTGTCGTCTGATCTCAAGTCCAGCTTCCTACAGTTGGCAACCTTACTGTCCAAGTCTCTTGCATCATACATGGTCCCATCAATGTATATTCCAGTAACGCACATGCCGACATCATTGTCTGGCAAGGTGGACCGGAAGCAACTGCGAAAGCTGACTGATGGATTCACTCCCGCCCAAGTGGCCCACTACTCCCTCGCGGAGGAGGTGAAACAGGGTCCAACAACGGAGATGGAGAGAAAGCTGCAAGTCCTCTGGGCCAAGGTTCTCCACATCCCAGTTTCCTCCATTGGTGCCAACGATCACTTCTTCCGCCTCGGAGCCAATTCCATCAGCGCTATGCGTCTCGTCCCAATGGCGCGCGAAGCGGGCATTCTGCTGACCATTACGAACATCTTCCAATGCCCACAGCTAGATGAACTAGCCAAGGTGGCAGTCTTTGCAGGCAAGCAGGTGGTGAAGGACCTCAAGCCTTTCACCCTGATTAAGGGGACCGATGCCGTTGATGACCTGCTGAGCCTGCTAGAATCCCAGTATCACATCCCGAAAGAGACTGTCCAAGACGCGTTCCCTACGAGCCCATTGCAGGAAGGATTGTTCTCCTTGTCGGTCAGACACAGCGGCACCTACGTGGCTCAGAATGTGTTCAAGCTCCCTCCGCATCTGGACCTGAACCGATTCCGTCAAGCATGGCAGATTGTGGCGGACCGCAACTCCATCTTGCGGTCACGGATCGTTCATACTGGCCGCTGGGGATCATTATTGGTCGTCCTCAAAGAGGATCTGCTTTGGAATACGGCCAGCTCGCTGGAGCAATATCTGACAGAGGATCGCGAGGTGCCGATAGAGCACGGGAAGTCCCTCGCTCGGTACGCGATTGCCGGAGAATACTTCGTGTGGACTATCGCTCACTCCTTGTACGATGGATGGAGCAAATTCCTCCTCATGGAACAAGTACAGCAGGTCTATCAAGGAGTAAGCCTCGGTGCTCCTCCACCATCATTCAGTAACTTCGTCCAATATCTCACGGAGACAACGTCGGACGAGGCCCGGAGTTTCTGGACCTCCCAGTTGTCGGATAACGCCGTTTCCAGCTTCCTTCCGCTGCCGACGCCCTCCCATCAGCCGATCTCAGACGGACAGCTCAAACGCGAGATGGTTTTCACGCGATCATCGCAGACGGATTTCAAGACTTCGACCATGATCCGAGCTACCTGGGCGATCGTGCTAGCCCGCTATTGCAACGCGGACTCCGTCGTCTTCGGTGCCACTCTGACAGGACGCAATGCCGATGTCCCTGGCATTGCAGACATGACTGGCCCAACCATCACCACGGTGCCCATTCAAGCAAACATCCAACCCGGAAACTCTGTGTCGCAATTTCTAGGAGAGCTGTACGATCAGGAGATCTCCATGATTCCCTTTGAGCACACTGGCCTGCAAAACATCAAGCGATTTGGTCCGGCATGTGCCAGCGCCTGCGAGTTCCAGAGCTTGCTGATCGTCCATGTCAGTGACCGCAGTGATCCCAACACGCAAGCGGTTGACTCGGAGTTCTGGCAGCTGGCAGACGGCACAGCAACGGATACGAAATTCTTGACGTATCCATTGGCGCTCGAGTGCTTTATCAGCGCCGGCAAGGTCACGGTCGAGATGCAGTATGACCAGCAGATGGTGACCAAGGAGCAGGCGCAGCGCATTATCTATCACTTCGAGCATGTCCTCCATCAGGTCAATGCTGCATCAGATGGTGGCACGCTGGCTGAGGTGGACGTGTTCACCAAGCAAGACATGGCTGAGATCGTGGCGTGGAACCAGCCTGAAGGTCTCCCCAGAGATTATCATCACTGCGTACACAACGCTGTAGAGAGAGTCGTTGCCTCCAACCCGAAGGCCCTCGCTGTCAGCTCCTGGGATGAGAGCTTCACTTATGAGGAATTGGATAACTTGTCGACTCGACTCGCCCAGCATCTCCAGAGCATCGGCGTTGGCCCCGAGGTCCTCGTTCCCGTGTGCTTCTCCAAGTCCGCATGGGCAGTCGTCGCACAGCTGGGTGTTCTCAAAGCCGGTGGTGCGGTATACGCCATTGATCCCTCATTTCCGGTGAATCGCATTGCAGGCATCATTGGCGATGCGAAATCGACAGTCCTCCTGGCCGGTACCAACCATGTTGAGTACCTGACGGGAATTGTGCCCACGATCGTCAGTGTCGACGCATCTCTGTTCACATCCTTAGCCTCTGTAGAAACGTCTCTCGTATCCACCGTCCAGCCACACAACACGGCCTTCGTGGTGTTCACCAGCGGCTCAACCGGTACGCCCAAGGGTATTCTGCTCCCACATTCAGCGATCTGCGAGAGTCTGCGGTCCCATGGGGAGGTATTCCAAGTAGGGCCTCATTCACGTGTCATCCAGTTTGCCGCGTTCACCTTTGACATTTCCATCCATGACATCTTCACGACGCTGACCCACGGGGGTGTTATCTGCATGCCATCGGATCACGACCGGATGAACGACCTAACTGGGACCATGAACAAGATGACGGTCAATCACGCATGCCTGACTCCAACGGTATCCATGCTCTTGACAGATGTCCCATCCTTGAAGACATTGGCCTTGGTCGGCGAGATCACGACCCCTGAAGCCATCGACAAGTGGGTGGACCGCACGAAGCTGTTTGCGATGTATGGTCCCGCGGAAACCTCCATCTACTGTGCCTATCACCATGTCACAGAGCGATCGAACAATCCGACCAACTTTGGTCGTGCCATCGGAAGCAATATGTGGATTGTGGACCCTAACAACCATGACAAGCTGGCTCCGATCGGATGCGAGGGAGAAGTGGTGATCCAAGGCCCGTTACTGGCAAAGGGCTACCTGAACAACCCAGAGAAGACCGCCGATGTTTTCATCGAAAGTCCTGAGTGGTTGAGCTCCAAGTACTGTCCCCCCTGCTGGAGCACACGGATCTACAAGTCGGGAGATCTGGCCAAATACAACTCTGACGGCACGATGAGCTTCGTCATGAGAAAAGATACGCAGGTCAAGGTTCGTGGGCAGCGCGTGGAACTGGGCGACATCGAGCATCACTTCATGCAGCGAGCCCCAAGCTCGTGGCGAGTAGTGGTGGACTTGATCACCCCTGCTGGCCATGAGCGCGATCCTATCTTGGCTGCCTTCTTTTGCATCCAGACCCAAGACTCCCAGAGCATCTCAGAGACTGGAGTAGTGGCCATGAGCGATGAGGTACGATCCATTCTGCTGAAGGTGAAGAACGGAATGCAAGAAGCTCTGCCTTCGTACATGCAGCCCGGAACATTCATCTTAATAAGCTCCATTCCGATGACTCTCTCCACTAAGCTGGATCGACGGCGACTGCGTCAACTGGGAGCCGAGCTTACACTCGACCAACTCACATCCTTTTCTCTGCGGGATACAGCACAGCGGGCGCCGTCGACAGATATGGAGAAATCCCTGCAGAAGCTCTGGTCCGAGGTCTTGAATGTGCCGACGAGTCGAATCGGTGCCAGCGACCACTTCTTGCGACTGGGAGGAGACAGTATCATTGCCATTCGACTTGCTGGCGCCGCCAGAGACCGCGGTATTCATCTTCCCGTCTCGCATATTTTCCGAAACCCCAAACTGTCGGATATGAGTCTCGTTGCGACGGAACTCGTCGCGTCAAAGACACCCGATGTGTCCAGCGTTGCCTCCGTCAGCGAGGAGATGCAGAACGCGATCGCGTCTCAGACATCCATTTCCCCGGCCATGATTGAGAACGTGGTCGAGGCCAGTGACTACCAATCTTGGGCCATGGCAGCGGGCCACATGAAGCAGCGTGGCTATCTTAATTACTTTAGCTTCCGGTTCGACGGTCCGATTGATGCCGTGCAGTTAGAACAGGCGTGCCAAACCCTTGTTGCCCATCATCCAATCCTGCGAACGGTGTTTGTTGTCCATCGCCAGCGGACGTATCAGGTCATCCTCAAGCGTCTCGCGCTAGAGTTCAAGCAACACGACTGCGATCCAGAGGAATACGACAACGCCGAGTTTGATTCTGGGACATCCCGAGACCTGGTCGAGCAGGACATGGCACGCGATATGGACCTCGGCATGCCAATTTTGCGATTCAAGCTCTTGAAGTACGGTGAGGAGCAGCATCGGTTGGTGATGCGCATCTCTCACGCTCAGTACGATGGGATTGCCATGCCAACCCTCATGCGCGATCTAGAAGCAGCATATCTAGACGCTCCTCTCTCTCCTCCAGCGCCATTCTCCTCCTTCATCCGTCACACTCACGCCGCTAATGCTGCTGAGAGTGAAACCTTCTGGCGTGATCTCCTGCAGGGATCTCGCATGACCAACGTGCTGTCCCGTCCCATGCCCACCTACCGGAAACCAATCAACAAGTCCGTTTCAATCACAGTTCGCTCACCCTCCCTCAGTGCCCATGGGTTTACGTTTGCAACGGTCTTCAAGGCTGCGTGGGCATTGACTTTGTCCCGGCTGTCCAAGAGCCGAGACGTCACATTTGGCCATGTTATCTCAGGCCGCAACGATACTTCCATTCCTCAGGTCCAGAATATTGTCGGCCCGTGCGTCAACATCGTCCCTGTTCGGGTTCAGTTCCCTGATAGCTCGGACTGGAGCGGCATGGACCTCTTGAGCCATATCCAGAACCAGCACTTGTCTATGATTCCGCATGAGAACTACGGGTTCCGCCGCATCATCGAGACCTGCACCTCTTGGCCAAAGTGGGAGCGTTTCAGCTCGGTCATTCAGCACCAGAACCTCGATGATGAGGTCGAGGAACTCTCTTTTGGCGATGCTGACTGCTCCATCGAGTGGTTCGCGCCGCCGCATGACCTTGCTGACCTGTGGATCTGGTCGTTCCCGGCTGGACGCAATTACTACCGTCTTGAGCTGACTTATAGCGAGGATGCTCTCTCAGAAGATGTGGCAGATGCCTTGTTGCGCGCCTTGGGCGACACGGTGGAGAAACTGTCCAAGAGTTTACGTGCGAAGGTTGGTTCAATCAGTAGCAATAAATGCTCCCTGAGTCTTCCACTCGCCAGTGCTACTGATACGTCCTCCTCACTACCCGATACTGAGGTGACTGGCGAGGAATCCAATGCCATCGTCGAAGAGGTGTGGACTACCGCATTCGGCGAGCTCTCAGCTCAGGATGGATCTATTGACACGCCATACTATCAGATCTGGGGTGATTCGATGGCCCCAGTGCAAATCTCATCCTTGTTCAACCGGCATGGCGTCAATCTGACGGTCGACGACATTGTGGAGCATCCGACGATGCGTTTACAAATGCAGCTTATCAAGACCAAGGCGTAGGTGTATGTTAGGTGTTGCGAGTCTGTTGTGTGTTTGTTGCAAATTTTTTTTGTTTCATTTTTTCCTTGTGCTTTTTTGAGGAAATATAATGAAAGAAGATGTTTTAAACGTGATGATCACGTCTATGCTTTCTATCTACGGTATCCGCTCAGGAGACGGGCAGCCTACTGCCGCTGGCTACCGCCTTCGGCATAACTGCCTGCCTGCCACAGCTAGACATATAATTATATACTATGTATATATTCTACTCCGTACACAGTATATTCTATAGATATAGGTAAATAAACATCCCTACTGTATTACCTCTCGATTCCTTATATTTAATGAATTCTCGTTCTCTCTGGTTCTCCCCATCACCAGATAGCTAGCAAAAGGGGTATGTCTATAGAGCCCCTAGGGTGCCTCACAAATGGCAGTGTCATCTAAGCATACTTGATATCCCATCTGAATAGCTTCGCATATCAAATTAGAAAACGTACCCTTTTGATCTTCCTTCCTTCCCCAACATTCATCTCACAACTTGCATTGTCTATCGTGTCGTACTATCAAGCTGTGGCGTGATATACTACAGTAGATACAAATATCTTAGTATTGTCACTACCCAACCAAGAACCTAGACCGGATCCCCCAGCCCCAGCACATCACCGTGGAAGATCGTCAAGTAACCCATCTCACCCAGCCAAAATACAAGCTGAGAATCCTGCAGAATCCAATATCGACACGGTAGTGGACACTACTGGACAGTCGTCAGTAAGTAGTACATAACATGGCACCTCAAATCTCAATACCCCAAAAAGTCCACAGACCACAGTCCATACCCCATACACATCCGTTCCTGAAGGATGCCCTCTGGCCTTGAAGCTTACGCTAAGCTATCTCGGCGCCCGCCTAGGACCAACTAGACATCTAATAATCTGACGCATCATCTCCAAGCGCACGAGGAGGAGGATGGAGCAGGAGAGTCAGTCCGTCAATCAGTCAGCAAGAATCCGTGGGGCAAATATGACTGAAACTAACGGTGTGTCTGCACTCTGCAGTGTTGCGCTCCGCCGCTGCAGGAAGTACTATGTAGTATCTATCGACTGTATGGAACTATCTGCCGTGTCTACACTGTACAGAGTAGTGAGTACCTACCCTACCCCTCTCCGGGATCCGGTTGATACGCGCTGCGGCTGATCGATATGGCTGCATTTTATTAGAAACTAGCAGGAGATAGTTCTGCTATATTTGGGAACGTTGGATGTGCTTGAGGATTTGCATATCCCACGGAGTGCGGAGTGCCTGCTAAGAAGGGGAGTTTGTACTTGATAGCGTGCACAAAGGTACCTGGGAAGGTATTGTGTGTATCTACTCCATACATAGGTACACTGTGTAGAGTATAGTAGGTATAGACAGAGTGAGATTCCATTCGATTAGGGGGCCAAAGTGCGGCTGGACTCGAGGAAAAGCAGCTACAGAGGAAAATGACCTGATCAACGTAGTACGGTACACGGTTGGTATGATCCCGTCTTTCAGGTGTAATGTTACAGAAGAAGTGGGGAATATGAGCTGGCTGATATCGAATCTTCGACTTCATGAGCCAATCGCTCTGCAGTGCCAAGAGTCGTGTTCTCCACCGCTAGGTCTGGACAAAGTCTGTTTTATTACGGGGAATTGTTTGGACGGTGTACTATGTACGGCCGTAAGCTCGACGAGGCGGAGGGAGATCCAAGTTTACCTGGTGGCTGAGGAGCAGATGATGCCTCTGGCGATAACAATAACAGACTCAGGATATAGGTATATATATATTTATATATAAATCATGTTCTTCCATTTCTTTCTGCTGACGGAGTATACTCTAAGATACAAAGTGCCTCGAAGCATAACTAGGTACGGAGTACTACCTATGCTTATCAACCGGCCGAAGTTCTGTCGACCTATGAGAGTGTGTCGTACGGTCAGATACGGGTACCGGGGGAAGGTAAGGTATGGTACGAGAGCACAGGGTGAGAACGGGTACTGCCAGGCCGGCCTCACACGTGACTGACCGCCTGCCTGTCCCAACCGGCACTTTGCCTTCTTCGACTCTCCTCCCGATTTTCTTTCCTTCTCCCCAAACCCTGCGAAGCAAACGCGTTACTCGATTTGGTCATCCTTCCCCCCCTCAAAAGCATCATTCCTCTTTGGGCATTCGTGTTCATCACCCCAGGCTTCGTCGGTGACTTGCCTCTCAACTCGATCAATCTTTTTTTCGTGTCTTTTTATCGCCCGTTTTCCGATTCATCATGGCCGACATCACTGCCGTCGGTGAGGAGAACCCTTCTCCTACCCAGGACGACCTGCAGCAGGCCGCCGGCAACGGCGCCGCTGACAACCGCGGTCCCAAGCGCAATCGAATGAGCGCCGACGACGACGACGATGACGATGATAAGCCCGGTCGCGAGCGCAGAAAGATTGAGATCAAGTTCATCCAGGATAAGTCGCGTCGCCACATCACCTTCTCCAAGCGGAAGGCAGGTATCATGAAAAAGGTGCGTGCTGTGCTTTCGCGTCTCCCTCCTCGGGCGGATTTCTTCTATGCCTCGAGCTTGTCTTTTCTTTGAGCTTGACTTGTTCGCACCGCTTCCCTTCTGTTGGTGAATGCCAACATCCCCGAATCGATGCTGATGGTGCAATGCGGTCGCAAAATAGGCATATGAGCTTTCCGTCCTCACTGGTACTCAAGTATTGTTGCTGGTCGTGTCCGAGACTGGCCTGGTCTACACCTTCACCACACCGAAGCTCCAACCATTGGTGACTAAGGCCGAGGGCAAGAACCTCATTCAGGTTAGTATATCACGATTGCATCTCGTCGCCCAATCAGCATCACTGACCTTCGTCCTCATAGGCCTGCCTAAACGCCCCCGATCCGACCACCAACGAGAATGGCGTCGAGGCTCCTGAAGTACCAGCCGAGACACCCGAGGATGTGAGCCACACCAATGTCCAGGCTCAACAGTCGAATATGCCTCGCCCTGGAGGCATGCACCCTGGCTACATGACAAGTGAACAGCAGCAGCAGATGGCCTATTATCAGAATCTGCAGCAGCAACAACAACAGGCGGGTGGGCAGTACCCTGGTATGCCTGTGGGCAATCGAATACCCCCTCAGCATCAGCCCACCGCATAGGTGGCCGCGCCTTTCTCATCTGCTACAGGGCTATTCGATAGTTCGTGTTTTGCCTTCTAATCGACTGCAACATATGTAACTCCGCTCTTCCCTGCCCTACTTGATACCCGTCGATTCTTGATATAATGAGAGTCGCATCTTGAAGCATTGTCGTCCGTGTGCAAGAAACATGGACGGCATTACCAACACCAAAACGAGAGAGTTAATCAGACGAAACGAGCAAAAAAAAAGGTATCTCAAGTTACTATAAAGGATGCGAGTACTCCAATCTGGGCCTTGGAGCTGTTATTATCTTTTCCCGTTCATCATCTCCTAATCATCTCCTAGACGACGGTGGAGGTGGCGGTGTTCCTGGTGCTTTTTTCCCTTATCATTCGATTCATTCGATTCATTTTCCCGTTGGCGAAGTGGTTGTTTCAGCTATTTCTCGTTTCTTCTTCTATCTTTTCTATTTCTATAATGTGCGTCTCTTGCCTTGATTAATCATCTCTTACGATTCATTTGATTTCCCCTTTGCGTTGTGCGCGTTGTCCTCCCCATTCTATTTCCTCGCTGGCTATCTGGACTATCGACTTTTGGTCTCTGGCAGCAAGGGTGGCCCAGAAGCAAGAACGAGGGACCCGAGGGACGAGTACCAAACTGACCTCAATCTGACTGAAGTAAATGATATGTTATGGATCGGTTGTCTTGTTTTTTTTTATTATTCGGTAGGAAGTATGTTATGTATGGTATGGAGAAAATTGGAGCCCAGTCTTTCTCTTTCGCTGATTCCGTTGCCTGCTTTTTGTGTCCTTGCCCTTCTTTGATGTATCCTAATCCGAACTACTAAAGTACTCAAAGTCTCAAGTACTACGGAGTATATAACCACGTTTTCTCCGATATTCATACATGACACGGACGTATATTTGTGTTCCGGGATGATTCAAATAGTCCAACAGGGTGTTTGGACAAGGCCACTGGTACCTTGGTACATTGGGATCGATAGGGTCTCATTCAGTAGATTCAAAATGTAGATTTATCCTTGGTGAGTATGGAGTATCAAGCATGGTTGTTACCATGTAGTTGGGTATTGTACATATAGAAATAGCCAAATGGGCAGGTCGATTCAATGAAATAGGAAACAATGTCTAAGACACTATGCCCAGCCCCCAAATACACCCAGCTGCCGGGGCTATTCCCCCGACCGGTTTTCACCTCGCGGAGAGTCTAGTAGAGGCTCGTGCGATTCAGTCTGCGCACGCTGGCCTGTCCAGCGGGAGAGATAGCGCAAGCCACTCCGCCAGGCCTGCGCGAGGGAGCTTCTTGAACCGGCAAGAAGTCCTGCGCTGGATGCGTGGGAAGAAAGCTGGAGCGGCTCTCGACGGCTTCCTGATGCTGAAAAAAGCTGGTCGGAGCGGTCGTCCTGGGTGCCATAGCCTGTTGGCCGGTCCGGGCTGGTGCCTGGGGGCGGGCCGAAGTATGTGCGTCGTTTCTGGAGGGATCGGCGGCCGTCTGGCCCCGGGATTGATGTTCTCCGACGATGGGTTCCCGTGTACGGTAGGCGAGAGATTCGGTGCGGGCTCCAGGTGTGTTGGCCCACGGTGCCGATGGTGGAGTGTCTCTGGCCGCGCAGAATACTGTCTCTCAGAGTGCTGCCTCGGGCACGGTGTTGTGCTAGGGATCGAGGGTTGATGCCGGCGTATTCATATTCCGAGTCGTCAAGCTCGGCCCAGATAGAGGCTGGGTCCATGTCCGCTGCGGAATTTGGTGGGGGTATTGATGAGAACAATGGGAGACTGGGCGTGCGCCGATGCGGGGATCCGCGCGGTGGATGTCGTGTCTGCTGCAACAAAGGTTGCCGCTCTCCAATCTGCGATTCTTCGTCTTCTGCACTCAGGTCTCGGGGAGAACGCAGGTGTTCCCCGAGGACAGCCATTCTGGGCCCCAGACCAGTCTGAGAGGGACCGCCGACCGTCACGGATGCGTGACTATCAATCACTTCTAACCGCCAAGAGAGACAGAGCACGCCACTCAAAAGGATCACAGTTCCCAGAGCAACAAGTCCAGCATGGAAACCCGCCAGCCGAGACAATTGGCAAAAGTAGATTAGACCGTCAAGAATAGCAATGATGTTATAGATGCAGAACACGAAAGGATAGAGGATGCTGGTGCTGCATAGCTTCAGGCCGCGATGCAGGTAGTATAGCTGTGTGAGGGCGAGGAATATCATTGCGAGAAGGATCACCCACGATTGCCACCGGTTGAACTGGTTGACACGATCCACAATCGTTCGAACAAGGAGCTCGACTGCCGATTTGGCCAAAAGGAGGGAATGAGCCGACAATATACCACTGACTAGACCGTAGCACAGACCCTGTATGAGTCTGGCACGGCTCTGGGCCACTGCGACATGAGGCACATAGTGCCGGAGGACACGCGGATGCCTAGACCGATAAGGAGACGTAATTATCTTGAACAGTTTCGAAGAAACCAAGATGGCTAGCACGACGATGGCCGTCCCCACCATCCAGATAATGAAATTGCGGCGCTGAAGGAGCTCTATTAATTGATCCAAAGAATGCGCCGGCTCCCCAATAGCACCAAAGATCGCTATGAGTATTGCGCCGATACACACGAGGATTGTGCCGATAAAGGAATACCGAGTGAACGCTTCACCGAGGATCAAGGTAGCGAATATCGTGTTGAACACCAATCCCGACTACCATTTGTCTTAGTATAATCCGCCTGCCTATCTCGCAAGGAAGAAGAGTACTAACTGCTTGAAGGGTCGAGAGCACTGGCAATGGAAGAGTAGTGATTTGGATCGTACTCCCGACGATGTTCGACACAACGAACATGAGCATTCCCAGCTGAAGAGGACGTCAGCTCTCCCCCCATGGATCCTAATATGACTTCATCTACATACCTGCCATCTTCGACGTTTGTAGGGTGGTCTTCGTAAATCGTAGGGATGTTTCTCGTCCTCGAGTATATGTGATTTGCGCTGCAGGGTCAACCCGATGGCTTGCAGACTGGTCGAGATCAACCCGACTATTACCCCGACCTGTTGATCATACTGCAATCAGTAAAGCAATCTTCAGCTATTGCGTAGGATGGACATACCGCAACGCTACCCTGGGGTGACAGGTCACCAAGATTTCCCATCGTCGGGTATCCTGATGCATTGGTCGCCAAGCGGGGGAGAAACGAGAGTGACAGGGCATGAGATATGACGTTCAAAAGCGATTATCCGAGTACAGGTGCCATGTTCGTTCGAAGATATCTCGAATTTCCTTTTTGAAGAGCAGTGTAAATAAATGTTGAGATAAGGAGTGGATGATAGAGGTCCGAATTATTATTATAATCGAGAGATGCTGGGCTTCTGACTGACCTCATGCCGCGCGCGGGCGGGAAGAACAAAAGACGAGTCAGTCAGTCAGCAGATCCTCCGCTTCTGCCAGTGCAACAGAACATCACCTCCGTCCACCTGCTCTACTGCATCGGCTTCACGCCTGTTTCGCCTGACATCGTACCAGGGGTAGCATTCCTCAGAAAGGTGAGCATGGTTCTTGAACTATTTCTCCTCGTCTCCAAGGATAGCTTGTCCCTTTGTGGGACCTTATCGATGCCAATGCTGACCCTGGCTCCTTGGTCCCCCATCTTCCAGCACGCAGCACTCCGCATCGCGAAGCTCAAACTCCCCACGTTGAAACGTTGCTACAATCACAGTCACCCCCAACCTCAAGATCAACACTCCGATACCAGGCTATAAAGATGTCGCAAAGCCACGCCCTCTCCGATGACCAGGTACGCTCTGTTTCCGATCATAATTTCCGTTCTCTCGAGCTCATCCATGCTACGAACAGGTCGCGGGCGAGCTCCGCAAGATGACGGCCTTCATCCGGCAAGAAGCGCTGGAGAAGGCCCGTGAAATCCAGCTCAAGGCCGACGAGGAATTCGCGATCGAAAAGTCCAAGCTTGTTCGCCAGGAGACCGCCGCCATCGACTCGCTCTACGAGAAGAAGTTCAAGCAGGCTGCCATGTCCCAACAGATTACCCGCTCCACCCTTGCGAACCGCACCCGTCTTCGTGTGCTCTCTGCCCGCCAGGAACTTCTTAACGACCTCTTCCAACAAGCCCGAGACAAGATTTCCGAGGTTGCGTCCAAAGATGAGAAGAGCTACCAGAATGTGCTCAAGGGGCTGGTCCTCGAGGGCATGTACGCTCTGAATGAGGATAAGGTCGCTATCCAGGCGAGAAAGAAGGATCTCGATGCCGCTAAAAATGCGATCGAGGAGGCGCAAAAGGAATTCAAGGACAAAGTTGGCAGGGACGCAACAGCGGAGCTGGATGAGGCTGATCCGCTGCCTGAGGGATCGTAAGCCTTCTCGTCTTCTCCTTTTCCTCTACCCTTGACAAGGAATCTCTCTAATACGTCTTCATTAGTGCCGGCGGTGTGGTCATTATCGGTGGCCAGGGTAAGATCGAGATCAACAACACTTTCGAGGAACGTCTCCGGCTGCTCGAGATCGACGCCTTGCCCGCGGTCAGGGAAACGCTATTCGGAAAGAACGTAAACCGGAAGTTCTACGATTAGGAAAGATACGAGTCTCTTGCTTTCCAGGTGCTGCGTGGTGAACTTTTCGCCCATATCTGTGCCTGTTCGTATTACCCTCAATTTGTCCTCCATCTCGCTCTCGCCTTTTGTCATTTGCAATCAGCATAGCTTTTGTACACAGTTCCTTAGTCTTCGTGCTTCTATCTTTTACACGCTTAGTCAGGTAAGCGATGATATATATACTGTTCTGGAAATAGACATGCGGGAGGTGTTAAATCTAAACAGGGTGGTATAAAGATCATCATGGTCGTTATCATATCAGGAGTATGTCTCTTCCTTGTAGGTGTAGTATCAAATGGCAAGGTATGCAGACAGAGAAACTGTTGTCTTCTCGGCGCCAAAGATCGATGTAAACTTGAATAGGGGTTGTTTCTTATCGCATAGTCGATATTGAATCATTGTCCCGCATCCAATACGTGTGCAAATATCGTCTGATGGATGACATGATCATGGAAGATGTTCATGAGTTCGGATAGGAATATCGGTGTCTTTTGTATCATGCTCGCCCCTTTTTTTGATGTAGTTCAAGCGGGTCTGCTGGTGACCTTGTTTATCGACGAATTCTCCAAATAGCATTTTCTTTGGAGGCGGCCTCGACCTGACAGAGTACACGATACGGTAGTGCAACATCTCGAGGGCCTCCTTGGCCAAAGTTCGCTTTAAATGGGATGCGCCCGAGTCTGCGATAGAGACGAATATCTTTGTGATCCGACTGTCAAGCCTGTCAACCTCGGAATTGAATTCCTTCTCGGCATCTTTGGTTGGGAACGACATCCCAGACCATCCAGAATCAATGACAATGTTGAGAAGTGTCGTGATTGCATTGAGTTCGCTATAGTCATATTCAGGGTGCCCTTTTCCTCTATATCGCTTGGTATTGAATTTTTGATCCCGAAGTAGGTCGATGACCCTTCTCAGGTCTCTCAGCACGTCCGATGTTTCCGTGAGAGATCGAGGGTCATTGATCAAGAATGCCAGAGCCAGGCGATGTCTCAACGCAGCCATCCACTCTGACGTCGGCAGTATGTGTCTCAGAAGGCGACCCTGAAATACTGGGTCTTTGAATGTGTTGTATACCATTATGCAGACACGATGCATCTGAGTTCCTGTTAGTCGAAGTCCTTACGACGCAACAGCTGATAATCTTACCAAGTCGTCAGCAGTATCGTCAGGAACACTCTCCAGTGTGGCTGTGATAGTCCTCTCCAACTCCGAGCAAACAGTAGCATTGCTAGTGAGAGAGATATCGAGGGCAAGACGGAAGAGGACATTCAAAATACGTTCACGGGTATCATCAGCAAATCTAACACAAGTATTAGCGGCCAAGGTAATTGCATCCCAAGGGATCTTGATTTACAATTCTGTAGCTCCACGAAGTAATTCCAAGACAGATAGCAGGCACGCTCGATGCTGTGGTGTTTCGCGAGAATGACTGTCTGTGAGTTATTAGAATACCCAGAAATTATAGAATTTCTGCTGTGATTCTCACCTTGGGGAGCTGGTTCTGGTAAAGCTGATTCAGAAATAGCTAGTGCTTTGGGTTTGGCGCCCAAGCGCTGAAAAAGACTATCAATATCATCTGGTCGTATGAGAAACCTGACGCGATCAGCAGTAGCATACTAGAAAGGTATTAGCTGATTATTTCAGGTAAACTTCGCTACCCTGCATGACCTTACGGACCTTGAAGACCCTGCAATATGCCTGCCTCAGGCTTTCTCGAGGTTCAGAGGGGACTAAAGAAGAGTGAGCGTTTGACTCAGTTCATCGAAATGAGAACGCTGACCAGAGTGAAAAATCCAAGATACTAGATCATCAGGTAGATAAGCTCTGGAAAGAGCAAATTCAAGAACACCGGAATTAAAGGCTCGCTCCCTGGATTCAGGTTCTGTGCGTTGGTCAAAATACTGTGGTTGAATCCAGCGAACAAGCATAACAACCAACCTCGCAGTACGGCCAAGTAGGTTCCAGGGGCTATAGAGTCTCGGGGGAATTCCAAGACAGGCATAGATTTGGTTTCATGGTCGAAGAATGACCAGAATTTCTCCAGTTCGAAAGCTTCTGTCCTTCTGACTGCATCAAGGAGACGTTGTAGGCCAAGCTCATCGTCTTTGTCCCCAAGTGCTGAGGTCAAAACTCCTTCATCCACCTTCTTGTTTTGAGCGACATCGGATCTCGATCCATCTGCGTTTTTGCGTGTGGCCTTTATTCTCGTAATGACAGCCTCGGTCTCCTTATCATCAACCGCCTGGGTAACGAGGTCGTCGAGCGAAAATTTATAGTGCGTGACAGAGGATTTTGGAGGCTTGGAGTAGGACCATTTTTGTGTATCTGTGTCTTTGGAACTTTGTGAACGTAATGACATCCCTGAATCATTGATATCCTTCTCATCCTCTTTCGTTTGTTTGGCAGCCGCTGCACCGGGTTTCAGAAATTGCAGGAAAGGATCCTCGGGGAGTTCGAAAGACGCCACTGAGTCGGTATCTTCTCCATCTGAGCTAATGACAACTTCCTTGCCATTCTTGACAACACGCTGAGACTGATTGAAGCTTGCTCCCGGTGATGGGTCACCCGCACTGCTTTGGAAGCTCTGTTGGAAAGTTGGATTCGAAGAGTTGTCTTGGACTGAGAGTAGCAACGATTGAGTCAATTGGGAGGCTGAATCATCTAGAGTCTGTGGAGAGTCACTGTTCACTAAGGATGATGATGGAGGTTCGGTGAGAGGTGACGACAATTGCGGTGCAACAGTGGGGGTTGCGCTTGTCTTGTCGGCGCGGGTTTCTTGATCTGTCAAGGCGAAATGCGGCCGCTTGAAGAAATCCGAAATCCTGCGCGACTGAGACATATCTAACGGTCTTCAACGGACGTCGCCTTGATGCTGATTGCTGAGGCCTGACAGGCAAGCAATTGTGTCTAGCTTATCTTCTTCTCCACATCCACGCCCGACACGTACTGAGCGCGCGCTGCCATCACGAAATCACATGATGCTGAGTCATCCGTATCAGTGATAGCATTTAAAGATTTACCTACACAGTATAGATCACTTGTACATCAATTGCTTCACCCTGTCCCTGACGCTGCAGAACTCGTCAGTGCTCAGCTATGCGACACGTTCGAGGCCTATGTACTCTCTACACTGACGCAGTGATAGTCTGAATCGCAATTGGAGATGTACTTATAGTCATGCTTACATTAGAGAAATGAGACTGTTGTGGGACACAGTGGCTTAGGTGCTGTGATACTTGACGCTGTACAGTAAGAGCCTCTCTTCAGAATCCAGCCATGCATTTTCATAGTGACATATCCGTGCTCTGTTACTTGTAGATTCCAGTTTGTATGTATGACTATCAAGGGAAGTATCATTGGCCCCCATAGAACAGGAATGGGGGTTGCAGAATCTGTACTCTTTTTAGCACCCAACTCTCAAGTCTCCCTTACACTGGGCGAATATTATTGGGTAAAAAAGTGATAGCATCTCAGTGACAGTCCAGAGTGATACTAGGATATATAATCTAAATCATCTGGTAGAAGTATGTGCTTAGTGATGATGGACATCGGTCACCGCAAGCATATATATGTTTCCGCTTGGAGATGCAACAGGTCAGTTGCTGTGAACTCGGCATGAGACTACAACCATATAAGAGATGACCATACATGCAAGAAAGAGCAACTGTAGGATTGAGCAGGGAGTCATCTAGAGACCAGACTCAGAGACCCCTTGAGGCAACCCAAGACCAGTCCGTAGGCTCCTGAGCACTGTCTTGTCAATCATGATCTTCCGAATTCCATTCAAAGTATTTCACCAATTCCAGGGGTTAGAGGTGTAGATCTGGCTCGGACGGTCGGACGGTCGGACCAGCAGAAACGTAAAAGTTTCTAGCTATTTTGCTTTGGTCCCCACTGGAGTTTATAGTTGGTCTGATTGACGCCAACCCGTCATACTAGTACTGCTATCAGTGCTCGTTTCCTTTGGCGCCATTTAGGCTTCTCCATAAGAACTCCACCGCTGACACGGTGAAACTCAAAGTAACGGAAACATGTGCGAAAACTTACACGAAGAAGACTGATCATGGAAGCAAGCAGGGAAGAAACAGATCAATCGTCAATTCTGCTTATATTTGATCAAGGACCTCGATGTTAGTAGATGCTGTACCTGCGGCTTCGGCTAAGATACTTACAGACTAGGTATCCTGTGCTTACTGCTTAGTACACGTTAATATGATGGTACGGTGAAATCTTTACTAATTATACTCTGTAGTTCAACTATGATCACTGATTTTACCCTTTATGGCATGGGAGCAACATGCCCCGTTTTACTGATGCACAACCAGATTATTATTGGAGAGTCATATGCTTTGCAAATGGACAGAGATTAGAACCTTGAGACTTAGAATTTAAGAACACCATCTAGATACAAGACTACGACAAACAGAGGGCTTGATGATCACCCAGGACCTTGTCCCAAAAAGGGAAAACAGCGAAATGCGGCGACACGCAATACGGGAGCCACACCCTGGGCTATCCTACTCCGTATGGTCCTATGTTCCTACCAAGCGAATCGGCGGCTCTATCTTGAGATAATTTCCAGCGAGACCTGCGGCCAAGACTTAAAAAGGAGAAGAAGGGTGTGGAAGCGAGCCGATGGGATGTTCATATTGAATTTTTCGAGGGTTGTAGATAGTGTATCTAGTTGGCTTTGTCATTAGAGAAAAAGTGTAAGCTGACAAGGGTTATGAACTTATGTCAGACCTTTTTCAGAAAACGGACTAGAATCCAGATCCTATCTACAGTTTAATCGAATCTTATGCACGGTGGACTGTTCTCGATCTTTTTTTTTTGTCGCAACTAAAATGTGAGAACTGAGAAGTACTCCGTAGAGCTGTGCAATTGTGCTTGTGCTAACTGCTAACAATAATGCCAGAATGCCCATGATAGAATGTGGACCAGATGCTCTGAGCATGTGCCGTCCCGATTATTTTAGCCTGTTTCAAACTCCATACTCCGAAGGGGGCCCCCCTCTCCGAGACTCTCAGTCCCAGATTCAGACTTGTCAATGGCAGCCTGCTAAGGTGCGTTTAATCTATATAAGCGCTAAATAAAAATAACACGGGGCAGCACGACTGTGGCCGAAACAAAATTACATACTCTTTGATTACGGAGTACTTGTATCCCCTCGATAGTCAGTTAGATACCACCGACTTCTCCTGTCAAAGATTGATGGACTATCCAGATACCCACAATCGCAAAGTAAAAAGGCGAAAAAGCAATGATTTCTTCCTACGGAAAACTCGGTTTTCTAATCCGTATTCCGAATATATAATATAATGACATACCTGCATGCCGCATATTCCGTCCCATGCCTCAGCAACACCCAAATTCAAGACAAGTGCAGATAGTATCTATCTTCTATCTAGGTCATATGAAATCTTAATTGATTGAGGGAATTTGTCCAGATCTGAATAGATGCGAGGTAGAATCTGCCCGGACTAAATCTGGCGAAGTCGTGAAACCCGGTGCGCGTTGCTGGGATACTATCAGACTCGAGGATGCGGTATTCATGATTCATTACTGATTATCAAACACATTTAAAGAATTCGCCTCCTCGGATGTCGGGATAAGTGTCTAGTACCATGTTTATCACTGCCACCAGCGCAGAAGAATTTTTTTGACGTGAACCAGACAAATATCACTGACAGTCGGCGGCGAGGCTGGTAAGATCCCAAGGCGACCTATGCGGGCGTGTATACTAGGTTTGGAATTCAGGTCGGAGGTATGCAATTACAATACATGTAATAATGCTGCACATCATCAATGAATGGAACATCTTAACGCAGGGACATACTTCAGATGGAGTCGGATATGGAGAAGGGGTTCGATCGCATTATTATCGCAAAGCAGACAGTAGGTAACCTTATGTTAGTACTACGTAATTTGCAAAGCGAGGAGGAAGAATTCGACTGCAGATTCGTGACCTCGAGCCCGAGACGGCTGCATTGATACCTATCTGGCATCATCCCCCTCATGGCATTGGATGTATTATTATGGCAATCTCGCGCAGGAACTGGCTAACATAGATTATATACGCCGTCGCCGTGAAAAAGGCGTGAAAACTGAAAAGAGATTTGCTTAATTTACCATAACGCTGACAAAGCAGCTATGCCCAGCCCTGCGTTCCGCCAAAATGCTCGAACTATGCATGTATCACCAGCGTATTACCATACACTGCCCCGTCTCCCGAAGGAGGGATAATCGGCTACCTAGTAGTGTACCCCGAAAAGCGCTGGCCTTCTACCTTTGTATCTTACCAATCTGATTACTATTCTCTCCTCAGAACATTGGTCCTTTTACTGATTGTTCTGCCATCTTTTGCTGCCTCATACTGACCATCTTTTCTGCATCGTTCCTGTCCTTCATACTCTTTGATGGCCGATCGCCGTCCTTGATACCCGCCTCCCTTGAACCCCCCTCCTCCCTCCTGGCCCTGCCTGTCTGCTTGTCTGCTTACTGCTATCCAATCCTCGTGTTTAGGGTCTTCATTCCCTTGCAACCTTCCGCCTCATCGTGACGTGCCTCAGCGAATTCGCAAGTAGCTTCGCCCGCTCTCAAGCTTGCATCTAGTCGAATCTGATCGCTGTGCATCCTGGTACTTCGTGCGAGGAGGAAGAACAAAAGGGATCTGTGGATTGGTGACGCTCTCGAGGTCCGGCTCATTGGAGCGGATGCTCTCCCTCCGCCATCCTACAACAACACGGTCAAGCGATTTATGCCCCTTTCGAAGGGCAAGAACCCTGCCTAGATGGCTTCAGATTATTTGAGTCCAGACTCTATTGAAGCTGGGAATGAGGTTCGGGAAGTTAGCAGCAATGTGTCGAAACCAACAAAACGTCAGCGATGGGCGACGCAACGGGCTGCTGGCGCCGGAGGCGTGCGGAAACGTGTCTCGATCATGGATCGCTTTCATAAACGTTCCGAGTTGAGAAACGAGAAGCGACACAGTAACTTACCGACCGCTGAGCAGCCGAATGCCCAAGGCGACCAAGACAACCAAAGCGATCAAGGCGCCAGTACTCGACGGGTTTACTTTAACATTCCGATACCTGAATCCGAACGAGACGAAGATGGCCAAATCAAAGCCTCGTATCCCCGAAACAAGATTCGGACTGCGAAGTATACCCCTTTGTCGTTTATCCCGAAGAATATCTGGTTTCAATTCCACAATATCGCCAACATCTACTTCCTTTTCATCATCATTCTTGGCGTATGTTCCTTTCTTTGGTCCCAAAATTGGTACAGCTCAAATGTTTATCAAGCTAATATTCTGTCTGTAGTTCTTCTCTATCTTCGGTGTAGACACACCCGCGCTCAACACAGTACCCTTGATCTTCATTGTCGTCGTGACCGCAATCAAAGACGCCATCGAAGATTGGCGGCGCACGATATTGGATAACGAACTGAACAATACCCCAGTATACCGTCTCGTCGACTGGAACAATGTGAACTCGACCGAGGATAAAATCTCGATGTGGCGTCGCTTCAAGAAAGCATGCACGCGCGCCACCATATCCACATACAGGGGGATGAAGCGTCTGGTGCAGAAGAATAAGGATTTGCCGCAACTGGTTGAAGATGAACGGCGCATATCGATCATGACGACTGCCACACCACGTGCGTCTATGTATTCCCATAGAGGCGATAATGGCATGGAGGAGGATGCGATCCAGATGACACCCGTACCATCACCATCTCCCGAGGCGCGGCCGAACTGGCCACTACCTGCCCCGGAGGAAGATCAATATCCCCATCCAGCTAAGGCAGCTCGTAATAGCGCCCAGGAGCCAGTGTCGTCTGCGACACCGCCGCGAAAGGGTGGCAGCGTGGTGGACATGTCCAAGCAAGCACTTGGCAAGGCTCGGTTCAAGCGCGATTATTGGAAGAATATTCAGGTTGGAGACTTCGTTCGACTGTACAATGGTGACCCTATCCCGGCCGATATCGTGGTGCTTTCAACTTCCGATCCGGATGGCGCTTGTTACGTGGAGACCAAAAATTTGGATGGGGAGACGAATCTCAAGGTTCGCCAAGCCCTGAATTGTGGTCGCCAGGTTAGGCATGCAAGAGATTGTGAGAAGGCGGAATTTCTCATCGATAGTGAGGCTCCGCACCCCAATCTCTACGCTTATAATGGTGCACTCCGTTGGGATCAACGCGATCCTGAATATCCTGATGCTCCAAGGAGAGAGATGGTGGAGCCTATTACTATCGGTAATGTGCTCTTGCGTGGTTGCTATCTGCGCAATACTGAGTGGGCGCTCGGTGTTGTCATTTTCACCGGTGACGAGACCAAAATTATGCTCAACTCGGGTGCGACGCCCACTAAGAGAGCCCAACTCGCCAAGGACATGAATTGGAACGTCATCTACAACTTCATGATCTTGTTCGTCATGTGCTTCATCTCGGGAGTTGTCAATGGTGTTGCCTGGGGTTCAAACGACAGATCTCTCAATTACTTCGACTTCGGTTCTTATGGAAGTACCCCGGCAGTCACTGGCATTATCACTTTCTGGGTAGCTCTCATCCTGTTCCAGAACTTGGTTCCAATCTCCCTATACATTTCCCTGGAAATTGTTCGCACAATACAGGCCATATTCATTCACAGTGACGTCTTCATGTACTATGATAAATTGGGTATCTCATGTGTACCTAAAACATGGAACATCTCCGATGATGTTGGCCAGATCGAATACATCTTCTCCGACAAGACCGGTACGCTGACACAAAACGTGATGGACTTCAAGAAGTGTACCGTCAACGGAGTCTCATACGGCGAAGCTTTTACTGAAGCCCAGATTGGTATGATCAGACGTGAAGGAGGAGATGCCGATGCCGTGGCCGCTCAAGCCAGGGAGCAAATTGCTGCCGATTCGGCCAGGATGCTTGAGATACTCCGCGGAATTCATGACAATCCCTATCTGTGTGACGAAAATTTGACATTCATTGCGCCAAATTATGTTGCGGATCTGGAAGGCCAATCCGGAGCACCCCAGAAGCAAGCCACCGAGCATTTCATGCTTGCTCTTGCTCTGTGTCATACAGTCATAACGGAGCATACCCCTGGTGATCCTCCACAGATTGAGTTTAAGGCGCAGTCGCCCGATGAAGCCGCTTTAGTTGGCACCGCTCGTGATTGCGGTTTCACACTCCTCGGAAGATCAGGTGACGATCTTATTCTGAACGTCATGGGCGAGGAACGGACCTATACTGTGTTGAACACTCTAGAGTTCAATTCTACAAGAAAGCGGATGAGTGCAATCATCCGTATGCCTGATGGCTCCATTCGTTTATTCTGCAAGGGTGCGGACAGTATTATTTATTCGCGATTAGCTCGTGGCAAACAGAAGGATCTTCGGAAAAAGACGGCCGAACACTTGGAGGAGTTCGCACGCGAAGGCTTGCGAACTTTGTGTGTTGCCGAGCGAATCCTCACCGAGGAGGAATATCGGGCATGGAGCAAAGATCACGATATTGCCGCGGCTGCGCTCACCGATCGGGAGGAAAAGCTGGAGCAAGTCGCGAGTGAGGTGGAGCAGGAACTCATGCTCCTCGGTGGAACAGCCATCGAGGATAAACTCCAGGACGGAGTTCCAGACACCATCTCATTGTTGGCCGATGCTGGTATTAAGCTTTGGGTCCTGACTGGCGATAAAGTCGAAACAGCCATCAACATTGGTTTCTCGTGCAATCTCCTGACTAACGATATGGAACTGATCGTCCTCAACATACCTGAAGACCAACCACAACAGGCTTCCCGGGAGCTCGACGAGCGACTTCAGAAATTCGGACTGACTGGCAGCGATGAGGAGCTTATCGCTGCCCGAGCGGATCACAGACCGCCGGCCGCGACGCATGCCGTGGTCATCGATGGCGATACTCTCAAGCTGATGCTGACCGATGAAATGAAGCAGAGATTTCTGTTGCTGTGTAAGCAGTGCAAATCAGTTTTGTGCTGTCGAGTCAGTCCTGCTCAAAAGGCAGCGGTTGTGCGCATGGTCAAGAATGGTCTTAACATTATGGCTTTGTCGATTGGCGACGGTGCCAATGATGTTGCTATGATTCAGGAAGCCGATGTTGGCGTTGGTATCATCGGTGAAGAGGGTAGACAGGCCGCCATGTCGTCCGACTATGCTATCGGCCAATTCAGGTTCCTCCAGCGATTAATCCTCGTCCATGGGCGGTGGTCCTACCGCCGGATGGGTGAGACAACAGCAAACTTTTTCTACAAGGTAAGAAACCCTTTTGATGTTGGGGCTATATCAAGTTATGCTAAGCAACCTAATAGAACTTGGTCTGGACAATCGCTTTGTTCTGGTACTCGATCTATAACGATTTCGATGGCTCCTATCTCTTCGACTATACCTACATTGTGCTGGTGAACGTTGCTTTCACATCGTTGCCTGTCATTTTGATGGGAATCTTTGACCAAGATGTGGATGACAAGGTCTCACTCGCCGTTCCCGAACTCTACATGAGGGGTATTGAGCGAAAAGAGTGGTCGCAGCTCAAATTCTGGTAAGTATGACCCAAATGAACCGTTTGACCTGACTGACGCGTTCTAGGTTGTATATGCTCGATGGCTTCTATCAGTCGGTCATATGTTTCTATATGCCATATCTCCTGTTCAGCCCCGCAAATTTCGTGCATTCGAACGGCTTGAACATCAATGATCGAACCCGCATGGGTGTCCTTGTCGCCACCTGCGCCGTCCTTTCCAGCAACCTTTATATCCTTCTGAACAGCTACCGGTGGGATTGGCTGACGGTATTGATCAATGTCATCAGCTCTCTTTTGATTTTCTTCTGGACCGGGATCTATTCTGCGACAAGTGCCTCAGCCCAGTTCTATAAAGCCGCCCCAGAAGTCTATGGTGCCTTGTCATTCTGGGTGGTCCTCCTGTTGACTGTCACGATCTGCCTTCTTCCGAGGTTCACCGTCAAAGCCGTCCAAAAGGTCTTCTTTCCTCTGGACGTGGACATCATCCGTGAGCAGGTCACGCAAGGTAAATTCAAATATCTGGACCAGTACGAGGCTTTCGTTCCGCCCAAGGCTGCCGCGACCTCCGGTGGACTGAGCAATGGATCAGCCACCTCCTCAGATTTGGGTAAACCAGTCCAGTCCAGTATGAAGCAGGATCCCTTCTCAGACGATCAGCAGATCTACCCGCCGTCAATCGCCCCGACGTTTCACACTCATAATCCGCGCAGCCAAAACGGAAGCAATGGGACCAACTACAGCTTCGACACCATGCAACACCCTCGTCCGCAATCAGTGCACTCAGCTCAACGGACCCGCCATTCGTTCGATCGAGTCCGGCCAAGATATGAAGTGAACCATGACTACAACACAGGCACCATGAACCGGGTTGATTCCAACACGGGGATTCCGGAGCCGCAAAGTCCACATAGCCCGCTCAAAAGCCCTCATGACCCACCATCATATCAGGTATAAAAAGTACTTACGCATCCTCGATCCCACACTGTTTCTATGTTATAACGACTTCCGGTCGATTCCTGTTGATGGCATTCGATTCATTCCCCCATTTCATTGAATGTGTGTTTTGTTTGATTTATAGCCTGCTCTTTATTCCCCGATAGAAGGCGTTCGGTCATACAGAATTGGCTGGTGGTTTGGCGCACATTTCCCCCTTTTTTTAATCTTCTTTCTTTCCTCCTTTGCATTTTCTTCATCCTCGCAACGGTCGAGTGAATCCTCTTCTCTGTCGTCGTTGCGTGACCCAACATTTCATCACTCAGTCTTGACGCTTTTTTTTTTCTTTTCATCTTTTTTTCAATTTTTTTTTTTCTTGTACAAAAGCATTTGGTGAATGCACATTCCCGACGGCTGCCCCATCGAATCAATCTCTTTCATGTGTTTAGTCTCCAATTCTTACTCTCCTTCCCTCCAGCCCTTCCTTTGGGCCATTTCATTTTTCTGAATTCTTTTCCATTGTTTCCCCCTCTTCCATTTGCAGTGCAATGAGAAAAGGACGCGGAAATGAGGCATTGTTGGGTGGTGGTTATGTCTTTATGTATTTCAACATATCGTTGGAGGACTCGATAGGAAATACCTGGGAGGTGTTTCTGCTCAGAATCAGAGCAATTTATGACTCGCAAAGTGTAATTCTGGTAGGATAATTTTCCGCCATATAGTACGGAGTTGTAAGATGGTGGTTAAGAACAAATTCGTCTGTCCTTGTTGGCACTGAAGACAATAATAATAATAATCCTTGGATTGAATATTAGCACACACTGCGAGAAAGAAGCGCGTCTGACATACGCGTAAAGTGGCTAACGGGCAGCCTCACCGCCTTCCATATGTGCCAATCAGATGGGACTCGGCTTCGTTCTTTTTGTTGGAAGAAGGATGCCGCCGTACCTCCCAAGGCCTAGGTTAGTACTTTTATCGTTTACACCTTTCAAACAGGTCATTTCTGTGTTCTCTTTGTTCGCTTGACTGCCGAGAGGTGCGAGCCATTTTTCTACCTCTACAAGCTATAAGGAGCTTCTAGTGGTTGGTTCTGGCTTCAGCTGTCATTCACTTTACTACGGCAAAGTTTCGATTGTGGTGGGATCACGGTCTTTCAAACTTCTCTTACATTATCTTCCAAATGTGTTGTTGCCACAAGTAGCTTTGGTTGCGTAGGCCATTCGCCAAGTCAGAACAATTCGTTCCAAGCCGGTGAACCTATTGAAAAAGATCCAACTTGTCATTCTCGAATGCGAAGCCCAGAGTATCTCCATCGTGAGAGAAGTAATGCGTGAAGACCCGTCATCTGCGGCGGCAGTCCTTGGTGCTTTGGCTTGAGATCATGGAGTTTATGGATATCGTCGGGTGAGTAGTGTTGATTCTTCTTTTGCTTGGGTAATTTTTGCGTTTTACCTAGTTGTGCTGTGCCGGCTGGTTGCAATCGCTGAACGTGGTTTTCTTTTCTGCACACAGGGAGCTGCGGGCCCTCCCCGACAATGTCCACATTTTATGCCCTCGACAACACGATGACGACCACGCACGTTACGATGATCCGAACGAGGTGGACGAAGCCGGCAGAAGCGTTGCGGAGCTAGTGGCCGAGGCGACGAGTCGCAGAGAAAAGTTTTTGTCGTGCATGCGGATATTGGCATACAACCAGGAGGGCGTGGAGGAGCTGCAGACTTGGATCTGGCGCAAGCTGGACGACGCGCTCGAAAAATGCGACCTTTGCATCAAGCAATACTATACAGGCAAGATTTGGCTCATTGAGCAGCTCAAGGAGAATTACGATGACGAGGATATCGAGAAATTCGCGCGCATGCTTGACGAATGGGATATCAAGAGAATCACTAAGCACCTGGCTGTCGCTACGGCGAAATTAAAATCAATTGCGCCTCAGGAGATTGGTCTTCACGTGTTGGATCGTGCGTCTCTATTGTCTATCTTCGAGACCTTGAGTTGTGAAGCTATGCTACGCAATAACGCTCTGCTGCAGGAGCACTTCGACGAACCCTTCCGGCTTATTCAGACAAAGCGTAGTCTCAAAGTCTCGGATTATGTTCCCGCTGTCACTCGCTTCCTATTTGACCCCAATCAGAATCGCAGCTTTTGGGCTATTCACTCCTGGATGCGCTATTCTCGGCCTCCTACCGCAACTGAATTCGATTGGGCGATCAAAGAGGGACTTCTCGAGGTGTTGAAGGCTGCTTCTCAGCAGCCACCCCAAATAGCTGTCATTCAGCGACTTTGGCGCGGCATGCAGTTGGTCGTGAAGCGATTGGATAAGGACCAGATCACGCATCACCTGCGGGCTCTTGAGATAGACCCATGCCGTCTCTCCGTGGAACACCTTGGGATACAATCTCCGGCGTTGCGTTTCCTCCTGAACACGATCCAGATCTTTCTGGAAAAGTCCCCAGGCGATTTCTGGGACGCAATGCAAACCATTTCTCCGCAAGCCATCATCGAGCTCGTCTTCTACAATCCCCAGCTAGAGGCGTTTATGATGCAAATTACGGAGGGCGAGCCTTACGAAAAGTCCCCCTTGAAGGATATGCTCTCATGGGTCAGCCCGTTCATGTCCTCCCTGAAAGGCGCACACCAACCTTCGGCCTGCAGATCTCTAGTCTATCAGCTTCTGGATCGACTCCAAGATCCCCGCTTCCCAAATCTGGCCAGATACCATTGTTTTCATGTGGGACTAACGAGCCTGCTTCAGACGCTTCGCAGCTTCACTGACAACGAAGCCTCACGCGGATCGGTGGCCCGCATTGTACTCTCGGAGACCATGGGGGTGGTGAGCGCGAACATCGAGACGATCTTGAAGCCCCCCCAATTTGCAGTGGAGCAAAGGCGTCAGGAGGAGATAGCTTCTCTATGCATGGATGTTGTGCGTAACACCTTGGCGCTGGAGTGTCAGTCTCTCAAGAGCGACTATGAAGTTATTCTGCGGCAAAATACTCTTCAGCATGGCGTAAGCACGTATTCAGCGCCTATCTGGGAAGCTGTCGTCAGAAGCTTGCATGAGGACAATCTTCCGCTTTCAACATCAGCGCTGCTTGGTATACTGCCTCTTGTTGGGTTGGAGAAGTTCCCAGTCAAAGGCGAATCCAACCCGGAGAAGACAAATTTCAACGAGATTTATGGGCACTTGACTCGGCTTTCGTGCCAAATCATTGAACGCCTTGCGGACTTCAAGCCAGAGCATCTCAATGAACTATTCAAGAGTCAAGATACCAGTAGTGCACTGATCTCTGCCCTGTTTGCAGCTGATCTGGACACTTACCAAGCTGCTGTGGATCTCATCAAGAACATGAGCGGCCAGTCGGCTAGAAGGGATGCCATCTCGCATCTGCTGCAGTCCTTTTTCACAACCACAATGTACGGACTGAGCTGGTCTTTCCGGCGTATCTCGAACATGAAGACATTTGCTTCTGCCCCAAGGATGCTGCACACAGGAACAGATATAGTGGACATTCTATGTGACAGTCAAACTGGCATACTCAGAACCCGTAAGCTTGCTGATCGACGAGAGATCCTCTCGCTCCAGAAGCTTTGGGAGTATCTATGGCAAGCGTTGACTACAATATTCGACGAGACTGAATCGTGGCATCTGAGAGGCAACGATAAAGCAGTGATGTTGGAATTTTGCCGTGATACCATTCAGTTTGCAGATCTGCTTTTTGACCAGTGTGGTGTCTTTCTGAGCGCTGTTGTCGATGCAGATCCCAACCAAGAAGCTTCCGGCCAGGAGAACTTCCTCAAGTCTCCGACAACAACGATGAGTGCAATGGTCAAGTGGCTGCGCCTCAAGGATGAATATTTGGCGACAACTCTGGTGGGACTGGTGGCTAAACTCCTCCGCCGCTTAGGAGAGCTCAGTGTCACGACCGTCAAAGATGATGCTCTAAACTTCATTGAAGGCGTTGCGGTGAAGTCCACCATCAAAACCATCCTAACCTTGCGGGAAAAAGCAGAACTAGTCCGTGCTCTGGAAGCATACTACAAGAAACCGGTCGTCACAGCATCTACTGCCAGCCTCAAGAAACAGAGCATGATTACAGCCTTTGCCAAGCCAGCTGGAGTATCTGCTACACCCAGTCCAGCCAAAATTAGTGACGATGAATTCGATGAAGACAATGTGCCAGATGATGTGTTGATGCAGCTGTCACGATCTGTCGAACTCAACAAACAGAGACTAGCAACCGAAGCCAAGAGAAAAGCAGAAAAGGCCGCAAAGGCTCTCCCTGCGATTCCCAAGCCTGCTCCTGCACCGTTGAAATCCAATGTTACCGTTCAGTCTTTCCGCGAGAAACGTGAGAAAGAGAAGGAAGCCAAGAGAAAGCGTGACCTTGCTGAGCTTGCGCGGTTGAAGAAGAATCTACCTGCTCGTGGTGTTGCGGAACAAACAGCTGAGCAAGGTTCTGGCTTGAGTGGTCTCGGAGTCAAAGGCAAAGTCCATACAACCGAGGAAAGCATGATGGTTTCTTCTGGTTCGGAATCCGAGTCGGAAAGCGAAGACGAGCTTGACAAAGAACTCTTTGGGGCGAAGGCCAGATCGAAGCCGGACGCAGTCAAAGCTTACGAAGAAAGTAAGAAGTTGTCGCTTAAGCAACAGGGGCCCGTGAAGAAAATCAAGCAGGTCCGCTCTGCGAAAGACATGCGAGCACGGTTGGCTCCCGATCTATCTTCCCTGCATCGGACAATCCTTGGTTGGGACTTCTTCGCGAATGGCGATCTTCCACCGAACTCGGGACGTACTGATTACAGTTTGGTTTCCAACACCTTCAGAGATCCTATTGAATATCAGAAGACGTTCGAGCCTCTTTTGATATTGGAAGCCTGGCAGGGGTTCAACTCTGCGAAAGAGGAAGGCACGTTCAGACCATTCGAGATCAAGGTTGCTACGCGTCTTTCTGTGGACTCTTTTGTCGAAGTAAGCACAATTTTACCGTCCATGGAGGCCAAGGACTATGGTATTGGCGAAGCGGATATTATCCTTCTCTCCAAATCAAGCAGGCCAACTTCAGATTCCTCTGCTCCTCACTGCCTTGCAAGAATTGCTAGTGTCAACAGAAAGAGGGGAACAGTCGAGGTTTCGTATCGTGTGAACCCCGGAAACCCTTTCATCAATTCTCTTGCTCCTGGTGCCATGATCTGGGGTGCAAAAATCACATCATTGACCCCTCTTGAGCGTGAATATGGTGCTTTGATGGCCTTGCAATACTATGATCTGTGCGAGGAAGTCATCAGGGCCAAGCCATCGCCAATCCTTAAATACTCCGATGCCACCCTCAAACCGATCGCAGAAAATTACAATGTCAATCCTGCTCAAGCGAAGGCGATCAAATCTGCTCTCGACAACGATGCCTTCACATTGATTCAAGGTCCTCCAGGTTCCGGAAAAACCAAAACGATCGTTGCCCTTGTAGGCGCCCTTCTTAGCAATGTCCTGGGCAACCAAGGCGTAGCTATTTCGCGGCCAACGGGGGTGACCAATTCGAGACCACCCGTGAGAACTACCACATCGAAAAAGCTTCTCATTTGCGCTCCCAGTAATGCCGCTGTCGACGAATTGGTCATGCGATTCAAGGAAGGAGTCAAAACAATCCAGGGCAGACAAGAGAAGCTCTCTGTCATTCGTCTAGGCAGAAGTGACGCAATCAACACAAACGTCCTCGATGTGACTTTGGACGAGCTGGTCAACGCGCGATTAAGCCAAAATCCACGCAAAGACGGAGGGGAAAGAGATTTACAGAAGATCTACATGGAACACAAAGCTGCAGATACTGCGTTCAAAGAAACCCGCGCTAAGATCGATCAATGCAGAGCTCAGGGCTTGCCAGTTCCCGAAGAGCTATCACGAGAGTTCGATTTGATGAAGAAGAAGAAGACACAGCTCAGCCAAGAAATCGATACTGCTAGAGACAGGAATCATTCGGCAGCGCGTGATGCGGACTTGAATAGGCGGCGTATCCAGCAGGAGATCATTGAAGGGGCCCATATCATCTGCGCCACTCTCAGTGGCAGTGGTCACGAGATGTTCCAGAATCTAAGCATTGAGTTTGAGACTGTCATCATCGATGAGGCCGCTCAGTCTATTGAACTTAGTGCTTTGATCCCTCTCAAGTATGGGTGCTCCAAATGTATTCTTGTCGGAGATCCAAAGCAGCTGCCGCCTACTGTTCTATCGAAGGTTGCCTCCAAATTCCAGTACGAGCAGAGTTTATTCGTCAGAATGCAAGCCAATCATCCAAGGGACGTGCATTTGCTAGATACTCAGTATCGTATGCACCCGGAAATCAGTGCTTATCCCAGTGCTGCCTTCTATGACGGAAAACTACGGGATGGGCCTAACATGGCTCAACTTCGCGCTCGTCCATGGCATCAAAGCGAACTGCTCAGTCCGTATCGATTCTTCGACGTCCAAGGTCTCCATCAGAATACTACGAAGGGACACTCTCTAATCAACTTGGCGGAACTTCGGGTAGCCATGCAATTATATGAACGAATTACCACAGATTTCCGCGACTATGACTTTAGTGGAAAGATAGGTATCATCACCCCTTACAAGGGTCAGTTAAGGGAGCTGAAGACGCAGTTTGCTGCGAGGTATGGAAATTCTATTTTCAACAAGGTCGATTTCAATACAACGGATGCTTTCCAGGGTCGAGAAAGTGAGATTATCATCTTTTCTTGTGTCAGAGCCTCCAATAAAGGAATCGGTTTCTTGTCGGATATTCGTCGTATGAACGTCGGTCTGACACGTGCCAAGTCATCCTTGTGGGTTCTGGGTAACTCGCAGTCTCTCGTGCAGGGCGAGTTCTGGAACGGTTTGATCAAAGATTCTCGTCGACGGAACGTCTATACAAGTGGTGATATTCTGGAGATCCTCCAGCGGCCACAATTTACTGGTTATAAGAATGTGGACATGATGGACGCCGAGCCGCCGCAACCTACAGTTTCCCCACAGACCATTGCAGTGCAATCTACTTCAAGACCATCTTCGGCCTCCCTTGAGCGGTCTACTCCAGAATCCTCTCACCTGGTGCCTGCGTCTAGCAAAGCCACTCCCCCAGAACCATTGCCTGATAAGCCCTCCGGCGGCGCTAATGGCTTGGACGAAACTCGCACATGCGGTTATTGTGGAAGCTTCGCCCATATGACGCCCAACTGTGACAACATCGATGCCAAGGAGGCGTCCCAAGGCAAATGTTTTAGATGCGGGAGCTCTGGGCATACGCGCAGGGATTGCACAACAGAACGATGTTTACAGTGTGGTGCATTCGGACATGTCACGCATGATTGCCAATCCTCTAAAGAGCTACCCAAGAGAGAGAAAACCCGAATCGCACGAGAGGAATATCATCATGCTCAAATGAAAAAACAGAGGACCGAGCGTCAACGACAAAAGCAGCTTGGAGGACACGATCCCAAAGTACCGGTCCTACAAATCTCCGACCCATTGATGCCTGAAAAAAAGGCGGAGCAATCCAAGCCCGTTCATAACAACGGACCCGTGAAGCGCAAGCGTATGGACTCGGCGTCATCTGATCCTGCCAAGGTTTCTCGGCCTCGAGTATCGGACCCTCTCATTGCGAATGCGCCTAAGGGTCCGCGACGCAAGATCGATACTAATATTCCGACAAATGCGGAGGTAAGTTCGACATCTTGAGTCCCAACAAGTTTCATAAGGGCACTACTGACGATATTGCAGGGTCTGGTCAAACCATCGCGGGACGGGCCGGCGTTTGCCTCTATTGGCCAAAATAAGCCCTCGGACGGTGTGCAGCCGGGAGCAGGGTCGGCGAATGTATGTTTTAGATCTTCAATCCATTTACCGATTGAATTGTGTACTGACTGAGATTCACAGCCTACTCCTCGACCTCCGCCTCCTCGACCAGGCCAACAAGGAGCTCGGCCTCCACCTCCAATGCGCCGGAAGAAAGAGGTTGATCCTTTCATCCGGCCGAAGAGAAGGTAGCAGAAATATTATCTGCTTCAAATACCTTTTCTAACAATCCTTGCATTGAAACTTTTATCATTCTTCTTGTTGTTTGGCCAATCACCCAGCAGCAACACAAGGTGGCTCTGTTTCCCCTATTTCCTACCCTTTTTTTTTCTGTATGATACATGGGATTTCGATCTTGCATGCATTCGAGCGGCTGTGGTACGATGATTTTTCATTTTGCATGATGAGTCTAAACACATTCCAGGACTCCGATATATTCTCATCTGTCATATGCCCATTTGTCCTTTTTATGTATTTGCATCCAAGTGATACGCAGGCGATCTACCGCTTATGAATGAGGTTTCATTTGAGTCTAGACAGCGATTGGGCGTTACTTATTTCTGAAATGCATGCTCTTGTTATCAAGGAGGGAAAGCTTGAAAGTACCTTCACGTTGTCTCTATACCCGTGGATGAACTGGCTCTACTGAGACGGCAGAGTCATGGGCATTGCATTGTTAGTTAGAAGACCATTGTAAGATCGATCGAGCAATGTCTCGCGTTGAGGCATCAACGATCAACGCCTGCTCCACTTGACACATATCATTCCAAGCCTCCTCTGCGTCAGCCACAGAAGATGTTTCTACGTGCGAGCGCAGACATCGAGTGACCGTATAGGCTGATCTGGGCATTGATCGGTGAGAAAGGAGAATCCCTCCCCTGGCTGCACTCTGCAGCTTTTTTTTTTTTTTTTCTTTTTTCATTCCGGTATCTGGATGTTTTTTTGGAGACACGCAGGACTCCGTAGTTCGATTCGAGATCGCGATCTGACCGAGTGGATGTCATTGGTGTTGAGGATGTGATGTGATGCCTGAAGTTATGTATTTGCTGCGCACGAGGGGATTGAGAACATGGCTGAGTAGCAAAAAAAAGGGGGTTGAGAACCATGCAGTCTGCTCGATCGATGTCACTCTTTTATTCGTTCATTCAGGCTTGGGAGTTGTTGTTCTATTTTGAGTAGGCTTCTCGAAGACTATGTTTCTATCGGGGAATATTCGGTTCGGTTCAACTACGTCTAGACGTATGTAGATGGGTGCTATTGTCGATACAGAGTACAAATCGGAAGATTGGACAGAGCAATGCGATGTAAGTGTGTAGTACTGGCTAACCTACTTGCTCTAAACAGTACATATTCATATGTAGGCCTGGTCCAATACAATAATCTGTTCAATATCGTGTATCTGCAAGGAGGAGGGATGCTGATATCTCCTAGATTGATAATTGCTTTTCTTTAGCTGTCCAAGTTGTGAATTGATGGATAGGGTTCCAGCTTCATCTTTCACTGGCTGAGCTTCCTATCCATTATTATTCTAGCTAGTACTACAGTATATCTACACTATAGACTACTTGATATTCGTGGTTTATCTCGAAACTGAGAATGCTCTCTAGCGGTGACACAGTTGGCACTCATAGCTTACCACACGTCTTTGTTCTGGGGTCGATCATAAGGAGATCCTTTGGTGATCACTAAATAAGTCCGAATAGCCTCTTCGCTTTACTCTCTACTTTATCCATCTATCAAAGGGTATGAAGTATCTATGTAGGGCGCAGTGGCAGAACTAACAAGAATTGGGTTGTGATCAGTCATCTTCTCTCCTGTCTGTCATCCATCTCCACCAAGTCATCTGGCATCTCTCTCTCCCAACTTCGTCCATCGACGCCCATTTCAACTAATAATCCACCCCTCTGGGTCAGGCTAGTCTAAGTCCATCAAACATATTGATTGGGAACCGTACTTTTGAACATGTTGTTAGTTAACGTTGTTGAGGTTGAGTTTATCTATCTACTGACGCTTTTTTCTGAGACCAGGCGTGTTCCTCCGATCTCTTGGGAGTTGAGGGCTCCTTTCCTCCCTTCTGCAGCCCATGAATCGACACATCACATTCCAACGTCATGGATCAATAGACCTGCATCTGTAGTGGCGAGTGATCTCATTCTACTCGTTCGATAGAGTCTACTCCCCCTCGAGAAGAAGAGGAAAGGAACCAAGGGCAACTGGAAAAGGTTAACCATCTTATCTGTTGGAAACCTTCCCCCCCTTGCTTGTAACGGCTCCGAAGTGAGGACGTCTCCTGCATCGGCCCTCTCTCATATTGCTTTCTCCGAGCAGTAGAATGGTCACCATGTTGGAATTGGCCGATAGAACGAAACTATGGAGGAAAGAAAAGGGGGAACGAGTCGCAGGTTATACAAAGATACGAACTTGCTGATTTGCTCCTGGATGTGGACACTTCCCCCATAGTGCTGACACTGTGCAGGGTGCAGGCCTGCAGCACTTCCACCGTGTCCCAGCGCAGCCTCAGAGGCCACTGCAAGTGATATGCACCCGACTCATTGTTGGTGAAAAAGGAAAAAAATAAACTTGGATTAGATGCGAAGATCCACCATCTGTCACTCTCTTTGGCAGGCAAATCGCGGCATCTGCAACTATGACAGGCCCATCGATTCCGAAGCAAATAGTCTGATCGAATCAAAGAGAATGAATGCCCTAAATCCCGATGATCTGTTATTGGGGTGCTGTCTGGACTCTGGAGCGCGATCGAACTGCTAATGATAGCACTGCTAATCTACCTATGTTCTATCGAACAGGACCAGCACGGACAGTGTCAGGCTCAAGGGCGGATCAGATCCCCTGTCAATGTCTCTATTCTTTATTTTCCATTTCTTGCTTTCCACCCTTTCTAGTTGCCTTTTCCTTTTCAGTCTATTGCGGCATGACGAGGCCCCGCCAGCCTTCCTTGCTGCCGTCATTTCGCAAGGTCTTTCCCCTCTCTTGGGTTCGAACATCCTGGCTTGTTGGTATCATGGACAGCTTAGAAGCAACTTTATCTCTCGAGCTATCGAGAGAACGAGTCAAGCGTTCATTCAACGATGAACCAATCCTACATACTTGCGGTTCGTCAAATCTCGGAGGAGCTTCCCCCCCCCCCCACCCCCCCCGGTCAAAGTATGGTATGACCGCTCGAATCTGAACGGGGACACTTAAATTCGACATCTCCTCTCGTTCTCCTGTCCATGAAAGAAACTCGAGTTTTGTGTATCGGTCCTTTATGCCTGATATTCCGTACAACGCACTTTTTTTTTCTGTAAATCCCTTGTGCATACATACGATATTCTCACGTGCTTATATGCTTCCTGGCCTATTACTGGGCGCAATCTTCCCATTTCAGTGCAATTCGCATCTTTGCCTCATGACTCCACCCGCGATCTGAAGACGCCCGACTAGGACGTGCATCTTGTGGAGACGTTCAGGGAAGAAGCATTGAACTCTTTACCGCTATCTGAAAAGAATCTCCATGTATGATGATTTGAAGTTTCTCACCGCTATTCATGTTGACCTTTTGTTGTCTTTTCCCCAGACGTTTTCGAAATCGACGTGACGGCTTAGTCGAGCAAGCATCCTTATGCATCAGTGGAACGAATTGTATGACGGCTTAGTCGCGCCAAGTCCAGTCGTTCCAACCTGTCGTCCTAGTTCGTCATTGTCCAAGAACAGGTCATATAACATGTCAAGTTTGTCATCCAAATCGCAGCATTCCACCACTGCTGAAGATAGCCAGCCTCGCCAATACTCAGAGATCAAAATGTCGAAGGACGATATGACCGAGCTGGACCATTCCCTGCAAATAGAAAGTGTGTCATCAGCTCCCTCGCAGACCACAAGCGCGCGTGAAATACTCAAAGCCGGTCAACGACGCCTGTGGCAGCTGGCGCAGCGTCAATGGAAAGCAACGGACCCCAATACCAAGGTTGAGGAGGCATCACGTTACCTGCATGCTCTGCAGGAAGAGGTATTCCTTCCCTTGTCAGAACCCAAAAAACCTGGCCCCAAGATGAATTCCGAGCCGGCGAAGTTTGGATCAAGGGCTACCACAAATTTCAACTTCAAATCAAGCTCTCGGCGAGATGTGGAACAAATTGGACAACCGTGGCTGGAGAATCCTCTCGAGATCTCAGATACACATGATTCCCTGGGCGGCGAGCTGTCAGCACTTGATCTAGGTCAACTGACATCTCTTGTCGAGGCTGTAGTCGCTTCACCCCCAAGGTTTAACGATGCCAACTCGCCTCCTGACCAGTCATTGGTGAACACAAGCAATGGCCAACAGGCTGGAACTTCAGAATCTCGTCAACACACTGGCGCAAGGCGTGAGCTTGCTCCATCTTTTGAGCCCAATGGACGACAATGCGATGAACAAGTCGGCTCGGCACCTACAAACCCTGAACAAGAAAACAAAGGGAACAGAGATCAAATACCCGCCGTGTTGGTCCCGGGCAAAAGGAGCTCTTCAAGTGACAAAACAAAGCATAAAAAGAGCCAAGTGAGTGACAATTGAACTTGCTGGAAGAGGGTTCCATACCATTCGCTGACATGAGGAAATCAGAAGGCATCAGATGCGTTAGCAACCAAAGACAATCCTGTGCAGCCGCGAGAGAAGTCCACATCATCAAAACCGGCTGCGCCGCGAGATGGGCCAACTCCCAGTGTCCAAACGCTGAAACTTTTCCCGGATACGTTGCCTCCACGAATCTCAAGCAAAAGTGCATTGCGGATACCGAATAGTCGAGTGCTGGGGAAGGAAGCGGGAAACTCCGCAATGGCTCCGGGTGCACAGCAAAAGCGTGGGCCTGTGACGACGAAGTCAAAGGCAGAAAAGTCATACCTTATGCCCATGACTCTCCCGGAGCACCAACACGAGTCGGAAAAATCATCCGATTCGTCGAGTTCGAAGTCCGGCAAGCCGTGTAGTGAGCCCGCCAGGAGTCCAATATATCCGAATTTTCCTCTGCCGAACAATAGCCGTCGGCCTGCTTCACTGCCAATGGGGACCATAGACTCGTTCCCTCTCCCAGCGCCAAAGAGACCCCTTCCTTCCCTACCAGAGCCGATCTCAGCCTTGAACACTGCCCGTCATCAGAGCATCCCCGCCAGCCATAAAATGCACCGAGATAGCGATAATCCTTTGGAGACTGTCCCAGCGACCAAAGCCTGTTCCACGAACAAGACTGGAAAGTGTCTTTCGGCCAATAATCAGGCTGCGTTACCGAGACTGAGGTTCGATGAGAAGGATTTGCGCACGTATCAACAGGACGACTCCAAGGAAGAGACAATCCCAATGCCGTATGGAGAGGAGTCATTCGTGAAAGCAGGGCAGAGTCGAGAGGAGCGGGTGCGTGCGCTCAGACAGAGAGACATGGTGGCAAATCGGGTCTATATCAAAGGCCCAGAGACACCTCATACCGAGAAGAAAAACCAAACGATTGATTCACCTGGCTCTCCGAGGAGCCTTGGGCGTGGGCCCTATTCGAGCGACAGCAACGAGACTTCGAGTCAACCGTGGGGAGGAGATCGAAGAGATGCGAGCTCGTCCATTCCTGCATCTCCCCCGCGCTTGCCGCTGCCTGCACAGCTCGGCAGAGAGATGTCTTTCGACAGGCGACACTGCAGCTCGCCCACAGATTTCATTAAAGTGTTGGGGGAGAGAAGAGAGCCATCGTCTCTTCCCGTCTCCAAACGGAGTTCCCTGTTAGATTGCAGCAATAGTACGCGAAGCACGGGGGTCCTTTATGAAATGGCAGCCGGTACTTCGAATATCTCCAAGCGAGCCGAATCTCCCTTGCCTTCTTCCGATGACGAATGCATGGGCAATAACGCACCTGCGAGCGAGTTGCGCCAGGCAATTAGCAAAAATTTTCGCAGGAGAGCGCAACACACGTTTGAAGATCTCAGCTTAAACAGATCAAGGAACTCGAAGACACCAACAATCCCAAGCCATGTTGAGCCCTTGACGCCACGAAGACAGAGTAGCCGGGGCTTCGAGAACTTCTCCCCTCAGTCGCACAACTCTCGTAGTTCATACTCTTCTCACGGTCTTCCGGGGCAGTCGAACAACGCCGTACATGCTCTAAACTCTCTGGAGGGGCGTATTGCGCAACTCGAGCACCAAAACAAGATACTCCAGGCGGCTTTGTTCGCGGCTCTGGACGCAGGTGTGAAGCACAACCTGGAGGGTGTCCCCGGTGGATTGACGACCTCTGGTTCCGCCGCAGCGAGCTCTTCAGGTGCTGAGAGGTCTTCACTATCGTCCACGGATCGGTCTACCAGGGGGCACCGGCGGACCAGAAGTGCAAGGCATTCGCGCATGAAGAAGACTGTTCGCCGCCCAGAGAGCTGGATTGACAGTCCCGGGTCCAGCAATCAGAGCGACTATCAAAGTGACGATAGCCTCGGCGTCAGGGATCTTGAGGATATGATCGAAGATCTCGAAGTTAATTGGATGACGGAAGAGCCAAAAACTAGAAGGATGTAGAAAAGATTCCCGCCATCTAGACATCTTTCTGTTTGTTGCTCTTGGGAATTACTGATTGTGCACAGTCATTTGCATAGTTTCCTTGTTTTCATGACATTGGGTGGTGGTCTGCTTGATTATTGTATCTTGTTTGCCACGCATATACCGAAGCGCCTTGTTCTAATGGAGGCCCTTGTGTGCTACAAGTTACCTTGTGCTTTTCTTTTCCTTTTTTTTTTTTGTTTTTGAAGTTAGATATCAATCTTTCACCTCTCCTTGCCTGTTGTCCGCCAACATTCGAATGATACCATTTTGTTTTGTTTGAGCCATCGATCGTTACCCACTGGCTGCATTGACTCGCATCCAAGTGAGCATATACTCGCCATCGTAAGCCAGGTGTAATTTTCTAGGTGTGAGAAAAGTAACTGGCATGGGACTGTATAATGAATTGCTGGATTTGCAGCCCTGAATGAATGAAGGCTGGATTGTCGGCCCATCGAGCTTAGTCATCCATGGATTTATTTTGATGCCCGTGTTGTTGTTGTCGACTTGAGATCAAGCTGCGCGGCTTCGTTACCACAAACCGAGAGTCGTTTACATTTTGTTTGTTTATTATTCGAGTCGATATCAAGCACTGCGTTATTTCATTCGTAGAGGACTGGGCACAAAAGCGCAACGTTCCCGGCGCAAGCACAACCTCCTTTTTCATCTCTCCCCCTCACTCAGAACACCACTTAATCCCATCTCCGCTCCGTGAGCGTTTGCTTCCAGAATGGCGCATTCCGCAACAGTAGGCCTTCCTCAATCCGAAAAAAAAAATGAATCGGGCGCATATCCCCGGCTAATCATTATGTGCTAGACCACCCCGATCCCCCAACATGTGACCGCGTTGCTCTCGCATCTCACCTCGCGCCCCGGCGTCCAATCCACTTTCATCCTCTCCCGCAAAGACGGCTCCATCATCCAGAGCACCGGTCTGCTGGCCCAGGGCCCTACGAGAACCAGCAACGCAACCACCACCACCACCACCACCACCACAACAACAACATCACAGATATCCCCGGCTACAGACGAAGAGCCGAGCGCGGATCCAACCACCGCGGCCGCAGCCACGGATCAATCGCTAGACCCCTCGGCGCCGGCCAGCACACCCCCCACCCCCCAGAAACCATACCAGCCGTCTCAGGCGGAGGCGCTCGCGGCGCAGGTCTTTGCCTTTGTGGCGAGTGCGTCGGAGCTGGGCTTGTTGCTGTCGCATCCTGTGGAGAGCGGGTTTGCGGACGGCGTGACTGGGGCGGAGGGGGCGGGGGCCGGGACGTCGAGGGAGGAAGGGGAGGCGGAGGGGGTCGAGAGGGAGGATGAGGATGAGGTCAAGTTGCTGAGGCTGCGGACGAAGAAGCATGAGATTGTCGTCGTGCCGGATAGGAAGTACCTCCTCTGTGTTGTGCATGGTGTTGTGCATTCGGCTGGGGCGGGGAGTGTGGGGGTGCGTCCGTCCAGGTAGTGGTCTCTGTTAGACGTACTGGCTTGGGTGGATTTGGGGATTTCTTTTACTTACGGCCGGCGCTTCTTGCGCAGCCTTCATTGCTGGTGTTGTGTTGTGTTGGATTTTGATGGTTTTTTCTTCGCTTTGTCGTTCTGTTTGGTTATGTTGTGTTGTTGTGGTCTTGCATATACTATACCCCGTTGGAAGCAATGCATTGTCACTTTGCGTATTTGGAGCTCTACTTTGGACTTGAGGCTTCGTGCAAGCAAGCGAATGCGCCATTCTCGCAGGTCTGATAACGCCATGAGGGGGAGATGTGGGGAGTTACTTACCCCTCTCGCAGGTCGCCAGCTATCCTGATGAGAGTCGCTCCCCAGCAACTTGTCTCTGAACAACGCTTCAGGCACCGCGAATCTCTCGTACTGTGTTCGGCAGAATGGCTTCGTTTGACATCTCGCAGGCTCGGGCTCGATTCCCCGCTCTGAAGCAAGACCAGGTATACTTGGGCAATGCTGGTTCGTGGTGCTCTGATTTTCACCATGGCTGGGTGACTGCATGAGCATGTTCTAACAAGGAATCAGGAGGCAGTCAGGTTCTAGATACGGTGATTGAGTCGTGCGTTCTTTCTTTCTTTTTTTTGGGGGGGGGGGGGTCCAGGTCCCTTGTCTGAAGCTATTCTAAGTCCTGGGCCGAATCTCCTCGTATCTCTCGAACACTAATGTACAGCTAGGAGCGACATATAAAACCTCCAAGGCGTCGATTGCGGCATATGCCAATGCTTATGAGGGGGCGGCGAAGTTCATCAATGCCAGTCTCAGCGAAGTATGTTCTCTACGCTCAGGAGCAAGTCATACGCCCTCTTACATTTAGTGTGGACAGATCAGATTTGCCTGGGCGTCTCGACAACCCAGCTGTTGCATAACCTTCCTACGGCGCTGCAGTCCCAACCCGGGGATGAGCTGGTGCTGTCCAAGTTGAACCATGAAGCCGATACCGCTCCGTGGGCGAGGATCGCCGAACGGCTAGGCTTGAAGGTGAAATGGTGGTCGGCAACAGACCCCCAGAACCCGGTCTGTGATCTGGACGAGCTGCAAGAGCTGCTTTCGGAGAAAACGAGACTTGTCGCATGCCCCCACGTCTCGAATGTCACCGGCACAATCACGAGAGTCAAGGAAATCGCGACCCTCGTGCATCGGTATCCGCGTGTAAGAGCTTCAACATCCTGGGTTTGCGGCGAATTGCTTATTGGGGGGGTCCGCGCTTCTGGTAGGCTCTTCTGTGCGTTGATGGTGTCGCACTCGCTCCGCATCGAGAGGTGGATGTCAAGGACATCGGCGTCGACTTCTACGTAAGTGCGCAACTGGGGTGCTCGCCCAGCCATCGATATACTCATTTTTTCCCCCAGGTGTTCTCCTGGTACAAAGTCTACGGACCGCACATTGCTCAGCTGTATGCCTCGTCTCGTATTCATGATCAGATCAGCTCGCTCGGCCACTTCTTCAAAGGCGCGGAGACTCTGGACTCGAAGCTCAACCTAGCCTCCGCCAGCTACGAAGCGACACAGAGTACACCGGCTGTTGTCGAGTATTTGGGCGCCAACCCCACCACGACATGGGACAAGATTGTTTCCCACGAAGGGGGGCTGCAGCGGATCCGGCTGGACTTTCTCAACAGCGAGGGTCGGATTACGGTGTACGGAGAGCGGTCAGCAAGCACGGAGCTTCGTGTCCCCGTGGTCAGTTTCACGGTGCCGGGCACCCGGAGCCAGAGGGTGGTGGTGGAGGTTGAGAGTCGATCGTCGTTTGGGTTCCGCAGCGGCCCTATGTATAGCTATCGGCTGGTGGACGAGATCATAGGACTGAAGGATGTTGAGGACGGCGTTGTCCGGATCAGCATGCTGCATTATAACACCGGTGAGTGCGACCTTTGGTTTGGCCGGTTGGAGGGATGATGCTGACTGTGACATCAGAGGAGGAGATCCGCGGCCTGGTCGGTGTTTTGAAGGAAGTAATCAACTCTCTCCCTGGAGAGAGCCAGTGAAAGCGTTGCGTTATCAAAATGTGTGAGGTTGGCACGAAGGCCAATCGTGGACCTACTCCGTAGTATGGATGGATCAGTAGCTATTCTACAAGTCCACAGAACAAGAGCAAGGGACATACAGTAGTTAGTTAGTGGCGGTGCATGCCGACGATGAGATGTCATCCGTGCATGCATTATTCTCCTGCAGGATTCCTAATCAGGACCGGGCACCGTCTACATACTTACATATGTAACTAGTTGTTTTCCTGGTTCTTTCTTGCTGTTTGTTCCAGCCTTCTAGGTTGTGGAAAAAGTCAGACAGGACATAGGCTTGAGCTTCTTTTTCTCGGCTTTTTTTTTTTTTTTTTTTGATATCATCCTTCCTACTCCTACTATCTAGTCTAGATCCTCTTAGGAGGGTTGTGTTGTAGTAATCTGTACTCCAAAGTAGATGTGGTATGATATGTAATCAACAGGCGGAGAGATTATATATATATATATATTTATTCTGGTTAAAGTGAGTATCAAGAACTCCCCACTGAGAGTTGATGCTGTTAATAATGAAAGGCAAAGGAGCTACTGTGTGTCTATGATTCCATATCCTAAATTCCCAATCTTTTCCATTCGACTGTTTTCTTTGTATGTATCCATTCTGATACGGGTGTTGGGGACTTGGGAGCCCAGGCATCTCCTCGCCAACTGGTGACTACCCCATATTACCTAATAATGGGATTATTATGTAAGCTCTGGCACCGACTCGACAGTCTGACACCAATAGGGATTAGATTTAACGCTAGTTAGGTAAACCAATCATACTAACACTGACCACTTACCTACTACTATGTACGTACAGAATAATAGAAAAGTTCCAAGTCCGTAGCCCAATCAGTCGCGAGTGCATTCTCTTCTTAGCCCATTGTTGATGGTCTGATTGGATGCTGTGTTCCGTGGAGGCGTGGCGATGACAAACTCGACCGACTTTATGAAATTATGAGTTATGACGGTATGAGTCATGATTTGTTTCTGTTCAACTGGGGCTGAGCGAGGGTGTGAGTGAGGAGACATCTTTTCAGGGCACCAGGCCATAAGTTATGGTCTACTACCTAGTGTAATCACTACTACCACTACTACTACTGATTAGTGAAGAACATTCGTCGGCCTTGGTAGTTATGGGTATATTGGGATGGGAATAGTGATCAAAGCCGATGATGATTATTAGTATGGACTATATGGACTATGGAGTAGGGACTGTGGATTACTGTGTATAGTAATGAATGAATCAATATCAACATCAGTATCCACTCTAGCCAGAGAGATGAGCCTGCCTGTTCATGTTCGCTGGAGGTGGAGAGAAGGTTGTTTTGTGCTTCTGTGCTCACTACTGCTGCCTAGACCATCTGTGTACCGAGTAGTGCCAACCTTGCTTGACCCGTGATGGTTCCACAAAGTACAGTTGTCATCTCCAATCTAGCGGACTACCTTTCGCTACTCCTCCAGCGACAGCCGTAGTTGTAGGGAAGATCCTAAAAAAAGTCAAGTTCTCAGGATGTCAGTCCTGACCGTAAAAAAGTGGCGTGGACTGGGGAAGTCAAAAAAAGTAGGTGGTTGGTTGGCTGAGCGCAGAGACAGTCGAGAGAGTTGAGTTGATTCGAATCAAAACGAAAACCTAAAGAAGCCGGTCATGCAGTTCGTTTGCCCACTGGATTGGTGAGCCCGAGTTGCCTGGAAGGAAATAGGGCCCTATTACGATGATTCATATCGGCCTCACGTCTGCATGGTTTATGGTTGGCGGCGGTGGTGGAAAACGGGGAGGATGTCGAGGTGGTTTGCCGATATCGCGAGTCGACTGACGACATGTTCTATGTCTTTTTAGGATAGATTGTCGTTATGAACGGTGGTTCGGTTTAGAATGTATGAAACTAGATGCCTTGCTCTGCTCGACAACACTATATCAGCGCCTAATTAATGATGATACACGCGGGTAGTTGGACTACGGACTACTACGGAGGAGATAGATAGGAGGACTCAACTCCTCTGGATCAGCCTTATTATGGAGATATGGTGTTGGTATTATCATTATGATGATGATATTTATATTGATTTATATTCCAATATAAATGGTTTGAGTTGTTGTTGATGTTGACTGTTGTAGTAGTAGTAGTAGTCCAATCCCCTATCTCGGAACGTGGCTGAGGAGTCATCCATCCAGAGTCAGTCAGTCATCCATCCGCATCCGTCTCTCCCTCTCTCTCTCTCTCTCTCTCTTCTTTCTTCCTTTCTTTCTTGAATAAAAAAGCGAAGTTATCTTCCCTTTTCCCCTTTCTAATATGTTCGACCTTTGATTTCTATTATTGTTTCTTTTTAACCAGACAAGAGATATTGACTCTCATTTTCGCCATCGATGACTCCGTAACCAACCTAGAAAGTTGGTCCCTGCATCCGCTCTCTCTGACTTCTCTCCTCTCTCTCTCTCCCTCCCCGAAGTTCCGCCACTCTGTAGAATCAAATTAATCTTGCCACAGGTACAAACCAGGTGAGTAACTCAACTCAACTCGAAAATCTTCTGATCATTATTTCCTTTTTTTCCCTTTTTTCCCTTTTTCCCCCCTATTTTTTTGGCCCTTTGCCATCCCCCCATCTTGTCCTTCCTGTCCCACGGGCTCTCTTCCAGTCATCAAAAGAAATTAATCCCAAAAAAACGTGTTTCTCTGGAAGTTCGCCATCTTTCTCTTCTCCCCATTCATTATTCCGTGACGCCTCCCTTCCTTCCCTCCCTCTTCCCCCCCCAAAAAAGGTTAGTAGTTAGTTACTTAGTTAGTCACTCCTTTGCCCTGCCTCGTTCTCCTCTGCTCTGCCTACAATTACCCACCAACTATCTATCTATCTCTCTATCTATCTATCTACTATCTATCTTCGCCTGCTCCGCCCTCCCGCAAAAACAAGAATAGGCTAGGATAGTCATCAGGCAGCGTTCCCTCGGTTCCCACAACACTGGGTCTGACTCTCTGTCCATTCTCTCTTACCTAGGAGTCATACTTTTCTTTTTTCTTTTTTTTCTTTATTTTTCTTTTTATTTTTATTTTTATAGCACCACCCCCCTTCCACTCTAATTTAACCCCAAGGCTCCTCTCCTGACTCGATCGTGGTTGCTGACTGTTTTCTCTCGCCTCAGCCTAATCCGAACAGCCAGCCTCATCGACTCATCCCGCCGAACCCTCCGTTCCGTTGTTTTAGCCACCCGATAAAACAGCTGACTGCCTGGACAAGCATCAGTCTCCCCTTGGAAACTGCCTGCTTGTTGGTCAGTCCGCCGTTCTATCGGCTCCTTTATATATCCTCTTTTCAATACCCCTTGGGGAGGATCAAGATGTACCCTGTCTATTCAATCTCTTCCGTTCCAATCGCCAGCTTTGCAGACTCCTCAGCCCCAGATCTTCGTGCCTCCCCCAAGTCGACTATGATTGTCTAAAGCATCACACACCTGAACCCTCATTCACACACACTCTCTCTCGTCTGGTATCGTCTTGCCTCCTTCGACGGGGACATATTGCTACCCACGTGTACTTTGACTTCTCAATACGTGATCTCGGCTCGATCTACCACGGACTCTACAAACGGTGATTGGACTCGTGGACGTTGAACACCCGCTATTCCTCCTGCTATAGTTAAACCTCCACGTCCTCTTCTTCGATTTTCTTGCTCTTCCTGACTTAAACCCCTCCTTCTACCCTCCCCTCGTCGCTACGTCTCAAAACAAGCTGGCGACTTTCCACATCTAAAGGGCTCGCCGTCGCCTGTGCACAAAAAGACGGTATCTGTCTTACTAGTACCTCGTTAACGGTTAATCGCGCAACGGTTTTTTCTGACAATATCACGGTTCAAATCGCCCATCCAACTTTCTGCTATATTCAAGTCCTTTGAGTTTGGGGTCCCCTGACTCGAGATCGCCTACGATTTGTACAACCCAACTGAACTACTTCTGTGTCTTTTCAGAACGTAGTCGGCCTGGTTGTACGGTTCCAACCGCATCTTTTTTTTTTGAATATGACTGGGATGGACGTCTTGGGTTTGAATCCCGCAAACCCAAGCATTCAATACAATGCGCCTTATGCTCATCCTTACGCGTCATCGATCTCCTCCTCCGCCTCCTCCTCCTCTTCTTCCGTCTTCTCCCTGGATAGTCTATCCAGCCAGAGTTCCATTTCGTCCACCTCCACCAACCCGGTCGATGTGATTTGGGAGAATGAAGGGGAATACCAAGTGGCGGGGAGAAGTTTGACTACGGCGAGTGGCTCGCGTGTCTTCGCCAGGGGCGGTCTGCCCAAGGCCGCGGACCCGGCGGTTGCACCCGAGCTACGGAAACACCCCAGGCGCACAAATAGCTGCATGGTTCAGTCCAACGGCATTCCTGGTGCTACCCGACCTCCACCTTGTCTGTTGCGGCAGTCGGATCGGAAGGTCAATTTCGTCGATAATCTCGTCGGTGAGTGGTGTTCTAATTATTTCCTCCCCATCTCTTCCTAGCTAAACGCTTCTTCTCGCGCGCTATGAAGACACCGCCTCGCAGATTGTCGAGATCATCTGGCCTTTGTCGGCAGTAGCGTCCCGAAGCGACTCGGCCACGGGCTGCAAGGGCGTGTTGCCCCTGCGCACCTTCATCCAGGAGACGTTGCGTCGCTCGCGGACCAGCTACAGCACTTTGCAGGTGGCCTTGTACTATTTGATCAAGATCAAGGAACACGTTCCTCGGCCCGATGCCACCCAGGAACAGCAGTCGCGGAGCAAGCCGGTCTGCCGCGCCATGCAGTGCGGTCGCCGCATGTTCCTTGCCGCCTTGATCCTTGCTTCCAAATACCTGCAAGACCGCAACTACTCGGCCCGCGCCTGGAGCAAGATTTCCGGTCTGAACACCGCGGAAATCAACCAGAATGAGTTGATGTTCCTGGAAGCAGTCGGGTGGAGACTCCATGTTCCCGAAGCCACTTTTCAGCGCTGGACGGACATTGTCTTGAAGTATACTCCCGGAGCTGGTGGCTTCTTCGCCGCGGACGGACCGTGCTGGCGGACTGTGATCCCCAAGCTGACCCCGGAGCTGAACACGGTGGACGTGGTTTCCTCCACCCCATCTAGCCTCGGAGGATTCGAGTCGGGTTTCCTGGCGGATTCGCCATCCCCCCTTTCTTCCGCCGCCCCGAGTGAGCAGACCGGCATGCCCTTGGGCTATGACCAACGGTCGGCTCCTCACCAGCGGTCTTCCCCACTCTCCGGCGGATCCTCTTTCCTTCCCTCGATGCCGCGGCCCCCGATGCTGCCCACCCCCCAGTTGACACCCCAGACGAGCGTTGCTTCCACTCCTGCTGCGAGTGTGAGTAGCTTCACTGCCCGTCGGGCTTCCATCTGCGCGGCTATGTCTCAGGTGCAGAACATGTGCATGGCGCGGTCTACTCTGGACCAGCGCCCGTCACTGGCGTTCTGCCCAAGGGCAAACACGTTTGATGGATACCCCCCCGCAGTCCGTCGGTCGTCCTTGGCTCGCTCGACATCCTCTGCGTCGTCGCCGGATTCGATGATCTCTGATGTGTCGACACTGTCGTCGTCATCGAGCTTTTCGTCTTGCTCGTCCACAGCCTCGTCCGCCTCCGCCAACCTCCTGGGTCTCTGCGCTTCGGCCAAGCCCCGACTGGCGGTTCGAGCGACGCTTCGATGCACTAGCAATGCTCTGAAGGAGTGTCGCAAGACTCTGTCTGTTGCATCGCCCATTAGTGAACACTTTCTGGGCGATGTCTATAGCTCCCCCGAGGCATACATGGGCCCGGTGGGTCCAATGCCGGACCTGACAAATTTCTCATTGGGAACGCCTGTTGATCGCGAGGCGGCTCAGAGTTTGTGTGAGCTGTCGGGGGCCATCTCCCGGCCCTCTCAGACGTTTGAGCCGGGAACGACTCAGCGATCGGGTCGGAAACGTGGCCGCACCGGCTCGGAAGATCTTACGTGGCAGAATCATGTCCGCCATCTGATCGATCTCAATGCACGGCACGAGAGCCAAGCCCCGGATGGCTCCTTGCGCCACATGCTCGAGTCGAACCCTTCTCAGCCCCTCTCTGCTCTCCAGCTCAGTCTCCTCAATGCCAGCGCTCCTCTCTCTGGACCAGCTGGTATGAAGCGTGCCTGCTGTGGGAGTGAGGCGAGGAAGATCGCGCTCAACCCAAGCGTTCGATCGGATTACCTGGGCTAAAGTTGGGGGATGGGAGCTTGTGCTCTTTACATTTAACCCTCTGTTTTTCTTTGTTTTTTTTTTTTTTTTTTTTTTCTCCCTCTATACCTCTTTTCTGTCTAGAAAGGAAAAGTGGCTTTAGCATACCCTGGCGAGAGCCCAAGTGATCTCCTTCGTTTTTCATCTCATGCCTCGGTCTCGTGGAGCGAGTGGCCTTCTTTTCTAGACTTCCCGAAAGGCGCAGAGGAGAACAACGCAGGCGACTGGTGGGAAACAAAAGTTCTTTCATCTGGCGAACTTTGCCTCGAGTTTTTCTTTCTGCATTTGGAGAAAACAGTCGACTCTTGTGATGTGTATATACCCTGCTTGTTGTTGGGAGTTTGCGACGGTTGCCTGCGTTGCCCTCTGTGTGCTCGGCCTGTTGTCTCCGGTGGCTCTGTTTTCTCAGCAGATTCTACTCATGTACGATGTATGCCAGGGTGGTTGTTTCGTGCCTATGAGCTGCTATTCGATCTCGATCTTTTCCCACTACCGAGTTCTTACATTTCTCTGCATCTATTATCGGTTTCTTCTACGCGAAACGGAGTGTGGCGGGATAGGAAAGGACATTGTTTTTAGTTTCTCTTTGGTCTTGTTCTGTTGTTTCTTTCTTTTTTTTTTTATTTTATTTTTGTTTTCTTGGAGCAGCGGTGCGAAGGATTCAATTGCCTGGCAAGGCAAGGAAATGCATATCTGACTATCCTACAATGATCGCCATCCAACTGGCTAACCCGGAGTTCTTGTCCACAATTGTTTGTTCGTCTCCAGTGGCGATTAGCGTCACTTGCGTCCAGTGTCACACAGACCACCGTACATTGGGCGCACCGCAGGATAGCCAATGGTACAATATAATCATCTATCTACTACTAGTCTACTACATACTACTGTGTACTGTCTGCTTCTTGGCCTGGTCTAGCACGATTTAATTGGGGTTGGACTCCACTAAGACCTACAGAGTAGACGCAGCTGCCTGATTCTTCTCTGAAGATGAGCTTGTGAGTTGTGAGATCCATGGACCAGCAGCCTTGTGCCACACCGAAGTGACTCACCGCCCCTTTTTTGGGGGAAGTCTGGTGATGAGAGAAATCTGCGACACGATATTATATTCTATTGATTAGACATTTTTTTGTCCCGGTGTCCGCTCCGGTGTGGTGGTGACTGTGAGTCAACAGTCGCAGCCTGAGGCATGTTTCCCGAGTCGTCTCGGGCGACAAGTCGGGAAAACACGGAGCGCGGTGACCACCGATGGAGCCGGAAAAGATATTGGTGCGAAGGTCACGTGATGCGACCAGTGCTGAGTGCCATGCCACGTGACTAGTGCCGAGGCTGCCCCCCCGTGCCATCTGATAAGATTAGATCATCCCCTCAATTGTCGGGTTGTGGTCACCTGCACGAGCACAAGTCAAAGCCATCCAAGAGGGAGACTCTCCCCCGCATCTCACTTTCTTCTCCTGCAACTACTGCGAATTAGTAAAAGGGGGAACTGTGAAGATACTGAAGCTACTGTCATCGTCAGATTATAACCACGCAAGCGCCTGTCGTCATGGGCCGTATTGTTACGCTCTCCGCACTTGCCCTTCTGTGCAGTCATGCGGTCCAGGTGGCTGCTATTCCGCCGTTTGTACCACAAGCCAATACGCTGAAGCAGGTGCTGCTAGGTGGCTTGGATTCGTTTCAGCCTGTGCCCTCTTCTGCAGTTGGGGATGATTCCGACCATGGCGATGCCGTCTACGTCACCCAGGATGCTACGGACAGGAACACCCAAACAATGAGACCGCCGTCATGGTTCACCTCGACGCTGATGGCGCGCCGTCTCCTCGCCCTCTCCACCACCGGCACCGTCTCCTCCATCTTCCCCGATCATCCAGCGAACGGTCACACCCCCGAGGCCGTGGCCGGCCTCTCCATCAGCCTCCCGGAGTACATTGCCGACTGCGACGAATCCCTCCCCACGAGCGACAGTAGCAGTAGCAACAGCAACGACAACGGCGGCGAGGGCAACCCAACCCTCCTCGCCCTCCGCGTCTCAACCACCTTCCGCAACACCGCCGCCGGCTCCAACATCAGCCTCGCCATCGACTGGTGGGACCACCTCGACCAAACCCAGCCCATCGCCCCGGGCTTCCCTCGCAGCGAGGCCGGCCTGCCACGCGTCACGCTGATCGGGTACGCCGAGCCATTCGCGACCCCTGTGCCCGACGACACGCAGGCCGCGCTCGAGGCGTGCTACCTGGCCGCGCATCCGGACGCGGAGGTCTGGCTGCCCGGAAAGCCCGGCTCGCCGCACGCGAGTTTCTGGGCCCGCATGGTCGTCACGCAGGTGTATTGGATCGGAGGCTTTGGGGGCTTCCAGCAGATCGGGTGGATGAATGTTACGGAGTGGAAGGGCATTCGGCGGCAGCGGAGTCTGCCGGGGATTGGGGATGGGCGGGGATGGGAGGATGTCAGGCTGCCTGGGGAGAAGGAGTAGGGAGACGCCGGGTCTTCCTCGCTACGACTTAGGACAGCAACGCAATTGTGTTTGTTATCGTGGGGTAGGCTGAGGTTTTTCCGTCATAGGGGTCGATTATCCCTGAATCATGAGATGCTTAGGTAGATTTCTATCTAGGTGCGTAAAGGTCTTAGCAGGCAGGTGCGCTGACTAATAGTAGGGTAAGCCTCCGAGATAGGACGGGGGCAAAGTTCCTTCTTTGGAGATACAGGAAGTCCTGGCTCCTGGGTGTGAATATCATTGTCTTCTTATCCTTATCACGGCTTGGTCCAGTGGCTCCTGTAGTCGATACACAGACACAGAAAGGGGGGATGTCACATGACAGAGTCAATTGGGCAGGGCCTGCCTGGAATAACCTCACGACTCACGAGTTCACAACCTCACAACCCCACAACCTCCCAACTCCCAACAGCCGTGCACGACTTTACCGCAAGCAGCCTATATAAGGTCCCACCCAACAGCTAGCTCAGTCGACTCCAAATCCCTTATCAAGTCCAGCTCTTCCCCCCGGGAGAGCCCTCGAGAAACGAAGGATTCATGCCATACTAAAATCCCCCAGGCAGGCTTGGTCGCGGCCCACTCGCATCATCCACGAGGCAATGCGTAGCCATGCCCACGAATCACTTTTCTTGCAACCCCAAATTTGCTATCGCTAAACGCTTATCAGACTTTTCGGGCGTTGACGCGAGACACCAGCCCCCAAGGAAACGCTTCGCCAATGAGACGGGCGACAGATAAGTCGAGAAGGCGATCGGCCATGCAGGGATACGCTGCCCTTATCAGGATGGGTGACAGCTTATCTCGACACTTGAGCTGGTCAATCAATGATCATGATTCATGATAATGCTTGATTATTGGGTACTACAATGTAAGGAGTATAAAAGGGGAAAGATGGAGCAGGGATTAAGATCGATGGTATTCATGGTTGATGCTGGTTACACGACTCCTCCCGTCTGCGGTCTGCCCTTGGATCACTTGTCGACTTTCCCCTCCCCTCCTGTTCTCTTTCCAAAAACGCAGTTTATCTGTGTCGATATCTCCGGCTATAAGATTTCACTCTTTCCGCAATGAAGTTCCGACGGCCCCATCTCCGTGTCACGCAGCCCAAGTCGGCTTTCGCCGAAGGGAATGCCCGCTGGACCAACCTCGACCTCGATCCAGTTCCCCTCCACCGTCGGAAATGGGGTCCTATGAGCTTTATCTGTGAGTTCTCCTGAGCTCTGAGACGTACCCCCGCGTGTTGGTCTCAGTCAGTTGTTGACTTGTGGCTTGCCCGCCCACTCCAGCATACTGGATCTCCGACGCCTTCAACGCTGCAACATGGCAGTTCGCTAGCAGCATCATCGCCGTCGGGCTGAGCTGGCGGGAGTCTCTCGCCATTGTCGCCATCTCCTTCTTCATCATCTCCTTCGTCATCGCGGCCAACGGTGCCGTCGGCTCCATCTACCACATCCCCTTCCCCGTCATCGCCCGCGCGAGCTGGGGCTTCTGGGGCTCCTACGTCGCCATCATCTCCCGTGTCATCCTGGCCGTATTCTGGTTCGCGATCCAGAATATGAACGGCGGCAATGCCGTGAGCGCAATGATCGGTGCCATCTGGCCGAGTTTTAGGACCCTGAAGAACGGCATTCCCGAGAGCCAGGGTATCACGACGGCGGGCATGGTGGGATACGTGATCTTCTGGATCGCGCAGGTCCCTTTCCTCTGCGTCCACCCCAATAAGCTGCGATGGCTGTTTGCTGCCAAGTCCATCATCGTGCCCATTGCGTGGCTTGCGATCTTGATCTGGGCGTTTGTGGCGGAGGGCGGAGGCGCCATCTTCGATCAGAAGCCGACGGTCTCCGGGTCGAAGTATAGCTGGCTGTTTCTGGCGAACATGACTTCGGTGCTGGGCAACTATGCCACTCTGAGTGTGAACCAGGTATGTGATGTTTCCGAACCTTTGAAGGTGAGGGACCAAGACGGCAGACTGACTCGGTCACTCGGTAACAGTCCGACTTCTCGCGGTACTCGCGCGTCAGCCCGAAATGGCAGCTGCTCTACATCCCCATGCTCCCCATCGTCTTCACCTTCATCTCGTTCATCGGCATTGCCGCCTCCTCGGCCGGCCAGTCGCGCTACGGCGGCCAGATCCCCTGGGATCCGATCGTGCTCATCAACCTGTGGCCCAACCGCGCGTGCCGCTTCTTCGCCGCCTTCTCCTTCGCCCTCACCTCCCTGGGCGTCAACATCTCGGCTAACTCCCTCTCCGCCGCCAACGACCTGACCGCGCTCGCGCCGCAGTACATCAACCTGCGCCGCGGCCAGATCATCTGCGGCCTGCTGTCGTGGTGCCTCGTCCCCTGGAAGATCCTCGCCTCGGCCGGCAACTTCCTCAACTTCATGGCCGCCTACGCCATCTTCCTCGGCCCCATCGGCGCCATCATGCTCTGGGACTTCTGGCTCATCAAGCACCGCAAGTACGACATCCTCGCCCTCTACCAGCCCTCCAACCCCACCTACCGCTACTCCTCCTGGGGCACCAACTGGCGCGCCATCGTCGCCTTCCTCGTCGGAGTCGCGCCTAACCTCCCCGGCCTGGTTGAGTCCGTGAACAGCAGCATCCACGTCGGGGTGGGCATCCACCCGTACCAGTTTGGCTGGATGCTCGGGTTCGTCGCCACGAGCATTGTCTACGTGGGTCTGTCGTATCTGTTCCCGGCGCCGGAGACGATCATCGAGCGGGCCGTGCTTGCGGATGAGATCTACGATGCCCGCGGCACGGTGGAGGGGCTGGAGGTGGGCTCAGAGGAGGTGCTGGGCGACGGGGACCGGGAGGAGAAGATGTTGGGTACGAAGGAGGCCATACGGGAGACAAAGGGGGAATGAACGGGAACTGTAAAATAGTTTGGTCACTTGTTATGATTTGACGTGAGAGAAAACTTCCTTTTTATGTACAGAATTTTGGCCTGGCCTAGCCTGTTATAGCATGACATGACATGGCTTCTGAACCCCTTGTGGGTGGTAATGATTGTCAGATGGTGACATGTAGGGCTGGTGGTATGGTATTTGACCAGATCGTACCGAGCTGAGGAATTCCCCTTGACTCAAGGCACGGGTGGGCTTCCGCGTAGTCCGTCATGGCGGCCCTGGATGCTGCAGGGGTTGCCTGTCCCCAGCACGGCTCCGGTAAGAATATTGTATAAGCCCACAGAGGCAATGAACGACCAGGAAGTCTCTCGATGTCGAACAATCCGCCCACAAGGCCTCGCAGCTTTGAATTGCCGTACTCGCCGATATACCGCGCGACCCAAGCCGTCAGAAAGAACCCACTCGGGGGCCCAGTAATCATATACCAACGAGACAACCCTCGCCCCTTTTCAAGGACCCGGCCCGTACGCAATCGCCTCCTTAAGCACCTTACTCACCCCCGCCGACGCCCGGCCGACCTCGCCGCCCTCGCCGCGCGCCCCCTCCAACCCGCGCTGCACCGCGCCGAGAAACCGGCTCGCGAAAACCCGGTACCGGTCCTCGCGCGTCTCGTACATCTCGCCTTCCTCGTCCCGCGGCTGCCCGAACAGGTTCAGATGGATGTACGGCGCCGACGACCGCGGCACCATATGCTGCGCCGCGTGGCGCAGCGGGAACTCCCAGCCGGCGACCCCGGCTTCCGCGTCGCTCGCGTCCAGCCCGATCGCCGCCTCCGCGGGCCGCCCGATCCCGACCTGCAGGAACTCCGCCAGCGCGCCCAGCATCTTGATCATGGGCTTTCCCTGGGCCCCGGCCTTACCGAAGGAGGCGCGCGTCGCGGACGCGGACGCGGATACCGACGCCGACGACGACGAAGACCACTTGGACGACTCCTCGGTGTGCCAGCCCAGCACGGACAGAAAGCAGTTGAGCGTTTTGATCCAGCCGCCGGCGCAGGCGACGACCTCGGCGCCCGCGACGTCGACCAGCCACGCGAGCACCTCGACGGCGGACACGCGGAGGTCGGCCGCGAGGTGGGTCATGCCGGCGCGGATGTACGGCAGCAGCTGCGCGACGTGGTCCTGCACGTCGGCGGGCGGGAGCGCGCGCAGCAGCTTGAGCAGCTGCGTGCGGACGCCGTTGCTGGCGTCGAGGATGAGGGGCAGCAGCGTGGGGAGGATGGCGCTGACGGGCTGCGGGAGGGGGGAGTCTACGGGCCGCGAGACGATGGAGGTCGTCAGGTGGGCGAGGGAGTCGCGGCGCTGCGTGTCGGATTTGGACGAGGTGAGGGAGAGATGGTGGGTGAATTGGGCGTCGGCGGAGGGCGCCGAGATGTGCAGAGATTGTTGGTTGAGGACGATGGCTGCGGGTTGGCTTAGCCGGGGGGGTTTTTTTTTTTTTTTTTTTTTTTCTCCTCTCTTTCATAGAGCCTTTTGCAGGAGGGGAATGGACAGAGGCTTACATTTGGCCTTGAAGCTGGTGTCGGTGAAGTTCTCAGGCTTTGCTTTGGTCTTGCCGACTCGCAGTTTTGTTTTCTGGTATTTGGTGGTCAGCAATGCTTATCGCGGTTGAGATGGGTGTGCAACTTACTTGGAAATCCTTCTTTTTTTCCTTCTTCTTTTTCGCGCTGGAACCCATTCTGGCGGATTATGACCTTCGACGCCGCACCCAGACGCTTTCAATCTCAAACCGTCTGGACGGTGATACTGCCTTCAAAATTTTAGGCCGACTTGAGATATGAGACTCCGCAGGTCGCCCACGCACAAGTGACGAGACGAGGTTGAATGTGCGGTAATTGCTCTTGACCAGAGGCTACAGAGATGATTTCAAGTGTTTTCGAACAAAGTTACTGGGTTTCTGGCGTGCCAGCGAGACTGATTCCGGATGATGTCTTGACGCCGTTTCCTTTTTTTTTATGCAACGGCACGTGATATCATGTGACTGATAGCCTGAGGCAGCATGGCTCACCCAGTATAAGTCAGTGGGAGTTCAACAGGTGGATATCAAGTCTAATTCCACGGCGATGCTATGGAATGGACTTTGTATAAAATATATATATATTTATATATTCCTGGGTCCAGCTAGGAGAATTGACAGAAATATGATCAATTATGGCGTGGCCTTTGTCATGCTCAGAATCCAAGTCAATTCTACCCTGTCACTATCATCATCCATCTGTACTACTGCATTTACATCTGGAATCCCTAGGGGCATAGTCTAGAGTAGAAGAACTATTAGAACCAATTTCTAAGCCCATATCCAGCTGGCCATTATGGCCTTGAACGCCTTCTTGCACCCTCGCAGCATCCAACTCAATCCACCACATCGACAAAACCAGAAAAACAAACCTCAAGCTTCCTCCCCAGACCCATTCATCTCGTCCGGGTATGGGACCCCCCGAAAAGCCCAATTCCGGGGGGCTAATCTCTGCGGCCACTTCGCATATCATCTGGCAAGCATCTGTTATGTAGTCCGTTGCAGCTCATGCCCCTTTACAACCATCAATCAGCCGAACCATCCCAATCCACACACCACACCACCAGACAAAGAAAAAGAAAAAGAAAAAAAAAGACATACCCCTTGATCCACCCCCCAGCGCCTTCGCCACCGTCTCCTGCGCAGCCTGCAACATCCCCTTTCCACCAGACCCTCCATCCCTCTCCCCTTCCCCCCCCTCAAACGACTCCTGCCATTCCTGCGCCCGCATCCCACGCGGCACATCCGATAACCGCCGCCTCGTCGACGAGGTATCCCCTGCCATCACTCAGCCCTCAAATCATAACCGCCGCCCGTATAGGGGGTTGGTGAGGAAGGATAATGGAAGGGGTAGAGGGACAATACCCGGCTGCATGGCTGCGGCGATCTGATCCGCGACGCTGCTGGCGGATTCCTTGGTGTGGTCGATGAAGGACGGGTTGTGCAGCGTTGGGGTGATGGGGTCGGAGGCTTCTTCGGGGTAGGAGGAGCGGTTGTCGCCCTGGTGGGACGATGTGAGTATGGGATCTATCTTGTTTGGAGTTGGGGCTGGGGTTCGGAAGAGGGAGAGAGGGAGAGAGGGAGGACAGACTGCCATTGCGGACATGGGTGTATGGATAGATGTATAGACTGGAGTGCACTGAATTGGGGGTGATGGTGAGATGGGTTATACTAACTACTACGACAGACGAAGGAGAGATATAAGATGGATATCATGATGTGATGTCATGCTCACGCAGAGCCATCTTGACTGACTTCATAATAGAATCAGATCAGTGTCCATCGTCCAGGTCCAGAAGTGATTTCAATAAGTGGAAAATGCCCGTATATTGGACTCAAATACACAAGCTCGGCATAGGTCTATATGATTAAGAATATCGCAAAGAAAGAATAATGAGACTAACATCAGAATCAAACACAGAGATGCGCACTTCTGCCCGGCCCCAAGTCCCAGTTAAAAAAAAAAAAAAGATTGAAAACATGGGAGCAACACAGAAAACCGAAAAGACAAGAGTCGCAGAGAAAGCACACACGCAAAATGGCAACAAGACTCAAGAACAGTGAGACTGGGGGTTCCGGACAGACGCGATTGTATCAAGCAAACTGAAATCATCAAATCAACATGAAAACGCAGACAAGGTTGGTGTTCTGTATCCAATCTCCCGGTCCCACACCACGTATGCGCGCGGCTGACTTGGCACGAAAGAAAAATAAATAGAAAATAAGGAAGAGTCGAAGATTATCGGCAACCATTATCATAAGCCGGTTGCCGGTTTTAGGGAAAGACGTGTATCGCGACCCTCTCCCTTCCATTACCACATGTAGACATCACCAATCTGTGGGAAAGAAGAGAAACCCGGAAAGAGTATCGCAGTAGTCATGTTCATGTTTCCCAGATCAAAGTCCATCATGCCTGGCGTGGTATCCTGCTGCACCCATTTTCGCCCTCGATCCTTTTGTGTTTCTTCGATTCGTGTCAGTCGTAGGCAATTTTGGTTCGTCAGAGGGCACTTCATCGGTCAGGCCACGGTCAACATTATCAAAACACCTTCTTCGTCTAGTAGCAACTCCTTCCATCCCCTGTTGATCTCAGCTTCGAGCGTAATTCGTCACATCTATAAAGTCATGGCGTAAAAAAAAAAAATAAAATAAAAATAAAAAATTCAAAAAAAGGAGTCGAGAGTGCCCCCCTGGTTAGACTGGAGGGGAGAATGGGAACAGATGGCAACGGAGTTGGAAGCATTTTTCAGCCTATAGACTCATGGTCAACCACTCCCATTCTTGACTCGCACCCTGTCCCCCAGCTATACTGTGGTTCGCCGGATTGGCCGCGGCGGGAGGCATGGCTGGTGCCAACGGAACCACCTTGGACCGGCCGCCCAACGAGCTGCTCGCCTTGTTGCTGTCATCAACTCCATCCACATCACTGGCCTTCTCCAATCGCCGTTGACGCTTGGGGGCCACCTGGACAGAACTGCGACTTTGTGCGGCACTCGAGGGAGTGGACTTGGGTGGTGCCGCGGCAATGGGGACGACACCAGACTTGCCCATCACGGCGGCCGCGCGGATGGCGGGTGCTGGAGCGCTTCCAGACATCGCAGGTGGCGATTCGGAGGCAGTGCCGCTATGCGCGCGACTTGAGGTGGGCGGTGTCACCGCTGCCTGCTGGACCGAGTTCTTGCGGGATGACTTCTTGGTCGAGCGGGAAACGCCGACAGCCAGGCTGTTGGCGCTGCTGCGGTTCCGCTTCTTGATGACATCCGTCTTCAACGACAGCGGACGAACCACTCCGTGGAGCTTGAGGAAGAGACCGCACGCGTTGCAGAGAGGCTGGCCTTCCGGGTTGCGGCGCCACAGCGGGGTGGTTTGAGTAAAGCAGTTGGTACAGGTCGTGGGCCCAGTGTTCTGCTCGCCGTTCTTAGAGCCACCAGGGCTGGCCGGCCGGGACGGAACAGCGCTGCTGAGTCCCGATTCCGGAGGCGTATTGGGCGAGGTGTGAGAGGTGTTGTTCATGCTCTGACGCAGGAGCTGGTTGGCATTCGGCGTGGAGGTGGTCCGAGCAATCTTTTGACGGCGAGGATCCTGCTCGCGATTGCGCACTTCACTGACCGAGGCCACGGACCCATGCGTACGGCCTAGGCTGCCACCGTGGTTCCACTCACTGGGGATATCCATCATATCCGCCGAGCCAATGGTGACATGCTTGCGGTGCTGCGCGCTGAAGCCAGGCAGCGAATGGAACGATCCCGGGAACTGCGACTCCCACGGCATCCCGTTCATCTCGGGAGGATTGTCATCGAAATCCACAGGCATAGCCAAGCCCGCACGTTCGGGGAAGTTGGTGCCATCGTCATCCTCGTTATCCGAATCCGCGCCGAACGAGAAGATGCCAGCATGCGAGTTGGAGGTGGGGAAGTCACTTGGGTTCAGCACCTGAGTGGGATCAACGTGTTGCTGGTGAGGAATGGGATAGCCGGGCGAATGGACGGCAGATGGAGGATTGCTCACGTGGGGCAGTCCGTGCTGCTGCTGCTGTTCAGTGTTGGTATTGTTGTTGTACATGTATCGAGGCTGCAGCGAAGCGGATAGATTGGACCGCTGCGTGATGTAACTGGGAACACGCCGCTGAGTCCGAGCATCGATCGAAGGCATATCAAAATACATGGAATGCTCGCCATCGTACGTGGGTTGAGGGGTCGACACGGTCGACTGGTAGCCCGATGGAGGCGGAGAAAAGAAATCGGTCGAATTGAGCGACGAGGCGACGGGGGTTTGAGCATAGAGGTTGGCAAAGGGGTTTGCCGAAGTCATTGGAGAGTCGCTGGGGGAGAAAGTGAAGTGAGACTGGTAAGGACCAGCCGAGGCGAGAATGGGATCTTCGCCCAAGTTGAACGTATCCAGCCCAAAGGGAACGCCCGGTGAAGTGTGATTGTTGTGACTTTGGGAGGCACTGTGAGGGATGGCAAACCCGGCCGACGACGAATCCAAGGTATAGTCCGGAACACCGGCCGACAAATCCAGATCCTGAGCCAACAGGGCATTCGAGACGGGCGGAACCTGCGGAGACGACTCGGCCGGCCGCTTGCGGGTGGGGATCTGGAGATTGAAGAACTGCCGCTCATCAATGCTGGTCTTCCGCACGCGACGCGGCACGTAGCCAAACTCGTTGTTCCGGCGCTGATTTTGAGGCGGGTGAGGGAGAGAAGCCGGCACAGGAGTGGATTCGGCCGACTGCTCCTTCCGCGGTTTGATGGGTATCGCCATGGATGATCGTCCTCCTCTTTCTGCGGGAGGCGACTGCGGGCGATCGGCAGGAGAGTCAATAGGAATAATGAAGTCGTCGATGTTCATGGGATCGGATGCAAGGTCGATGGCCATCGAGGGGTGTGCAAAGGTCGGTGGACGGTCGGCCTGACGAAGCTGGGCGATCCCGCTCGGCCCCAAGCTCCCACTGCTTTGCATTGTTGGGCTATATTGTATAAGAGCGACGGTTAGTCTTCAAACAAGGGACGAGCGCATCGCAAGTAGAAAGATAAATCTCGCTTGATGTTTTTTTTTTTTTTTGTTTCTTTCTTCTCGGGAGGAAGTTAAAAAAGAAAAAAAAAAAAGCCTACCGAGACTGCTGGAGCCGTTCCCGTTCTTTCCGTTTTAAACTCATGGCCATCATGCGCCAGGTGAGGTTTTCCATGCGCTCCTGGTTGGGCAGCTGAGCTTTTGTTCTAGAGTAGAGCTTCCATATTTGCGTGGCCAATGGATCGGTTTTCTGCAGCTCATCTGGGTTTTCTACCCCCGGTCGTGGAGCACCGTTTCTCCACTCAGGGAAGAGAGAGTCGTGCAGCAGACCGTCCTGGACGTGAGACGAATCCGGTGGACTGATGGAGGAACCGAAGGAGAAATCGTCGGATAGTTGGGAGGAGTGATGGAAATTGGTGGAGGATCGGTCAGGGTCGGCGACGTCGTACCGAGAGAAAGCGGAGGCAGCGGATGCGGTCGGTCGCGCTGCCTCAGGCCGTCCTCCATGGCTCATCCCCGACATGATCCCGGTCTGGAAAGGTATATATAGCCCCGTAGTCCGAGGTAACGGAGATATAGATTGGGAAGGAAAAGGGAAGGAAAGAGAGATAAGGAATCAGGAAAGAAAGATAACCGGAGAGGAGTCCGAGGGAGAGATAAGGGGAGAGAGAAAAAAAAAAAGGCCGTACGTTCGCAGGGAGAAGAGAGCGGCGGCCCTTGGTGGAACACCGCGAACGAGAAACTGAGGGGAAAGGGAACACCAGCACGAGGAAATCAATTGTGCGTCTACCCGCCGTAAACGACCAGATCCGAGATCCCTGGTCGAGAGGGATATTAATAGGGGTTTTAATTTGATTGATGCAGAGAACGGGCCAGTGGATGGCGAGGCTAGGATCTCGTTTTGATGCAGTCAGACGGTTGTTCTGGAGAAGAGTCGAGTCGTCGAGGACTCCGTTTCGTCGAGTGAGAGGGAGAAGTGAGAGAAAGAAGATGACTAGACTAGCAGTAGAGTAGTAGCAGGACAGGACTGAGTGAGAAAAGGTCAGCCAAGCTGTGGCTCTCAAGTACATACGCCATGGGGAATGAAGGAACTTCCCCCCAAGAAAAAGAGAACAAGTGCATGCTTACCCAGGTCCGGTACAGGTACTTTTGTGTTGATGTCTTGCGCTGTCTCTCTCTATCTATTTTCCTTGGAAATTGCTTTCGTCAATGATCTTGTTCTTTTTTTTTTTTCTTGCTTTGTGCGTGTCTGAGAGGGAGGAAGGCTAGGCCCTCCAGACGCACAGGACCAGGAAGTTAATCAAGATGGGTCAGGGTGTATCAAGAGGGGATGGGAGACACGGAGAAGACTAGAGAAGAGCTTTGACCAAAGCAAAGCGCACGGAGCAAGGATAAAAAGAAAGGAAAAAAAAAAAGCAAAGAACGGAATTCAGAAGAGGGATAGAGGTCCAATCCCAGCAGATCACGTAGGATAAGTGAGAGGAGGAGGGAGAGGAGGGGGGGGAGGCTAATTGCACGAGCTCTGGCCTTGCATAAATAGGACTGTGTGGAGGAAGAAAAATGACAATGGAGAGAGAGAGAGAGATGAAGAGGAAGAGAAGAAGAAGAGGAAGATGGAGATGGAGATGGAGCTGGAGATGGGGGGAGAACAGTCCTCCGTAAAGAGGATGATGACGAGGTGGAGGAACTTTACTTACAGCAACAGAATCAGAATAAGAAAAGGGAGAAGAGGAGGAGGAAGAAGGAGAAGAAGAAGAAGAAGAAGAATCCCTACTCTCAGTTGCTCCCAAAACTCATACCACCAGATCAGAAGCCGAATAGAGAAAGCAATTATGATGATGATTATTATTCGCAGCCTGGAGATTTTCCTACTTTCCGCCGTAAGAAAAGAGAAAATAAGCAAAAAGGAATCCAACGTCCGGGCGGAGCAGAAACATACTAATAGTAGTAGGTAGTACTCTAAGGTATTAATTAAGATTTGATAATTCATGATTCTGATGGGAATCATTGCGGTTGCTAAGCCTATCTACATCGACATCATGCATATGCGCCTTCCCACTACTCCCACGATAAATTAGATTGAAAACACTATTGATGGGACATGTCATGCTCTAGTCTCTTCTCTCTCTCTCTCTCTCTCTCTCTCTCTAGTAGACTCCTCCCCTCCCATCGTTCTCAATAACTGTCTAGATACACTCTCTCCAGAGTGGCCGAGTACAGTTGTCATGACCTGAAAGAATACGCCGTAATGCGTATTACCAAAACCATCTTCCAGGGTCAATTTGAATCCCGGGCTCCAGAGTGGCGACCCGGATTTTAGCTGTTTTTTAGACTTTGGCCATGGATGTTCTCGAAGGAAGCTTTGTATCCAGAGAGATTCAGACAGATTTCCATCATCTGTAGGTAGTCTTATTGTACAATAAATATACAGTAGTCTCCGGATTATATATTGAGAACTAGAATAGAATAGTATATATATATCTATATAGATATATATATACTTCAAAACTTTCCCTCTACTCAACAATGCAATGGGATCAACAACAGGAAACAATTTTCCGTCCTCCAGCCCTCCAATTTCAACGGCTAAAATCCAATCCAATCCTACCTCTTCCGCCCAGTAACTACTAACTACTAACTACTAACCGAGACTTTTTCTTAGTTAGGTACCTCCTACTACTAGTTACTAGTTCCCACTACCTACTGCCTGGTGTCCAATCATACTATCCAGAACCCCCCCCCTTCTTCCCCCGCCACACGAGCTTACCAGGGGACGGACTTGTAAAGTTGTAACTTGTAAGGCACTTCGTGTCCTTCCGCTTCAGTGACTCTCAAAGCATCGTGATTCGTGCTCTTCGTTCTGATTCCCCGGTACTGTGTCATCCGGCATGTGTAAAAGTACGGACACTGAATCGAGAGAGTCCCCAGTCCGCGCAACAAGCTCTACGGACCAGTCATCCTGAAGCTCTAGAATCAATCCCCCATCTCTTCTTTCCACTAACGAGAGCGGGATTCGGAATCATTCATTGAGAATGCCATGGCTGAGAGAATCCTTGGCTCAAATTGATTCCCCCCTGTCTCATTCAATGGCGAAGAAATAATGGGGTGATTCATGCTGACTCCTCCGTTGCAAATCCATCAATACTACGGAGGAGAAAGAGATCTCATCGGATGAGAATCTGTATACTTCGGGCCAGGGGTGAACATCTGAGACAAGAAGGATGCGTAGAGGGACTGGAGCTTAGACCATGTCCGGAAGCTGATCGAGGATTGGGGCGGACAAGACGTCTATGCCCTATGTAGGGTGCACAGGTGCACCGCGACTGGATAGTGTACCGCTGTCTCGAATCTCGAACCTCGATAGATAGAAACTCCGTGCTCGATAGTGAATAGTCAGACGCCATCCGCAATCGCGCCGCCATGGCCCATGCGACTGCAAAGTTCCTGAACGTAGCGCCGATTCGGGCCGATTTTGGGCCTCGTTGGGTAGCGTGTCCGTTTTCTAGCCCGGAGCCCGCATCCACTGCACAATGCTGACTGCACCCTGCAAACTTGTGTCTGGCTCCGCTCATCGGACAGTCACCACAAGCCAGGTTGGACGCTGCTCCGGGTATAGGAGGGAGTAATATAATACATCTGCCAGACTCACGCTAGTGTTCCTCAGCGGAGCGGGACCTTCATGTCCAGGTCGAACACTCGCGCATCCCCGTCTGGACCGGCCACGTCCCGAAAATCTAAGGTGCACGAAGCCGCAGTCTTGCACACTAGACGCCAGATGGCTGGAAACCTCGGAAGAAATCATCATTTACATGACAACAACCCCCAAGACCCAAGCCCGTCCGCTTGTTTGTCGGATCGTCCGCGAAAGAAGGACAATTCTCGGACTTGAGGGCATCAGATGGAGGAGAGACAAAGGAAGCTAAGAAGTCAGGCTAAGCAAAGGATAAATATCCGGTCGGTGCAATCATGCAGTGCCATTATTGAGACGTGCTGCGAATCTCACCGAGAGTCGTTAGGTTCCTATTTTACCCGAGCCTTCGTATGAAACACGTAACAAACAGATCGTTGGTGCGTCTCGTCACCACCCTTTCAAGAGGCTGGTATTGAAAGGACTAAACCAGCATTAATCGACATGCCTTCTTACCAGAGTTGGTAACTTGACCACGGTGATTCAGATTGATGGACTGTTGATCTCCACTCAGTCTGTTCCTCCCATTGCGGGGTTCTTATTCTTGCACCTCCTGTCTATCTCGGTTTCAAGTCAGTGACAACTGGCAATGCGCCAATAAGATGATCATTAATCATAAATCCGTTCTTGTCAAGGACTTCCGTATCATTGACGCCGCCCGTATTTTCCTAAATGGGATTCGAGTTCAGCGCCCAGGATTTGCCCGGTGCAGCGTCATAGAATCCGCTTGACCATCGCTTGCGTCCCGCCGTAGCGAGAGGAGCGACTAGCAAAGTACGTCCAGAGCACCAAGAAGTGATAGCAAAGCCACCCGCGCCAAGCTGCAAAGGTTAGCGAGATTCTCCAGGCATGGAGAAAGCTGTCAATTAAGCACGAGCTAGAAAATCAGCACGATTGGAACGTGGAACCGAGATGAACGAGGAACCCGAAGACCCCAATGCCGTGCCAGAGATGGTCGCTTATGAAGCAAGCAGTTGGCCCAGCACTCGACCACTCCTGCTTGTCCCGTCAGGCAGACCAGCCAGTCTGCTAGACAGGGCAGATGGTAGTCTGTGAGCTGTGGGTATTCCAGTTCGGCCCCACGCGACAAACTCACAAACAGCGAGGGAGGAACTCCACCAGCACTAGTCTAGCGGCTGATTAAGATAGAGATATCGTGGACTCCCACGCTGCGATCGAGATAAGGCAAGATAACGCTGATAAGCACACAACAAAGTAATTAGACTTGGTCATCTGAGGACCAATCGACGACAGCAGCCAGGCACCCGTGATCGGGACGAATCACCTCGGCGCAAAAAGGACGGGAGTCAGCCGGTAGGCTTCCCCCTGTCACTCGTCAGTCGAGAAGGGGCATTTCAGGTATTGGGCCAAAGCGGGTGATCTGCTTAAACGATCAGCTCTTCCAGTTTCAACAGAAACAGCATCCTTTAGGACGAGTGTCTGTCCCGGTGGCAAACCGGTATGAATGATGATGGGATATATTGCCGAGATGCAACAAAACCCACGATGGAGCGAGGGACGGCATAGATACTAAGAGCTTGAGAGGGGGAATGTATTGAAAACTGAAATTGAGGGAGGGATGGTGGATGAGTGGCGCACTCATCCTGCATGGGCAGCCAGTTAGAGTCGACCTTGGGGCCTTGCATATGTCCCCTCATAATGCTGACTAAGAGTTCCAGTGAGGTTAATTCGCCCAATCCGCGATGGGCGAGTGTCTGAGTCTTTAGTCCTTCTGCCTTCTGGTTATCAGGAAGAGACTCCTCCACTTCTTAGATCAAGCCACCAAGAGATGATGGACAGGGTTGCCGTTTGAGCATGTTGCACTCTGCAGTCCTGCGACCTGCACAGGCCAGAGCCTCAAGGGAATAAAAAGCAATTCGAACGGACACGAACAAGACCGTGGACTGTCATCCGTTGAAGGTCAAGAGGACTCGGAGATTGTACGGAGCACACACGGACGAGAATCCGACCAGTGACTGTGGCAATAATAGTAACATTTCCGACCCTTGGGATGGACGATTGATAGCCAACGCTAAATGGTCGGCGAGGCAGACATCGATGATGATCGAGCTCCACATCATGCAATATCGACTTCTCGACTGATAGGTTTTACTGGAGCCCGTCAGCAGCATTGGAGAGCACCAGCGACGATGACTGACGTACGCACCTGGCTCAATTGGTATGAGAAAGACGGACCTGAGTTGTAGCATTCCGGAGGTCGCGTACAGGAAGTGTTAGTTCGATAGTAGTAGTATATTCGGCCCCAAGACAAGCAATACTGTTTTGTGGACTTGTGCTACATACCAGACCCAGTCAGCCACTCCGCTTCAAAAACATGCGGGTTCTTCCCCCCAATGATCCCCATTTCCCCCAGTTAAAAGAGCAATCCGGAGGAACAGCTATTCCATCTTTAGTATAGATGTTTCGTACCTTTTCGTACCTCTTCGGCGATGATCAGATCTCCCCCCCCCGCATCTCACAGGCAGTGACCGCCACAAAGAAGGGTACTTTTGCTCAACACCATGAGAGTGGAATCACATCTCCCCACGCTGCATGGAGGACGGACCATCCTGAGTTGTTGTCGGCCAGTCACGGTTCCCGCTGGCATTTTTTTTAATGGCGGCTGTGGCGGGAAAGGCTGGAATAATACGGGTGCGGCTTCTCCCTCTCTCTCTCTCTCTCTCTCTGACTCCCCGCCCCCCTAGCATTTGTGTCTGCATCTGGTCTCGATATAACCGTCGCGTTCCGGAGGGATGCGGCGATAACAGACGGATGCCTTGATCAATTCGTAAGTATCTGACGGGGGAAGGTGAAGAGTGGTGGTCTGCTGGGTAAGCGTGTTGTTTCTGCCAAGGCGCCGTGGGGAGACTGGATGAACTAGAGAGAGAGCTGGTATATAACTCATGCTGGTGACACCTGACCGTGTACGGATGGATGGATAAATAGCATGGATCTCAAGGCTGGAAGAGACCAGCATTTTCAGATCACGACATGACAAGAGAGAGAGAGAGGAACAAGAAAAATGAAACCGAAGAAAGGACGAAGAAAAGAAGAAGAAGAAGGAGAGAAGATGAGGAAGCGGGAAAAAAAAAAAAAAAAAAAAAAAAAAAAAACTCCTTTGATATCACAGTAAGATGCTCTCTCACTTGAATCCCATCAACATGATTTATATTCTCTATCATCACCCAGCAAGCAGCCGATAAGGCGTCATCCACAGCCCAGACCAGGTAAAATGATAATCGCTATCAAAGAACACGCAGCAAAGATCAGAGAAATCAAAGTCAGAATCTCAAAATCCTCTTTCTGCAGTCCAATAGGATGATCCAGACCAGCCTTTTTGTATGATCTGCTCTGTTTCCCCCCCGTCCAAAACTCTCAACCATCCGAAGAAACCCAAGACCGGGTCACGATAACTGCTGCAGTTGCGCTGGACTGGGAAGATAAGACCAAACACCGACTTTGGTTCGATTGTTCCCGACATGTCAGGGAGAGTCTCCTACCTACAGGGTCCTTGTCCATCACCATCGCAGACACGAAGCAATGAGAGTGCACGACACGCGAATCCGAGCATCTCAATGGCTGCTTCTGACACGGGCTGGTTATCTCGTTTTCTGTTGAGCATGAAATAAAATGAGAAGGCTTGTCGATTTATTTTTTATTTTTATTTTTTTTTTTCTATTTTGCTTTCCTCTTTTGTTTCTTTTTTTTTTTTTTGTTATCCTTTTCGTCTGTGCAGGTAGTGTGTTGTAGACGGAGTATCTATCTCACATCTCACAGCTCCCTTCGATACTCGATACCCTTTCTCCAGATCTCCCCTCTCCACAAGATTCAACCCCCCCCCCCCCAGATATCTTCTGCCTTCCGTCTTGATTACTCAAACTGACATTATTCATCATCCACCGCAGGAATCATCCCCTGTCTTAGTGTATCATGTCAAAAAAGCATCTCGACCCGTCTCAGGACAAATCCGCAGCCCCGACTCCTTCCCTAGCGCAGAGTTTTTTTTTTTTCCCTTTTCTCCCTTTTTTTCCCCGTCCCAGATCCCTGTCTGTCAGTGCCAGTGCAGTGCCATCCTTTGATAAGAGCCTGGTCCTGGTCCTGCCTGCTTATCCTCGATGTCGATCTCTTTCTCTTCGTGCCAGGGTATGACAAAGTAACGCTAGTTGAACGGTTGGGATGAGGGTTGTGATAAGGCTTCAGAGAAAACATCCCCCGTGCCCATGGGACATGCCTCACATCTTGTCCAGGTGACGGCCTCCGTAGCTACCGAACCTGGCTGTAGAAGAACCCTAGCCTCTTGCCCCAAGCCCGATACTGACAGTGACGGTGACGGTGACGGCTGGTCGATCAGCGTTGGCTTTCTTTTATGGAGAAAGAGAAAAAGAAAAGAAAAGAGAAAGGCCTTCTGGCTCAGGGACTTGCCAGTTGCTTCTCAAATTCTATATTAGTAACAGACAGTGCCTGTATTCTAACCCCCAACCCGTCCGGACGTAATCTCGATTAAACAAATAAATGACGATCTTATTAGTCGAGGGCGTTGACGGCCTCCTGGGCTGCATATCTCTGCGGTTCAACATGTGTTTGTTATCTCTCGTGCGGGAGGAAAACGATATAAGAATACGGGATTCCCGGGTCTCAAGCTTTCTAGCTTTCTATTTGACTTTCTAGGGTATCTTCTATCTCAAAAGCGGCTGGGAGCAATATGCAATATACATGAAAGGTGGCCTGGTTGGTTTTTCTCCACCGTGGGCTATTGTTTATTTGCAAAGAAGGCTTCAATATCTCTAGCCTCAGAACTGATGATTTGTACAGAGCATCGGGCCACACCTGACACCTGCCACTGAAACCTCGATTAACATGGTGGCTCCTAGCTACTGGCTCTTAACTGTTCCCAGTCAGAGCTTCATCCCAGGCCGAAAGAAATTCATGTAAGAAGTTCGAGGGTGTAGGTGTAAATGAAGGAATCTGAAAAGTTAATCAGCGCGGCAAGACCGTTGATTTGTTTCAACGCAGAGCCTGCGCGTGGAAGCCGTTCGGTCTCTCGTTGATTTTGTCTGCTAGCTCTCGCTGCAACCCTCAAGGATCGTTCTCTGCAGTCCTCTTCCAGGGCTGTAGGGTGAAGATCAGAGCCACGCCGCCAATGACTCGATGACTCGATGACTCGATGACCTGCACAACAAGACGCCAGACAGAGTGCAGAATAACAAATGTCCCGGATGTGGTAGAAGTAAGAATCGAAATGAACATGAACAGATAAAATAACAGATGCATAAAGTTCAAACAACTCTAAATGAGGACTCCTTTGCGGATCAACAATATCAAGGGAAAGAGGTATCGCAATGGAAGAAACGAATAACCAAAGAATGCCGCCCAGAGATCCTTTTTTTGCGCCCGCTAATGACCAGTGTGCTAAAGGTGAAATGCGCGTCACGGGTTGAAAATATATGTATGAAGAAGAATCGAACGAGATGAGAAAAAAGAAAAAAAAAAAAAAAAGCATGCAGTCACGGGGGGTATATTCAGAGATCCTTTTGATTAATGGTTTCCTTCGTCGGGTTAGATCAGGCTGTATGTGGCTCATTCAAGCTTATGACGCTGGTGGTGGGCCCTGCCCGGGATGCCCCATGTGTGCCGGGGGTGTGCCGAATGCCGCCTGCTGCGTGGGACCCCCTGGGAACATCGGATACTGAACAACATTCATTGTCGACAAGCCGTTCATGTCTTGCCACCCGGGGTAGCCCATGGTGGCCGGCTGCCCGGGATATGACATAGACACCGTTGTCCCCTGCAAGTCGGCCGGCGGAGGGCTCTGCGGGTTCATCTGGGTTGCAGGGAACCCCTGGGCTGGGCTGGTCATCCTGCGCTTGAGGTCCGGGTGCACCTGCTGATTGAACTGGCTCGGATTCGGATACGCTGCCATATCCGGCTGTGTCGGGAAGGTCATCGAGCGTGGTAGCGGGGCCACGGGCCAGACTGAACCATCGGGTTGTACAGCGTATGTTTGTACGGGGCTGATGGGCTGCGACTGCGACGGCACTGTTGGCGTTGCGGGCATTCCCGGGGTGGGTGGCATGGGTGCCATTGCGTTGGGCCCCGAATTCCATACGTGTCCGGACATATTCATCATCGGGGGCTTCCCCACGGCCATGTTGTTCAGCATCTGTTGATCGGAAATGGTGGTGAATTCATCCCACGGCACCGAGGGATCTAAGGGTGCTGTCGCAAAGTCGGTGGATCCTACCATGCAGGTTCCAAGTCAACAAAGGCTGTCATCACATGGCAGAGCTTGCCTTGCGTCCCATAGAAATGATGGATCATGACCTACCTGGTACAAAACCCGACATGGGATGGCCGGGGAAGGTTGTGGTCGGATACCCCGCGGCATCCTGGCCGGCCATGGGCATGGGTTGGTACGAGTAGTACGACTCTCCATGGTCCGGGCCACCACCGAGGGGAGGCGGCGAGGACGAAGTGGTCGAAGGGTCTGTCGAGGCACTCTCCAATCGGGAGTTTGGCCGGGATTTCCTCTCTACTGGCGGCTGCTGATCGACGGGGAAGAACTGGCATTCTTTGCGCAGTCGGATGCAATTTTCGCATCGACCCTGAGCGTCATCCGCAGCCACGAGACATCGAATCTTTCGGCGTCGGCAGTGTACTATTTGAGCCAGAGCATGAGCACCGTCATAAAGGTCCGGACTGGGGTCGAGCGATGCACTTACCGCATGCGACAGATGTGCGATGGTATCCCAGCTTGTTTCGCTTCTTGTCGGCGGAGGGGGCTTCCATGAGGGGAGCTTGCAAAGTCGGTGTGGATGTCATCATATTTCCGACCAAGACCGCAGGCATCGCTCCCGGAGGACAAGATATGGACGGGTGATGCCACTGGACCGAAAGAGCATCAATCGCACTAGAGGCGGAGTTGGCGAAGTCGACAGCTGCAGTGGAGTGTAGAGATGGGCCATGCACGACGGACCAGACGGGAGACGATGATCCAAACGGGAAGATCAGGGATGCGATTGTGAATGATTTCCCAGGAGAGGTACAACGTGAAATCCAACCGGCGTTTGTTCCGTTGAAGGGAAGAAGAATCGGAGGCTTTTTGTGACAGTCGGCCACCCGGTTTAGCAATGTATACCGTAGCTATCCTTCTCCGCACTCTGGGTGAGTGGTTTATTTTATTATATATTTTTTTCCCCGCGATATTAAATGCAGGGAGTATTAAACGATTGCAAAAGGGAGTATTTCAAAAAAGAAGATTAGGCTGATTGAGAGCAGAACTTGCTGCGATAAAAGTCGTCGTCGTCGTGGTGGTGGTGGTGGTGCAACTAGTAGGCGAAGTAGTCGAAGTATGTACGTTGAAGGGTAAGTGTAGCCAGCAGCAAAGGATGTGGTGCGTCTACCACTTTGTCGAAACTCCCAGACTCGGGGAGAAGGAAAGCAAGGATGATTAAGGAAAGAAAGAAGCAAAAGAGAGACGAAAAGAGAAACAAAGAGCGAATAGAAAAGCCAATAGTACAGGGAATAGTAGGAAAGTAAAAGGTGGATAAAGGGAAAGGGATGGAAAGAGAAGAGGAAAGCGAGAGAGAGAGAGAGAGAGAGAGAGAGAGTACTCTGAAAGGACCCAAAAGGTATGAAAGTCCAGAGTAGTAGTAGGTAGTAAAAGGAAGTAAGAGTAAGTAGGAGGAGTAGTAGTAGTAGAGTAGGAGGAAGCAAGTCAGTCGTATTCGGGGGTCTCTTCTCTAGGTCTCCGGCTGTAATTTTCCCTTCTTTTTTTCTTCTGTTCTGACCCTTTCTCTCCTCTCCCCCTGCTTATTTGAATTAATATGGGTTTGTTCTAGAAGGATTCAGATTTCAGACCAGTTCAACTGAATAAAGATTAGGTAGGAGTTCCAGTTGGGAAATAATGGTACCTAGAAGAGAGACAGAGAGAGGGGGGGGGGGAAACAAGCACAGGGAAAATGCCAAATAATGGATCAATTCCGAGACTAACAGAGGTAAAAAATGATCCATCGAAAAAGGGATAAGAATAGTTAGGTAGGCGAAGGGGAGGAAAATAATAATACTGCAAGAGTGTTTGTAGATAGTAGTGAGTTAGACTGATAATAGATGTAGTACTGTGTAGTAGAGAGTAGTAGCCGCAAGTATACTCGAGTGAGGGTCTGGACAAGCATACGTACGATGATATGATACTACTACTATCAGACCCAACCCACCATGAAATTACTCGATGGCTGAATAAAAGTCCCTGTAGCTAAGTCCCAATCGATATGGACTAATTCCAACATGAAACGCCGAGTCTACAGACTGTGATTTCAATCTTTGAGACTACTCTGTAGTTAGTTAGTGCCCATAATTCAGATGCACTGATTATCCATGCACCAGTCATGTTATCCCTCCCAGTTCCTACACCTTCTTCCTTCCTTGGTGATTGCTTCCAATGGAGAGTGTCTATTGACTGTTGACGGGTGACTGTTGACACTTGACTGTTGACTGTTCATCCGATGTGGCGCTGGAGCCATCGCAAATCTTGATCGGAATGATGTGCATCACACTATGGACAGATGGAGTCAAGGACAGGAGCGATGTGGAGGAGTCGATTCAATCCTTCTTGCATCATCCCAGGAACTTTAGCCTCATCCAAGCTTCTTCTTCCTTTCTCCTTCTGCATGTCAGTCGAAAAAGGTAGGGAGTTAAGTTAGTTATATTAGAGTCTAAGACACCCCCCCTGAACCTCGCAACGGGCAAGACTGGTTCATGGAAAATGAGAAGGAGGGGAACCACTGTGCAGGTTATGGACAAACCATGGTCCAGTCCTCGATGTGGTGGTGCAAGTCTTCTTCTTAGGTTAGACTGTGGAAGGAACCTAAGAAGAGAAGAAGAAAGAAAGAAAGAAAGAAAGTCCGTCCAGTTGAATACAGAGTATTGATTATGATTACAGAGTATGAAGAATCCGCTCAGTCTAAACCGCTCTGGGGATATGGGATGTAGTTAGGTAATCCGACAATGCACTCCTATTGGCCAGGGTGACTCTGTTCTGTTCATGATGATGGAACCCTCCTCCAATCAACGTTGCCTCCATACCCGAGGGTCTTTTGCCCGAAAGAGAATCCATGTCTGATTGGATAAAAGAACAGTAGAGGGGCTTCCGAAAACAGTCTAGCGGTGTAGAACCAGGCAGGGATCCTCGAACTCTGTTTGACCTTCGAGAAGCCTCACTTGCCTCAGGCACTTCCCCTTCGTCGTCATCCTCACCCACAGGAGTGAACGTTTTGGCGATAGATCGTGCCGATCTACATTAATAGTCAATTGATCAGTGTGCCCATGACAGTGACGACACAGCGCTACCAGTCTATCCACTCTCTCCCACAGTTGTGAAACAATGCAGGTCGATACAGACGTTCCAGAGTGACAGAGTATCGACACACTACAGATCTGTCAGAAAGGGGTGGGCCCAAAGTCAATGTTTAATTAAGGGTCAAATCTGCATCCTAGTGTGGTCGGTGGATTCTTGGCCAGCTAATCTCACCTGCGCGTCTCTGTAAGGGGCATACACACACACACACACACACACACACACACTACTGACTGACAGGCGTCAGGACAGGACAGGACAGTCAGCATGGGAACCACTGGCTCAGGAAGGTTCTATTCCAGAATTCTACTCCATAGACAGCCAGAGAATCGGAGTTCGACCTCTTGGATATGTCAGAAAGCATGGAAATATGGGAAGAAAGAATATGGATGGGGTGTCTCCAGGTCCAATATCAACAGTAGTATGATCAGTATTACTGTCTTCTACGGAGGAATAATAATGCCTCTTTCCTACACAGTACACAGATAACCTGATCATAGCATGCCTACTCCAGCATATTATTATTATTATTATTATTATGCTCATCGTCTCATCCTCTCATCAGTCATCACTCATCACTCATCAGATCACAACCTTGACTAAAAATAATACTGTGTAATAAGTTAATAACCAGGACAAGAGTCTCCACCATGACACGCAACCTAGCAAGGATCCCAATCTCCAATCTCCAATCTCCAAACACCCAACACCATCGTTATGCTTGGCTGTTCCTTTTTTCCCAAGTCTCCCTCAGGGTCCTGGTCCTTGACTGCTTTTAACTTTCCGTCAAACGGTGTTGCCTGTGTGGACTGTGGACTGAAACCCGCTGAATCAGTTTTTGCGGCTTTGAGTTTGGTGCCTCAAGGCAGGATTATGTCAGCGGGGATTCCAGTGGGCGACGCACCCATCTGCAGACTTCAGAGAACACTTCTCAGTAATCCATCCTCCCTGTTTGTTTGAAGAGCTAGCTACCCTGGGTTTAAGCGATCAGAGATGGGGAACCCTCAAACAAGGGTGGATGTTGCCTCTTGCTTGCCGGTCGAGGATCGGAAATTGATATACGTAAGCAACGTCCCCAGAGATCGTCCCAGAGATTGCGCTGAATCATTGAACAACCATGACGACCTGATAGAATGGATCGAACCAGTGATCTGGATATCGTGTAGACTACTCCTATGGAAGAATTCTCTTTCCTCCTATTATTGCTATGATTGTGGTAGACTGGTATAGTATCACCCACTCCACAGTCGACAACGACAAGAAAACATATCTCTCTCCGACTTCGATACTCGGGTAACCTGGCTGGCTCCATGCCTGCCTAATACTCCTGAGGCCCCATATACCTGCAACTGCAAGTCGCAACCTAACTGCGCCATTAATCCTCCCGCCAGACAACCAATCACCTCATCCAGTTCCCCCGAGTGAACGAGAAGCCAGCCAACCATCCACAGCTTCCCCCCCCCCCGGGGCGGATTGCACAATCCGGTCCCTGCTCCGGCCCTACAGGGTCAGCCCTCAGTACTCAGCCCAACAACCAGGGATTGCATTTGCAGCCGATATGCACCAGTCCGTAAGACCGTAGGTTCCCGCCATGTAGGCTGTCACAGAATCGCCAGGGACCGCCGGATATGGGAATACGGGGGGGTTCTAGCTAGTTTTCCTTGTTCCTGGTGGGTGAGAGGCCTAGGGACTATGAGTACAGAGGGGGGGGGGGGATCACTACTACGGAGTAGATAGTCTATGGAATAAGAGTGTAGACACCCTCGCCTTCTTTCTGATAGTCCAGCATCGACTCATGGCAAATCGTCATTGGAACACTCGACAGGCACTGAACAGACCACAGGAGGACTCCAGAGTACACTTAAGTACCTAGGCTAGATAGTGTGACTACTATGACTTGACGATCGAATGCCCGTCCAGTCCAGTCCATTCGTCTGAGAAGAAGACCCTGAGTCCAAAAATGCCAGCAGTGCCATCTGATTGAGCCGGAAAATAATTGACGGCGTTGGAAATTCGGGGGGTTGACTTTGACTTTTAGACGGAAACAGGCGTATGCGAGGCTGTGTCTTGGTGCCACCTGGTTACCGAGGACTCCATCTCTTTCTGGTTATTATTTACTGCTTCAGATACTCCTATCTACGCCCCAGTTAGTCCCATTCGATCTTGACTCCGAATACACTGGGATTTGGGAATAATGAAGCAGCCTTCCTTCTATACTGCTGAGCGCCCCAAGCGCAAAATGTCATTCTTTAAGGTTTCTCTCACAGGCGACGACTTGAAGACCAGGCTACATCTGCAACGGGCTTGGCGGCTCCATCCGCTCCATTGGTGCATCAGGCTGAGGCGCACACCGGCTCGTTTCACCATCATCGGGCGCTTGTCTCGATCCAGCCGTACTGTGCGCTGCTCAACTGCCCAGTTACCTCGATTCCCAGACACCCTTACGTGTCCCTTCACGGTGATCACTCGACCATGAACGGGGGGGCATCAACCAACCCTCTATTCTGGCACCAATGGGAGCCGGCCGCTTGTGGTCCGAAAGGGAAGGTTGCATCCAGCTCGACGGCGGTCCATCTTGCTGCCCAATATATTGCACCCTTCGTGCGCCTACACATACTCCTTTGGACTTCTCCTGCAATCTTGAGGTTGCATGCACAATAAAACCCGGTGCGCTTGGCCGTGTTAAACAATTACCCGGTTCAGGGGGTTTGTCCCTCGCGTCACTTCGAGGAAGTAGTTGCCCACGTGCTCGAACGATCCCGTTGGAACATGCCATGATCTACAAGAGGACTGGATCAAAGTCGCAGCAATTCATGAATGGATGGGGACCGATCGGGCTTGATCAAGCTAAAGATTTGGCTTCGATGAAAGAGTAAGAAGTTCTAGACGATCCTGGGGGACCATTCAGTCTATCAGATGGTGTTGTTGGCGTATTTCATCATCGCCGATGCGAATGACCACCTCAACCCCAAGAGCTCGAGCTTCTCTAATGCAGCAGGCTATGCATGTCCGCCAGGTCCGGCCCACGATAGCATTGAAACCGACGGAAGCACACCACGATCTTGCCAATACCTCTCTCTCGGGAGATCCCCGAGCATCGACAATCAACACCTCATCCACAGCCGTGCCAGAACCGGCATGTGCAGAGGGCTTGGCCTTCACACAGTCCTCGGGGCTGGGCAGCCTATCAAGCGCAAGAAATTTGTGTTTGTATGACTTTGGCAGAGGATGTCCTGGAAGTCGTCCGTGCTTCTGAGCGAAAATCTGAGCAGGAGACAAGGATTGCTCATGGCAATCTGTGCCAGTGGATGCAGGATGAGGACAGGCGGCCTGCCCGGGGGGTAACCGACACGCATGCGAAGCGATAAAATGCACATTATAGGTCAACGGCCAACAGATATCAAAAGAGCGGCCTTCGCTGGCGGGGACCAGCTTAAAAGACATGGTTGCCTTGCGAGCCGCTGTAACCGGGCCTTGATTCTGTCGCTCAGGTTCTCTTGTAGAGAAGGTCAAGGCTTCAAAATTGACCTCTACTTGTGACCTCCTATCGTATGGAGCGTCTAGAGGTAAAGTAAACTCATCACTTGTCAATGACCCCCGACCAAGTGGTGTCGAGTCGATCGATACTTTGTTTCCCTGATTGATGCGCGGTCTTCCTGCGGCCGCTGGAGGCTCCTTGACAACCACCTCGAGCCAGGTATCGTCCAATGTCTTCAGTGTGTGACATTCTCTGGGAGTTACCGTGCTGCCGAGCCACCCCATACAGGCCCTGGTACCAGGCAAGGATGAAAGAACGCGGCCAACGATGCATTCCTGACTCCACCAGCTCTTCCCACTGTAGATGAAGCCGCCATGGAGGTTAGCTATCGGACCAAGCTTAGCCATCGCCTCCGAATCATTCTCCACCAACGTCGCTATGAGCAGATGATTGATCACATCGCCCGGGGGGACAAATCCGGAAAGCCAGCTTCGAGTCATCCAGCCGCCAATCCTTAAGGTCGATTGATCAGTGGGAGGACAGTGAAGGGCCACAAGCCGACGGATAGAAGTCGTCTGACAAGTATCTTTGTTTCCGAGAATCGTCGCATAGTGCTCGGGCAAAACATTTCGCACAGGTGTGCTGAAGATATCCTTGATTCCCTGACCAGATCCGCCAGTCTGCAGTATCAGATCTAGTCTTTCCTTGATTGATGCAGTAGTAGGCCACCCGATGGTTTCCGCGAACATCAACAATCCGTGGACTTGTCGTTCAATATGGTTGGGAACCAGTTTGCATTGCCCTTCTGGCTCGATACGGGGTACGGCCGGAGTCGAATGTCTGCGGGTGATACTTTCAAAGAAGGAGAAATGATGAGCCTTTTCGTTGCCCTTGCCAGCCCCCTTCTCGTGACTAGGTGATTGTGAGAGGGCGTTTGGCATCGATTCTGGATCCGGGCCGCTCCAGGAAAAGTCGAAGCTATCAAGAAACCGACGCACCGTCACTAAATCCCAATCGACCTTCGGGGTACGCAGCTTATCGAAATGATAAATGTCCCTGATTGCGACATGCACGTCCTTGGAAAGTTCAACGAATCCAACCCCGACGACGGCATCCAGACGAAGAAGCAATTCTGCGGCAAGAAGCATCTGAACGAGGAACCATTTCTGCTCCAGTACTGAATGGGCCATGGGCTTTTGGCCTGCACTGGGGTTGAAGAAGTCTGCATCCACATGTGGAGGTGATTCCCACAGTAATTGACCAATACGGAGACGCCACTCAACGAGACTAAAATCAATCCAGGCTCCTGGAGTGGCCAGGATCATGGTGAGCGCTTTGATTCCCGCTTTGATGCCGTGGCGATCGTCAAGATCGCTGAGCATGTGACGCGATGGCGGATGAAGAAGGTTGATAAATAAATCCTTGTCGAGTTCCTGCATGCTCTCAGCGTCAAGTATCGTCCTCTGCGTGTTCTCATACAGTATCTCCTGACGCAGCTTCTTCAGGGCAGCAAGACGGTCAATCAGGTATTTGAGACTGATCCCCCGGAGACCGATCTTTTTCCAGGCGATGGGTTCACCAGTGATCAATTTCCTCCGATCGTGTATAGTGCCATCGTGGCAGTGAGAGTAAGGTTCATGATAGTGCTCCAAAAAATAATCCGCCTCAACAGCAGGGAGAGTAGACAGGTGTAAAAGCTCGGGGGGCGGCCTTGGCTTTCCAGCAGGAACAAAACGGATAGAATCTGCCACTGGAAGTTCTAGAAAATGGCGAAACCCCACGGTCCCGGGTTCGTGTCCGCTCTGAGACAGCATATTCGGCACCTCAAATATCCCAACATCAAATGTTGCTCTTCTCGGTGCCTCTGTTCTCTTCCAGTCATTACAGTCATTAAGGGTAGCCGGGGTATCGCCCTTCACTGGCCATTCCTCTGGGACAGGGAGGTGGGCGTGCAGGGTACATAGAGTGTACGAAGGGTGAGGGAGAAGCTTTCTATCCCACAGATGTTGAATGGTCGGGTCATGATCATCCCATGGAAAGATTACCTGCGGGTACCACATATCATGTCTGCCTTTTTCAAGAAGGAAGTATGGCGCCCCGGAGAAGATAGCATAGATTTCTTTCCGTCTGAGATGAGTTTCCCTGTGCGGCAATTTACCAGAATGGATCTTCTCAGAATCCGCACTCCTGTCATGGTGGTGTGATTCTTTCGTTCCCGAACTTAGAGATTTGGAACGTAGACGAGAGCGTCGCTCCTCAGATTCCGGTGCACTATGACCGGACGATGAGGTTGCTCCGCCCTAGAAACCGTCAGGTACGCATTCCAGACTAGCTTTACCATTGGACGTGTAGATATGGTCTTACATGTTCGTGTTTGTCGGCTGGTACTTGAGATGGAGGTGTCGAGGCATCCCCTGTTGCCGGCGCTACACCATGTCGTTGGAAAAGACTATGCAGCGTCTTTTTGCCAAGCGCCGCATTGTCCTGGCTACCTTCAAACGAGGAAGACGATCTTCTGGGTGAAACCTCGCTCGTCTCCCGTGCAGATTCATTTGGAGGCGTTGCAGCCGAGACTGAACGACGCCGCCCCGAGAATAAATGCATCTTCAACCTGCAAAAGCTTAGTTAATGGTTTTTTCAAGTGCGATTAAATAATGCCTACTGCTTGGGCGATGAGGCTTTGGAGCGGGAAGATGTTCGCTCTATTGAGATAGATATATGCCGAGCGAAAGTGGTCGATTCATCATAGTAACGTGCAATTGTTGCTCGGGGTGGTATTAATAATTATATCCAGAATTAATGTATCGCAGGATGTCAGAATGCTTGGTTTTATGGATCGTACGATCAAATGAAGTATAGCCACCGGAAGGTGCCAGATTGTGGCGGTTCATGTGCGAGAGTCACGGGCAACGCGAGGAACCAGTCATTCACAGGGGCTGAATCCTGATGCATTTGAATACTCAAGATGATGGAACGACGACTGCTTCTGATGATAATCGTTAAAAGTAGATGCGTCCTGGCCTTTATAGAGATGAAAATGAGGATGGGATGAGATGAGATGAGTTGGCGTTGTACAGTGAGATGGAACTTGAAGAGTTAACGGAGGCCCGACGATGGACGATGACGTTCTCTTTCGGCGCCGAATGGAATTGCCGCCTCTTACCGGATTCGGCAGTCCGGGATTTCGCGACAACCCGTTAACTCTCGGTTTACAGTGAATCTATCAGATCTATCAGTATAGAAGCTTGGTGCTTCCTGCTGGAAGACTATTATTATCGGGAAAGGAGAATCCCCAAAATGTGTTATACGGAATGCGGGCGGGCGGGCTGTACGATGCGCGATGGTTTTGCTAAACAAATATATGTTGTTTTCAATTTGATTTCATGATTCATTTCAGGCAAGAGATCGAATCCAAGAGATCCGGCAATTCCCAATCAATTAAGCATGCTTCTGGAGGAAGCTCAGAGCAGTCTTATAGCCTCTCTCGTACTCCTTCCGTACCTCGTCATCCTCAAGGTTCGACCGAGCCGCCATCCAGCCATGGATCTGGGTGGGGAAGGTCTCCACGTAGTGATCGACCTGGAGATTAGCACCAAACGCCTCGACGTCCTTAGGGTTCTCGTCCTTGGAAGCCAGGATGGCCATGGGGATCGTGACACTCTTCGCATCATTGGGATCAACCATCGCTGGGTGGCACTGCACTGCGGCCTTGAACTTGGTGCCCTTGGCGGAGGACAGGCAAGCGATCTTTCCACCCCAGCAGTAGCCGAGGATCGACCAGGACTCGAAGCCCTTGCCGCCAGCAGCAAGCTTGTTGGCTTCGTCGACAAAGCTCGGGATCTTGGGTAGGTTGGCGGGGGGCGCAGCCTTGGTCTGGAAGAAGTTACCCAGCTTCTGCTTGTGTTCACCGGTCTGGGGAGGGAACCAGGAGATATCCGCGGGCTGGCCCTCGAAGAAATCGGGCATGAAGACACGGTACTTCTGTTCACTAGAGGTAGCAAGAATATCGGCACCTTGGATGGTCTGAGGGAAATAGCCGAAGATGTCTGTGCTCCATATCGTCGTTAGCCTGTGGGGACAAGCAAGCGATGCGAGGGAGGAAAGATTACCCACCGTACACGATGAAGATGGCCTTGGAGGCCGATTCGGGGCCCGTAACGTCTGAGAGCAGGTCAATGACAATTCCATTTTTCCAGTGTTAGTAGACCATCGACTCACATGTCTTCATTCCATTGATGGTCTTGTATTCACCCTTGCCCTGATAACCCTGGGCGACAATGGGAGGGATCCTGCACTCCGATCAGTCGACTCGTCATCGGCGTCGATGGGACCCCTATGAAGAATCATACGAGCAGCAAGCCTTGCTAACACCAGACATGTTTGCGGATGAACAATGAAGAAATCTAAATGTGCTGTTGATCAAGCGAGGTTTCACTGACGCGAGGATCGACCTGCGCAGTGGGATAGTCAGAAGCTGTCTGGAAAACATGAGTGAAGGATTGTACCGCGAGCGAACGTACAAGAAGCTCTCTTAGATGATTGAAATCAAAAGCAGCAAGCAGCAACGAGATGGAAGTGCTGGATGTGAAGGAGGAAGTTGCAGGTTGAATTTCTTTGTTGCTGTTTTTCATTCTCAGTTTCAACCCCGCCAGATTCGACGTCATCGGAGCGACATTCGGAATTTCCACGGCCGACCGTCTTTGCTGCTCTTCCCGACCGCGGTTATATTCACCAGCAGAAGAAATCGTCAAATACCATCAAAAGAAAACCATCTTTCATCGCTATTATATTCATATCGAAGGACGATTGATTCTCGAAACGCTGGTCGAGTTGATTGCAAAGTTCTCCATGAATATTGCTGAATCCTTCGTTGGCCAAGCCGATCCCAACATTTCACCATCAACTCCAGGGAGACGATCAGAGACCATCAGAGCCAGGAGATATACTGGCTAGAGCTAAGATAATAGGATGACTGATGAGCCATTCATCTGTCGACAAAGCTCTACAGTCATGAAGTCTCTTAGAGGCCGCGCTTACCAGCCCAATCGACGGCTCGATGGCTTCAATGCACACGAGTTTTTAGGGGATTTGATCATCTCTTTACACATGAGAGATACATATTTCATGACCCTGGCCTGGTGGTCATTACTGTGGAGGCAGCAATCTACACAAAGGGATGATCTTTGTGCGCCGTTTGGCCGTTGAGATCAAAGCATTGAAACCAGCTCAAACTTCCCCACGTTGCCTTTGACTGGAGGAGATTAATTCGCAAATGCCAGATAGCGTCCCACCAGTTGTATAACACGAGTCTACGAGTACTAACGAGTCACGCAAATTCAGACATTCAGGGTCAACCAGAAAGAGAAGGCGAGAGTACTCAACAAGAACGACATGTTTGAATGGTCGGTCGAGATACTCTGGGCCAACAACCCACAGCTTCACACCACAAGAAAACCTTCGATATCGGAGCAAGATCAACAAGCAAGAACACGAGGAAGTGTCTGAAAAATGCAATGAGCTCTCCATTGTCGCGCTGTCCGCCGATTAAGTGAGCACGTCTTTTCTTCACCTTCTGGCACGATTCTTGGCTGGATGATTTGCACCCGGGATGTTTGTCCGCCAAGATCCTGCATGTGTCGACAGGTCGCAACCGTGCAGCTGCAGAGATTGAGTTTGACATCTGCGACAGCCCTGGCTAGAGGCAAGTCTGCAGGGTCAACACGTCGAGATATCCGGGAACTTCCATGAGTTGTCCCTCGTGAATATGCAGACCGTCACGCCATAATCGCTAGCAGTGGCATCTTGCCGCTGCTATCATCTAAGTATATAAAGATCTACCAAAAGCTCTGCATCGGTATCGTGGAAACCGTGTCAGGAGTCTTGCTATCTGCTAGAAATCGCCGGTGCATTTCGTTAACCCAATCCAAAATGGCTTCCGTACCACGCAAAAAGTGGTATCACATCAAGTGGTTTGCCGACGAGGATAGCAAGGAGGAGAGGAAGCTCATCCTCAAACTTGATCTCCTGCTCGTTCCATATGCATTCCTGGCTTATTGGACCAAGTACATGGATCAGTCCAATATCAGTATGTCAAGGCCGTATCCACCCTTCTCCATGGCTAACCATGATTGCCAGACAATGCATATGTTTCGGGTCTTTCGGAAGACTTGAAACTCCATGGAAATGAGCTTGTGCGCCTGCAGACGATGTATATCATTGGCGCCGTGCTGGGACAAATTCCTTTCGCGTACCTCTTCACTCGATCTCCAATGTCCTGGGTCATTCCGGCATTGGATATCATGTGGGGCATCTTTACCTTGCTGCAGTATCGGGTGACCTCGTTTGGAGAGCTGATGGCCTACCGATTTCTTGTTGGATGGTTTGAGGTTGGTTGTTATCTCAGGAACTCGCTGTGCGTCAAGCTAAATATCGCCAGGCGGCATTCTTTCCGGGAATGCACTACATTTTCGGTAAGTTGACCTCGCTAAGCCGGGGAGGGCTAAGGAACCCGAGCTGACTTACGTTGCAGGATCATGGTACCGTGCCGACGAAATTGGTCGCCGCGGCGGCTGCTTCTACGTTGGACTCACTCTGGGAACGTTGACAGCGAGCTTGATCCAAGCCGGCACGTCTGCAAGGCTTGATGGAGTCCATGGTCTGGCCGGGTGGCGATGGATGTACATCATCTGTGCGATCATCACTATTCCTATCGGTTTGCTCGGCTACCTTGTTCTACCCGGAACCCCCGACAAGCCGAATCGATTGGTCCTCAAACAGGAAGATATCGATCTAGCGAAAAAGCGGCTCGAGAGAGCCGGGCATGGCATTCAAGGAAGCTTCACCCTCAAATCTCTTCTGAATATAGCCCGCAACTGGAAGTTCTGGGCGCTGCTTTGGCTGGATATCTTCTTCTGGAACGGAAGCGTGAACACCACGACAGGAGGCTATCTCTTGTGGTTGAAGAGTCTGAAGAAATTCTCGACCAGCCGAATCAACGAGCTGAATGCGATCTCACCGGCGTTGGGAATCTTCTACACGCTCTTCATCTGTTTCTCGTCCGACCTGTTGTTCGGTCCTGCGTGGGCCATCGCCATTTCCCACACGTGGAACATTATCGGTCTGGTCATTCTCGTGATCTGGGATGTTCCCCAGTCCGCACTGTGGTTCGCCTTTTCGACCACGTATTCTGCCGTCGCCATGTCCAGTGTCCTCTACGGGTGGGTGAACAGCGAGCTGCGGTTTTCACCGGTGGAACGAGCGGTCGCTCTGATCATCCTGAACACTGTTTCCCAGTCGACCACTGCGTGGACGCCGTTGCTGGTGTTCAAGACCGTCGAGGCGCCCCGGTTCACCAAGGGCTACTCGTTCGTTCTCGGCAATGCCATTTGCTTGATTATACTGGCCCATGTCACCCAGTTCTTTATCAAGCGCGAGAAGTATGTGCGCCGTGTACGATGTAGACTAAATTCGCTAACAATGTTTCAGGAGAAACGCGAAGAGAGCAGATGGCCTGTCCGAGACAAGTGACTCGGACGACCCGAGGGATGTCGAGCCTGGCGACCGAACGACCTTACAAGTGTCTGGGGAAAAGTAGAGGAGTGTTACCAGCATGAGATTAGAGATAGATCTTTTCATGACTATACTACGACCACTGTCCATAACCAGAATCAATCACCCAACTTGAAAACTACGCACAATATCACACACTCTATGAGATCAGCGAGATAACAGGCCAACCCGGACCAACCGTGGCGCCATCTAAGCACCGATGGTGGAATCCCCACCTTTGCACGCGCAATGCGTTATCTACGCAGCCTGACGAGCACTAAAAGATATCTAGACATCGACAATATATCCATCTACTCCACGCAAAAGCAACCGGAAAGCCGTTGCGAGTTGCGTGGGGAAGATGGCGAATCGCCCCCCAGAGTCCTTGGCACCGAGTCAATCCTCGTCGAGCGTTCATTACGTGACGATGCAGAGCAATGGCGAAAGCCAGGGCGGGGTTGTCGCTGTCGCTGTCAGTAAATCCTTTCCTCCTCGGGTTTTTAGATAAAAGAGACACATGGATGCAAATTTGATACCGTGAAAGAACCCCGAACCCCAGCAACAGGCGAGTATACTAGAAGCCGAACCCCAAGACGAGATCCAACATGGGCGACAGCGGCATAAGCACCAACGTGGGCCAACCCGGCCCAGCGCCCAAGAAGCACATCTTGCTGAATGCATTCGACATGTCCACCGTGGGACACCTGTCCCCGGGCCAATGGAAGGTGAGGCGCGAACGAGGACTCGCTCGGGTTGGACTGCGCTAACGGGGATTGCACTGGGGGTGTTGGGCAGAACCCGAACGACAAATCGGCCACGAAGCGCACGCTCGAGTACTGGATTGAGCTGGCGAAGCTGCTCGAGCGAGGTGGCATCAACGCCCTGTTCCTGGCGGATACGTTTGGGGGCCATGATACGTACCAGGGGAATTTGGACGAGTGTATTCGCCGGGCGGCGCAATGGCCCGTGACGGATCCGTCGATTGTATGTTGTTGTGTTCTCTTGTTGTGAGACGGGTGAGATAGAAGGGTTTTCCGAGACTGATGGATTGTGCTCCTCAGCCCATCTCGGCGATGGCGGCCGTGACGAAGCACCTCACCTTCGCCATCACCTCGTCGACGTCCTCGGAGGCGCCGTTCCTGCTGGCAAAGCGCTTCTCGACCCTCGACCATATGACCAAGGGCCGGTTCGGCTGGAACATCGTCACCTCGTACAAGAAAGCGGCCTTCAAGGCCATCGGGCTGGACAGCCCCATTGAGCACGACGAGCGGTACCGACAGGCAGATGAGTACCTGCGTGTGCTGTACAAGTGCGTTCATTTTGCATCGATTTTGGGATTCGTGCTAACGTCCAAGCGCCAGACTGTGGGAGGGATCGTGGGCGGCGGACGCCGTGTCGCCAGACCCGGCCAACGACTCGTACATCGACCCGGACAAAGTCCGCACCATCAAGCACAAGGGCAAGTACTACAGCCTGGAGACGCCGCACATCGTCGACCCGTCGCCGCAACGCACCCCGTTCCTGTTCCAGGCGGGGACCTCGCCGGCGGGCTCGGCCTTCGCCGCCACGCACGCCGAGGCGATCTTCGTGTCGGGCCACTCGCCGGGCATCCTGCGGCCGAAGATCGACCACATCCGGCGGCTGGCGGCGGAGCAAGGGCGCGACCCGCGCTCGATCAAGCTCTTCGCGACCTTCACGCCGATCGTGGGGCGCACCGACGCGGAGGCACAGGCCAAGTACGAGGCGCTGAAGAAGGACGCGTCGGTCGTGGGCGGGCTGGTGCTCTTCAGCGGGTGGACGGGGATCGACATCTCGCGGATCCCGCTGGACCAGGAGATCACGGCGGCGGACTCGGCGGAGACGGCGCGCATTGCGAGCGTCCTGGACGCGCTCACGACCACCAGCGAGGAGATCCCGCGCTGGACGCCGCGCGTGGTGGCGGAGAAGGCGGCCACCGGCGGGTTGGGCCCGCTGGGCATCGGCAGCGCGGCCACGGTCGCGGACGTGATGGAGCGCTGGATCGAGGAGGCCGACCTCGACGGGTTCAACCTGGCCCATGTGTCGAACCCGGGGACGTTCGAGGACGTCGTGGACCTGTTGATCCCCGAGCTGCGACGACGCGGGTTGTACCCGGAGCTCCCTGTGGCGGAGGCGGAGGCGCTCACGGCGCGCGAGAAGGTGTATGGGAAGGGACAGAGCGGGCTGCGAGCAGATCATCCGGGGAGTCGGTACGCATACGATGTGTATGTGGAGGAAGCGTCGTATGAGGCGTAGAACCTCACTCTCCACGGAGGGGAGGACTAACTCTTTTGGTTTACATCGAGTGTCGCGACTCGAGGGTCGACTGTAGATACATTTTTCTTTTCTTGCCGGATGTAATCATGCAGGACGAATTCCAGTCAAGAGTTTCTTCATCGTCTCCCTTTCCAACCCCCCCCCCCCCATCTGTATCGCCCGGCCATGATTAAGCTCTGGGGATGGAATGCACTCCATCCGCCTGCATGACGTCCCTGATGATCTGCCCATTGGCTTGAGTCTAGATCGGCGAGGCCAGTCTAGACTAGGATGTGCGTTTCAAGATCCCCGAGGAAATTGTGCACCGCATCCCCTGTGGTAGATAGGGTGTACACTAGATAGACCGTGAGGCCCTCCTACTAGGCCCTCCCTAGTAGGATATCAGCCTTCCGACTCCGAGTCTCCGACCGGAGCAATCCTGTTCTCTCCTGCCATAACGGCAAGAGATCATCATCCTCCAGAATCGGGTTTAGGATCTGTCATTGCCACGGCACCATGGCAGGACGAAAGTACCAGAATGGGGCTAGGACGTTCAGCCAGCCCTCTCTGCGCTGTCACATTGCACGCAAGGCATCCTTGCATGATGCATGAGTCGGCGCTGGGCTAAATCATGTGGACTGGGAGCATGAGGATTATTTATGTCTCTATCTTCTATGGTCAAGTAGTAGTACTTACAGTGAGTACATAGTAGTATGTAAGACTTGGGGATGAAGAGCACGGGTTGGGAGAAGGATGAGGGTTTGATAGATGTAGTATTCCTGACTCCGGCCGAAACTGTTTGCGTTCGAACTAGAGGCTGCGGAGGAGTGTATACATAGTACTATCGTTCTGGTGTTATTATTGGGCGACTACTATTACTGCCATCCTTTAGTCCATCTCCACGAAGAGAATTTTCCTCACTTGGTGTGACTGACTACTCTCTACTCTCTAGTCTCTAGTCATCGAGTGGGCCAGTGACCTCGGAAAAGGATCACGGTGCTCCGTGCCAGCTCCATACTGCGGGGACACCACCAGAGACCACGAGGATTGTATTTGTATACACTATACATAGTAGTTATCTGCAGAGTCAGACTCCAGAGCAGACTCCGGATGTCTGACGATTGACCGACCCCCAATGGAGAATGGAAGGATCTCATTCCCTGGATCGATATCGATAGTCACGGATTTCTCGCTCTAGCGTCGACTTGCCACGAGAGAGAATCCACATCCACGTCAGTAGAACTATCTTACCATCTTACTACTATGTACTCCGTAGACAATCTAGATAGATAGCAGATGAAGAAGTCACCAACGCTCACTAGCTCCGCTGCACTTCCCACCATCCAAACTCTACTCAGAGTACGCTGGTCGGTGGGACAGTGGGAGAGACTCCTAGAGAGTAGAGACTAGAGAGACCAGCCAGCTCTGTGTGTGTGTGTGTGTGTGACATGGCCGATAGCTTAAATCACCACCCGCTCCATGTAGATACCCTGCCTCAAGCGAAATTCCGAGCACTGCGCTGATAGGCTGCAAAAGGGTTGCATGCTTGTGCGTGCAGGAAGCTACTGTCGGTAGCCTGGATGAGGCTGGTCCGATCAGGCATTTTCCACGACTTTTGGATCATCTGCAGGCATAATAATAGGCGTAGGCGTCGTAGGAGGAAAGGACTCTTTGGAAGAAAACAGATAAAAGCCGAGAGATCACAGTCTCTTCACCACCTCCCACCGAGGACCGGCACTCCCCTTTGCCAATTCCAGCATGAGTTCAGGCCACTTGTCACCCGTGGCAGCCACCCCAACGCCCCCCGGCCCCGACCGATCGGTGCTCCCGGCACTTTGTTTATGGGCGCTGATGGTCAGTGGTTCAGGCGTGGATTGGGGGCTTGCTCGGGGCTTGCTCGGGGCTTGCACTTGGACGTTCGGAGGCTAGAGATGCAGATGGGGAGAGATCATTGCATGCTCTCTGGTTTCAGTGGGAACTGACGTGTTCTGAAGTACTCCAGTGTCAGTTCTACTACTGAGTACATACACAGTAGTAGGTATCTCTGTACTGGTACAACCATAATACGTACTGTACACTACCTAGGACCTATACAGTACCTACTGTAATCTGTATATGTAAAGCGATTAGCCTGGAGCATGAGATGAGCCAAGAGGCCCGAGGTCAATGGTGCAAGCTGGTGATTGGCTGATGTCTTAGTTGGGTTTGGGAAATTCCCATGGTCCTGCTGGGCTGGACGGAGCAAGACTTTATCTACTGGTTACTGGTTACTGGTTACTGGTCAGTTGGGTCACCAAGACACCGCTCGGGTCATGTGACTGAGCAGATTCCCTGGGTCTTGTCTCTTGAGTCCCCCGTACGGCGTACCCAGACCCGACTCCTTAAGGTATTGAGACTATTGAGAGTTGAGACTATTTCACTCTGCGGTACAGTCAGATACCGTGTCCACCGAAAAGAGAGGAGAGAGAGACCGAAAAAGAAAAAAAAAAAAAAAAAAAAAGAGAAAGCAGAGTTAAGTGGACTGACCACCTGCTGCAGGCCGACAGGCAGAGTAAGCGGTGGGGCTCCATATACGTTGGCCATTCCAGATCCGGTCTAGTGGCCAGACTAGTGCGATGTGGCCAAAAGGGCCCAGACAGTCTGGCAGGGATCATGCGAACACCAATTTCATCCTTTTTTTTTTTTTTTTTATTTTTTTTTTCCCTGGACTGAAATTCGGGATCCTCTCGCTTGAGACTACCCGGAATGAACACAGCTGGGAGTTGCGGCAATCTAACTCTTCGCCCCTAGGGTCTTAGTGATGAGGGTCGGGTTCGTCAGATGAAGGCAGGAGGAGACTATTTGTAGAGATAGATCGATCGACTCTTTGGTCAGTATCAAAAAAAAATGAAGGATGGGGGTTCTTACACTTACTACTAGAGAGATGACCAGCTCTCGGGTGATGCCGTGAGGTTCTAGCTGCACCAATCAGAAATGGAGAACGGGAATGACAATAGGCGAACCAGATTCAGATCGTTTGCCTTGATAGTTATCCATAGATAGACTGTTACTATGTACGAGTACCGTTCTGTATCTTACAGTAACCAGTGACCAGGAACCTAGACTCTGGAAGAATCTGGCAGTACCTACCACCAGTTCTACACAGTAAGTCTTTACAGGCAGTTCGACCCTCTCGCATGTCACTGACCTGACTCCGAAGCAAGGAGCATCACGGAGTTTATTCGCTTCCCCTTTTTTTTTCTGGTGCGAATGGATCATTTCGGTGTACTGTCCTTTACCATATTTACAGACCACCCATACGAAAGTACCTCCCCCTCCGGAGTCCGCAGATCGAAGATATCCACCTCCATGAGTCCTTCGACTGAGGATTGAAGTCTTTTAGACGGATGAAGAATTTATCACTCTGCGCGGTGCAGAAGAGACTCCGGGCGCGTTTATATATATATATATATATATATACACACACATAGACAGAGTACAGACTACTGAGGAATCCCCATCGACCGATCGTCCATCACTGCTAAGCTTATTCCCAGCTCCACCATCCAGGCAACTTGGAGCAACATTATTCCCTGCTGGTCTGATGTGGCCGATCGTCGCGACTGATGACTCCACATCTGTCTTTGAGATCTGGGGGGTTCACTTCTTCAGAGTTCAGGTTCATCCTCGCGGTCTGTCCCCTATTATTCACTCAATGGGATTTCCGATAGTCATCGTCTCATCGACTCTCCTGGTGAAGAGTCTTCTCGGGCACTACTGACCAGCCGATATCGCAGAACTGGTAATGGAGTGGGTTCGGTCTGGTATTCTTCTTGGTATTGTATTGTTCCAGCGTCGAGATAGAGGCTCATCGACCAATCAATCCTCTGATCTGTTTTGATCGGAATCTTCGTAGGATGAATCCAGCGAATCCGTATATCGCCAATCCTCCGTACTACGTAGATACCATCTAGGTAGATTCTAGAGTTGAGGAGAGAGTGACCTAGGAGTGCTCTGGACTAGGAGTAGTCCCGGATGGAGCCGTGGAAAGAACCAACGATGGGGCCATGGCCATGACCATGGGATTCTGAGCGAGGTTTATCGCTCATTTGCCTTCTGCTGGTCCTAGTCTCGATAGATAGTCCTTGGGGGGGGAGCCCTGTCAACCACGTTGTTGTTGATCAGTTGAGTCCGTTAGGTTTTATCAATAGCTAGCCAACTAACTATCTTTTATCCTCCTATCCTCTGTCCATCGTCCATCGTCCATACACTATTCATACTCTCTCTCGTCTTCACTCGGTTGATGCCAGAATCCTACTATGTACCCGTGAAATTGGACTAGCCTCAAGGTAAGTAACCATTCCCTTTTTTCTTCTCGTTTCCGTTCCGTTTTATTGATTTTATTTTTGACTTTTTCCCCCCCCCCCGTTTCCGTTTCTTTTTCTCTATTTCTTTTATTTTCTCCCTCTCCATACATACACTCATCCAGCCATACTTCCTCCGTACGAACGGTATTTTTTTTTTTTTTTTTTTTTTTTTTTCGCTCCCAAGTCCCAAGTCCCAAGTCCCAAATCCCAAATCCCAAATTCTCCCCCGCGCTGGCCAGACCTCTCGCTGGTTCGGCCGTGGACTGGTCTGGATACTCTCTCTCTCTCTCTCTCTCCCTCTTTATTTATTATTATTTCCTGATAGTACAATAATCATAATAATAACATTGGACGATGAAGAAGAAGAATATTAATTAATATACTGGAATATTATCAAATCTGGTTCACTCTATTCTTCTCGTCGTTTTCTTGCAATTCATCCTTTTTTTTTTTTTTTTTTAATTTAATTTTATTTTACTTTATTTTACGCATCGTGTTTTTTCCCTTTCTTTTTTTTTTTTTTTTTTTTTTTTTTTCCTCGCTCTCTTTCTCTCTGTCTCTCTGTCTCTTTCTCCCTCTCTCCCTCCCTCACTCACTCTCACACACTCTCTCTCTCTCTCTCTCTCTTTTCGAATGAATCCCCCCATCATCAGCATCAATCCATCCCATCCCCCCATCCCGAACTGCTAACTCCTACTACTAATAATAATCCCCGCCTTCAACCACCACAACTCCGACTAATTCTCCCTCTCATCGTCACATCGAACTGTATTCATCTTTAACACCTTTACTTGCACTCTCATCTTCCTTCTCCATCATCATCATCATCATCATACCTACTACGCATTCACCTCGGTCGTCTCTAATCCCACCTAATCACAACACCCCCCCTCGTATCTCGTATACCTATCACAACCGCGGTCGGCTTCAAGGACAATGCATGTCTCTTGAACCCACTAGATTCTCTCACTCCTTCACTCTTCACTCTTCACTCTTCACTCATCTCCTGACCATCGCTACTGCCTTTGCGCTGTACAGTTTGTCCTTCATCGAGGTCAGAGTATGTCCTCGGGATAAGTGTTGGGTGTCCCTGAACCTCAAATCGGGTACCTTGTCAATCCACCCAGGGCATCCCCCCCCCCCCGTTCCCTTCGATCCCTGATCACAAAGATCGCTTAACTCGCGATCTGATCGCCCCTCCTGGATCCTCCAGAACTTGTCTCTGGTGGCCTGTCTGGCAGTCGATACTGGGCTGTTGGACCCGACAACGCCTTGTCCAATCCTTCTGCTGTTGATACAGCGGAACTGTTCCAATCCATCCCCTATTCGCGAAACCCTTCCGCCACGCTGGCTGCGCTCGCCATTCCACCACCCGGCATGGGTACGGCGCTGGAGGCGCTGAATGCCCCTCCGCCACTGAACGCTCGGCGGCCCGCCGCGCCCACCCTCCCCAGCTTCGAGCTGCCACCCCCGAACTTTCAGATCCATGTCGGCACTCCCAAGTACCCGCCGCAGTCGAGCCTGCATCATCCCATCCACCACAGCGTGGGCAGTCTGCTCACCCCGCCGGCCTCCACCCAGGCAGGCGAAGTGACCGGGAGCACGACCGCCGCTCACATCGCGACCACCTCCGCATCTCACACCTCCGTGTCCGCATCGCCCGACGGTGCGCCCACCGCATATGGGACCGCCTACTGGCCGGGCCAGAGTGCATCCTACGGCAGTAGTACCCCCGGGGGCACCACCGCCACCAGCAGCAGCAGCACACCACGCCAACCCTGGAACGCGGGAGCCCCGAACCACCCGTCATATCCGCCGCGAGATTCGTTTTCCCCGTCGGTCGCGAATCCGCTGGGCCGCAATGCGCCAACATCTCCCCCCGTCACCGAGGGATTGGCCCAGCCGTACGACATGCATCAATTACCACCCTTCCAGCAATCGCTCTCCATGCCCCCGTCGGGACTCCCGAGTGGCACGACACATCAGCACCCCAGCATGGCCCACGCCATGCTGACCAGTCCCACCGGACTACCGCATCCCGGCCCGTCCCCCCATCTTCTCCCCTCGAATGATCCCTACGGACCCAAATCGCATTCCGCGCCCGTCTACGGCGCCGCACAGCCGATTTGCAGCCCGCATCAGGCGAGTTTCCCACCCTATGGCCAACCGGGGCTGGGAATCCACCCCCCGGGTCGGGTTGCCTCGACCCCAACTCTCGCCACCGGCCCGCCGCACCACCTGAGCTATCCGCGGCAACCGTGGCCGTCCTATTCTCTCCCCGCGATGAACGGCCCCGTGATGACGAATATCCACAGCCCCAGCAGTCAGATGTCCTTACTGGGCAGCCTGCAGCCGGGGATCCTGCCCGGGTTCAATAGCGGCCATGTGGCCAGCATGCAGCAGATGTACGGGGGGCATCCCCCGCATCCAGTCCATCAGCCGGGACCGACCAACGACCGGCCTTTCAAGTGTGACCAGTGCCCGCAGAGTTTCAACCGCAACCATGACCTGAAGCGACATAAGCGGATTCATCTGTCGGTGAAGCCGTTTCCTTGCACGCATTGCGACAAGAGCTTTTCTCGCAAGGATGCTTTGAAGGTATTGACTTCCTTCGTTTCGTCCCCTTCTCGTGGAAGATCGGGTATACTAACGTCCTGCTAGCGACATATTCTGGTCAAGGGGTGCGGCAAGGAAGGGTCCTCGGACGGGACGAGTTCGAGCAAACCCAGTTCGGGTAGTGTCAAGGAAGAGGACAAGGAGAGCGTGGACAGCAACGGACCGAATTAACGGGAGTGATTCTGAGATTTGAGCATTGTTCTCGCGGCGTCGGACGGGTTTGGCTTTGGCTTTTCAGCCCCCCCAGTTGTTTTTCTCGATGGATTGATTGATTGAGTTTGAGGCCGATGGCGAATGTTGATATTGTACGGAGCGGGTTTTTCTTTTTTCTTTTGTTTTTGTGTTTCTTGACTGATACTGGTTCTGGATGTTGGATGGACTGATTGACACGGATCGATGATTCTCAGCGACTGATTGTGACGAATGTACTGTAGACATTGACTGAGCGAAGCCAATGATATGACCCTGAGAGATATTAATAGGATCGGTGATTGAGACAGGTCCATTGTTGTATACGCATTTTCCCGTAGACCGAGACTGGGGGAGGGTCAGTCATCTCACCAGATATGTCCGATGGGAGAACCGGCCTACCAGCAAAGCGTTTACAACCAGACCGAAACCGCGCGAAGAACTCCCGACGCAGTCAAATTCCCAGAACTGGACCACACAAATCATCACTAAAAGGGTATATAAAAAAAAAAAAACAAAACCAAAACCAAACAACCATCTACTTCCCCGCCGCCATCCACTCCTCCACCAACCCCCGATAATCCTCCATGCCGTACGGCTCCAACACCCGCCCAACCACCCCGGTCTTGCGCACAGGATTCACCCCCAGTTCCCGCAGCAGCAGATCCACATACGGCACGGCATCGAAGACAAAGTCCGGGTTCCGCGCCCCAAAGCCCCCAGGGTACCGCCAGCGCCCGAACTGGGTGTGCAGCGCCGTCTCCCACGCCAGGTCCCGCGCCGCCTGGTCCTCGGGGCCGCGCTTCTCGTCGGCCACGCGCACGCTCGCAGGGCACCGCTCCGTGGCCGTCGGCGTCAGCCGTCCGCCGAAGTACGCCGTGATCCAGAGCGCCTGCGCCTGCGCGATCATCGTCGTGTTGATCGTCATCGTGATCCCCATGAAGGCGAGCGACCGGTCGGCCGTCAGCCCCGGCGGCACCATGAAGCGCGCGAGCCGGAACGGGTGCGCGGCGGCCGCGGGCGCGTCGGCCGCCAGCGGCTGGTACGACTCCGGGCGGGCGGGCTGGTCGCGGAGCCGGGGGAAGCGGCGCAGGATCTCGGCGTCGGCGGCGGCGAGGAGGTCCGCGGCGAGGGGGTCGGCGCCCCAGGGGAAGCCGAGCGTGGCGTGGAGCGCGTCCGGGCGGAAGGTGAGGTTCGGCGTGGCGCGCCAGCCGGTGGAGCAGATGAGCGCAGTGGTGGGCAGGGCGGTGCCGGAGGAGAGGTGGACGGTGTGGCGGGAGAGGCGGTCGATGCTGGCGATGTGGATGCGCACGGCGCCGGAGCGCACGAGGGCGAAGAAGTCGGTCGGGTAGTTGAGGATGCTGAGCGACGAGGCGATCCAGAACGGGCTGATCCAGGGCTTGAGCTTGGCCGTCTCCGGGTGGGCGTCGTAGCCGTTGAGCTGGACGACGTCGTGGGCGAGGAGGGCCCAGAAGGCGTCGACGAGCCGGCGGCCCAGCCAGGTGCCGTGCAGGAGGCCGCGCACGCGCGAGTACCCGTCCGCGTCCCCCCAGATGCACGGGCTGAACCAGGTCAGCAGCCGCGTCGTCACCAGCTTCTCCAGCCACCGCTTCAGCGGCGTCACGTACGGCGGCACCATCCACACCGGGCCGTGCCCGCGCTCGCGGATCACCCAGTCCACCTGCATGCCCGCCGTCGCCGCCGCGTACACCGCGTCCCACCCGGACTTGGTGCCCCCGAACACGGTCACGCGCCGGTCGGCCTGCAGCACCTGCGCCTCGTGCTGCCGGAGGTCGCGGCAGTGGAAGAGCGGCGCCGCGAACGTCGCCTCGCCGGGGAAGCCGGGCAGGTACGCCTGCGACGTGATGCCCGTCGCCACGATGAGCTTGCGCGTCACCCGCGTCTGCTCCTGGCCGTCTTCCTCGGCCCCGACCGTGGTCAGCAGCCAGGTGCCGTCGGCCCGCCGCTCGGCCGACCGCACGCGCGTGTTCAGCCGGATGCGATCGAGGAAGCGGAAGTGCTCGGCGAACTTCTCCATGTACTTCTGGATGACGGGCCCGGGGATGTGCTCGCCCGGCTGCACGCCAAACGTCGCCGGGTCCATGGGGAAGTCGCTGAACTCGTACGTGCCCAGCATGTTGTTGGACTTGAGGCCCGTGTACTGCCGGTGTGTAGCCCAAACACCACCGATCGACGATGCGGCCTCCAGCAGGACGGCACTGTGCGACGGGTTGACCTGGGTGTAGGTTTTCATGGCAGCGAGGCCACTCCAGCCTGCAGGATTAGCATTGTCGTTCTGACAGTCTGACGGGTAAAAGAAAGAGAGAGACAGAGAGAGAGAGAGAGAGAGAGAGCGCGCGCGCAGGGGGAAAAACAAATACCAGCGCCAATGACCGTCAAATCGACGGTTTCCATGGTTGACATGACAAATCAGGTCAAACTGGGTTGCAGGGTGTGGAGTATGGAGCACGAAAGTACTCTGATGGACAGTGGACAGGTCGAATTTGACAGCAGAAAAGTGATCTGTCAAAGCACGAGTTCGACAGGGAGCGCCGACCTGGACACCTGGAGCTTTAAAGCAAGTAAGCCCTGTCTGGGCCACCGGATCCGTTAGTGAGAACGCTTCTCGTGGTCGTAAGTCTTGACGCTGGGTCTTAGTCTCTGGCCTAGATGGATTCAGGAGACGACTAAGAAGTGGAAAGAGGCACAAGAGGCCAAGGTCCAAATTAAAAACGGTCCCGGGGGGTTCCACTAATGCTCCATCAGGATTTCATTCTGGCCGAGGGAGCCATAGAGGGATGGACAATGCACTGTGATTATCCGTGCTTTGAATCAATCCAATGCATGGATGTATTCGTTGTCAGCATCAGATCCCGCACTCTTTGTCCCACCCCATGATGGAACGATGGAACCGACAGATGGAATGCATGTATCATTCTGTCCTGCTGAACATCAGAGACAAAGGGGGGGAAGATCTAGCAAAAGTCTGCAGCAACTAATGCAGCTAGACAGACAATCATTACTCGACTGGACCTAGGTGTGTCTCCTAGCGGATTTAGTGCTGTCAGTGTCAACGGCCATCTCTATTTCTCTATTTCACAAGGGACTACTGTAGTAGGATCAGGATATTATTAGAGAATACGAGTCCATCCTTTTGCTAACACCGAGTTATCGACTGTCTCCTGTATTGCAGAAGGACGACTCCGGAGATGCCCTAACCGCTAACTCACTGCGGAGTACTAACTACGAACTACTAAACACCATCAACGGCTGTTTCACAATCCCCTGTATGAAGTCTGGAGAAGAATGATGATGATGATATGGCTGCTTGTTGATATTCCTCGTCTCACTCTGACACATATGACCAGTCTTTCCTCCGGGGTCAGTCTCTTGTGATAGCTCCAGACCACGACCAGTCTCAAAACTTTCAACACACAGACCCCGTTCATGCTCAACATCGTGTAAACTCAGTACAATTAATTGCCAATGGGGAAACTCTCGGAGGGAACGAAGGCACAACGGACAGCCCAGTAGATCCTCATCTCGTTCATAGCGCAAGGGCTGTCTAGTAGTGTCTTCTCGTCCCCTGACTCGACTGGGAACTTGGAAGCTGCTCGTTATCTGCCATCCCCTCCTCCTCTCCCCAATGACCAGTCCATAATCCATATACCATTAATAGCTTAGCGAGTCTCCATATTTCCGTGGACTGTCAGTCTGTCACACCTGGACGTCTCGACAGGCCCCATAACCCATTTTCCGGTCCCGCCGATCCTCGCCAAAGGAGCAAATCCACATGTCGGTTACAGGGACAGTGAAGAACACTCAAGGCAGAGTCGTTGTCTCTGACCCAGACGGAAGGATTTGAATGCTTGATTCGGGTCCACAGAAAAAGTGTGGAAGGGTGCTGGTGCAAGAGTCATTGGATGGGATAATTCCTAGCAAGTGGATTGACCTGTTGAACGCCGTCTGCCATGCCTTTGTTTTCCATGTGTCCTTCGCCTTCGGGACTAGGATCCCTAGGGTTAATAATGACTTTTCATGAAATGGTTCGAGTGATAGATACCCGTTTTCGGCCCAGGGTTCTGCAGGAGATCGGCCAGTATCTTTTTATACATCGCCTCGGTGTGGATCTGGAGCTGGCACTTATATCCTTCAAGCTCTCTCCGTCTCGGCAGTTCGTTCTTCTTTTTCTTCCTTCTTTCCTTCCCCATTCACTCGTTCTTTTCTGGCCGCAGGGATGGCCGCAGACAGCTTCACCATCGAGGCCTTCACCCTCCTCGCCCTCGCCATCGTCACTATCATCATCCGGGTTATCGCCCGCGCCACCACCGTCGGATTTCGCAATTTCCAGCTCGATGACTACCTCATGCCCTTGGCCGCTGTACATACTTTCCCCAATTGTGCTGCACACCCGATGAAGCCAACTGATTTGGATATAGCTCGTCTATGGCCTCGAAACCGGCGCCGCCTACTGCGTCGGCGCCTGGTGGAAGGGCATGGCCAACAACTCCATGACCGATCACCAGCGCGCGACGCTCTCTCCCGACTCGGATGAATTCAGGCTGCGGATCGGCGGGTCTAAGACACAGGTGCTGGGATGGTCGCTGTATACAACCCTGCTGTGGTTGCTGAAGGCGTGCATGGCGATTTTCTACTCGCGGTTAACGTATGGTTCTGGCATCCTTCCTGATCGCAGTATGATGCTGACCGAGTAGATCGGGGTTGATGAACATGAAACTGCGCGTGCAGGTCGCCTATGTCTCGATCGCAGCGACCTATCTGGCGGTCATCCTGTCGATCTTGTTCGGGTGCCATCCGATGGAGAAGAATTGGCAGATCTATCCGAACCCGGGGGGTGTGTTTGTTTGTTTTTTGGGCGGCAGGGATATTTGAACGACGCTAACGTCGCTGCAGCATACTGTCAGCCGGCCATTTCGCCCATCGACGTCTATGTAACTGTGGTGCTGAACGTCTTGACGGATCTATACCTCATCACCATCCCGACTCCGGTGCGTCCACTTCCCCAGCAGCCCCCCCCCCCTTTTCTTGCACGCTCTAACCACACCCGCAGATGCTCTTCAAAGCGCGGCTCCCTTGGCGGGAGAAGCTTGAGCTCTTCGTGCTCTTCTCCGGCGGTATCTTCGTCATGGCTGCCGGTATCCTGCGCTGCGTGCTGATCGTCACGGTGCGTCTCAATCCCCTCCTTCTCCAGGCCACCTCTTACCTTATCTAACAAAACGGATTGAACAGGCCGGTCCCAACGGCGCCCAACAGGCCGGCAGCTGGGCCTGCCGCGAAACCTTCGTCGCCGTCGTCATCGGCAACGCCCCCATGATCTACCCGCTGTTCCGTCGCGCCGCCCGCCGCGCCGGCCTCTACATGAGCTCCAAGGGCAACTCGCAGAGCTACCCGGCCTACCCTCTCTCCGAACCAGGCACCTCAACCCACCAGAGCAAGAAACGCCGCTTCCGCCACCCGCTGAGTATCCCTGATACGCAGTGGCATACCGTCAGCGATGAGGCGATGATGCTGCCTCCGTCGGTGCAGCATCAGCACCCCGCGACGTGTACGGCGGAGGAGTGGGATCAGTCGAGCCGGAGGAGTTTGGAGGGGATCAAGGTGGTGCATGAGACGATTATAGAAAGGGATGACCGATAAATGGGGCAAATTTTATGATTTTTCCGGTTTTTTCTTTTCTTTTCTTTTTTTATGTACATATATATATACTTCCCTTTTCTTCATGTCTATAGAAATGGCTAACATGGATGATCATGTGGAAATGGACGTAGTCCATAACTGTTGTAAAACGCACCAACATTAACACAACCAGCCTGATGTTGAATCGGGCTTCTAAGCTGCAATCTAAAAGAGAAGAGAGAGAAGAAAAAAGGCCACTATCAAGCCCAATCTGCAGCATCATCCATTGGTTCAACATCACTCAGAGTATCAAACATTCTAATCTTCCCAGACTCAACCCCACACTGCAGCCCGCTAGCAGGCGTAGCGGACGGAAGTGGAATGGATGACCACGACAGCCGCCATGGCATGTACCCTCCACCATCCGTGGTTCGCAGAAGGGTGGCACTGGAAGTGGATGTATGAGCATCATGTCTGTAATCGGGGACATCTGCATGAGGATCTCTTTACAGGTAGACAGGATGTATCAACGGGGAATACACGGCATCTTCGGATAGTCAAAAGTACCCGAATGCTTACGAAAGAATCGTATCATTCTTGCTGTTGTCTGTCGGATTCAGAAATCGTTAATGGTAGATGAGGGAGGCCCTCTATCCGTCTGGAAGGTTGGTCTGTCGTTTCGGTCCCCCTTTGCTGCTAGGAGGACCTGCGAGGAGACTCAGCTGCTGCGCATCGTATGTGAATTATGAGAGACTGGTCAGAACAGGTAGAATTCGACGACCTGAATGCTATTCGGAATCAGTGGTGTAGATAGAGTATGGATATTAGGATCATGCCGATATAAGAAACGCTAACATCAATCATGATACATGCAAGAAAAAAAAAAAAAAAAACTCTAATCGTCATACTTCCGATGACAATCCTTCCTCTTCATCTCGACTCCCGCATCAACCTCGGGAATCAACAGCTCGTCGCGCATCAACGACGCCTTGACGGGATTCTTCGACTGGAAGATGGCCGTCAACTCCTCCAGCGTGCGCCGACTCGTCTCCACAAACAGGAAGTAAATCGCCGCAAACTCGAGCATATCCCAGAAGATGAACAGGAAGTAGTACTTCCAGCCGGCCTGCGTAAACGCAATCCCCGTCACAAAGGTATTGTAGAACGAGGCGATGTTGACGAAGAAATTGTTCATCCCCATTCCCTTGGCCCGCGCCTCGTACCGCAGACACTCCACGGGATACATGGCCTGGTTCGGCGTCCAGCCCGCCGAGTAGACGAACCCGAAGAGGAAGATCATGGCGATCTGCGCGCGCGCCACGACCGCGCTCTTGGCCACGGCCGTCCCGTCGGCCGCCTGCCCGACGTTCGTCGCGTTGAGCGTCAGCATGATCGAGAACAGCACGACCATCAACGCCGTCGAGGTGAGGAGCTGCGGCCGCCGGCCCATGCGGTCGGTGAGTAGCGCGCCGATGATCGCGCCGACGAACTGCACGACGTTTTGCAGACCCTGCAGGAGCAGCCGGGTCTCGTTGGATGTGATGCCGGCGCCTGCAAGCATCTGTGGATAGTAATATGAGACCGGGCCGTTCCCGGACCACTGCCCGAAGAAGGCTTCCCAAACCCGTCAGTGGAATTCGTGTCAAGAGAGAATGGAAAAAAAAAAAAAAGCCAGCAGGGCTCACCCATAAGCATAACCAGCATGGAGCGGTAGCGCACCTCGCGCGTGTTGAACAGCTCGCGGTAATCCCACCAGCGCTTGTCGGAGCCGATGTTGGAGATATCCTCGACCATCTCACGGTACTCGAGCTGCACCACAGGAGCGTTGCGGTCGCCGTCGCCGTGGTAGGTGGCCAGCACGCGGAGGGCTTCTTCGTGTTTGTCGCGGGAAATCAGCCATCGGGGGCTCTATGGGGATCACCATTCCATCAGCTTGAAAAGAATAGCCCGGCAAGCAGACGCAAGGTGGAACGACTCACCTCTGGAATTGTCCAGCACAGTAGCAGGATCAGTCCCGCAAACACCATCTGCACCCAGACGGGGATGCGCCAGCTCTGCGTGCCTTCGATCATGCTCGTGCGCCACGGGATGAACGTCCCTGGAATCCCGCCTGCAAACCACAGCACGTTGTACAAGCCCGTCAGGGATCCGCGGAACGACGGATGCGCGATCTCGGAGACGTAGGCCGGCCCTGCGGTGGCGGAGATGGCGACGCCGAAGCCCAGGATGAAGCGGCCGGCCATGAAGCCGGCGAGGTTGAAGCAGGTGGCCTGGACGACGGTGCCGACGATGATGAAGAAGGCGCCGAGGGCCATTCCCACTCGTCGGCCTGTTCAATCGGTCAACACCTTGAACGCTTGACACAAGACAGAAGAACCAAGAGATTACCTTTGAAATCAGTGAATGGACCCGCGAAGAACGAGCCCACGATATTCCCAATCGTATAGATAGCGTACACAATGCCCGTCTCGGGAGTTCCGTCTTCCGGATCGAAGCCAAAGTACTCGCGGTATTGTTTGTAGCTGTTGATGGAGCCCATCAGCGAGCCGTCGTACCCGTTGATGCAGGAATTGAGCGTCGCGACGGCAATGCACCAGTATAACTGCCTACTCAGTCATTCCTGTCGGCCAATCCATGCCCGGGGGGGAAGCATACGCACCTTGCACATGTTCTTGCTCCATTTCCGCGGCTTCTGCTGGATGGTCGCCATGGCCAGGGCGGCATTGTTGACGCCGCGAAGATGCGCATCGTCCGGATAGTACAGCATCCTGGCCGCCGTGTCGTTGGAGTTGAGACGCTGCATGCTGGATGGCAGCGGTCCTAGAAGGAACTTCACGCAGGGCAAGATAGGGACCAATTCCACTCCCAGGGCTAACGGCTAAAGGCTCCAGCGGAATCGAGTGGGTTGGAGGGAGGGGGGCGTTTGCTATTATAGACTACTCTACTCCAACGACACAATCGAGAACAGGAGTCGATCCTGGCGGGGCCGAGGGATCGGGGCCGGGTCTCCCGTATTAGGAAAGCTGTATATTGACATCAGGGATTCAGCGCAGCGGTGGAAATGTGAGCTAATATCAGGGAGGGGGGGGCTAAGCTGGCAGGGGGAGCAGACGAGAGAGTAGGTCTGAGGCTGTTTTTTTTTTTTTTTCTTCTCTTCTTTGTATTTGATTCTCCCTTTTCCCGGGCAGCAGCACGAGTGCGCGACAGGGGTTCAACCTATTTGGATAAATTGTAGGCCTGTCAGGGCGAACAATGCCACCTAATAGCGTGTTGGTTGTAGCCAGGGTCGAGTCATCCTGGCCTCTTTAGTCCGGAGAGGACACGACAGGAACGCAGGAAAAAGCAAGTCCAGAGACTGCTCTGGGGACCCCGCATTGAGTGTCACCATCGAACTCGGATTCAGGCTGGATCTGGAAGAATAGAGGAGCATAAAGAGACTAAGAATAATGGGGTGGCGCCGTCGCGAATGTGGAAAGGTGAGCCCACATGAGGCTGTGGGCTTGGAGGAGTGGAGATGGAGTAGTATCAGATTGATTCTAGTAAGTCTCGTTGCTAGAAAGAAATCTATTCTAGACTCTAGAGATTCTACTCGGTTTTCCTTTCTGTCTACTACTCCGTAGTTAATAAATTGCGACTATCGTGGCATTGTCCCTCGTGGATGAACCCTAACCAACGCCACCGTAAGCACACACGAACCCTTGATGACTCCAGAGTCCAACGGAGTCTCTTGATGGTCATAGAGAATTGGCTACTACTCTGTCAGATAGACTTTGCCTGCCTCAGCCCTCCCGAATCCCTTCTTCTTCCAGCATCGTCTCCGGCTGCATCACGATGAGAAAGAATACGCTTCTGGCAATTGATTTCTCTTGAACCTGACTCTCATTGCTCAGTGCAGAAGAATGAGACAGCAAGAAATGCCACATGTATTCGGAAACGGACAATCTCCCGTCTCAGGTTTCAAACATCGACTATCGCCCACTGGGACTAGTCGTTAGAATCCGCCAATGCGAGCTGACTACTCAGACGGAGCGACGGAGCACCACTTGCCTCAATGGTCGTAGACTGGCATCCTTCGCTTCTCGCTGGAGAGTTGCTGGACCACGGGATTATCACGCCTGTGCGACTGGGAGTCTGAGGCCGAGGCTAATGCACTTCAGCCGCTATGGGAGAGACATGATCCTGGTCAGGGACTCGGTCTGAGGCTACGGGGGGCGATGATGGAAACAGGGAATATTGCCTGTCGTCCAGGATACCCAGGATATAGCTATCCATCCAGGGGCTGTGTTCCCATTGCCGTCTGCTGCAGGTACAACTCTTGTCTCGCGGCCCGAGGGTCAGATGGAAGAGGATGGGAATTGCTTGTATGATATTCACCAGAGGCAATAATAATTGCACAGCATAGAAGAGTAGAATAACCACGATAGAGGTAATACCATTAGAGCAGAAGAAACTCTAGATAAAAGACTCCCCCTTGGTCCATCGCTGAAGGATCTCAAACGCTACATCGGCGCGATCCTGAGGAAGCAAATGACCAGCCCCATCTACTGTCACAAACGCAAACCGCGACGCCGCCGTCGCCTCCTTACTCGCATAAACACGGACCTCCTTCGCTCGTCCCACCGTCTCGTTCCGTCCCGCCGTCCACGGTCGCAGGGCCTGCGACGTAAACTCAGCCTGTCCCTTCCAGGCCAGCGAATGCGCCCACCGCAGGTTGCCCGCGGTGTTGCACGCCAGATCCAGATTCCCCTGGTAGGCGAGGAAATGCACCTGGTTCTCGAGGAGAAACGCGACCGCCGGCGACGAGGAGGACATCTCGTCCGCGGTCTGCAGGAAGGACTTATACACGTCCTCAGAGTCCATCTGGAATGATTTCACTTCCGGGGGCGGCGCCAGAGCAGCCCAGACCGCGGCGGAGTTGAGGTATGTCTCGACGCGGGCGGCTTGCGGATAGCACATTTCCTCGATCTCGCAGGGGGCCGTGACTGCTGCCGTGTTAGCGAGAATGTCCATCTACATCACGAACGGAAGTGGAGGAGAGTACGCACTGTCGAATCTGTTGCGGCCGCCCGCGCGCGCCTCCTCCTCGTACCAGCCCAGCACGCCGGCGTAGCAGACGGCATACGCAGCGTTGCAGACGGCGGGGTCCGGATTGCGCACGCACGTCTCGGCGACATCCATGCAGCGCGGCATGTTGGCGGCCATGATGTCGCAGCGTGTCTGGTTGAAGACGGGGGCCGCGACGCCCGGGTTCGTCGTGCACAGCGTCTCCCAGTACCCGAAGGTCGTGTCGCGGCGGGACATGAGCCCGTTGCCGACCAGGCACGATTGCAGGAGGATCTGTGGTTTGTCGGGGTAGAGCTGGTTCTGCTGGATGATGTGGGCGCCGAGGGCAGGAATGTATTTTCCCTGAGTAGGTGCTCGTTAGGACTGTGTGTTGTATTACAGCGGATAGGAGCGACTCACTGCGTAGGATTCTCCCGAGAGATGGACCGCCGAGGACCGATGACGCGGAAACACCTCGGAGATGAACAGCTGCAGAAACCGGTGCATGTCGACCGAGGCCTCGTGCGAGTCGCGCGGCAACTCCTCCTCTCCCTCATCGAGATACGAGAAGCCCACGCCGACCGGCTGGTCGACGAACAGCAGCGACGAGTTCCGCGACCAGCCCCAGGGGTTATGGTACGTGCCGTTCGCGTGCTCGTTCACCAGACACGGGCCGAGCTCCTGGAATGCCCCGAGCATGCTGGATGCACCTGGTCCGCCGCTCATCCAGAGGGTCAGAGGATCGTGAACGGGGTCGTTCTGGCTTTCGAAATACCAGAAGAACAGGTGCCTGGATCCGACATCGAGCCAGCCGGTGTACTGCCGTGAGCCGGCGGCGCAGAGGGACTCGTCTTGCTCGCGGATACGGATGGAGTGCGTGGGAGAATGGCTGCTCTGGATGACCTGGTAACCGTCATGGTCGGGTCTGAGCGGCTTTGATAGTAGTGGAATCTGAGTTGCGTGGGCCACGGCGAGCAGCGCGGCCAAGCGCAGCAGCATCATGATCGTAGAAGTTGAGTTGGAAATATGAAAGACCTGGCATCAAGACCAGAAGATCAAACGGATTCTTCTCTTCCCTCGATCCTTCTTCATATAAAGACATCCCTGTCAGACTCGCGACGATCGGAGTTCACGAGTTCACCCTCGGAGTCGGAGTTCTTCAGACACATAACAAAGATATCATTCAGTCGTCTATCATAATGTACAAACCAACAACACACTTTACAAATACACCGTCACATCATGGACCCAACCCTACCGCCCCAAGATCTCCCTCCTCTCCTGCGGCGTAATCGACAAGCTCAACGTATAATACATCCCCTGGATCAACTCCGACTCCCCGCGCGGCTCCCCAGCAAGCACCAGCCTCGTCCCCCCAGCAAACGGCACCGCAAACCACACGGGCTCGCCATACCGGTCCGCCCCCTCCCACACCTCCATCGTACACGACATGCTGCTCCCGTACAGCAGCGGGTTGAACCCATTGCACACCGCCTCGGGGATATGCAGCACGTCCTCCAGCACGATCGTGTGCACGCTGCGGCCGCCATCCTTGCTCGTGCGGCACACCTGCAGCTCCACGGTGCCCACGCCCGCCACCGCCAGCTCCTGCTGCGGGTTGAAGATGTTGTTCTTGATGAGCTGCGCCACGGGCCGGTAGGTGCGGAATGCGCCGCGGTCGCGCGCGTAGTGGCAGTTACCCGAGACGATCATCCAGTCGTAGCAGAGGCGTGGGGTCGGGGTGGTGCGCGCCTTCTTGCGGCGGTCGTTGGCGAATGCGTCCGTCTCGAGCGGTTCGAGATCCTGTGTGAATTCGTCGTGGGTGCGCATGGTGGCTGGGGAGGGCGTGGAGGTGAGATATGCTGTTCTTGGGGAGTGGGAGGCGGGAACTTACCCGGAAACGAGTCCAATTGGGCTTGATAAGGGTGTCTGAGCACGCTATGAGAGCAAGATACGCAGAGAGACGCAATTGCAGCTGAAACAAGACCTGTGCGATGGAGAGGACCTCTTGCTCAATGCGGATGCCGGCAGTATTGCTGAAACAGCAGGCGGTGGGCACTCTGACCAATGAGGTACAGGCGGTGTGCAGAGTCGGAACAACGTCCAGTGAGCTAACCTGATTCGGCAGGTGCATCTGCACAAGGAATTATGCATGCTGCGTAAGGCACGTGGCCGCACACGTGATAGTTATGTATGCATAAAAGGCCTCGTTTCCGTTGTGCGCATAAGATTGGCTGACCAATCAGAGGCCGCCAAATACGGGCACCCAGTCGAATACGCATCGGAGCATGCTAGACGACGCCAACGACGGAGTAGATTCTAAATGAAAGCCCAACTAAGGGACCAGGGCCTCGCTTGATGGTGTTTTCTTCTGGTGAAAACAGGATCCTGATCTAGATAGTCTTATATAAAGCCGGACCCCCTAATGTAGTCCCCTCACCTGGAGCTGGGTGGTAACCACCGCAACATGACCATGGCAGACTCAGGCTCGAGACAGAGCACTCCAGTGATGGAGGAGGAAAGCCCCAAGGACGAATTCCCCAAGAGTGAAAGAAGTATCGATTGCGACCAGGATGTCGAGAAACACCAGATTCAGCAGGAAGGTAGCGATGAGACGATCGTCAACTGGGAGGGCGACGACGATCCGCAGAATCCCTACAACTGGCCCAAGATGAAGAAGGCGCCTAGCATTATCATCGTCTCCCTGATGACGCTGATCACGTAGGTCGACTCTACAGCGACTATACAACGGTACATAATGAGCTTCCAGCTGACACCTCCGTCCCCCAATCCACACGCGCAGGCCCCTCGCGTCCTCCATGTTCTCCCCCGGCGTGCTCCAGGTCCTCCATGACTTCCACTCCACGAACACCGTGCTGGGCTCCTTCACCGTCTCCGTGTACATCCTGGGCTTCGCCTTCGGCCCCCCCATCGTGGCTCCCTTCTCAGAGACCGTCGGCCGACTCCCCGTCTACCATGTCTGCAACGTGCTCTTCCTCGTCTTCATCATCGCCTGTGCGCTGTCCAACAGTATAGGCATGCTCATCGCGTTTCGCTTCCTCGCCGGCGTCGCCGGGAGCTGTCCCATCACCATCGGTGCCGGAACGATCGCCGATCTCGTTCGTCCGGAGAATCGCGCCAAGGTCATGTCACTGTGGACCATGGGGCCCATCCTGGGTCCCATCATTGGTCCCGTGGCCGGTGGCTTCGTGTCGCAATATAAAGGCTGGCGATGGAATTTCTGGATCATCGCGATCATCGTATGTGTTACCGGGAGGACCCCCTTCCCCCGATCTTTGGGATTTGGCTAACACCCAATAGTCCGGAGCTTGCACCATCGCATCGCTTGTCTCCATGCGGGAAACCTTCCACCCGGTCCTGCTCAAGCGCAAAGTCCAGAAATGCCAAAAGGAGAACCCCGGCAAGGCGTATCGCTCGGGCCTGGACACCGGCCTTACCACCATCCAGACCTTCCAGATGGCCATCGTCCGCCCCCTGAAGCTGCTGCTCTTCTCGCCCATCGTCCTCTTCCTCTCGCTCTACTGCGCCGTCGTGTATGGTGTCCTCTACCTCCTCTTCACCACCCTCTCCGCCACCTTCTCCTACAAATACGGATTTTCGCAGGGAACGGTGGGGCTGTCGTTCATCGGCATCGGCGTGGGCTGCATGGTGGGCCTGGTCGCCTTTGGCGCGCTGTCCGATACAGTCGTGCTGAAGCTGGCCAACGGCGGGGAGAGACAGCCCGAGTACCGACTGCCGCCGCTGGTGGTCGGCGCCGCGTTCCTGCCGGTCGGGCTGTTCTGGTACGGATGGTCGGCGCAGGCGCAGGTGCATTGGATCTGCCCGATCATCGCGACATCGTTTGTGGGCATCGGCATGATCACCGCGTTTGTAAGTTGGTTCTTCGCCGTACTTGGCAGAGGCTCGTGGCTAACGGGGGCCGCCAGATGTCCATCAGCATGTATCTCATCGACTGCTACCCGATGTACGCGGCCAGTGCGACCGCAGCCAACAGTATCCTACGATCGCTGGGCGGTGCGCTGCTTCCACTGGCTGGTGGACCTATGTTCGACAGCCTCGGTCTGGGTTGGGGCAATTCGCTGCTGGGGTTCATCGGGCTGGTGATTGTCCCTGCGGGATTCTGGCTGTACAAGTATGGCGCGGGGATCCGCACGCACCCCAAGTTCCAAATCAACTTATAAGGATAGTGTCAATTGCGGCCTTGTTTGTATATAGATCGACCATACCAATCGAGTCCCTTACGCATTCTTTAAATTTTCTAAATCCTTTTTGGTGGCGATGTGAAACACCCTCACGCCTGCGCAAAGTACTCCTGCGGAAACTTTAACCACCGATGATATCGCGCATCCAGCGACGCCTTGATCCGATAGAACGTGACGGAACCGCTCTTCTGCGACCACCAGAACTTCCCCAGCCGATCGAGCAGCGGCTGGTAATGCGCAAAGATGATCAGCGCGCCCGGCCGGCCCTGCTCCAGCAGCCCGATGAACACCTCGGGCACATCAAATAACCAGCGGAAGATGACGGCGCCGACGCTCTGCCCCTTGGACACGGCGATCCCCCGGCGCCGCGACGCAAGACCCATGCCGAGCTTGCGGTAGTACGTGTTGAGGATCTGCAGCGCTTCGGCGTAGACCTGGCTTTCTTCGGGGGCGATCTCGTCGTCCTGCAACGCGGGGAGCAATTCCCTCTGCAAGACTGCCAGATCGTGGAAGTCCGGCGGGGCCGGAGGGTCGCCGGGCTCGTCCAGGCGCAGCAGCACCCCGAGCTGGCCGTTGCTGATGCGGGTCCAGTTGGCGCGGAGGACGACCTCGATGCCCCGGCCGATGCGGATCCATTGGAAGTCCCAGACTCGCGGGGTGGCCGGTTGGCGGTCGCTTTCGTCCTGGATGGTGGCGAGCACGTAGAAGAAGAGGAGGATGGACAGGGCGAAGAGCGCGTCGCTCTTGCCGGGCGTGTAGTGCTGGATGGCGTGCTGGTAGCGTCCCAGGGCGATGCTCTGGTGTCTGGACGCGGTGAGGAGAAACTCGGCGCGCGATTCGGAGCCGGTGGAGGCCTGATGCAGGGCGGAAATGGCGAGGATGCCGTGCAGGAGAAAGTCGTGCGCAAAGGACAGCTGCACCACGCTGGTCTGCCACAGTCTCTGCACGACCCGGATCGAGGACAGCGTGACCCCGGTCGTGGTGGTGAAATGATGCAGGAGGAACAGATCTTTCACACTGAACTCCAGCGACGGAGCAAGATGGGCGAAGATGCTCCCCGGCGACTCCCGGGGGTGTACAGCCGACCCAGATATGGGCCGGTGGGGAGCCAGAGATGTAAAGCTGCAGATCTTCTGGACATTGGTGCAGTTCTGGCAGCGGGGTTTGTTCTCATCACACTACAGCGCAGTCAGTCGATAGCCAGGGGTTCGAAGATGCCTACTGTATAAGGCTGACCTTAATATGGCGTTGCTTGCATTGCACACAACCAATGCGGGATTTTTTATGGGGACGCCGAGTGCTCATTTTGATATCTTGGGGGGGGGGGAATATGGCCGTGAGCCAGACAGCCAGTTGTTGCATTCTGTATCAATGTACCCCTGTGTACCGTTCAGTATTAATCTTACGGAGTACGGAGTAGGTATTATTCATAAATCATAAGTCATCATAGCGGGATTATTAATAACCTAATCATAATAGAATAAGAGCGCCAAGGGGTGGGGACTGGGGGAGTGGGGACATCCCCCCCCCCTGCGTGGCTGTTTTTCAAAGCTCACCAATAGGATGAAGAGGGCACTTTGGAGCTAATCCCATTCAGGCCGGTAAAACATTTCCCAAAGTCGAGCATCGCTTTCATTGGTCGGATGACTCTGCCGGAAAATCCAGCATGCCGGATTGGTCCACTGGCGGTCACGGGACCCTGGGCATTGTGCTGGACTCTGCCTGGGCTGAGAAACCTAATTGCTGCCATACGCCCATATTTTGCAAAGAAAGGGCTTCATCGCTGTGAAGAATCTGAAGACACTGGGTTCATTTGTTGCTGGGTCTATATTTGTCATTATTGGGTCGTCCAAGTTCCAACAGCGCTGCTCCCGCGACCCTTCTGCATGCTTGATCCCCCCCCCCCCCAAATCGATCGGATCGCCCCGACTGTACCTCTGTAGCATATAATAAGAAAGAGTTCCCCCTCCCCTTCCTTCCTGCCTGACATGGCTGTGCGCCTGTGGTCTCCCCGTGCCGACTTCCATCTCGATTGATGTCCGAGTCGCAAGAACAGTCGTCCTCTCGCCCTCTCGCTCCTGCTCCCGGTCGCCCCTTGAAACGTAATGTCTCGTCGGATGGGCTGGTGCCCGCGCGGAGGTACAAGACTACCGCGTGCAAGGCCTGCAAGCGAAAGAAGCTGAAGGTAAGTTGACACTGCGCTCATCCAGTGGCCAAATTGTCGGTTGCCCCAACTGAACCCTGTCGAGTGTCGAGGGGGTCCGCCCTGTCAACCTTGTCAGACCCATGGTATCGAATGCGAGGTTGACGAGATGTCCGACATGCGCCGCAAGAACGCCATGGAGCGCAAGGTCGAGCAACTGGAGCGGGTGTCGGACACGCTGATGGAGCTGGTCGGTGCCCTGCGTGAGAGCGAGACCCGCCGAGTGGCCCAGCTGCTGAACCTCATCCGGAGCAATGCCTCCTTCGACGAGCTCCAGCGCTTCCTGGAGCAGCAGTTCGCCCCGGGCGAGATGGACTCGACCCCCGAGCTGCGCGACATCCAAACGCAATTGTCCCAGGGGCCCGAGGTCGCGCCCTTGGGTTGGAGGTACTTGCGCGTCGACCGTCTGGCGGATGACCCCGTCCACCGAGTCCCCGCCGCGCCGTGGACGAGGGTGACCAACGACGCGGATCTCGTCTCGCACCTGCTATCCCTCTGGATGACCTGGACCTATCCCTGGCTTAACTGGCTGGACAAGGACCTTTTCCTGAGGGATATGATGCAAGGGAATCTGAACTGTCCATTCTGCTCCCCTTTCCTCGTCAATGCGATCCTCTCCGAAGCTTGCGTATGTGTCCTGCGACCCTTCCCTTGAATCGTCTGTGTTTGGTTAATATCTTCATTTGGAAGTATTACTCCGACTACCCGGAAGTGTTCACCGTGCCCGGCGACATGCACTCCCGAGGCGATCAATTTTACGACGAAGCTCGGCGCCTGTTCGAATCCGAAGAGGACGAGGGGGCATCCCCCAGTCTGCCGACCATCCAAGGGCTCATGGTCCTGTTCATTCGGTACGGGATTCCTCGTTCTATTGAACCTGACTGGCTGGCCGGCTGACCGGGCCACCGTAGAATGACCCTCATGGGCAAGGATCGAATGGGATGGGTGTATATGGATCTGGCCGTTCGTGGTGCCCGTGAATACGCCGAGATGCACCCCCCACGATCGACAGACAGCCCAGACGAACGGAAGGCGATCAACCGGACCCTCTGGGGCATTTTTAGCATCGCTTCGTAGGATCTACCCCCCCCCCCCCCCCATGCAGACATGGCTGTCCAGATGCTAACGGCATAGAACCGCGTCCGTAACCCTGATGAAACATCTGGACTTGCAGCCTCCCAAACGGCCTCCTATCTCCAAGGTGTGGCATCTGATTCATGTCTCCGACATCTGGAGGCCCTACCCATATCCCACCGACGTTGGGATCCCGTCCCATATTACCTGCGTCTTCGACCATTGGTGCGCGATCGCCAGCATCACCGCCAAAATCTGCCAGACATTCCACAATGAGGAGGATAGGATCCCTCGTGCCGAGCTACCGCCGGTCGTCACTCGCCATTACGGTCAGCTGCAGCAGTGGTATGCCGACCTGCCAGACTGTCTACAAGTGGAGGCGCTCACGGTCCCCCATGCCTTGAGTCTTCAGTAAGTTGGCTCTCTCACCACCCCCCCCCCCGGTTGTCAACCAGCGCCCCTGACATCTCCAACCGCAGTTTCTTCTACCACACCACGGTGATGCAGATCTTTGGCTTCCTCAAAGCCACGGACGAGGTATTGGACCCCCAGATCGTGGAAAATGCACGCACCATCTGCATCGACAATGCCCGGCGCATCGCCTTTCTCATCGGCATCCACCGGGACAAATGGGGTATCGGCCGCATGGCCCCATCGACCATCCAGTGGCTCAGCATCGGCATGTTCACCCTTCTGGACGCTCTGGACTCGGACGACAACCGGGCCGCGTTCATCGACATGTGCACCGTCGCCCGCGCGATCGCGCGCCGCTTCCCCCTGGCCACGGGGATTCTACGCATGATCCAGATCTCCGCCAACGAGATGCCGATCCTCTTGCCGGCGGAAACGGATGCCTTGTTCACGGACTTGGAGACTCAGGGCTGGGAGGGGAAGGACTCGCAGACGTTCAGCACCTTCTACCCCAATTTCGCCACGGTCGTGCGGCAGGGGAACAGGGAGGAGGCGGATGACTTAATGGACCGGTCCTTGGAGAAATGGGATAAACTCACCATCTTGGACCAACGTGAGGGCTCGGGAGATGGTTCGGGCGATAGGTCCGTTCAATAGGGTGATGTTCGCCGTGTATTTGTACACCAATCTTCTGAGTATGGCATGTTCATGCAGCACTCTAATGAATGAATGAAGCAATGTTCAAGTATACCAACTTCATTTCTTCTTTTTCTTTCTCTCTCTCCCTCTCTCTCTTCTCCTTGACATCATCATAGAAGATGAACAAGAGAAGGTTTGTTGTTCATTTGACTAACTGACGCCTCTCGATGCATTCTATATCCCCTATGAGCATATCCAAGGCGTACTCTACCCCGAATGTCTATGGAGCCAGACCGATCGCGGACAAGTACCTGTGCGCAATTTCAAGGCGTGATGCTTTAATGTACAGGCCCACCCCATCAATCTTTCCTTCACCATCCCTCTGCACTCTCGACTGCAGCCAATTCGGGCACCTGGATCGGGGTCTGCCTGAATTCCACCGTGCCTGGCAGCTCCAAATGGCACTGTTCCAGCACCGCAGCGGACAGCTGCGCCTCCCTCGCCTCAAAGGCCAATACATGGCCGCCAGCCCGTCGATCCTGTGAGAGGTAATGTAGATGGAACCCGACCACGCTGAGACCCGCGGTATACTCAGGCGACCAGAAACCGAAGAGGGTGCCGCGCGTGTGCGACAGCGAGCGAACCGTTTGGCGCCGTGCGAGATCTCCCAGCGCCTCGTCCGCTTTCTCGCGCTTGGGGATAATGCGCACGGTGACGGAGGGGAAATAGCCATCCACCCGCACCGCGAGAAAATAGTTCTTCCCGTCGCCAAGGAGCGGTGACACATGCTGGGGTAGACTGGCCAGGTCCAGCGCGGAAATGCCTATGCTCATCGTGGGCCGGAAATCCGTCATCATGGCGAATGGAATCGTGTCGGTTGGTGCGACGGTCCGCACCTCGCCGGTCGAGGTGAAGTGGTACGCCTCGTTATCGACCACGATGATCTCCCCGTCCAACAGAGAGACTGTGCCGAGGCCGTGGGTCCCCTGCGTCAGGACCTTGGCGGCGGATACTCCATCCTCGCACACACCCTGCATCAAGCTACCGATGAGGGAATACTGGTACAGATGATTGAGTGGCATGGTTGGTGGTGGTGGTGGTGGTGGTGGTGATGGTAGTGGTGTTCTTCATGGCCCATCGTGGTTCCGATGATGTCTCTATAAAAGGCCACCAGAGTAGCGGACCGGGCCTGCTTCACGCTCGCCGCATACCGATGGCTTAACAAGGGGGTTTACTGTGACACCCCGGGTAGCCGGCAAATGTACCCTCGAACGTCATCTGTGCAACATTCCAGACCCGGTTGACTGCATTTCTTCAGTGAGTCACCGCCGACATATTCTCCATTTCCAATCTGGATGGGGGTATCGTCGGGGCGTCGATGATCTAGATCCTTTGTAGACAATCGCCAAAATCGGCGACTCCTAAGTGGATGCCCCCAAGTCACCATATCACCCGGGAGCAAGCAATTCCCGCGAGTGAAGGAATGGTGATATGCTTCTTGGTCCTAGATTACTCAATGTACGTGTCATTTATATGACTTTCGGGGAAGCGTGGGAGTACCTTAAATATCCTCCGGATATTGCCCGTATCCCCCATTGCATGAACTACCCTGCAAACAACAACGACAACAACGACAATGAAAGTCAACAAATTTCTCGGTCTGACGGGGGGCGGAATTGTGCGCGAGGAGCTCATCCACCGTCGTGTTGAGTACGTCTGTATGTTCCGCCGTTCCCTTCATTGATGGCTGATACTGACATGTCACTGTCTGTAGTTGGATATCCCGGCGGCGCAGCTCTCCCACTCTTTGATGCTCTGCACAACAACCGCGCTTTCGAGTTTATTCTTTCCCGTCATGAGCAGGGCGCCGGCCATATGGCCGAAGGATACGCTCGGGTATCCGGTCAACCAGGTGTCCTCCTCGTGACCTCCGGCCCTGGATCCTCCAACCTGGTGACACCCATGCTGGATGCCCTGCTGGATGGCACGCCTCTCGTCGTGTTCTGCGGCCAGGTTTCCACAGCCGTACAAGTCACGGGTGCGTTCCAGGAGATTGAGATCATGAAGCTGGCCAAGACCTGTACCAAGTGGTGCGGGCTGGTGCAGGATATCAGTGAGCTCCCTGCGTGCATAGAGGCGGCATTTCAAGTCGCGACCAGCGGTCGACCAGGCCCAACGCTGGTGGCGATACCCAAGGATATTGGGTTGGTTGTGTTTGACGAGCTCGCCTTCCAGAAGGCCCAAGGCCCTCCGCTCGAAGTCCCTGCGTGCATCCCGCAGTGGGGGACTGAGCAGTTGGAGGACTCCATCAATCGAGTCGGGCGTTTGATCAACCTTGCAGAGAGGCCGATCATCATATGCGGCCAAGGAGTGCTAAGTACCGCCAAAGGGCCCGCCTTGGTCGACATGCTGTTGGAATTGGTCCAGATGCCCGTCGCCACGACGCTGCTCGGCACCGGGGCTGTGGACGAGCTTCGCCCCGAGGCTCTGGGGATGGTAGGCACGTATGGAACGGTGCCAGCCAATCTAGCCGTCCAGGAGGCCGATCTGGTCCTTGCTCTGGGGGCGCGACTAGATGAACGAGCCGTCGGACACGCCGCAGGCTTTGCACCCGCTGCGCGCGACGCCGCAACCAGAGGCTGCGGCGGCATCGTGCACTTTGATATCGACCGGGGTAGCGTGGGCAAAGTTGTTGAGCCAACGGTCACGGTTCTCGGGGATCTCTGCATCAGCCTCGTCATGCTGCTGCAGCGTGTCGCGGCCCGCTCCAACCCGGAATGGTTCCAGCGCATCCAACGCCTCAAACGGAAGCACCCGTTCCAGTACCAGCCGTCCCCTATGCCCCGGAAGATGTCTGCTCGACGTCTCCTCCCACAGGCAGTCATCGCGGAGCTCGACGCCCAAACCACTGCGACGAAGCAGTCCACCATCATCACCACGGGCGTCGGGCAGCATCAAATGTGGGCGGCGCGGTATTACCAGTGGCGCACGCCTCGCAGCCTGATCACCTCGGGCGCCCTGGGGACGATGGGGTTCGGCCTTCCCGCGGCGATCGGGGCGAAGCTGGCGCGGCCCGACTGCACGGTGCTTGATGTCGATGGCGATGCGTCGCTGTGCATGACCATGGAGGAGATGCTCACGGCGGTGCAATTTGGGGTGGAGATCAAGATCCTTATCATCAATAATGGGGAGCAAGGGATGATCAAGCAGCTGCAGAACACCTCCTACGAGGGACGGGTCGTCCATGCGCATCAGGTCAACCCGGACTTTGTGCGCCTGGCCCAGAGTATGGGCTGCAAAGGGCGGCGGTGCGACTCGAAGGATGATCTGGCAGCGAGTGTTCGGTGGCTCTTGCAGACAGAAGGCGTGGTGCTACTGGAGGTCGTGACCGAGGGAAATGTGCCGATGGTTCCAATAGTGCCGACTGGGCAGCCGTTGGATGCGATTGTGAAGAGCTTGCCAACTTCGTCGAAGAGTGCTTTGAGGGGAGAGACTCCATTCCTCATTTGAATAGTGCTAGGCGCTGAGGAAGAATGTCATATTCATTAGATCATTCCATCCGATCCATGGCCCACCACGTAACCTACCAGCAAACATATCTATCAATGAAATGACACTCTTCCAGCTCATCTCATGTCACCATGACCGGCTCTCTGTCGTATTATATGACTTCCCCCGTTGCTCCAACAAGTCAACGGCAGCCCTCTCCCCTTGTCGACACTGCAGCCTCTCCTCTCTCCCCGTTTTCAACGCCAACATGCATCTCGTGAAGCTCCTGTCTGCACTAGCCCTCATCCCCCTCACGACTGCAATGCCTCCCAGCCAGGTATTGGCCATGTTCTGGGGTGACAAACACCATGACCACCACGACGGTGACCACCACAACGGCCATCATGGAGGCCGCCATGGCTGCCCGGATAAACCGCAGGAGTGCAACCACCACGTCCGTGCTTCCCTTTTTTCCTCCTGCCGCATGCCACTAGACAGAATCTAGAAGCTAATGGGCATAGTGCCGTCGGCGCCACTTTGACCGTGGGGTTTGCGTGTCGCCCAAGAAGTCGAATGGGAAGGCCAATTACTGCTCCTGCGAGGATGATAGTATGTGGAGTGGGCGCTATTGAGAGCAGCACAAGCGCAAGTGAAACACGCTATATGATTCGATCCATGCGAGAGCTTTTTCATATCCATCGAATGGGAGTTGCGCACCAACTCCGGGACGCTGCGTGTGTCATCCTGCAGCAATTTTCCGAGTAATAATTGAAGTCGTGCCGTGGCAGATTGCAGATCATACATAGGGCGTAGTGTCTGCGCCAATGACTCACTATAAATACCCGGACAGTCGGACAGTAGGATCAACGATCATTGTCAGATCAAGTGCAATCTGCATCTTCCCAATTCCCAATCTACTGTAGCAACTCCCCTCCCCGTTAGTCAACCGATTCTATCAAAATGTCCAACCCTCTCGCCTCCCATCCGCCTCACATCCTCGCCCTCCTCCAACGCCTCCACGCCGAATCCTCCGCCCAGGAATCCGCCCTCCCCCCGTCCACCTACACCACGCCCGCCACCGGCGCCTTCCACACCCTCATGCGCGACAAGTTCATCGCTCTCGAACAGGACAAGTGCCTCTTCCTCTACCAGCTCGCCCGCTCCCTCCACGCCACCACCATCGTCGAGGCCGGCACCTCCTACGGCGTCAGCACCATCTACCTCGCCCTCGCCGTGGCCGATAACCTCGCCCATCCGCGGGCTCCGAGCGACGCCCACGCGACCGGCACCGTCATCGCGACTGAGTACGAACCCGCCAAGGCCGCGCAGGCGCGCGCCCACTGGGCCGAGTGCGGCGACCCCGTGCGCGGCGTGATTGACCTGCGCGAGGGCGATCTACGCGAGACGCTGAAGGAAGGCGTGCCGGATGGAGTGGATCTGCTGTTGCTGGATAGTAAGTCTTTTGTTTTTTTTTTTTTTTTTTTGTTTCCCCTCCCCCCTTCCTCGGTTGCTTGCTAGGCAGGGTGGGGTGCTAAACGGGTGGATGCGCAGTCTGGACGCCGATGGCGCTGCCGACGCTGAAGCTCGTACAGCCCAGGCTGCGGCCCGGCGCGGTGATTGTGGCCGATAACACGGCCAGCTCGGCCGCGGGATACGAGGAGTTCCTGGAGTATGTGCGAGCGCCGGGCAGTGGGTTTAGTTGTCTGACCCTGCCGTATAAGGGGGGCTTGGAGATGATTGTGTATTCGCCTTGATTTGATCTGGTCTGTGGGTTGGACCAGAGAGGAGGGGGGAAGGGCGAGTGCTATTGCGAGGAGGTTATCAGGGTTGTGAACTATACTAGCTAGCTACAGGACATATCTGAAGAAGGGATTCTCCTTATCCGTCAGATCATTAAACGCCAGCTTATCCCGCTGGCTCTCATCCAGCTCCATTGCCTCGCGCCGCCGGTTCTCCCTCCAAAGCACGAGGTACAGCGCCACGGCCGCTGCGATGGTGATGCAGTAGCAGATGATCAGCCCCGTCCACAGCTCCGGGTAGTGCTGCGGCATGGTCTTGCTCTTGACGAGCTGCGGGCCGATGATGTTGCCAACCGTGTAGGCGACGAAGACGGTCGCCGCCATGACGGTCTTCTTGGTGGCCCCGGCGACGTTGCTCGCCCCCAGGGTGATGATGAGGCTGACCACGGGGCCGAAGAAGCCCGTCAGTGCGTATCCGACCACGGGCGCCGCCGGCTGGTACCCCCAGGTGGACTTCCAGATGATCACGCAGCCGGCAATGACGGGCAGGCAGCACAGGATGAGCATGGGGATGCGGGTGTTGGGGACGCGCGAGGAGATGTAGCCGCACAGCGGGATGAAAATGAGGCAGATGCCGCCGACGGGGAACTGGAAGAGGATGGAGTCGAGTGTGTCGAAGCCAAAGGTCGAGACGATGAGAGGGCCGAAGCCGGAGATGGCGCCGTTGATGGTGTATCTATCGCAGGGATGAGTCCTGCATAACACCAAAGACAGAAGCGGAGGGAACTTACGCAGCAGCCATCATAATGGCAATCAGGTACATCTTCACATCAAACACACACTCCTTGATCTGCTCGAGCTTGATCTTCTGGCAGCGCACGCCCGTCTGGCCCTTGCGCAGCCGCTCGACGGCCACGACACGCTCCTCGCGCGTCAGGAACCAGGCCGACACGGGCGAGTTGGGCATCACGCAGCACCAGAGTCCGAACAGGAACGTCAGGATGCCCGCGAAGATGTAGATGTACTGCCAGCGTTTGAGCGAGCCCGACGTGATCTGCCCGAAGCCGTAGTTCATCGCGCCGCCGATGATGGTGAACCAGCCCGTGCCGGAGAACCACCACGCCTGGCGCAGCGACTGCTCGCGCTGCGTGTAGTAGCCGCTGACGATCGTCATGAAGCCGGTCGGGACGACGCTTTCCACGAAACCTGGATCGGTTAGGCGAAGGGAGCAAACGACAGCACACTCGGAAAGAACAGTACCTAGGAAGAACCGCTGGACATACAGCCCCTGCCAGGTGGTGACGCCCGCCGTCGCCGCGCACGTAACCGCCCACAACATCACGATCGGCCCCAGCACACGCTGGATGTTGAACCGCTGCATGATGAAAGTCATCGGGTACAAGCCGGCGAGCATGCCAAAGTAGAAGATCGAGGTCGCCCAGCTCAGCCGCGTCGTGTCCTTGGACGGCGGCGTCGTGCTGGTATCGATCACCAGGAGGTGGAGATCGGTCGTCATGCCGAACAGCGTCGCGCTGCCCAGGATCGCCTTATCCCAGTACACCAGACCGTATCCGATCAGCATCGCCGGCATGAAGAAGAGATCGATCTTGCGCAAGACGCGCTTCTCCACCGCGGGGTCGATCTCCATGGCCTCTTCGCTGACGACGGCCAGCGCCGCGTCCTTGTCGAACAGCTCGCCATTGCGAGGGCGCTCCTCTGTTGCGCTGGGCACTTGGATCATTTTCCTGTTTTTTTTTTTTTTCTTCTCCCTTGGACGGCGAGAACGAGCAAAGAAGGAAAGGTGAAAAGGAAGAAGATTTACATAGACGAATATCTACCGGGGCTGAGAGCTCCGATACAAGGACTCAATAAAATGAAGATAAAAAAAAAAAACCGCACACGCCTGCAACTTTATTATCCAGTTTTTGTCCATAGAAGAGCTCCCATTGGCCCAGGCAGAACTCGGCTAGACCCTTCGGTGAAAAAAATGTTGGGACATTCTGGGCGGGTACTGCGGATAGTTTTGACTATAGTGCCCTGTCCTATAACTATCGCCTGATAGCCTCACGATACCCCCGGTGTGGCAAGCCATATCCCATAAAAAGCCAGGAATCACGCCTATCCGATGATCAGCCCATATCGTCCCTTGCCCTCTGACACGCGAAACGTCCACTGCACGCCCTCGAACTCCTTGCGCACCATCGCAGTCATCGGGACCGCCGTCGCTGGTGGTCTCGTCGACGATGCCACCGCCCGCAGATTGATCTTGGGTTCCTTCCACACACCACTCTTGGGGGCGAGGTCATATCGCACCACCAGCATTGCCGTCAGCGCCAGAATTTCCCCCGTCGCAAAGTGTCGCCCAGGACACATGTGCGGTGACGTCCCAAAGGACAGGAACCCGTTCGCCGTCTTCCGGCTGTCGGACGACTGGTGGATCTTGATGAACCGGTGAGCATCGTACTCAGCTGCATCGCGGCCCCAGATCGACGGCGCGCGGTTGATCGTGGTAGCGGGCATCTGTAGAATCCCGCCCTTCTTGAGCAGGTACTGGTCGTTGAGCACGGTGTCCTCGTAGAGAACGCGCACGGGGACGGTGTTCGACCGCAGTCGCAGCGTTTCCTGGAACGTCGACACCAGCAGCGGACAGTTCTCGCGGATGTCCGTGAGGTCGACGACGTGAGCCCCCTGCGCATCCACGTGCACCGCATGTCGCGTGACCTCTGCGCGGATTTCCTCCAGCAGCGCCGGGCGCGAGTAGATGTCGAAGACCATCCAGAAAATGGCGGGCACGGTGTTGGACAGGGTCGCGAACGCCGCCGCCGCTTCGAGCCGCGCGATGTCCGCCACCGTCGCGCCGCCGCGGTGCTGCGCTTCCCAGCGGGTGTAGGTGAGCTGCGACGAGTCGAGATGCCCGTCGGCGCGGTAGTAGTTCAGGAACCGGGCGACGATCAGCTCGCGGGCTTTCCAGGCCTTGCGCGCCGTCAGCCATGGGGCGAAATCCATCAGCAGCGGTGCGAGGTTCGCCTCGAAGTCCCTGTATAATCCGCTTAGTTTTCATCATAGAGAGAGAGATAGAGAGAGGGGAAAAGAAAAAGGGAAAGGAAAATACCAGAAGGCATCCTGCAATTCCTTCGCCTTGTAGGGATTTAGTGGACCGTAAACCGCATCCGTACTGGCAATCGTAATGGCCGACCGGCACCACTCGTGAAAATCGAACGAACCCACGGTCGGAAGCTCGTCCACGCTCTCCACCAACAGCCTGATCATCTTCTCGTTCATCCGGTCCAGGGCCGCGCCCTCGAGCGACGGACGCATGGCGTGCATCACGTCCGCGTGCACTCCTTTCCCGCCGAACTGCTTCTCGCGGAGGAGGTCCAGCCCAGGACCCCGGAGACCAGCCATGCGCTTCGCAGCGCCAGTGATAAAGGGCTCGAAGGACATGGTGCGGTGATGCCGGCGCGAGGCTACCACGAGTGTTGGCGAGGTGATCACGTAGATCTTGGTGAAGAGCATGTCCATGGTGAACGCGTCGAGGCCATGTTTGGCGCTGGTCGGTCAGCCATATTCAGTGCTTGGACAAAGACAACAATATCAGAATTGACATCGTACCTCTGTTGCGCATAGTAATTGATGCCATGGCGTATGAAGCCGACCACGTGTCCCAGAACTGGGACGCCGTTGTGGACGATGGGCGGTTCGCGAGGATCGTGTTTGGCATGGCGCAACCCGACGATGGATATCGCGAGGATGAGCAGAGCAACGACAACTAGGGACAGCGTCATGCTGTAATGACGTGTAGATATTGTTGTATTGTTTTTGGTGATTGTGAGAATCTGGAGATGAGAAGAGATGGATGTGAGAGATTGTGGATGATAGATCCTCTTGAGGCTGAGGCTGAAGGTTGATGGAGATGGATCTGAGCCAACTAGCAACGAGGCATTCAGTGATGATTCAACATCAATAAACATTTTTATCACGCTAGCTGATGGATGGATTATAACTAAAGTTCGGAAACCAACCTAGACATGTATTTGTGTGTTACCTCTATGAGGCTGCACTATATATATCTGCTCTATCATACCCGTCCAGCTCGATGCGAACACAGGACTTGAAGGCTGCATCTACATCCTGTAATCGGAATCCAGGGGCTCGGCCTAGAACGATCATGTTTTTCAATTAGTAGGGCCAATTGCCTCGGAAAGCAAAGACTCACTCTGGAAGAAAGACTCAATGTTGAGGATCCATGTCATCATCCCTCGGGGACCAGAAGAAGTACTCCAAGCTTGTTGCTTGTCCTGGAGAGATCCGTCTTCCTGTGAAGTCTGGTAGGTTGCATCTAGCACACGGGAATTAGCAGCTCTGTCTTCTTGCATCGGACTGTCATCATAAACAAAATAATGCATCTGCAAAGGATCCCCATGGGCCATCCAAGACATGTATGTCATTGATCATAGTGCGCTCGGGACGCTGCTAGAAGATGTTGGTATGGCGCTTTTGTGAACCAGATCAGATGAAGAAGAAGATTCCCGAAACTATTGAAATAGAGTCTGGAGTGAGATCTTCCAGAATCTCTGGAGCTACTGCCATCTCATCATCATCACCTGTTGTTCTACCCCGGACATGACTACAGCTCCTATAGAGCCAGGATTTACAACCAACCCTCTAGAGATAGAAACAAAAACGCCATTGGCTGTCATAGGAACGGTGAGACGAAATCCAAGTATACAATACGTGATAGGAATCGGACTCGATTGCAGGGTGAGTGACTATATCAAGGAATAACTGCACAGTGGCCAAATCTCATAGGAATCGAACCATTTGAGAGGGGGTCTTCAACCATGTCCAAAGGGTCGACAGGGAGACCATGACGACAGAGGAAGAGAATCTGACGCTCTCAGCACAGGATGGATGTGTCGATAATAGATTGGCTTATATTAAGACCCCAAGCACATGGTATAAATCCTATCAGGAGGCATCCATTTGACCGAGAAAAAACACAACGAGAGATCCGGCCACGCCTAGAAGACGTTGATACTGTACCAGAGTAACAATACAGCATAGGGAAGATAAGGTAAAGGTCCCCCTGCCGGCCTATAGTGCGAAGACACGTCTGGTGTACATTGCTTGAATGCACTGCAGGGATGGAGGCATGGCCCTGCAGTGCAATGCAGATGGGACATGCAGATGGACCACCCTTCGCAGTGACGGAGAAACATGGTCAATCGCTGAGCAGATCGAGAAGTATGATGCTGTCGTCGAATCTCCATCCATTGTTTATGATTGCCATGACTAACCCCCTACCATATTGACACGAAAGAGGATAGAAGCAAAGCAGCCATAGAAATCATGATAGTCGTAAGATACCTCAAAACATCCCTCCCCAAGCTCCATCCTTCCATGTATGTTAAATCCGTTAGATCACTCCGACTCCACACTGATTAACTTCATCTTCACCTTCCGTGGCGACTGGAAGACAATATCCATGATGTTGTTGAAGATCTCCGGCTGCACGTCTTCCAGGAGCAGTGTGTACTTATTCATTACCCTGACTCCCCGTCTTCCCATTGCGCTTAGGCAGGTCAGAAGACGAGAGCTGCAGCAGGTCAGGTCCGCTGCCCCCTGGGCGAGCTCGGAGGGAATAGAGTCCAGCCACGTAGGGTCGTCCGTGAAGAAGGACATGTTGGGCGGCAGCACATTCGTCATTGGTATCTGCCGGAGTTGATGTGGTGTCTGTATCTGCAGTGTCATGTGGTGTGGCGAGGCCATAGGGAGGGGGATAGTCCAGGCCAGGAGTGTTAGAGACAAGTTTCCGGAAAGAGAGGGGGAAGAGGCTCTCCGGCGTCAAGAAAAGGGGCGAAGCTTCTGAGAGGAAAAGAAGGGTTGGGTGGTGGGAGGAAAAGGGATGTCGACGTGCTAATCCATTCTGGTAATATCTGCGTCTGACTCGCAAGATGTTTGGGTATCCATAGAGGCTTCTTGAGGCGTATCAGAGCTCATTTAGCGAGAAGACAAGCAGGTTGAAGATCGGGAGAAGTCTTGGCCGTTCTCATGCCGTCGTTGGACGATCATGAGCTATGTCTTTTTACCAGTCGTCTCAATGTTCTTTATGTCTGTTGCAGATCGTCGTGGAAACCCCTTTTCACTGATGACCCGCCATGTCCGGCCATAGGTGAGGACTGCCTCCAGGAGACGCCATCCTCATAGGTGTCCCATTGCCCATGGGTGAGGTTGGGATCTAAGGAGTGATACGATCGTTTGGCGCATTCTCTCCAATCAGCCCTGCCTACAAGATGCTTGAAGAAGTCGACTTGACTCACGATCTGCATGTCGTGTTTGGACGTCTTGAGCCACCACTGCCCACCTACTACAGTGCTAGCGTATCTCCTATCTTCCAGTTACAGAATACCCACGAGAAGCCATGCCGACAGCAGCCTTGCACAATCTCTCATCCTCGGTTGGGCTACACAGGCCCATGTTGACGTTGGTTTGGAGCTCAGTGCCGTGTAGAGAGCCCCGTCCTGTCTGCTTCGGCTTCAGGGGTGAGATTGCCTGCAGCTGTCGATCAAGGCGCTGGGGATAGAGGTGTCTCCGAACCCTCTAGCTCAGATTTCTGGAGCACATGCGCTTGTTCTCGTTGCAATGTGACTAGAGTCCAGTCCGGCCTCCTTTGTAAAACAGTAGGATCGAAGGAAAGACATGCTGTGGCGATTGCCTGTTGCCGACATCGCTGTCTTGCTGAGGGGAGGAGCCGAGTTGGGACCTCGAGTTCTGGATGCAGACAGCACTTCAACCGGAGTCGGCTTTTCTGAATACGAGCTGGTGCAGGTGGCTGGGATAGGCTGCGTTTACGATGCTTACGAATGTGCCGCTGGTAAAGCCAACAAGGGAGACGAAGACAATGAGAGGCGCGTTGCCGTGTCCAGAGATCCAGAGGGCCGGCACAATAATACTTGTCAGATAGGTCGTCGAGACTATCACGTTGAATCGGCCCAGACGGTCACCAAGCCAGCCAGGAAAAATTATGCTGATGACGCTGTAGAGATGCGATTAGTCAGGGACGATGTCTCGTTTCCTTGTCGAGTAACCTACCTGAGTGCATTGAGGATGGCAAGCAAGTAGCCGGACAGCCGCAGGGACATGCCATCGTGTACGGCCTGCAGGATGATGAAGTTGGTCGGCATCAAAAATCCCCAAAAGAAGAAGAACGTTCCAAGAGCAACCGGGAGGAACGGTAGCTCCTTAAAGGGGACCCAGAACTGGTTGAATGCGAAGGGTGTGGGCTTGGGAGGCAGGCGAGAGCGAATGGTAAGATTGCTGATGATCAATAGACCGAGGAAGAGAAAGGCAACAGCGCGCATAGATCAGCCGAATCCAATCTGCGGGATCAGCTGCGCAATCATAATAGTATCATGCACCAGTAGCAATGCATTGCTGTCGGATTACACAGAGACTTCCGAGATCTGGTAATACTGGCTCGCCAGGCTGGTCATCATCAGACCCAGGACGTGGCTGACGACTCCATCGAAGAGCGCAAGCAGTGTTATTATTGTTTCTAGATGCACACGAATCGCGCGAGGACAGTGCAGCACACGCTTATTCGGAAAGATGCGGCACACGGCGACCACCAAGCAATAGTAGGAACTAGGAGAAGCTTGTCGCCTGGCTTCATTGGCCGGATATAACACCAGGACCGGAGACCGAGCTGCAGTCAGTAACAAAGAAGCCGCTGGTTAGGCCGGAATAGGCTTGATGTCAGCAATTGGGGTGATCCTTTTGCAGGCGAAGCATTGATCCCTGGTATTTTATCGCATGATTATTGGCCTTTCTCCGATGAAGCGTTGGTGGCGCAGACTCTCCCTTTTTCCATGCATTCCCACATAATCAACTCGAGGGATTGTTAGGCTTCCCTCCCCGTGAAAGATAAATGCTCCCCCTCCCCCCCTTCTATCATTCACTTTTCTTCGTTCGAGATTTTTCATCCCACGGTAGATTATCCTGGCTTATAGACTCTCGTGGTGTTTGATAATCGCAACGTTCATCTTCAGCTACTCCTGGCTGGCACGATCAACCATATTTCAGACTGTCATGTCCGCAGACACCATGCGCGCCATCCTCATCCACGAGATCGGCGGCCCTGCCGTTCTCAAGCTTCAACAAGTCCCTAAACCTGCACCACGAACAGGCCAGGTACGCATTCGCGTCAAAGCTTTTGGCCTGAACCGCTCCGAGGTCTTCACGCGCCAAGGTCACTCCCCAGGTGTGACTTTCCCACGGATTCTGGGTATTGAGGCTGCGGGCGTCATCGACGAGGCTCCAGACTCAGACTTTCATCCAGGAGATGTGGTTGTCACGGCTATGGGCGGGATGGGGCGCAGTTTCGATGGCGGATACGCCGAGTATACCGTGGTGCCAGCCAGCCAGGTGCGACGCGTCAACACCACGGCTGCGTTTGGAGCCGGCCATCCTGTGCGCTGGGAGTTGCTCGGTGCACTGCCAGAGCTGATGCAGACGGCATGGGGTTCGCTGTACACGAGCTTGCAGCTCCAGGCTGGTGATAATCTATTGATCCGCGGCGGGACGACGGGCGTGGGGCTAGCAGCTGCAGCATTGGCAAAGGCAAAGGGTGTGCAGGTTACGGCCACAACACGGAAACAGGAGCGAGTTCCGGCTTTGCAGGCGCTGGGCATCGAAGATGTCATTATTGATAACGGATCGATTGCTGCAGAAGTGCAGAAGCGCGCACCATTCAGCAAGATCTTGGAATTAGTCGGTGTGACAACACTGGAGGACTCGTTGAAGTGTGCCTCTCCTGGAGGAACGGTGTGTATGACTGGCGTCGCGGGAAATAAGTGGTCGTTTGACCAGTTCACGCCATTTGCATCAATCCCCTCGAGTGTTCGGTTGACCACGTATGCAGGCAATGCGGAAGCCCTACTGCAGACTCCAATTGAAGAGATCACGCGGGATCTTGTCGATGGAAAAATGCAGCTGCCCATCAAGACGTTTCCTATGGATGAAATCGTCGAGGCACATAGGCTGATGGAGGAGGACGGGGCATTGGCCAAGGTGGTCATGTTGATTTAATCTAGATTTGCTGTAGATATGCACAGAACGTTTCGTATCATACAGTGATTATATTACCTTCAAGGGAACTGCTTGTTGTTTCCTTTCTTCTCCCAGCATCTGGAGGCATGCGATCAGGTAGTCCGACCCCTGGGTCTTGCCAGCATCTTCCCGGCCATCTTTCAAACCGAACCCATCAGTGACCTTCTCCTCCTCCATTCCCTCGTCTTCACCATTCAGTATTCTTGTATGCGGGCTTGGATATATGCCGGAGTGTCCCCGGACGCACTGATCGGTCACAGCTTTGGCCAGTTGAGCGCCATCACTGTCGGCGGCGTCTTATCACGGGAAGTCGCGCAAGTCTCATGAAAAGCTGCTGGGGACCCGAGCCTGGGTCGATGATCACCCTGCAGGCGCCTCTAGATACTGTCACTCGCATCATGGACAAGGTCGCCGCCGGGTTGGAAATCGCTTGCTACTATGGACCTGAGAGCCATGTTCTAGTCGGCACGAGCGCTGCGATTGAAAATGTCGAACAGCTTCCGGCTGATAGCAATGGGCAGTTTGGGAAGATTGAGTATAAAGGGCTGTCGGTGGCGCATGGCTTCTCCTCGCAATTCAATGAGGCTCTGCTCTCCAAACTATACACTTGCAGGATTTCTCGGATGCGATCAACCGCCTATCAGACAGTCTTAGACCATGTGTCTGGCTTGAAGCTCGTTCTGGATCATCAGTAACGGGAATGGTACGCACCACTCTAGCGAATCCCTCGAACCACTCGCTTCAGGCCGTGAATCTCGGAGCTACAGCCCTGTCCGGTCTGGCGGGCACGGTGACAAACCTCTGCAAGGCAGGCCTTGCTGTGCAATTCTGGCCATTGAATCGTCGGCAATGTGCCGCCTACCTCAACCTGATGTTGCCCCTGTATCAATTCGAAAAGAATCGGCACTGGCTTGAATGGAAGGACCGCGTGGAGGAAGTCGCAGCTTTGCCAGCACCCACCACCTCAAAGCCTGTTCTTCTATCTCTGGTCCGATACCTCGACAAGGCAAAGCGGGAGGCCGAGTTCTGTATTGACTCCCAGTTCCAAGCTGGCCGACTATTTGACCGGCGCTGCAGATCCGCTAGAAATCCTCTTACGGTCAAAGGAGAATAAGGTAATCCTGGAGGAGGTGTACGCCAAGGGGCCAATGTACGAAGCCATAACTGGGCAGCTATGCAGCTTGCTCGATGGCGTCTTCTACCCAAACACGGACGAACCATTTGAGATCCTCGAGTTGGGTGCCGGCACAGGTGACACCACGCTTTATGTGGTCGATCTTCTGGAGCGTCGTGGTATCCCCTTCCGCTATAGGTTCTTCGATCTCTCAGCCTCGCTGGTTGCCGCAGCCCGCAGAAAGTTCGCCGGTCACTCATCAATGCAGTTCCAAACCATCGATATCGAGAAGCCGAGCAATTCCCTGGTCTATCGGTGCAGAGTGACGAGGAGATTGTGGCATGGCTGCAGAAGGCATCCAATACCGTCTTCCATGCTTTGTGCGTGTGTGTCATGGGTAAGAAGAGCGATAGCATGAGCGTGTTGGACTCTAAGGCGCGAGTTTATCGCGTGTCTAACCTGCGAGTGGTGGATATTTCATCGTTCCCGTTATTGGTGCCGGGGCATCCCATATCTACGATCTGTATGTTCTCTCCCGTGTCTGCTGGTAAATTCTTACTGACTCTGTTTAGATGCCCTGCCGGAGAAGATTGCGGACGATATGATCCGGTGTCGTTAAGGGAGGGAGTGGTCTTGTTATCATTGTATATCGTTAAATCTGCATTGGTTTTATAGCACGAATATATTCAAAGCCAGATATCCGCACTTTTGTAGGGCATCACCACTGCACTGGAGGCTGATACGCCGCGACCACCTCATTTTCCTTCGCACTCCAACCACTCTTCGGGCCTCTCTTAGGGGTATTCTGGCCAGCGGTGGCATCATCACCAGTTTTTGCTCTGCCCTGCGATGATAGGCGCCAAATCTGGGTCCTCAACACACCCAAGACCTGTGTCGTTGTCACCCGCCGCAGTACCGAGCGAAGTATCGCAGGGTGATTGGTTGGATATCGCCTTTGCAGCCGGATGAGATTATTGTGCAGTGAATCATCAGCTCTCATTCTGGGAAGATCTCCCGCCGCAATGCCACTTTCAAGCAGATACTGGGTCAAGAGTCTGTGCTCGGTGGCCTCCTTGTGCGCAGAATCTCCCTCGTCCGGGGCCACGCAATGGACTCCTGATGTATTCTCCTCGAGGCTGAGCAGATTTACCACTGCCTTCATGAGTTTCTTGCCATCGAGCTTCTCGATCAATTGGTTGATGATGCGCAGGTCGATCAAGACCTCGGTCGGCAGGTCCATTAGGGCTTCCTGTCTTTCCTTAGCAAGAGTGCTACCAGAGAACGACATGTCGTCTTCAACAAAGGGCCTAGGAGAGGAATCTTCCTTCGCCTCTGGCTCGACGGCCTTATCCCTGGATTTAGCCTGTGGAGGGGTAGGATCCAATATCGCACTAGCAATGTGGCTCTCCAACTTGGTTTTCGTCATTTTGGGTGTGCTTTTTGTTTTTATGGTTTCACAAGAGGTGTTTGGTTTCATGCAGAGTAGAGTATAGCTTTGGCTTTCCTTTAACTAAGAGATAACTGGGCAGTACGGTGGTGCCTAGAGTGTGGTAGTCATGATGAGGCAATAATATACATATAGTAAAGAAGTCAACATCACCAACCTAGAGAGATTACCGGGCCATATTTAACTCCAGTAAATGATATGCTCTATGGTTATTCCTTCATTCCTAGTGTTTATTCTCTTCCTCAGAACCGCTCAACACTCTGGTTCTCCATCTCTACTCCTATATCAGAACCTCTAACCCTTCTCTTACTGGACTACATCCCAAACTAATCTAGATATTAATTTCCCAGGAGTCAATCAGAATAATGACCTGTGAATTTTGGCCGCTGCATAGAGTGAGGGGCTTGAGCTGCGATTACCATTGGCGGGTTTTCTGCCCATAACTCTGCATCCAGTTCCTGAGGTGGGCTACCTTACTTAAGAACCATGCTCTGGGTGAGAATGACTTCCTCATTTGATTCGATGGAACCATTTTCCGAGGAATGGCCCAGTCATACATGTTCAAAAGATGTACTGTTCTCTACAACCCTGGTTGCTAGACTCCACCAGCTCATGCAGCTCTTTTGTCTGCCAAGTACACATTGCAGGCGATGATTGCAGTAAGCAAGCAGTGGTGGGTGGGGAAATGGAATTTTCAGTTAGGCAATATGTTGTTGTCGTGAAAATATTATCATCAACAGGTTACGAGGCTGCTTAATAGCCAATCCTCGTGTGTGTACACTGTCAGTGTGCAAAGGATGGCCATATTCTGCGCCTCATATATGATGTTACACCTCTGTGTGGCTACGCTCTGCGTTCCTCAGATAGCTCCTGCGTTGCTTATATCCTGCTATTACTCGCTCTGGTCCTCTATTCAGTGTTTATGAGGTAGACTGCGCCGACACTGAGACGTAATACTAGCCATTATGCACAGCCTCTAGTGGGTTTAATGCCATTTACAACTAGGCTGTAAAGCTTCCTTTAATGACTGCATGCAGGAGATGGGTCTGTGGGTCCAGATGACCATGTTCACTCACATATCTGGCGTAATCACGAAGTTATTACTGGGTCATGATAATCAAGCAGGATTATCGCAACACAACACCCATAGCAGTCAGTTAGCACACTGTCAGCACTGCAACTCGGAAGGAGAATCTTTCGGACAGGAAAGGTGGTCAGTCCCTCTCGAGGGGTTTCAGCAGAGTGCTGTTGTTCGTTCTCTTGACATAACGTAGTGAAGAATGCGGAAGCAGGGTGTCCTTCAAGGAAATAAGCAAGATGGAAACTGAAGGTTTCTGGCCATGCAACACCCGGTCATACTCCCCTCAGATAGGTAGCTAATCAAGAGAGGATGTTGAAAATGCTCCTAGATTTTTGGCTTGATCATGCAAAGACTACGTCGATAAGAGTCAAAATACTGTAGGAAGCTATATGCTCTTCGGGACGGTGGCATCATGAGTCCGAGGATGTGCAACCCTCCAGGTGAGATGGGGGATTTCCGAATACGTATGCGCGTATCTCTAGAAGGCAATGCTGAAGAATAACATGTCTATCCTGAGTCTTGATGTTCTGCAGGAATGGGGAATTTTCGATAGACAAGTCGCCATACGCCAATCATACAGAATCTTTCACAATTTGCAAGGTCATAGAACCATAGGCGATAGCGACGGCTATCTTCCAATCATCCCCGGCTCTCCACCGCCAGTTCATCGATGGTAGCATCATTCCTCTCTCTCAGGGAAGTGCTAGACATCGACATGGATGCCTGACCCACCCAGCGCTTATGCTTAGTTCCTAACATGGAAATGTGACGGTAGGCCAGAACAATGGTCTTCAGATCTCTGTTTTGAGGCGGTAGGCTCACTATCTCTGTAGTCCCTCGTAGGGTACATGATATGGAAAACGCTTACCAGGGCATGGGTCACCACTGCCGGCGACTAAAGAGCAGAACACTGACACTCTACGCAACTCGGCTGCTCATCTGGACAGATTCTGATCATTGATTTGTCTGTCTTCGTCTACTTACTTGAACTTCTTGGGATGGAGGACCTCCAGAGATCGGTATCTAACTTCTTCAGCAGCTTAGGTCGACGGGGCGTCTATCTTGTGGTTTGTTTCAATGTAACATGCTCTCCTACCAAATTCCTATCACCGGTCTAGGTCTATTCGCCCAATAGAAATGCATCCAACTGCCTCCAGTCCATTCGTTTGTGAGACACAGTGGGGCGAGGCATTGTACAGCTCAAGATGGCTTTTGCTCGGAAGCCTTTGTAATCATCTACGTAATGATCATAAAAACAATTTACATATTTATTCACTTGCTACGGTGTTCAGAAAGCCTGAAATACACTGTTTTGTCTCTCATCCGAGAATGACTTCAATCCTCGATGCTGATCCGATAATGAGCGCCAGGGCCCTGGGAGACGAAGGCACATATTCGCTCCCATCTGAAAGTCTTCGAGGCATTGTATTAGGTGATAAATTCTTCAAAGACCACGAGTTATATGATGCTGTCTTGTCTTCCACCGAACCATGGTTCAGCAACATGGCCGATAGCTTGCCCTATCCAGCCCAGCTGTCATCTGCTGATATCACCGCAGCGTCTGATTCTTCTAGACACGCTGCCAGCTTTGGGGCTGGAACTGCAACAGCCAGCGATGACACTCCCTTCCCCGTCCCGAATCTCTTTATGGAGGCTGATCTATCAACCGCCGAACGAAATCCCTTTACTGAACTCGAGATTCGCAAGGAGATAGCCACGCCTCAAGAAACTGCAACTGGTACGGATGCCTCAACAGTGCGGGGGATAGATGACCTGCAAATTCCACCAAACGAGAGCCTGCCACTCAAGGTGGGTTCCCCCAAAGAGCCGAGGCATGCCAGATACCGTGAGAGGAATAGACAAGCTGCACGCCGATCTCGGGAGAACCAGCAACAACTAGCCAAGAGGCTTGAATCGAGGGCGGCCTCCCTGGAGATAAAGAGGAATGACTTGCTAGAGAAGGTGGATGACCTCAGCCGCAATATTCAGGAGCTGAGTCGAGAAGTCGCGGCTTTACATGATTCTGTCCGTCCTGTATGGACCTTCCCACAGCAGCAGCCCACGGCATCATTATGTGTATGCAACTTCTGTGGGACTCCCGCGGTGCCTTACTCTTAGTAAAGGTGATATAAAGTAACTTAGTTGGGCAGGGCAGGTAAAGAATGCAATAATGAATGATTCAGCAATTGTGTTGGACATCTTCTAACTTCTTACAGGCTGCATTTATGCTCTATGACAATATTGAACACATTTTAACTCTAAGACGCGTCATCATAGAAGCCGCTTGACTTTTGGTCATTTTCAGAGGTACCCTCAGCTGGCTCTAGAGAATGCCCTTATTAGTACAGCCAGCCCTACTAATATTCACATGATTTTGCATGTCCTATATCATACATCTTCTACCTACTATCTTTCTTAACCTAAAAAGATACTAATTAATAGTAAGATAAAAACGTATATTATGTTAATAGGTCTAGCCTACAGTCCTACTATCTACTAAAGATAAAAGATTAATTTTATACTAATACTGATAGACTAAAAAAATAGCTAAAAAAGTATATAGATTAGGCTAGAGAGTATTGAAAATAGTTAATAGTAGTATTAGTATACTAAATTAGGTATAGGCTATTATTCAGGCTAAGAGGTGGGTATACTAAATAAACATTAGTATCTAATTTTAAAAACTTTTATGAAATTCCCTAGTTAATTTTCTGTCGATTCATCCATTTCTATATAATTTAACTAGGGTTTAGATAAGGGGGTTAAATATAGTGATATACGGAGTACATGAGGGAAATATACTTAATATAGATTTTTGATGAGGGCGGCCATCCAAAAATTTTTGATCTAGAACTATATACAAATCTCTGCTCAGATAGTCTCAGCATATCATGCCAATCCAGTCTACCCCTTTCAATGAGATGGTCTCCCTCATGAGTAAATCTCTCATACTGAGCTACAGTCTTACTTTGAGCTGAGTCAAGGATGTAGGTCCAAAATGATGTTTTACAGCCCCACGGCCGCAATATAAAGTATGGGAGGGAGGGGAGGGAGGGGAGGTGGGACTGGGATGCCCATGTCGGTGGCTAATATCGGGGGCCTCATGGTATATTCCACCTCATTTTTCGGCATGAAGAACAATGTTTTCGCCCCCATTCCCAGAGGTGTACACATCATTCATTCACAAGGTTGATGATCAAGAGGACGTTGAACCTCGAGGGATGGAGCGTTTGGTTGAGGACCTGCACAGCAAGTCACCAGCCTGTGGGATATTTATTGGTCCTAATACCTCCTTCTGCTCGCTCATATGTTATTCTCGGTCAGCAGATTAGAGCAGCCTCCTAACTTCTGACAATACCTTGATTTCCTTCTATTTCTTCACTTATCCCCACAGCCGAAGTCGTCCGTTGCTGGAATCTGACAGACATGACACGATCTCTCGGTACCACTACTGCGGCCGGGTCCTCGAAGCAGGACCTTGGGGCGACCATGCCGCCAAATTACAAGGCGCGCGTTGGGGATCTTGAGACATTTGAGCTTCCCGCGGTTGTCACCGGCTCACTGGCAGATGTTGATCTGGGGAAGGCGCTGATAGCTGCCTGGCGGCGAGACGGCATTCTCCAGGTTGCCATGGAAGATTCCCAGAAAGGTCTCTTGGGTGAAACATTTGACGCTAGCAAGAACTTTTTCCGAAAGCCTCACAGAGAAAAGGCGGCGTGTGTAGACTCTCAGAGTTACTCTGGCTACATTGCCTCCGCAGAAGAAATCACTGATGGAATACCGGACTACTCGGAGATCTTCACGGTGACAAAAGACCTCGAGTTGTCCGAGCCAAGAGTGAAGAGCCATTGGCCTTGCCATGGCCCATGCCCATGGCCGGACGATGAGATGAAGACCCCAATGCAGCGATATATGGACTACCTTGGCCAGAGTGGAGAAAAACTCCTCCAGCTGGTTGAGTACGGCCTGGGTGTGCCCTCAGGAGCTTTGACCAACTATACCCAGGACGGCTGGCATCATATGCGTATTCTCAGGTGAGTCTTTCCTGCATTCAATCCAGGACTGCGGTCAACAATGAATAACAAGGTGCACAGGTTTCCCGCCGTGAATGCCGCCAACGGAAAAGGAAAGGATGGCCGTGGTATCGGATCCCATACCGACTACGGCCTTTTGGTTATTGCCGCGCAGGATGATGTAGGAGGTCAATCTGCCGAGCCCCTGCAATACCTGACTGCTGCTGATGAGATGGGTCAGGTCTCTTTATCCGCCCTCCCGCCGTTGATGAAACAACTGCAAATTGGGAGCAAAGCGCTGCCGGTTTATGGGAAGATGATGACGGCTGGACATACGTCGCCCCTGTGCCAAATGTCTTCACAGTGTTTCCAGGTAAGTCGATCTTTACCCCGACCATCAGCTCTACGGCTGAGTTTCATCCAGGTGATATGATGCAATACTTGACCAACTCCTATCTCCCTTCAACGCCGCACAAAGTAGGCCTCAACACTCGTGAGCGATTTGCTTTTGCCTACTTCCATGAGCCCAGCTTTCAATCGGTCATCACTCCTCTAGAAGGATATGATGGTGGTCAGAATCCCAGAGAAGGTATTCATTATGGGACACACTTCACGAACATGTTCATGAGGAACTATCCGGATCGTATAACGAGCCAACGGATTATCAGAGAGAACAGAAAAGCTCTGTTGGCAGACAGAGCGCTGAGGGCAGAAAATGTGCTGAGTGCATCAACCTGATGCATGATCGGGAGCAAGGCTTCAGCTTATGAGGCTATGACATGCGCTTTTAACAAGTGAAGTCATTTTCCATCATCCCAAGAGGGAGAAAATAAAAGTCCACAACCCTTATAGGGCGATTAGAATGTCCACCGTTTCAAATCTTTATACACTTTTTGTCTTTCGGCGCTGTTTAGATTCAACATTCTAACAGCCTTGCTTGATTCTCAGAATAGCTTACTTAACTTCAGTCAATCATTGACAATCATTTTGTCGAATTTCAAGAGAAATCATATCACTCTCCGTGATCGCTTTGACTCGTATAGCCTCAAGTCAGGAGCGGTATCTGCTAGCCCAACCTCGATATTCGAGATGCAACAAGGTTTGCCCTTCTCAATTCCCTGGGGGTTTGGCCATCCTATTCCTTCGTATAGGAACTAAACATAGGGAATGTCGAAGAGGATGGAAAGAAGGACCTCTGATATCGGCCATCACCAATTCAAGATATCACGTTTCCATGGAAGAGCGACAGACATACCGCTGTCCACCTGAGCTCGTAGAGGCCGCAGAATGAGTCATTGATGGTAGGTTTTGTAGTTACAGTAGCAGGGGTGTTGGTACTGCCAGTAGCCTAGCGTTTGAGCTGGCTTGTAAGGACTCACGGGTGAATAAGGAATGGGAGCAGTGGCCTAAGCAATGATCTAAACCCCTGTCCAAATGCTTATTGGATGCACCGCTAATTATAGACCCCTTGGCTAAAGATATAGCGAACAGAGTTGGTACTTAATCTCACTAAATGCAATGACAAAAAGTCGCCGGTCCCGCCAACTCTGGATGAGCAAGATATTCTCTTTATACCTCTTATCAACTTCTTCCTAATCCAATTCACACTCAATTCCCACAAAATTAAAGACTCGACATGACATTGTCCCCGCCAGATAATGTCCCGAGAACTAGCAAGCCGGAAGTTTCAGGCATGGCTGCTGCCACGGTTGACTTCGATCAACCTCAGCAAGACAGTAACATTGAGAGCTCAGCGACACAATCTACGGCGATGCACGGATTCAAGCTCTATGCTATTTTCATAAGGATCTGTTTCGGCGCCTTCATGATGTCCTTAGATATCTTCGTCATCGCAACAGTACCATTCCCCTTGAATATCCGAGGGAAAGCCTCCTATATCTGACCATCGTTTAACAAGGCCGTTCCATCAATCACGTCCGACTTCAAGGATACATCACAGCTGGCCTGGTATCCCACCGCATATTCACTTACAACATGTGCCATGACTCCGCTGGCTGGGAAACTCAGCACAATGTTCCCTCTCCGCTGGATCTACATAATATTCTTTTCCATATTTATGGTCGGCAACCTCATCTGTGGGTTTGCTCCCAACAGCAACACCTTCATTGTTGGTCGTGCTATCGCGGGTATTGGCGCATCGGGTGTGGCCAGCGGTGGGCTGGTAATCGTTCTCACTGTCTCTTCGGAAAAGATGAATCCACTCTTCATGGGTATATGCAGCAGTTGCTTTGCCTTGGGGCTTATCCTCGCGCCCGTCTTGGGTGGTGCCTTGACGGAGAAGGCGACGTGGCGGTGGTGCTTTTGGATTAATCTTCCTCCAGGGGCATTGACTTTACTTTCTATGCTTTGTTTCTTCCGTCCTCCATCAATACAGCGCGAGCAGACCATCTCTCAAAGAATCAAAACCCTCGATCTCATTGGGTGCGGCATCTTCATTCCAGCCATCTTCATGTTACTACTGGCAATGACATGGGGTGGAACGGCCAGGGAGTGGAATTCGGCAGTCATTATCGGTCTCTTTGTGGGTTCGGGAGCGATGATTATCCTTTTTGTCTGTTGGGAAGGCTACAAAGGCCATGACGCTATGATACCTGGGTCCTTGCTGCTCAGACGGACCATAACCTTTAGCATCTTGTTTTCCTTTTGTCATTTTGGGGCCTTGGGCATCGCGTCCTACTATCTTCCGGAATGGTTCCAAGCCGTTCAAGGCGCCTCTCCTCTCGAAAGCGGGACCAGATTATTAGCTTCAGTGCTCACTCAAATTGTGGGAACAATCTCTGCTGGTATTCTAGGTACGTGGGCAAAACGTCGGGGGACACCATAACCTTACTATAGTACTAACGCTAGCCGCAGCACGCAGAATTAAGTACTATAATCCCTGGTTCTTCGTTGGGCCTCTCTGCATGTGCACGGCAGCAGCGCTATACTCCCAGTTTTCGGCTTTCAACACACCGTCCAGCCATTGGATTGGGTTCCAGGTCATCCAGGGTCTCGGGGTTGGCATGGCCCAGCAAATGCCATCGCTCACAATCCAGTTGGCTGTGAAGGATCAGCCAGATCTTCTGCCCGTTGGGGTGTCTCTCAATCTGTTTTCCCAATACCTTGGGGCCACGGTCACACAAGCCCTAGATGGTGTCGTGTTCCGCTCCGGCTTAAACCGACAACTCCACGACCACGCCGGATTGAACGCCTCCCAAATAGTGCTCTTGTCAAAGGCTGGGACTGCTCATGTTCGTGAAATCACGGAACAGCACTTTCCCAGTTCGCTTCGTCGGGTCTTAGAATCCTATAATCAAGCCATTACTTCAACATTTGTAGGTTTTGCGACCCGTGGAGCCTATAGTCGACATACTGAAATTGGATCTTGACTGACACCATGCTCATTGATAGTTCATTGGCGTTGCTATGACGGCCACGGCCTTCTTCCTGGCGTTTGGAATTGAGTGGAAGAGAATTGACGGGCCAGAGCCGGACCCGAGGATTGGGCGCGAAGAAAATGAACTTGGATTGACGGAACGCCGGGAGACATAGGTTTAGAATGTGAGCGCTTGTTGGTGAAGATGAGTCTCAAAAGGCAAGCAGGTCGGTACCCTCCAGTGTATTTTATCAACAGAGCTAGATGCACATTCTCTACTCAATCCATTTGCAAAATTAGGCGCCTCTTGTATCGGGAATGGCTGTCTCAGTTAAAGCTGCTCATGGATTCAATATGGCCTCATCTATAGAATAGCTCGCTCTGCACTTATTTCACCCCTACGGCGTGTGCGCTATGGTTTTTGTCAACTAGGGGTCCGGGATCGGGCAATCCGGATGATTATAGGGTAATCCCGCGTTGTAAGAACATTACTGCGAGTTGCCTGGCAAGTGGCAACTCGCGAATCCAGACCCGGTAGCTAAGGCATCTCTCTCTTAGAGATCCCTACATGGGGCCACTCTAAATGTGGTTGGCGGAGCTAGCGCTAGGAAGGCAACATCCGTGTTGATCACCCAGCAGCTTGTTCCTTCGATGGCCAGTAGGAGGGCATGGCTAGTTTCAGATCGTGAGCACCAAATACCAATAGCACATCTCTAGTTACCAAGCCTGGTTTACCATGATCCTGATCATCCGCTGGGCCGACCCCTAGTCCAGTCGCAGTATACGAGTCTGGAATTCGCCCATTGCTTATCGCCCTCCATGTCATCTTGTCATGCCTCGTTGATCCTCTCTTTGATTTCAAGTATGTTACCTCCTTCCCCACCCTCAGTATCCAACGAGATCCATCTGTATACTATGGATATGAAAGGTTCATACGGGCCCGCAGCAACAATTTAACCCCTGATTTTGGACGCTCATTTTAGGAGGATGGTAACTTCGACTACGCCATGTTTAAACAGGCTAGAATTTAAGGCAGTGTATCATACCAGTGCGCGGATGGGTCGGCCGAGAATTTCTAGACCGGCCCCAGATGACAACGAAAGTCTTGGGAGAAACAGTACAGCAAAACGCCGACACCGGACCAGCTCTTCTACCAGAAGGTATTCTATCGTCCTGAAACCTAAAGTACGGGTTATGAGAAGGCTAATGGCGGAGCAGCTGCATCGGGAAATACTTTGAACTGGGATTGGCAACTATACACATCCGATTTTGGTCACTCCACCAACGAGGGCGAGTCGACGGGGGGAAATGCCCAGCAAGCATATCATCCAGTCGAAAGCCACCGGCTTCGAGATAAAGGCGAGATTCCTGGACCTTCGGAGATTGGTGAGACTGGACTTGGGACGCGTGAAAAAGTAGCCCCGGTCCAAACTGGCACAGATGAGCTTCTTCGGCTACAGAGCCAGTTAAGCCACTTATTGTCCGACGCGGCTGGATCATCTACCGGACACCCGCCGGCTGTGGATGAAGTTCTGCTGGTATGCAAGGATTTGTTAGAGCTGCTCCAGAAACACAGTGCGTCATTTAGCGCTGCGGGGCTCTGCCATGGCGACCAAAGGGCTCGGTCGAACCCATCAGAAATGAGCTGCATTACGGTATCACGCGTTGCGACATCGTATGCATATGCACTGCAGTTGCTTGATCTCTCGGTGGATAGTCTTACCTGCCAAACATCAACCCCTTCGGCCCTTGTCAGCTTGGGCCACTTCAATCTTGCATCACAACCAGCCATGGGCACTTCCATTGTTGCTTATATCATCTCTGTCATGGTTCATCGGCTCCGTGATGCTATCACGCTGTTGACACCGGAAGGCAAGGGAAATGAAGAGCTTCCGCAGAGAACGCCTCCGCCGTATCCATCCCCTGCTGGCGGTACGCAGACAACCACTACAACGAGTCCGATCCACACCGCAGTCAACATGGTAGCCGAAAAGGAGATTGCCTTACTCCGAAGATTGTCGAAATTCATAATCAATCGATAGGCAGCTGGTATGGTGGAAGGAAGGTGGTGTATGGAGGTAGAAGCCTTTTGCATCATGGCCAGATACCTTAAATGAGATATGATCTGAACCCCTTGACTAAGGCTTTTCACGGTGTTGCTTCGGCACTCAAGTCTCTGAAACCAGCGCTTAGGACAATAGCCATGTAGGATGAACCGATATCCACCATCACCCTTGGGGAAGCGTTGGGGAAGGGCGAGAATCAGCCAGAATAAAAGAAGTCGCCGGTGACCGGCAATTTATGGAAGAAAAGAAAAACAGGGGGAAAAAATGCCGAAGGGATGAATGTGGCAGATATGATTTCCACTAGCTCTAGTTGGTTTTCAAACACATAAATCTTGAACAGACTGCTTGTTTGGAACGACGGGCTAGCGAGATACTCAATCACTAGAACGCGAACGATCCTCGCACAGATGTCGGACGAAAGGCGACCTGCCATCATTTGCTTTCATGGCCACGGGAGCAATGGAACGATTTTTCAACACCAAGCTCAGAACCTCGTTCACATCCTCGGAACAAGATTCCGCTTCCTCTTCATCGATTCTCCGATTACAACCCCGCAGCCTGGCGTGGGTGTCAGACCCTTTTTCGCGGACGTCAAACCGTACAGGCGCTGGCATCAAGATGAAAAAACGGTCGGCTTGTTCGATGTGACAACCGAAGAGATTGAACGCGAAAGACGTCTGGTCCGCGATACGATCGGGGCGGTTTTCGACAGAGAGCAGCGAAATGGACCAGGCGTCGTTGGTGTGATGGGCTTCAGCCAAGGTACACGTGTGGCTACCGCTTTGTGTCTTGATCCTGGGCTGGCAGCACATATCAAGTTCGCCATTATGATCTGTGGGATTGGTCCTTCGTTGCCGTTGACAGCCGAGCCTCTGTCCCCGACTCTTGACTTTCTGTCCATCCATGTGCAAGGGAACGCCGATCCCTGGGCTGCCAGAGGAGCGCGGCTTTCAAGGGAATACTTCAACCAGAAGTTTGCAAAAACAGTCAAATTTATTGGTGGCCATGAGGTACCGACCAGAATAAAAGATGTGGAGAAGATTGCACGCGAGATCATGGTCGTGTATGACTCTGCGCCAGCCTTCATGGTGACAAATCAAGTGGTACCGTCACCTCTATCTGTCTAGAAATAGTTTAAAGTGCCATCACTTGATGTTGTCAATATAGCTATGATGAGGAGACAATTGAGAATTCATACTTGCAGGTATCTAGCCGCTGATTTGCCTTGATTCTCTCTAGATTGATGCGGTCTATCTGTTATTGCTTGTTGATCAAAAACCTGTATGTTGTGAATCGCGTGAAGAGTCCGTCCATGCTCCAAATAGTTTTTCTGTTTCTCCATTCGGGGTGATGGACAGCATCTGGCCAATCTTGCATTTCCAAGGAAATTGCACCATGCGGGAGCACCTTGCCTGAGCCTTGGTCTTTCTTGGTGCTCAACCCGGCTGTAATCAATGTCAGATCTGCCTTTGATACCGGGTCCGGGATCCCATGTCTTACCAGATCTGTCATTCCATGTGTGGACATGGAGAGCTTCTTGGTCGGTGTACAATTCCATGGTGATTCCTGACAGAGGTGAGGAGAGTATAGCAGCCGGAGTGTCTTCTTTGTCTCCAAGTGGCTTATGAGAGAGTATGTATGTCAGATCAAACCCATGGTCATCAAGTGTCTGGGGTTTAATCGCGTCGCCGATAGACTTTGATGATGACCAGAAGTCAAACTCCTTCCCCTTCTTGTTGCTTAATAGATCCCCAGTCGGAATGCCAAACTCATCGACATCGAATCGCAGACCTGATAGTGGAAGATGGAGTTCGTGATTGAGTATCGTATCGCTGTTTTTGGATCTGAAGCCATTGAGGTTGAAGAAGACCTGCTGGCTCAGGTTGATGGGTCCGGCCTTCAGCAAGGGCGTAACTCCAAAAGCGATGCGCCATTCATATGGGCTCACAGTGTGGGTGACGCAGGAGGCAAAGATGCCCGGGAAACCATTCCATCTGTTATCAAACAGGACGAATGTGATGCTATTGTCGATGTGCACTGCAATATCCCAGGTATGACGGCCCCAGCCCTTATCCCCCCCATTGAATAACGAGCTTCTGTTGTGCGCATTTGCGGAGACTTGGAATACAGTGCCGTCGACCTCATAACTCGCGTTACTTAAGAACCCAGCATACCGCCCTGGATGTAAAGAACAGATGGGGGTTCTCAGTTCCCATAATACCAACCATGGGAAGGGATTATTGCGTACCTATGATGCCATTCAAATATGGATTCGACGTTTGCTTGGGGTAGTCCCGAGCATCATCCAGTCCTAGGACAACATCGATCTCTTCTCCATGTGTGTTGTTCAGCCAGAGGTTTGTGAGGGCAGCGCCGTGGTTGGTGAATGCCAGGCGAATTCCTTCTGACTGAATGATGTATTTCCCTTCTTCATTTGAAGGCCATAGAGCTGTTAATGCAGCAAATGGGCTTCCGCGTGTCCAGACCGATTTTATTGCTGCAAAAATGGCAAGGGAAAGCTTGTAAATTTTCATTGCAAACGCCGGTGGAGTAAATAGAAGACAGGACAGTTGAGGAATAACAATCGATGTACATGAGGAGTATGAAGGAGGCATTCCTCTGCTTTTCAACTAATGGTCGACAGGAGGATAACCGTGTCAAGAGCAAGAGTATCTTTGAGCTACACAAAGAAATTGTTGCTTGTTGTTGAACCGGTGACTTTCTCCAATTGAGCGGTGGGTAGCAACTACGTATCATCTATCTATGGTCTGATCAACTTGAGCCTGCCGTATACTCCCTCCGCCGACTTTTTGGTTTGCCCGAATTTCAGCTTTCCGGCAGTATCGGGATTTGCGGGTTCAATGTCGAAAGTGATTACCACTGCAGCAACAAGACATTCAAGAGTCGCCCTTGCAAAATTGAGGCCAATGCAGTTTCGTGGCCCAGCTCCAAAGGTCAACATAGCATAGTTACTAATTGCTCCACCGGATTTCGCATTCCCCTCTCCCATCCAGCGGTCCGGATTGAATACATCGGCGTCAGGCCCCCAGAGCCTCTTGTCGTGGTTCGTTACTTCTGCCGAGTACAGCACAATCGTGCCTTTAGGAATCCGCTCCCCAGTAATTGTGGTGCTCTGTTTGGCAACTTTGACAATGATCGGAGAGAAGGGATAACACCGGAGGACTTCGCTGCAAAACGCATTCAGATAAGGGAGACTCTGAACTCGTTTCTCAAAATCCGTCATGGCCAAGTCCGATCCAATGGCTTCGTTCAGCTCTGCTCTCAAGCGTTTTTGCATTTCCGGTTGTCTGCCAAGTTCATACATGGTCCACTCAAAGGCTGTCGCTGTAGACTCATGACCTGCTGTCAGGAAGGTCATGACATGGTCAATCAGGTGGTCTTCCTCAAATACGCCGCTCGCTAGGGCCACGGTGATAATATCTTTGTCTCTCAAGTCCTCGTCTGCTACCAGCTTTTCCTTTCTTTGCTGAATCACTTCGCCAGTAATCCCGCGAAGGTAGTTTGCTGATTTCGATATTTCAACGAGCTTTCTCAAAGGCACCTTCAGCAAAATACGCATATCGAAGTACCTGCTAAGCAGCCCAACCCAATTGAACACCTTGGTTGGGTCCAAGATCAATTTTCTGTAATGGGTTCGCAGGTTATTTTCCGGCTCCTTTAGGGCGTTGAAGTCGTGCCCCATACCGGCCAGCCCAATGTTGTCGAGTGTGGCTCGCGAAACATACTCACGAAAGTTGATCGAAGTGTCTGGATTCAAACGCAACTCATCCGCCATGCAACGGACCATTTCCTGGGACTTTTGCCAGAAGATATGGCTAAGTTTTCTGATATGTGAGACTTTGAAAGCCGGCATCATATTCTTGCGGTGCAACTGTGTGTGTGCACTCAGATCAGCTGCAAGCTTGAGCCATCGTCGGATAATGCTGGTATTTACCAACCTTAAAATCCTCATTGCTTAGAAAGCCAAGATTACTGCCTGTGAATCTTTTGATGGCGATTTTGACCAGATCCTGATGGGCGAAGTCGAACGCATTCACTGTGAGCATGTCCCGTATTGCTGGAGGGCTCGTGACCAACAGAACTTCCCCACTCAAAGCTGAGTATATACGCAGAAGACCCTCATTAGGGGTATTTTCGGCAAGTTTTCGTAGAGGCAACCACGAGTTGTCGGGGAATAGAGCCGGGTAGTTTCCTGTCAGAATCCTCCTTTGCTTATCTACCAATGAGCCTAGCTTTGGTGTGGCCAGTGAGATGGGTACATACCGGCGGAGTTGGGAGGTTCCGGAATGGAGTGAAATAGCGTGGATAAAGGACCATCCAGTATACGGCAAAAGCGAGTATCGCACTCATTTCAAACCCTATCATTTTGAAGAGGAGGATCGTATACTGCCCTCTAATAAAAACTTGATGGATGATTCCGCCCCAGGTCAGTGTAAAGATACACAACCAGAGCTCGAGAAATGTTATCATTATGGAATCCTGGGAAGGCAATAGATCTTCTCGGGAAGAATTTGAGCGAGGGAAAATCGTCGTGAATTGAAAAGCAACGATAGAGATCCTAATAATTCGATGAATAGATATAGGTAGTGCCCAGCTCTACATTTTATCATGCAGATGTGTTGCCAGCGTATCAGTAGCATACACGGCGTTTGGCTTGTCATGGATTTCAGACCGGCGACTATCCATCCACATCCTGCAGGAATCAAGGGTATTCTATTGATTGTGCCCGGCTCCAATCAACAGGACATCGTAGCTTGAGCCATCACCCCAGTCAGAACACGCGCGCATCCACGGCTATCTTGGATTATGTGTGGTTTATCCCCGTCGGGCAACTGATGAGTTACGGAACTACAACTTGCTCATGCCTAGCGGTCAGATCTTTAGCATGCTCTGTTTGGATGTAGTGCCCAAAGCTATCAAGAGTAAAGAAGTTGACCCCTATCTATCCCAGTGTAGTCCCGCCGAAGAGCTATACTGACTTAGCTGAAATGAGAACGTGATGGGAGAATTGCCATGGGATTGATGAGACAGGTCATTCTCACATTAAACAACACGGCAGACGAGTTTCTGCCCAGAAACCTTTTTGTTACGGAGAAGCTCAAGCCCATCTAGAGCTCCAGCAAGGCTGTCACCGACGACCCTGTGCGGATGTGTCTTCAATTTGCCCTCATTCAATAGTTCCTGCACAAGTCCAAACCACTCAAACCCAAACTTGCGGGATTCTTGATCTCCACCAGGTCTACCAAATGGCTCCGGCCAGCTCAACTTTTTCCCAAGGAGTGTCGGGCCAAGGACCCAGTCCGGCACAACTGTCTTTGGTCGGGTATGGAGGAATTCTGGGAAGGGTTCCAAAGCCGTGTACTTGCCTCCAGACCTGCCGAGACATTTGTAACAAAATTGCATAGTTTCGGGCTCTGAGATGCAATCGAGGACAAACTTGAGTGAGTTTCGGGTGAATTTTCGTATGTCGTCTGCGCAAGTTTCCTGGTGATAATCGAATACTGCTGTGGCTCCGTACGATTTGACCAGTTCAAAATTGCTTGGTGAGCAGGTAGCTATTGGGCTCAACCCCGACCTGGAACGGTAAGTAAAGCATCTCAACATACATCTTCCTCTCCCCGCATCAGTGGAAGCCTCGGGTGGTAGTAACATACAATTTCAGTAACTGTATCGCCAGGGTGCCGGTTGCAGTGCTGCCGCCGTATACAAGAACCTCTACAGGCTTGCTGGACGGGGACTTCGGCGAACCAGGAACGTCCAATGATCTGAACAATGCGAGCCCAACAGTCCCGATTCCACTTCCCAACGTTGCAGCTTGTTCAAAGGACATACCCTCCGGTATTTTGATCGTAGTAAGATCCGTCGCGCCGACAAACTCTGCAAAGGCTCCAACTGTAGGGGTCAGTGAGTGCATTCCTGGCACGGTTCCACAAACCCGATCCCCGAGCTTGATCGGTGCGGCAGTCTGAACCTTTGAGCCGATAGAGACAACTTCCCCGGCAAAGTCCATGCCAGCAATGGCGCCAGGGCTTGCCAGTTTGCCAACCATTTTGGAATCAATCGGATTCAAAGCGACGAAGGCATTCTTGATCAGAATCATATCTTCCTCCAAAACAGGAACTTCCACATCGTTGCGAAGATCTAGACTACCATCATCGAGAGCGACAATAGCTCTCTGCTTAGAGGGCAGCTCTGTCATAGTGAGAAGAGGGAGAACAATAAGAAGAGATACCAAGAGTGTAGCGTAGATGGAATAGCTGAGATGCGGTGATGGGAATGTCTCAGGGGACAGACTCTCTATTCCGGAGCAGGCAAACCCCACTTAGTAAATAGCAGTACTGCATGAGTGTATAGAGCATTATTTACCCAACGGATGTGTCTACACAATGGCAATATGTCGCCGGCTTATACAATCCACCCGAAGGTGGGCGCACCTTGTCCGGCGGCGTTTGGCCAGCTCTTCGCGTGTCAGAACATTGGAGGCAACTTAGGTCTACTTGACATATATACACTTGATTTCGAATAGAGGGGTTTTGAGGTAGACCCCGAACAGTATTCTCAATATTTTCTGTCCAATTTGTACATACCGAAGCGTCTCAACGCCGTGATGTCTTCCATCAGAAACGAACCCATCGCCATTATTGGCATGGCATGCCGTTTTCCCGGAGGTGTAAATTCACCATCCAAGCTGTGGGAGCTCCTGGAAAAGCCAAGCGATGTTGCCCAAGACATACCACCATCACGCTTTAATACCGATCGCTTCTACCACAAAGTTGGCAGTCACCATGGAACGACCAATGTTCGTCAAGCATATCTTTTGTCGGAAGACGTCCGTGAATTCGATGCCAGATTTTTCTCTATTCCCCCGGGCGAGGCAGAGGCTATTGATCCACAGCAAAGACTTCTTCTGGAAGTCACATATGAGGCTATCGAAACCTCGGGTCACACGCTGAGTGATCTTTCTGGGTCAGACGCCGGGGTTTTTGTCGGCTTGATGTCCCAGGACTACTTTGCGCTCAACGGCCAGGACGTGAACTCGATTCCCACATTTGCTGCCTCCGGCACTGCTGCTAGCAATGCCTCTAGTCGACTGTCTTACTTCTTTAACTGGCATGGGCCTTCAATGACGATCGATACTGCTTGCTCTTCCAGTATGGTCGCCGTGAGCGAAGCAGTGCAGACTCTCCGGAATGGCACCAGCCGTGTTGCTATTGCTTGTGGAACAAATCTTTGTTTGTCTGCCTCGACATTCATTACCTTGAGCAAGCTTAGTATGTTATCACCGACATCCAGATGCCGCATGTGGGACATTGATGCCGACGGATACGCACGAGGCGAGGGTGTTGCATGCATTGTCTTGAAGACTCTGAGTGCAGCCATTGAAGATGGTGATAATATTGAGTGTGTGATCAGAGAAGTTGGCGTGAACCACGATGGCCGGACCAAAAGATTGACCATGCCAAGTGCTGCAGCTCAAGCATCCCTGATTCAGAACACGTATGCTAGGGCCGGATTAGATCCGACCAGTGTGGCTGATCGATGTCAGTATTTTGAAGCTCATGGCACAGGAACCAAAGCTGGGTGGGTCAATGATGCTCTGCTGTACTTCCTTTGATCAAAAATAACTTACCATGTTCTAGTGATCCTCAAGAGGCCGAGGCCCTTATGAAAGCATTCTTCCCAAACTCTGATTCTGAGGGAGAGCTCCTCGTCGGTTCCATCAAGACTGTCGTGGGTCACACCGAGGGCACGGCAGGACTAGCGGGACTTTTAAAGGCTTGCCTGGCGCTTCAGAACGCAACAGTTCCCCCGAATCTGTTATTCAATCGCTTGAATCCTGACCTTGAACCCTTCACAAAACACCTTCGCATTCCCACGGCCAGCCAGCCTTGGCTTGAACTGCCAGAAGGCGTACCGCGAAGAGCCAGGTGAGTCAAGGAGAGTTTGATTGCTTAGTTGTTGCTATCGATAGATAACCTGACCTTATGCGGAACACAGTGTCAACAGCTTTGGGTTCGGAGGTACCAATGCTCACTGCATTCTCGAAACATATACACCAAAGCTCAGCGATTCATCATCTACAGTAGGGTCGAGCCAGCTAAAAACATGCTGTATTCCGGTTGTATTCTCCGCGGCATCTGATAGCTCGCTTCTGAGGCTATTGCAGTCGACACTTGAATTTCTGGATCGCCATGCAGTCGTCGATATGTCTGATCTAGCGTACAGTCTCAGCACCAGACGCTCCCCTCTAAACAGGAGGCTCGCCTTGTCTGCTGCTTCCGTGAATGACCTCCGGCGGATAATCGGCACTCTACTTGAGGAAAAGTCAGAAAATGAATCCCTTTCGCCTTTCATTTCAGCTGCCCCCGGAACGGCTTCGCTGTTGGGTGTTTTCACCGGCCAGGGTGCTCAGTGGAAGGGTATGGGAGCACAGCTTATATCATCAATTCCGATGGTGCGAGGAATTCTCGAGGAATTGAATGTATCGCTGGCAACCTTACCTTCCTACCACCGACCGGCCTGGGATCTGATCGAACTGCTTACCGATAGCACGACACCGGTCGAGGAAGCTACCTTTTCCCAACCTCTGTGCACAGCTGTACAAATCGTTCTTGTTGACCTCCTTCGAGCTGCGAGAGTAAAGCTTCAAGCAGTTGTCGGTCACTCGTCGGGAGAGATTGCTGCAGCCTATGCTGCAGGATTTCTTAGTGCACGAGATGCCATTTGTGTTGCGTACTACAGGGGATTTTATGCCAAATTGGCCGCAGGTCCTTCTGGAGAAAAAGGGGCCATGCTGGCTGCTGGGACTTCATTTGAGGATGCCAGCGAGCTTTGCCAGCTTGACGATTTTGTTGGCAGACTCTGCGTGGCCGCTCATAACTCTCCAACTAGCGTGACTCTGTCGGGTGATATCACCGCCATATCCGCGGCCCAGAGCGTCTTCGAAGAGGAAGAGAAGTTTGCAAGAGTTCTGAAGGTCGACACTGCATACCATTCGCCCCACATGGTAACATGCGCTACATCCTATTTAACCGCGCTAGAAGAATGCAACATCCAAGTTCTGCTCCCCAAATCAGATGCTCCACAGTGGTTCAGCAGTGTCCGAGATGGAAAGGCTGTGGACAGCTCAGAAAAGCTCGATGGGCAATATTGGATCGATAACATGATTCAGCCCGTCCTATTTTCCCCGGCCATCCAAACCTGCGTCACGTCTGTCGCCGGACCCATCAACTGTGCTTTAGAGATCGGCCCGCACCCTGCGTTGCAAGGCCCTGCGAAAGACTCGATTCTTGCCGCGGTCAACCGAGACATCCCATATAAAGGCACGCTAAATCGTGGGAAGAACTGTATGATGTCATTTTCTGATGCCCTCGGATTCATTTGGGCTCATTATGGCTCTGCCGCCGTTCAACTTGGGGCCTTCCAGCAGACATGTCATCCTGGTACTCGATCTACGATGATTCGAGGCCTCCCGACCTACCCATGGACGCACGATAGATGTTATTCTGCTGAGTCAAGGCTTGTGAAGACTTTCCACAGCCACCCTGTACCCTTTCACGATCTGCTTGGTATCCAAACGGCAGATGGAGCAACGGAAGAATGGAGATGGCGAAACTTGTTGAACATGAATGAACTGAGATGGCTCTCAGGGCATTCACTTCAGGGTCAGGTTGTCTTCCCTGCAACAGCCTACATATGTCTTGCCATGGAAGCGGCAATGCAGCTAGCTCAGGGCAAACCGGTGCAGGCAATTGATCTCTTTGACTTAGAAATCCGCAAAGCTATAGCAATCCACGACTCCACCGGGACAGAGCTTCTCGTATCCATGACGAAGGTGTCTACCCTTGACACAGAACCCGAGGAAATAACAGCTGACTTCGCTGCCTATTCAACAATAAGCAAAGATTCAAATAATCTGGCACTGAACTGCTGCGGTCATGTGCGTGTGCTTTTAGGAGGGGGTTCAAAATTTCAATTCTCGCCACGGCAACCTCCGCTTGGGAAACTGACGGCAGTAGACGTCGACAGCTTCTATAAGATCCTCAGAGAAGACTTTGGTTTCGGGTATGACGGCCCTTTCCGCGCCCTCGAAAGGGTGTATCGCAAGTCAGGGTTTGCAACTGGAACAATCCGCTGCGAGGGATTTGATGATTCCGAGACACATCTCTTATTCCATCCGGGTATGCTTGACAGTGCTTTGCAAGGCCTTAACGCGGCACATAGCGCCCCTGGAGATGGTCGTCTCTGGTCTATAGTAGCACCCACCTTCTGTCGCCGGGTTTCGATAATCCCAGCCCTTTGCGGCAAAAACATGACAGAAAATGTCGAGATTGACTGCACTATAACGGATCCTCGTGATGTGTACGTCACTGGTGATGTTGAGGTGTTTTCGGAAGACTACAAAGAGAAGATAATTGAGGTGGAAGGTCTCACCTTCTCACCGTTCGCAGGAGCGACTATTGAGAACGATCGGTGTCTCTTCCAGGAGTCTTTCTTGTGTGTTTATAATCCGGACGCGGACATCATATTTGGGGATAGACAAGCAACACCTCAGGAAAGCCAGAAAGCTCTTGATGCCGAGCGAGCCGCATTCTACTATCTCAAAACTTTTCATCTTTCGGTAGATCCGGAAACGCGCGAAAGCCTCCCTTGGTATCGGCAGGCACTGCTGAAGAACGCTGAGAGACTTTTTCAGATTGTGAAAGATGGGAAGCATCCGTTTGCTCCGCAATCCTGGGTGCATGATACCCGCGAGGAAGTGCTTAGAATGATGGACGGGTATGATACACGAGCCCCTTGAGACGCAAATTGTCGGTGGTTAACCCAGTTTTTAGCTATCCGAGAACAGATGCCGATTTCAACTTGACGAAAGCTGTTGGTGAAAACCTCCTTCTACCCTCGGTGCTCGTGGGAGAGACTAGCATTCTACAGTACATGACAAAGGATAACTACCTTGAACAGTACTATACTGACGCCATTGGATTTGAGCTGCTCAACTCCTTGATTGCTGGGGTTATTGAACAGCTTTGCTTGAAATTTCCTCGGATGAAATTTCTCGAAGTGGGTGCTGGAACAGGCGGTGCCACCAAAGCTATCCTGGAGAGGATTGCATACGCTTTTTCGTCCTACACCTATACCGATATATCTAGTGCCTTTTTTGGCCATGCTGCCAAACGCTTTCATCAATATATCAACAAGATGGTGTTCAAAACTTTGGACATTACAAAGGACCCCATTCAACAGGATTTCTCCCCGCAAGGTTTCGACGTTATCATTGCTTCGAATGTCTTGCACGTGACCATGTCCCTAAGAGCGGCTCTTCAGCATGTGAGACAACTTTTGCGGCCTGGAGGCTACCTTGTCATGGTTGAGATTATTCGCAATGATGTGATGCGCCATGGTCTTGTCATGGGTGGCCTTCCAGGTTGGTGGGTGGGCGAGAATGATGGTCGTCACTGGGGTCCCAGTATCACTCTCGAGGAGTGGGACAGCATTCTCCGAGAAACTGGCTTCTGTGGCATTGAGACCAACTCGCCCATGCGGGATCCCGTCGGCGTTCCCGGATCCATCATTGTTGCTCGGGCACAAAATGATCAGGTTACTCGGCTGACCAGACCACTCAGCTCCAAGGCAAGTAGAGAAGGCCCTTCGCTACTGGTTCTTGGCGGCAGAGACCCCCTGGTGTCGCCTTTCAGGGACCAGTTATGTCTCACGTTGAGGCCACATTTTGCAGATGTCGTCAAATTGGATCATCTAGGCAATCTGTCACAACTACCTGCGAGCTTCCACGTTCTCAGTCTCACTGAATGTGATACAGGATTTTTCAAGGATATGGAGGAGTCTGTCTTTGAAAATTTCAAAAGCGTGATAGGCTCTGCAGCTAGCGTGCTCTGGCTGCTTCGGGGACGTCGATCGGACAATCATCATGCTGGGACAACCCTCGGTTTGTTTCGAACGCTCTTCTATGAGGTGCCTGGCACATTGTTGCAGACTTTGGATATCGACCAAATAAAGATGAGTGACTGCTCATGCGTTGCCGAGCTGATGTTACAGCTCAGACTTCAGGCGGAATTGACCAGACATGGCGAGTTGGATCAGATACTATGGGAGTTTGAGCCGGAATTAGTCCTCGATGGGGGCCAACTTTATATTCCCAGGGTCCGTCCCCATGATGACCAAAACAATCGCTACAACTCGTCCAAGAGAACAATTATCCACGACGTGGATATAGAAACGACTCCTCTGGTTCTGGATTGGGTCGACAACTCGTATATGCTCAGGGAGCATCATGTCATCGTGCCACAAATAGATGGTCTGCTTACGATCAGGGTGTCCTGCTCCTTCTTGTCGGCAATCAAGACACCCGTGGGATATGCATTCATCAGTCTTGGAGAAGATGTGGAGACAGGGAACAAAACGCTTTGTTTCACGAACTGTAACGGATCCATTGTGAAAGTCGCGCAGTCTTGGACAATACCTATCGATGAGGTCGAGGTTGATGGACAGTTTATGTCTTTCGTCATTGCTGATCTCACAGTCCAATGGGTTTTGCAGATGTTACCACCCACAGGTACTTTGGTGGCATACGAACCGGACCCGGTTGCGGCGTCACTGCTTTCTCATGAATTGAGCAAACTAGGCCGGAAAATTCTTTTCATCACTTCGAGTCCCGATGTGAGTGGTCGAAGTTGGGTATATCTTCATCCCCGCAGCACCGAAAGAGCCATACAGGCTCTTTTACCAGCGGACGTTACCCTGTTCATCGATGCTTCTGGAGTCGAGTCCAAATATCAAGGCCTAGGATCAAAGATTGCTGCCTCACTGTCACCCGTTTGCAACAAGATCCGGATGTCTAGCCTAACTGCATCAGAAGCATCTATTCTTCCAAACGAAGCCCCTGAGTCCATCACAAACCTGCTCCATCGCGTTGCTTCCTTTGCTAGTTCATTGTCATCCGTACAGGCAACTCCGGAAGGTGCACCACTTGAGATTCTGTCACTGAAACGGGTGGTCGCACCATCCATGGTGCCAAACTTTAGGTCGCTTGTTTACTGGCGAGAAGACCGATATGTTCCGGTCTCCTTCGAGCCCGTCAGCCAACGTCAAGATCTGTTCCAGCCCAATCGCACCTATTGGCTTGCTGGTCTTGCTGGAGACACAGGACGGTCCCTGGCCGACTTCATGATTGCCCATAACGCGCGAAGCATTGTTCTAAGCAGTCGTGCACCCGAGGTGGATGAAAGCTGGGAGCAATGGCACAAGTCGAGGGGTGCAACTGTGCAATATTTTTCAGGGTAGGTCCCGCTCAGTGATAGTGAAGGAACTGCAATGGGGCTCTGCTTGCTAATAAATGCAACAGGGATATCACCGACTTTGAATCCGTCAAGCAGATGTATCATGAGATAAATGAGTCCATGCCTCAGATTGCAGGCGTTGCGAACGGTGCCATGGTATTTGCGTGACAGCTCTTTCATGAAGATGAGCTTCGATGATTTTCAAGCGGTCCTACGTCCGAAGATCCAGGGTACCATCAATCTCGACAAGCTTTTCTCGGATCCTGCCAGGCCTCTCGACTGGTTTATTGGATTCAGTTCCATTGCGGCAACCGTTGGCAATCCCGGGCAATCAGCCTACACTGCTGGGAACTGCTTCATCAAGGCGCTTGTCAATCGCCGACGCAAGCAAGGTTTGGCAGGTTCCTCAATCGATATCACTCGGTTGGTGGGTCTGGGATTTATTGAGCGTGAGAGCCATGGTCGCCTGACAAAGGAGCACCAAGAGCGGTTAACCACCAGATCCGGCACCATTGCTATGAGTGAGAATGATCTGCATCAATTGTTTGCCGAAGCAATACTGTCTGGGCGCCCTGCCTCGGGCCTTAATCCAGAGATCATCACTGGTCTCGCCCCAATCACAGTTGACCAATCCAGAGATGCATATTGGAAAACGAATACAAGGTTAACATTACTTATCAGGGAAATAGGACATGGCACTACGCAAGATGGGGACAAGGGCAACGCTATTCCGGTCAGGCAGCTATTAGAGGCAGCTAAGACCATGGACGATGCGTTCAAGGTGCTTTCAAGTAAGTGAGACTGCCACAAGCATTACCCCTCCCCCTCTAGATGAAAAGTCCCGTTGACACTCCGCCTCAGATGCCTTCAAATTGAAGTTACAAGCATTGAAATTTCTCTCAGACACCGATAGCCTGTACGACACGACCCCTCTCGTCGATATGGGTGTCGATAGTCTGGTGGCTGTGGAGATGCGATCCTGGTTTTTGAAGGAACTTGCTGTGGATGTGCCCGTGATGAAGATTCTCGGTGGTGCCTCCATCAGCGATCTGGTGGAGGTCGTCGTGCAGAAACTTCCCCAAGAGTTAATGAGTCGCCTGGATTCCGATTCGCAGCAGAAGAGCAGCAACGGGAATACTCCAGTCAACGTCTGCGAAGGGGATACCAAGGAGAAATTACGGTTGAAACTCAATAGCCCTGGTGCCAACGGTGTCAACGGTGTCGAGGGGTCTAAGGAAGTCAATGAGGTCAACAGTATGGAGATCGCCGATGAAAATCAGGAGCACCAAAGCTCTGGCCACATGGCGCCAGTCATCATCAGTAAAAGCACTGTTGTCTAAGATCATCCCATCCTGCTGATCGGACACGATGAGATGCTGAACATTCGACTTTCCATGCAACTCTTCATATCATCCAGTGAGCTTGATATGATACGGGACATCCCAAACTGGACAAACCGAGAGCCACCAACGCCATCAGAATTGCTGCGGTCTGTATTCCTAGACTCTTCTCTACATAGAAGAATACTATAGACTCGGTAACCAAAAATATGATGACAACAAAATGGAACTCGTGAACAAAGAAGTTCGTGTAGAACTTCGTATAGAAGCAACATGTCAATACTCCGTCCTCGGTAGAGACCAAAAACACGAATCCCGACGGTTAAATGTCGGGCAATCCACCGTGGAAACATCCAGCTCGATCCGACTGGTCAACCACGATGGCTTCAAGCGGGGTAGCCCCGAGGGCTTGATCTTAAAGACGCAACGTGGACAGTCAAGCAGCCCCCCTGTCGAGTAAAGAACGCTCATCATCCTTGCGCAAACCCACGTCAAGATGCCTCTTACCGAAGAACAAAAACAGCACTGGCTGGAACACGGCTTCATCAAGATCCCGCAGTGTTTCTCCCGCGAAGATGCCGACAACTGGACAGCCTCCATCTGGGCCCGGCTCGGCATCTCGTCCACGGATAAATCCACCTGGACCAGCGAACGAGTCAACATGCCCGGCCACACCGTGGTCAAAGTCAACGATTTTGCGCCCAAGGCGTGGGATGCGATCTGCGAGCTTGTCGGCGGCGAAGACCGGGTGACGGACTGGTGCAAGGAGTGGCGCGACTCGTGGATCATCAACATGGGCAAGCCCGAATTCAAGCCAGATGATCCGCTGGACTTTCGCACGTTGGATAACTGGCATAATGACGGGGATTGGTTCACCCATTTCCTGGACAGCGGGGAGCAAGCACTGCTGGTGATCCCGTTATTCAGCGATATCAAACCCAGAGGCGGCGGCACCGTGATTTGCACCGACGGGATTGGGCTTGTGGCTAAGCATCTGGTAAGCTTTCTCGCTGCTTCATCAAGGGGTTGACTGCTGAACAGGAATAGTACGATCATCCTGAAGGAACCTGGCCTTTCCTACACAGTCGTTCAGGACCGAAGCCTGAGGGCCCGGAAGCGGGAAAGTACTGGCGGGAATGGGCGCGCAATCCGCACTTGACCAGAGAGGAGTCGTTCCATGAAGCGACCGGTCAAGCAGGAGACGTCTATCTCCTCCACCCTTTCATGCTCCATTCGGCGTCGCGAAATCTGCTGCGTGAAGTCCGTATCATCACCAATCCCCCCGTCTCGCTCAAGGAACCCTTCAACTACAATCGTCCGGACGGCAAGTACAGCCTTGTAGAACAGAGGACTCTAAAGGATCTCGGTCGACTGGAGGGATTGCCCGAATGGAAGATCACTAGAGAGAGAGAGATGCTTACACCCGCTCGGGTACAGGTAAGGCCTTCTCCTCGTTCTGACTGCCGGATAAAGACTTACGATAAGCAGATACAGGAGGATATGCGAAAGAAGGAGAAGGAGAGGCTGGAGAAGGCTGGTAATTCGGTGACCAGCTACGGTAGTGCAAAGCCACTTGAGTCGTACTATCCCTCGTGAGAACCTTTGCGTTTACTTCGAGACAATGACAGTGGTGTGTAGGTACATTAGCATAGTGAACGGCGCTTAGTGCGTACAAATTTGAGATATGGCTGGCTGTTAAACAGCATCGTACCCCTGTATATCAAGGACGTGCTTTGTACGCCTGCCAATCATCTCTGAAGCGAACACCGGCTATTCGAATAAGGGGCCCATTCAGTGTGCGACATTCCTGGCCGATACTGCTTTCCAATTTCAAACTGCTAGGAAATTACTCTCATCAACAAGTACTTGGAGTGCCAGAAGAATTCTAGCTAATATACAGGGTCGCCGCAAGCGCGGTAATCATCATCTTCATGGCATCTCCTTCTAACCATCATTCCGGCAAATATCTAGATACTTGGCAATGGAAAATATCGATTACCCCAGTCTACCCACCAGGTCCTACGGCAATAAGGCCTCTGATATATTAAACCCCCAAGTTTCCCCATTCATCCGTGCTTGAAGCTATTCGGAAGTTGCCCTCCGTATCCAGAACAGCATGTGGGGGCCTTGTCTTCCTTGGAAGAATTGCACGGATTCTTATGCGAGCCCCTTAGCTTGGCCAGGCAATTACAAGGAACAGCCAAAGCAGCCGAGCGCCGGTTCTTCATATAAATTTTGCCGGGGAGCCCGGCCAAGGAGCAACTACCGAGCCACAATTGGAACGCCGAGTGCCCCAGTCAATTCTGCAGAAATTAAGTCGGGATGAAGATGCGGGGGATTAGATTGAAGCAATTTAACTACGTGAATTACCCGAAACGAAAACAGACAAGAGTCGGATTGGCGGCCCGCCAGGGCTTGACTGCGTGAGCTGATCAAATTGCCGACAGCACCAGGGCTATCAACATGAGACACAGTGTGTCCATAACTCGCCTAGTTTGAAGAATTCGATTGTCCAGAAGGGATTTCCCGGTTGCCCTTGGTCCAGTCTGCAGATTAATCCCCGCATGCATGGCGCTTTTGCAAACTCGCCTGAGCAGAGTTGCTCCGTCTTGGTGTGCAGTTCACCATCAGCGAAAAGGATATAAATACCATGTCGAGGATGGCCGGTATCAGACAAACACCCATCGGCTCTTCAACTTCAAAGCAACATGGCGTCCAGACGGAGTCTTGTGGCCGCTGCGCTGGCCCTTCTTCCCCTTGTTCATGCGCAGAATCCTGGTGCAGCTGATGCCGGAAACCCCAAGCTGACCACGTACAAGTGTACCACAGCTGGAGGTTGCGTGAAGCAGGACACCTCCGTGGTCATTGATTGGAACTACCACTGGATTCACACTGCCAACGGGTATGATTCCTGCACCACGTCGTCTGGCGTAGACAGCAGCCTGTGTCCCGATGCGGCCACCTGCGCTCGGAACTGCGTGATTGAGCCGGCCAACTACACCAGCGCTGGTGTGGCGACCTCGGGTGACACCCTCACCATGCATCAGTACATCAAGAGCGACGGTGAATATGTCAACGCCTCGCCTCGCCTGTATCTCCTCGGCTCCGATGGCGACTATGTCATGATGAAGCTGCTGGGCCAGGAGCTCACCTTCGAGGTTGATCTCTCCACACTCCCCTGCGGTGAGAACGGCGCCCTCTATCTGTCCGAGATGAGCGCCACGGGCGGCCGCAATGAGTACAACAAGGGCGGTGCCGAGTATGGGTCGGGCTACTGCGACGCCCAGTGCCCCGTGCAGACCTGGAAGAACGGCACGCTCAACACCAACGGCTCCGGCTTCTGCTGCAACGAGATGGATATCCTCGAGGGCAACTCGCGTGCCAACTCATTCACTCCCCATCCATGCAGTAGCACTGACTGCGACAAAGGCGGCTGCGGCTTCAACCCTTATGCTCTGGGTCAGCAGAACTACTGGGGCCCCGGCGGCACCGTCGACACCTTCAAGCCTTTCACGGTCACCACTCAGTTCATCACCAGTGATGGCACCCAGACAGGCACTCTCAAGGAGATCCGCCGCCAATACATCCAGAACGGCAAGGTGATTGCCAATGCGCAGTAATCCTCCGGCGTCAATGCCATCACCCAGGAATGGTGCACCTCCGGCGCCAGCTTTGGCGGGCTGACCACCATGGGCCAGGCGCTGGGCCGCGGCATGGTCCTTGCCTTCAGCATCTGGAACGACAACAGCCAATTCATGAACTGGCTTGACAGCGGCAGCAACGGACCCTGCAGCAGCACTGAGGGTAACCCGGATCTGATCAAGGCGCAGAACCCCACCACCCACGTCGTCTTCTCCAACATCCGCTGGGGTGATATTGGCTCGACCTTCTCCAACCCTGGCGGCTCCAGCTCTTCCTCAACCACCAGGATTGTGACCATCACCAAGCCTACCACTGTCTTCCCTACTAGCACGAAGACGACAACCATCCAGGCTCCAACGACGACCACCACCGCCAGCGGTGCCACCCAGACCCAATGGGGCCAGTGTGGTGGTCAAGGCTGGTCTAGCCCGACCGCATGTGCGACACCTTATACTTGCCAAGCCCAGAACGCATGGTACTCTCAGTGTGTGTAAAATCGTCCTTATGAGGAAGAAGGATTTTCATTCGTGTAGTAGTAAAATAGAGAGTGATGTTATTGTCCTGGTTGATGATCAGAAGTATATGTTCCTGCCCAAGGACGCTAGCAACACCACGAATTCTCAAGTTCAATTCGAAAATAGGGTTTGCTCACTAAATCCAAGTCACATTGTATAGCAAGTTCGGAAACAAGTCGATGGACTTCAAGTCAAAGAACAGGTTGAACATTCAGCTAGGAATAGTCTTAATTTGATTTATAGAACACAAGTTGGGGCAATTTTAGTATCCTCTGGTCCCATGGTCTAGTGGTTATGACTTCGGATTTTGACTTGTGTTAGTTTTCCGGCAACTCGGGTTCGATTCCCGATGGGACCTTCTTTTTTGCCTTTTTTTTTTTTTTTAATTTTCCCCCTCTGATCACAACCATCAGCTTGGACTACATTGTATTCCATAGAGTGATGAAAATAGCCTCATATTGATGGTACTAATAGTTGCATTCAAGTACTTGCGACTGGGATGTTCATCTATATCGCCTTGGCAAGGCCCTTCGTCCTCACGCAGTATCCTTCACTCGTTTGAGTACTCAAACCCCACAGGGTATGGGAAATTAAATATCACCAGTGGTATAGAATCAGAGATATCGATATAGATACATGTCCGCGGTTAGCTACACCTTTTATCAGCTGCCATGGCTTCCACATCCTCCGAAGCAGGAGTCACCGTCCCCGACCTGCTCATTCCAGTCAAGGTAACGGCCTCTCCATTTTGCAGATACATGTACCAATAGTACGTCGCTGTTGATGTCAGCCACATCCCCTCAACGATGGACCAGAAGAGCCTACCAACAAACAATCCTCCTCCGATGATATTCCCCAGCAGCGTGGGAATGATCCCTTTCCAGATATACAACCCCACGGTGATTTTGGGCGCGCCCAGCCAGATCGCCATGGGGATAAAGGTCATGTTGGCGACTACGTGGTCGAAACCCAGCGACACAAAGGCGAAGGTCGGAAACCAGATCCCCACCACCTTGGAGGCGAGATCGCGGCCCTGGCTGCCCAGGAAGCAGGCCAGGCAGACCAGCCAGTTGCAGCCGACGCCGCGGAGGAAGATGTGGTGGAAGTCCGGGGTGACTTGTTTCTTGGTGGCGAAGGCGATGACCTGGGATTTGTAAGGGTCGGCGGCGAAGGTATTGCCATCTATCCAAGGGGGTTAGGTATTGATAGAGCAAGCAGGAAAGGGGGTGTGGTTCTAACAGCCGAAGATAATTGCGACAACGAATAGAGAGCCGGCTAGGTTACCCCAGAAGGTCACGAACCAGTGGAGTAGCATCTTCCACCAAGGGAGCTGACGCTGCAGTGCGGCAAGCGTAGTGAACTATCCTCATTAGATTGATCTGAGGAAGCTGTTAGGTGAGCGCATACCATGAAAGAACCCGTGCACAGATCCGCCCCCGTTAAGATGATCACGCAGAGACCATAGGGGAAAACCAGGGCAGAGATCATGCGAATCAACCCGGGAGCATTCTCTTGGAACCAAGATGATGTGTTGGTGGTCAATGCCGTCCCGCAGGCAAAAGCGAGCAGGCATCCAGCCGAAAAGGAACTGAAGAACACCCTGTCAAGGCGCATATTACCCTTGGCCACTCCGGCTCGGGCAACGAGCTCGGCCGCGTTGGCGGGACAGTGCGCATCAATGCTAAGAGTCGCCATGGTTTGGGGGTTTTTGCAGACAAGAGAAAAAGAGCAGGATCGGCTGATATATCTTCTTCTGGTTCCGAACCATCCCAATATGGCCTCCCGATCCCATCCTTATCGTGCGGTTCGCGGCTCTGATTTTTGGGTTGGACCCGGAATTGCTGTATCCATGGTTGATTTAAGCAGCGACAAACAGAATCGCCTCCACCTGTCCGTGCTGCTGGCGATCCCCACTGCACATCAGTCAAGTAGTTCTTCATTTTTCTGGCGAGCGATAGGGGAGTAGACATTTAATTCGCCAAGCAAGAGATAAGGACATGTAAATCCGGCTAGGATCTCCGCGGACATACACTGCTTGGTCACTATCAATGCAGGAAGACCTCTGGAGTAGTGATAAGGGCACATAACCCTCCTGTGATGACTCGAGAGGTCGATTCACTGAAGGATGCGTAAGACTAAGGTGTGATCATTCCAGATCCACATTCAAATGGAGTCTGGAGTATGGACGGTGGAACACTGGCTAAGAATAAGAGCAACCCTATCGAACATGCCAAGTCCGCTTTCCTGCTCCGCCAGCGCTCTAACGCAGGACAAGAGCACCGCCTCTCAGGCTGTCTTGGTCTGACCAATCATACGGCCATGTTGGCCATGAAAATCCAGCTCTGATGCCTGGCAGAGGGATGATAGCTGGTCCAGCACTAGTGTACTGCAATATGACATCAGAGCGTCTCAGAAGGGTTGGTTCGCAAGGAGATTTAATGCCCTGCTGATCTCCCATGCTCGCTTTGCTCCTCGAAAGAACATCGCTCCAGACATGTTGACCATCTTTATACTGTCAACATAATGGACTGGCTCATAAGCCTCTTCACTGGCGAAAGCACCGAAGCGAGGCAGCAACGCAAGAAACAAAACCGTCAACATCGACAACGCAGTAAGCGCTCCCGCGATCGAGAACGAGAATTACGACAGCGAAGGGAATGCAACATATGGCGAACACCATTCTTCTGGGGTTCGCCTGGTCAGACGTTTCGGGATGGAGCAGTCATGGCCGCGCCGCCGCGGAACGATTATTATTTCCCGAAATGAATCTTCAACATGTCATGGATATGGGAAATGGCATCATCGATGCGAAACCTGCAGCGACGAGTTGGACCGTTCAGCATTGCCATTGTTGCAATACTAGCTGCTAATCAATGACTGAAGATGTCTACCTGAAGGATCCCTCAAGTCTCGATTGTCTTTGTTTATAGGCATCCTGCATTAGAAAGGCCGATGCAGACCTCTCTGTCCTCAATATTCCATCTGGAGATGATGGTTGATTGAGCCAGAGTAACTCACATCTCAATCTGCACGATGTCAACATGCTGAGCTGATTGTCCCCTATTCCCAGAGCACTTAGTTTGCGGACGAAGAACATTCCTATGTAATGGTATTTAATGAAGTTCCCCTCCAATCCTCCGATCCAGCTAAACGCGTTTCTAACTTGATTAGTTCGACCAAACGATCATGAATCAGTAGACTTAGTGTATGTCTTGTGGCTATTTTCGGAGACGCCGAAGGAGAATTTCGGCGAAGACGATCAAGAGCTCAAGCCAGCGAGTCAACCCTCAAAGATCTTAGGGACCATTAATATTGCGACTGGATCTAGGCTCGATCCCAAGTCATGCGCTGGCCGTCAACCAGGCTAGTCCAGTCTAACTATCGACTATTCTTGCCACCGAAGCGAAGTGTGGAGTGTTCGGCTGCGCTAAAACCACATGGAAGCAGCAGTTTGTCGGCTATAATCACCACTTGTCAGGACAATCTGGCACGATATCTAGAAGTTGGCAACAGGAACCGACGCCACTAAAGCAACACTATTGAATGCTAATTTTTCACATTTCAGTGCGTTGTCCACCCACCAGCTATTCCACAATGCCGCTACGGACAAGATATAATCGAGTCGTCCGCCGGTCTTCACACCGGGCGATGATCAGCCCGCAAAGCCCTCACTGCTACACTCGTTTAAATCCCTCCAGTGACGGATCATGAAGTGGTGGGCTTACTTACTGCCACTGGCTGCCAGCGTGGCGGCCCTGCCCAACACTGACACCAACAAGAGGCCCAGTGACACTTGTGGCTGGCAGGACGATGTTCGCAATCGGTTGCGTCGGGAGCCTCACGCCATCCCGTTCTGTCGCGATCTACTCCATATTCCTCCCCATCTGGTCACACAGACAACGACATTGGTGCAGCCAGAAGCCACGGTCACGGCCACCAGTACGATTCAAGACGAGGATGATGGCACGGTAATCACGGTTACGGCCGAAACCACGGCGACCCAGATAAAGCCCACCGATATCACCACGACGCTGTATGCGACAACCACCGAGACCAATACAGTCCCAGTAACTGTGACCGAGTCCTATGATGCGACAATCACGGACGTCTTCACCGAGTTCCTCACTCAGCCCGTCTATAAGACCGTCACCAGTCCCGTCACCAGGGTCCAGACGGACTCTTATACCGATATCGTCACTCGCTGGACTGCTGCCACAGTCACCGACTGGACCTTTGAGACTACGACAGCGACCTTGATCAACTCCATCACCAACTATGTCACTGTGTTTGTCACCAACTATGCCACTGTCACTAAGGCCGACATCGTCACCAACACGCTCACTAATCTTGCAACTGCCGTTGTCACCAACTTTCACACAAACACGCTCACTCTCTCCTTTACCGACACTGTCACTGCCACCGAGACCAACACGGTGCACTCGACTGCTACTGAGAATGTGGCGGTAACCGACACGAAAACCGACGTGGTGACTGACGTTCATACCAACCTGGACCCCATCACCAACTCGCTCTTTACCACCGTCACTGACCATGTCACATCCACGATTATCACTGTGGTCACAGATGGCACCACAATAACCACCACCGCGATCGTGACATTGGCTGCTCCCTTCAAGCGTGATCTTGGGCAGCAATCTGGCCCTGTCCCTGCTGCGGCACAGCCCTTCCCCACGCCTTCGGGTCTCAGTGATATCCCCGGAAGGATCTTGTCGAGGGCATGCTCTGAATTAGACCTTCCTGCGGCGACTTCCACTGTCCTCGCTACCGAGACTCAGGCCCACTCGACGGTATATGGACCCTAAGAGCCTTGAATATTCATATGGAAGCAAGATACTAACCACTCGTAGGTGACCCAAACCCTGACGACTCATGTGCCGGGAACAGGAGGAGAGACCGTCTCGGTCACAGTCCCCCACACCGACTATGTAACGAGCATTTCTACCAAACTTGCCACCGCATACGGCACAACTACTCTGACTATTGATGAGCCGGAGACCATCACTAAGACCATCACTGACCTGGCCACGACTTCTGTCACTTCGACCGTGACTGAGCCTACCACGCTCACAGTCACTGAATTCTCCACCGAGGTAGTGGTCGATTCCGTGACTATCGACGTGACTACCGATGCGACCTCCTCGACAACATTAGATCTGACGTCCGTTGAGACGGCCTCATCCACCCAGGACGTAACCACAGATGTGACGGCTACCAGCATCGTCGACCGCACGACTACGCAACCCATCACCCAGACTGCCGACTTGACCGTCAGCGAGACTGTCACTCAGACTGCAGATGTCACAGGCACCGAGACGGTCTCCATCACCGCGACGACCACCGCGACCACCGTAGTCGACCGGACTGAGGTTGCGACCGTCACAGCCACCGCGTCGGTCACTATCACAGTCACGGCATCGACGACAGTCGAGACCACCGTTCCCACGACGGTCGATGTGCTCAGCACCGCCACGAAAACAGCTACCATCGACGTGACCATCACCCAGTCCGTCTCGACCACGTCGGTCGTGACTGTCACGTCGACCACGACGCTGCCCGCTCCCACATGCGGCATCAACTTGATCAAAAATGGGAACTTTGACGGCGGCAGGCCGGAAGAAATGGGGGCCTCATTGCCCCCCTGGGCTTGGTCTCCTGGTGGGAACGGAAAGTACTCATTTGTCCGGGGAATTACGACGCTTTTGGCGATAAACATCTACACCAACACCGCCGGGTTGAACACTCCATCCATCTCTCAAACTTTCTCCACAACCCCAGGAAAGGTATACACGGTCAACTACAGCTATTTAACCAGCGGTGGAAACACTCAATCCACCATGATATGCAGCGTCAATAATTCGATCACGTCCAGCAGAGTCATCAATATTTCCTCCATCAGGGGCCAGTGGCTGCAGGCTTCCTTTGCCTTCCCAGCGACATCCACAACCACGATGCTGGTCTGCAAACTCAGCACGACTGTTTCCGCGCAGACATACCTGAGTGGATTTAGTGCGTCTACTCCTTGTTGATTTCGATAATGAGTCAATCAGACCCCATTCATTCGTTTTTTCGCTCTTCTGTCGTATATCATAGGAGATAGGCTAGCCCATTAACTGATTCCTGAGACTTGTATTTGGTTCTTGTTGATAGTTTTGTAGAGTGGTTCACCATCTCTTGGGTTGTCGGATCCTCAAGATTTGCAGTGCAAAGGCCTTATCCTTTTACTGAGGCACGCCAACTAGATGCGATGAGGCCAGCCGCCTGCAGCATCTCGCCATCAAATAACAGGCGCCTCCCCCACAATCTGTCCTGCAGCAATGAGTTGGCATGTGCTCTTTTCCAAAAGAAATTATGCAATCAACCAGCATAGCAATGATATCATCGGTGACAGCAAGTCAGATCAAGAATGAGAAATCGCTGGGATGTCATCACAAAGCTGAATGGCTGACGACTAGACAAGCATGACCAGTTGGCAACCCCGCATGCCTCCTTTGTTGCAGTAATATCAGATCACAATCGCATGTCTGTATACACCATGGCCAGTGCGTTTCTGCTCCTCATAAGCACAATGTAAATACATAACCCTTATCTGAGGCCCCAGGATCAACAGATCTCCCCTCATCCTGCCGACCTGAACAACCCCGGTCGCAATGCCTTCGATCGATGTTGGGCGTGAATCCTGTTTGATCTAGATCTTGGCTTTGTCGATCAATTCGGGTCAGAATGACGGAGGATCAGCATCAAAGTCACAAGCAGAGTAACTCGCAGAGACAGCAATTGTTAAGCGAGGTACAGAGTATAGTAGACTACAGACACAGCCAGCCGAGCATGGGCTGCTTGGCACTTCCAGATATCGACTGACACATCGCGATGCCCATCTTACTATACATCATGACCATCTCATGATGCGGTAATATCCCAAGAGAGAGAGAGAGAGATCATTGTACCTACTTCCTGCTGAGCGTTGACCCTCTCAACCTAATCGCATGGACCAGTGATTAAGAGCTGGTAAGACGCGGATGGCTTGAGCCACCCACACGACACTAGAGAGGCACTAAATATCGACCTTGCTTTGTTCTTCCATTTCGTCCTGGAAAAATCAGCTGCAAGAGCCAATAGCCTTGGGATCTGTCTCTTAAGCGGAGTACATATGTCACTTTGACTACATTTTGCGCGATTCAGCTGGTCCACACGATCCACCACAGCAACACCAGTAACTCCATCAACGCTTCTATTGATCCTAACGATCTCGACATAACTGCTCGGAGAAATACATGCATAGCATTTCATTCTTGTCACACGATGCTTGAGCTCGGTGGTCAAAAACTGCCCGTTATTAACTTAACCGGGCTAGATCCCAATGATTCATTTAGCGAGGACGCAAACAATACGACATTTTTTTTAGCCCTAGAATCAGTTATATACTACTAAAGGTAAGCATATAGGTAGGCCGGAAGGCGGAAACTGCGGAAATCCAACACTATATCTCATGCTCTTACTGGCTGCTGAAGGAACAGGCTGCCGGGTGATTATCGTGGTTGAACCCTCGCTGGGAAATGTGGCCATGGTTATAGATAAAGGGGAGAGCTATATTGACTAGGTCAGTGTTCCCCACCCCTGCCAATGATGCTTCTCGACGTCGGAGTCATTGTTGGGATCGTGGCATTGTGCATCCTCCAACCCTCTTCGCTTCTGTTGGTATCGGGGGCGACGGTGAGAGATTGAATGAAGCTATTTCTGGCACCATTACCGACAAGGAAGATCGGCTGGAACTCTCTGGCGGCGGTAATTCGGGCGGAGGTCCAGGAATAAGAAACTGCTAAGGATCAGCGCCCTGGAGGGATATGGGCCGACGATGGAGAATGGACTCCTCGACTCGGCAGCAAGGGATAGGCCACTATGTAGTCTAGTCGTATTCACAACAGCAAGAAAGCCGGTCTGGACAAGAACATTTCTACGAACAGATCATTAATGATGGCCATAGCTTCCATGGAAAGTCGTTTAGGGTTTGGCCAGGTCAATGATCGGCGGTCATCGGGCAAGGCTGAGCTCACACTGTGAGCTGGTAGGCCTTAGAGAGTTAGGGTACCATTACTTCCATCCCCAACACCGCCATCCCCAGCCGGCTCGCTAGTCGCTAGTGACCATGACAAAAAGCCCATCTCATGTCAGCGCCGATGGATCCCTTTACTCCCCGTCACTCCACTCTCGCGTTGGCGTTGCGGCTGCACGTTCATCATTGGGCCGAATCGCGACATAGCCCTTGCCCAGGAACCTCTTGGGCACCCTGCGTGGCCCAGCTCCAGCGCTCGCGACCGGTCATCTGCGGCGTCCAGCCTGGATTTCATGGGTCATGGAGTGTCTTGGCTGGCGGGATGTCGCCAGAGGGCTGCGATGGCTGCATTCGCACCCGGTCGAGCACAATGGGCTAAATTCCGAAGCCGTCGAAGTGGAGTGGGCCTGGAATGACATAAATAGAGCGACGTGTGCCTGTACAACCTGGAGAAAAAGGAAAACGAAAGATAAACCCAATAAAAGAAAAACAAGAACATCCTCGATCAAAGACGGTCGATCAGGATCGCCATGTTTGTCTACACCCTTATCTTCTTGTTCCTAGCCGCGGCCAATGCATATTCCAACCCCGGCCCCTGCTCAGGCAACTGTTGGACTCACGACCCGGGCCTGTACCAGCGCAAATCAGACGGGAAATACTTTCTCTTCGCCACTGGTGGAGGCATCCATATCTCCTCGGCGGATGACCTCGCCGGCCCCTGGACAGACGACGGCTTTGTCCTTCCAGATGGTTCCTCCATCGATCTAGATGGCCAGAACAATCTCTGGGTCGGTTCCTTGTCTTCCCACGTCGACCTCAATCCAGTAAAGCTAATTGTACCAGGCCCCCGATCTGCACTATCGAGATGGGACATACTACCTCTACTATTCCGTCTCTGCGCTCGGATCGCAGAACTCAGCCATTGGAGTTGCGACCTCCGAGACGCTTGAAGCCGGCAGCTGGACCGACCACGGCTCCACAGGTGTCACCTCCACGCCCAACAGCCCCTACAACACCATTGACGGCAACTGGATCGCTGTCGGCGACAAACAGTACCTCAACTTCGGCTCCTACTGGCAGAACCTCTTCCAGGTGGAGCTGGCTGACGGGCTCAAAGTCAAGGAGGGCGCCACGCCACACCAGCTCTCATACAATGCCAGCGGCATCCACCGCCAAGAGGCGGCATTTATGTTCGAGCGCAACAGCTACTTCTACCTGACCTTCTCCGGGGGCGTGGCGCTGGGGTATAATGCGACCTGGCCTGCGCAGGGCGAGGAGTATCACATCAACGTGTGCAGATCAACGTCGGCCACAGGCGGATTCGTAAGTAGCTCTACTCGTCACTCTTTGAGGTTACTGCTAACGGCCTGCAGGTGGACAAGAACGGTGTCTCATGCCTGAATAGCGGGGGCTCGTTGCTGCTCGCCAGCCACGGCTTTGTGTATGGACCGGGCGGACAGTAAGTTGTGGTTTGCTCATTAAACTCAAGAATGTGGCTGATACTCGGTTCTCGCAGGGGTATCCTCGAAGACAGGAACAAGGAGCTTGTTTTGTATTATCACTACGCCGACACGCGCATAGGCAAGGCCGTCGAGGACTACCAGTTTGGATGGAATCAGTTGAAGTGGGAGAACGATTGGCCCAGTGTCTAGTCGGGTGATGACTACGCTGAGTTTATTTGTCAATAATGATAATCATAGATACTGACTTGTCTTCATCGAGCGGGTTTAACGGTGGAAACTGTTGTAAGAGATGATCTTTCTGCATGCGTGGGTTTTTAGTCAAGAACGAGGAATGCGGCGTGTCTCTGACACTGAAACCATGAGGGCATACTGATTACTGCCATGATCTATGATTCATCCCTTGCTGAGATACGACAATTAACGTGATGAATTATCTCTCCTTGCACAATGTGGTGTCTTCCTAGGTAGACAGTATTCAGCGAGCAGTCTTCTATAATTGATTTGATACAGACTCTACTCGACATCGTTATCCGGGGAAGGTACTGGCCCATGCTTCGCCTCCCACGTTGCTCTCTCAATTCCGAGTCTTCCCGTTTGACTTCGTGTTTCTCTGCCCATTCAAAAATGGCATCCTAATTGCGGCACTTTCTCTCAACCAGGAAATCTAGATAGGGCAGTGGGTTGGGATAGGCTTTCTCGGAGACATAGTTGAACGTCACTAGCTCACTTTCGGAGTGGCACATGATAATCTGACACAGGCAGTCAATGCAGGGCCTACGTGACTGATAGAGGTCGTCCGGCTTTTTAACACTTTAGAGTGATATAAAACCATTTGATAGATAGTTGTGTTTAGCTGCTGATATATATTCGCATTCAGCTCTATCCCATGAGCTGCCTCACGGTGCTATCAGAGAGGCGGCATGCCCGAAAACTGCTCAGCCCCCTCAATGGGACTCATCCAGCTTACGCGACTACTATTGTATATCTCTGCGTCTGCCTTGTATTGATTCAAAAAATCAATATCATCAAAGATCCCCGCACGGACAATTGTCACTTGATCCAGAACTCCAGAGGAGTGTATCTTCCGTCCATAGAGTGGTGTGCCTAGCAGTGTTATTCGTCAAATCCTTTCGAATCCGAGGATCAGTACTCCATACCACAGTCCGAACAGAAATAGTTTTTAATATAATTTCCGCTGTCTGATGTTTTTGCTATTTCCTTTGGGCTTCCAGAGATCTTCAGGTCCACCGTTTTAACAACAAAACTGCAGGTATAAAGAGCTCCAGTAAGTTTGCGACAGTCAACACAGTGGCATAATGCCTAGGAGAAAGAGAAGACAATTAACTGAACTGAGATGGTCAACTTTCAAGAAGATAGATACTAACAGTTTTGATAGGCTGGCCACTATATTGAACTCGGATCTTGCCACAAAAGCAGCCACCAGTCGCCATTTTCAGAGCACAGATGGTTGGATGTTATGAGTATACGGCGTGGAACAGCTTCTATGAAGAATATCTGTCCCTAATCCAGCAGCTACTGTATGTTTCTGACCTGGAGCAGGTGGCTATTTATACAAGCTGCAAAGCAAAGCTAAGGGCCGCTTACAAAGCTAGGAGAGCCCCCAACATAAGCGGGTTGGGTGTCAAAGGCCTCAACATTGATGTGTTGGGGATTTTCCTACGCAACGCAATGCCAATTATTTCTATAAGTCTCGATCCTTCTCTAACAAGCACATACGACCACAGGGTGTGGAGAACAGGGCTTCCCGTCCGCTCAGCCGTACTTAAGCCACACGCCGGCCGGTTAGTAGTTGGGTGGGTGACCACCAGCGAATCCCGGCTGTTGTATGTTTTTGTTCTTTTGCATGACTTTTTTGATTTTGTACAGGGGATGGAAAATCTTTTAGTCCATCCATCACTGCGAACAAGGAGAGTGCAGTGAAGTTGACTGCTAAAGTGAGTTGCTGCAGTATCATCACACCCACAATGGTCACTGGTGATAATTAGAGTATGAAGCCGTTGTCAGCAAAACATGCTTGCTCTTTCCTTTGGATTTCCCTTGATTATATCTATCTTCGGAGTGATATCACCACCTGTTGTTATATACCTTCACATTCTCCTCGAGTATCACTATCCGCCCGAATCTCCACAAGCCTCCAAGTATCCCATAAATCCGGAAATCCTGTGAACCGGAGGATATCATCACGGGAAATTTTACAGACTATTCCCGTAACAATTGCTCCTCTGTCAACAAGCCACTGTGCAATCCGAGGCCGGTTTTCATTCAGAGCCATGCCCTGGCGACCATAGAACTTGTTTGTGTCAAGTGCGAGATTGAAGAGCTCAAAATGCGCTACCCCCAAAGTGTTAGCTGTGTGGGAAGCCGTTTCTAGACCACATGAGAACCACTGGCATGTGTGTTCATACCCTGAGTCCTGGTGACTTGGACTCTTAGAGAAGTATCCATGTACGCGCATATACTTCATGGAAATTGCCTGCAGACATTGGTCAATGGTCATTTTGTTCGAAACCGCCCTGGCTTATTGCCCTTGATGATGGGGGAGAACTAACAAACTGACCAGTATTTTCCATTTGCTAGAGGTTCTCAGCAACTTGAAACAAGACTGCGGACGATCTATTGAAGTGTGTAATGTGTAGGGTGTGGGTAAGTCCATTCTCGGCATGATCATTGTGGTTAGGTAAACCCAGTAAACCCATCCAAAAGGGATGTTTTATTCTTTTAATGAGCAGTGGCATGGGATGATACTTTCTTCCCCCTCTCTTAGGGGTCGCTCCAGGCCCCTTAGGTTCTTATAGCCAGGCTATCTAGGCTCTATGGGCCGCTCTAGGCTCAATCATATTCATGTTAGCCCCTGGGGGTGGTCATCATCAGGGTCTAAAATGGATATCCACAGCCCAATGTGCATGAGTCTTGAGATCAGATTCCTACGTAAGCCCTCTGCAAATTGACCTATAAGGCTATATCTGATCCATTGCCAGTCTAGTAACAGGGTTGTAGCAGAATCCTTCTGTATCTGGGAAAGTACGCTTACATGGTAACAGAGACACTGCACAAAATTACGCAATACATATAAAGCTGGAAGTTTCTCTAAGAAACTACTAATATGCTAGAGACCGATAGCCACCTCTAGTATACTCCCGCATGTCAGCTTACTTGCTCAGTTACTTCCTGGCAGCTGACCACATCACAGCCTACAGAATATATAAAGATTAACTAATGCCTAATCTGCCCCGATACGTCTCATAACACAAGCAGAATCTAGTAAGCAGGCTAAGCTAACCCAAGCAAGCAGTGGTCAGATGCAGGTGTCAGTATTGGATTCAAGGCTAGTCAAAAATCACTCAATGGCTGATCATTCGTGACAGTCAAAGCCAGATTCCAGGCTTCTTGCCAGTCCATTACGCGGCTCTGGTCGTAGAAGAAACGCTGCAGAACTACTTCAATCTCATCAGAGAACCGATGGAGGGACTTGTTCCCTATGGACCTCCTCAACAACGCCATTTGGTCATCGTGAGCGATCAACGTTTTATTCCGCGGTATTGCAATGACGGTGGACATCCACATCATACAGTCGGCGAGGGGTGGCAAAGCCCACAGCTCTGTAGATGAAGAGAGCAATTGGGCGCGCTGTTTCGTCTGACGGAAGATGACTGCACATGGATGCGTACCCATGGAGCTGAGGTCATCCGCTAGACATAATAAAGCCGTGCTGATACATTCCTCAAGCCGATTTTCAGGTTGGAAATTTGAGTATCGCCAGCTTTCCCGATTGGTAGGCTGTGTGCCCATCCCCTGAACAAACCAAGAGGAAAAGTTCCCAAGTAGGCTTATCATCTTTTCCGCAAGAATGCCGCGTCGAATCAGGTCTGCGAAGCCAGGGGGTAGACCCTTCATCCTCATTTCTAGTTCCCGCGCTGAAGATGGAGAAGGCAAACAGGTTGCGGGGGCTGCAAGTGCATTGCTATATTGAAAGAGATTGCTCTCTAAATGAAATTCAACCATCTTCTTGCTTGTAAGCACCAGCATGGCCGTGGACAGATATGTCGCAACTGAGCTGGGATCCAGGTTGGAGCGCGACCGCCTGGGAGTATTGTGGGCTTCGCGGATTTTCATGACGTCTCGAAGTCCCTTTAGATGCGCCGGCCGATACTCACTAAATCCAAGATACTCATCCACCGAAATCATGATACAGATGGTTTGAATGAGTACATCATCCACCTGGCGCCTGGAGAGTCTGGAATGCACAGCGTCCAGCAGACGCTGGCGATGGTACAGAATCGCTTCATCTGTCGATCGCGTATGATTGTGGTTTTGCAAGAGACATAAGCTGAACGCTACCAGACTGTGCATTATCGCATTTTGCTCGAGAGTCCATGCAAGAAGCTCAGTGGTGTAGGAGTGTTCCTCGGCCCCTCCCATACCGACAACTTTTGCATCACAAGGAACAAGAACATCGAAATCTAAAAGCGGATTAACCAATAAGTTCAGCCTGATTGGTCACGGACGAGAAGACGAAGCGCAAAGGAGTAATAGTAATGATTAATTATCATGCAGGGCAAGGACGAGCCGGGAATCAAAGCACTTGAGCTTACAGTAACTGAGCCCGTGAAAGACAAGCGGTCCCCGGGAATCACCCTCCAGCCCACTGATAGGATAGAACCGACTTTCTGCAATGGAAGCTTTAATTGAAGGAACAATAGGGCCAGCCGCTGTCAGCCGCGCCACGTTTTCGGGCCCCTGGCCCTCGTCCGCCAGCGGTTTCTGATGCTGGCGACGGCCCCTCGCAGGGAGAGGTGAGTCAGGGGTTTGAAACCAATCTAGAATCCTCATGCCATCGCTTGATTCTCGAGCTGCGTTAATATTATCAACCCTATTGTGAAGGCGACGCCTGTCACTAGCATTTACAGCAACAATAGTGTTGATCACCCGGCGCGTGTTGTGGTTACACTTAGAAGATGGTGTGGTGTAGGGGATAAACATGGTTTCATGCGCCCAGGAGAATATAGATAGCCACCTTATCTGTGTGAAGTCGAGGCATTGCCAATGAAAATAAAAGTTTAATCGCAAGACATGGGGGGCATTGATGGATTCTGGATGTTCAGGATAAGGACGTGGCGTAGTGAAAGGGAGGTGCTACAACTACACCCGCTAAGCCTATTCGGGCGAGAACCAGTACAAGACACGATGGGCAGGCTTACGGAGTAGTGGTGACTCAGGGATAGTGAGTGGGCTTAGTGAACGGGTGTAAGCATAGTGGACACAGGTGCTAGGCTTGGGTGTGGCTAGTGCGCGTGCTCAATAATGGTTGTGAGACCAGTGAACATGGCTAGTTAATTGTCCTGCATCGGATACTTTGGTCATGGGCCAAAAGGTGCCAACTCTATCTGCATCTAAACATCATGAGAAATTCAAAAGACCAGTGCGTCATATCTGCATTTTAGATCTGGCATGGGAGCATATGGGGATGTTGGCTGATGGTAGATCTTGGTTCTCTACTGCCAAGAATTATCAATTCGGCAACCCTAACTAAGACAACGAAAAACAAAAACAAGAAAATTAAAAGGACAAAAAAGATGGACTCGCCGGGAATCGAACCCGGGACCTCTCCAAGACTCAGTGTATGCGAATGGAGCGTTATACCCCTAAACCACAAGCCCTTCTTGTTGTGAATAACCTTTATCTCGTTGTATATATACCAACAACCTTGTCATCAAAACATTCAATCCTGCTCGACAAACATGTACGCATCAGCTCCATGGATACCTTATGGCTTTGTTTCAATGATAAACCTTCTATCACAAATTATGAAATGGCCATCAAATGAATATAGTTTCAATGCAAGGTGGAAACACTGGGAACAACCAGATCTTCGAGGGTGTTGTGATGGGTCAAGCACGATTATATATATTTTGATTGGCCAAGAAGGAGTTGGGATGTGTGCATTCAAGGAACAACATATAGTAGATAAACTACTACCAAAGACATCATCCTTTACCGAAGAAACAATCAAGCAGTACCACCTGTATCATGCTGAACACATAGCACCCTATCCAGCGAGAAATCACCCATAGATCAGCAAAGCAAAAGGAAAGCAGGATCACCCATCAATTAAGGTATTATGACAGACAGACAGCATTTTTCTCTCCATTTCAACCACCACCATGATTGGATCCAGGATATCGTTACGCATCACCTTAACCTCAATTCACCTGCTCTCTACCATGTACCAGAAACGAAAGATTGGCTGCAGGGTAGCTTCAATGTCTGCATCCCTGTCGCTATCAGCGGTGTGACCATCCCACGTCTATATGGGGTTGCCCTTACAACCGGCGAGACGGTACAATATATGATTCCATCTTCTCCTCTACTGGCCTGACTGAATCTGATTTACTCGTCTTGAAAACCTGCCACGCATATATCGATGGGTTCAGGTCACTCGGCGTTGTATTCCCTCATGGCTAGGGTGGCAATTGCCCTCCCAATATGTCCCTAAATGCAGTGAACATCCTCGGAGACTGTATTTTCCAGCTATCCTCACTCCGGGATGCGGACACTCCTCAAATCCCCATCGAGAAAGATTTTCGGCGTGGACCATTCGTTCTCACCCTGACAGACATGCACCAAAGCAAAATATTCGTTGATGCAGACTGGAATGTGACATATCTGGTAGATTTGGAGTGGGCTTGCTCGCTGCCCGATAGAAATGATCAGAACTCCACATTGGCTCACAAATAAGAGTGTAGATAAGCTGGTACCACCTGAATACGATGGGATTCAAAAAGAACTCATGGATATCCTGAGTACTGAAGAGACAACATTGACGACTTTGGGGGCTGATACCTCTAGCAATCCCGCCGGCGATTGCTGCGATATCTGTGCCCGATGACGCTGAACGTAAACTGGGATATTGAGCTGAAGATTATGCCGGTACTGCCAAAAACCTGGGTTCAGTCGTTTGGCTTGCCCCCAGAAGAGTAGCTGACGCCGTTGCCGTCGCCCACGCCAACGAATTTGATGATGAAATTGATGAGCTCTCCAACAATGTTGTGCTCACGGTCGACGATGCTGTTGATGATGATACCGTGGCTGCAGGAAGGGCAACTACATCGGCAGTTCGCTCAAGAGGTCAAGAGGGATAAAGATGGTATTAGGAAGAAGCTCACCATTAGATCCACGAACAAGAATGGACAATGCAGTCTCTCCCTTCGGCAAGACCTCAGTCAGTGTGGCGCAATCCACAAACCCATTCGAATTAATCTCGAAGCCCTTTGCATCTTGATCACAGCAGAAACAGTCGACCGCAAGGTAAAGATTCCAGGTACTTTTTGCACATTGTTTTTCCTTGGGCGACGGTCGAGTCTTCCAGCAAATCCGCCAGTAATTTGGAGAGAGCTGACGAGATGGAACGATGTCTTTCCTGAGGGATATAAGAGGAGAATGTGATATGCTAGAAGGGCGATGGCAAGTGAAAGATCACAACTTGAAATCGGGCCTCTTGATTGTCTGTTCCTACTGAGTGGGTGCTTGATAGCTGAGATTTCGACATTCGTCCAATTCAGTAGTTTCACCTTCATTCCAGATAGTCAAGAGCACACCATCAAAAACAGTCAAATCCCTAAAGGACAAGAGCAAAAAAACATACAACAGCCGGGATTCGCTGGTGGTCACCCACCCAACTACTAACCGGCCGGCGTGTGGCTTAAGTACGGCTGAGCGGACGGGAAGCCCTGTTCTCCACACCCTGTGGTCGTATGTGCTTGAAGTCAGGAGTAACTGGAATATAGAGAGCAGAATATGACGAGGTTTGAGTGACGTCTCCATATATAATTACATTCTGCTTTGCTGAGAAGAAGGGTAGACACCTACCACAGAGATATCAACCAATACTAGAGCAATAATCTGACAGTACCACTGCTACTTAGGGAAATACAGCCTGTCCCAATGAGATAATCACCTATACCTCTGCCAAAGGACCTGAAAGTGTCAGTCCTCTCCCAAACTTAACCAACACTATGACCTGATCCGGAATGTATTGTTGCACAACTATATTAACCTTATTTCCCATATATCATGGTATCGATGATTTGTCTCCATGATAAGACCATTTTCCGAAGTAGTGACACAACATGAAATAAGTCTACTGGCTCCCTCGACAGCTAGTCCCTAAGGAGTGGACGGAAATCTGGCCCGCAGCCTCGACTCCAAAGGAAGAAGAGAAAACATGTGGATATTGATGTCTAATTGGCACTAGTTGCCAAGTCCTAAAGATGCTGAACCAAGCCTAATAGGGACTCAAACAGGGTGGCCACTGCTAGTGATTCATCTACGGAGTAAATGTGTGCTGAAGTGCTAATAGAGATTTAATGGGAATTTATATATTGACTACCTTGTCATTGGACCCCCATCTAAACAGTGACTTGAGAAGAAAGAATAGATAGAGTATAGGCATCGAGGCAACGGCCCTTTTTGGACTGTCGCAACTCGCAACATAGCTGTTGAGTTTGACCACTAGTAGGTTAGCCTGATCCATTCAGATGCTAGGTAAGTTAGGTTCGTGTAGTGTGTACTACTACTACTAGTCCATAAGGATCCTGATCAGAAGGACCCAATGGCCGCCAATCTTGATTGGACTGTCAGCTTCAGAACCTCTATCAGTAAGCCTTATGGTATCTACTGAGTTCCATGACTGGCGCCATATTAGTTTATTGCACAAAGTCTGACGCCTGACGCTAGACCTTGCTTTCTCTTGATTGCATGCAACAAGGCAATTGTCCCAATTTTAGATGGTTAAGAGATAACCACAAATCATCACATCATCATAATTGTACGCTCTGCACCTATATATATATATATATATACATTGACTCAATCACACAGGGTTTTTAGGGCTGTAGTTCAGCTCTTCCAGCTGGGTCCGTCCCTGAAATGACACCCTCGTTTGGTTGGAGGCCTTCCCCACGAGTGACCAGGGTTCTCATTGCTTCGGCTTGCGCGATAATATCCTTATGGGCAATTCTGAAACTCCGATATAATGCACCCGATACACGGGCGTCTCCCCTGGTGCTCCATGGCGATCAAGAGATGCCCCCAAACCAAGAAGCAGAGAATTCGAAACCGCCCAATACGGAGATGGGCATCGAACCGGACCTGTCACATCCGAGATATGCCTTTGCGACAATACTTACAGGCGGGAGTAATCGCGAGGCCGACTTGAAAGATCCTTATTTTATCGCAACTCGCTTACTCACCTACCAACTGCTCCATAGCCCACAAACACGAAGCAGCGCCGATATCCCGTTCTTAGTACTGGTCACCAAGGATATCTCGCAGGACCGACGGGATCTACTGAGCAGAGACGGCGCCATTGTTGTACCGGTGGAAAGTTTTTCTCGCGAATGGATCCATCCAAAGTGGGAGCGATGGAACGACGTGCTTGCCAAGCTGAATTTGTGGAAACTCACCGAGTATGAGAAGATCACGTTTTTGGATGCGGATTCGGTCATCTTCGAACAACTTGATGGCATCTTCACACACCCAGCCACAACAATACAGAAGACGAGACCCTCGACACCTGCTGTGAATATGACGGGTCTCTTGCCGGATGAATACATGATTGCCGGGATCCACGATACCTGGGTGGAGGTGGAGCTACCTCCCGTCCCGGGAAAAGAATTCTACGCTCGTGACAACTATATGAACGCTGGCTTTTTTGTATACTCTCCGTCGGAGGCAATCTTCAATTACTACCTGACTCTTCTCGATCAGCCGGAGCTTTTTGACCCAACGTACCCGGAACAGAACCTTTTGAACTACGCTCATCGAGTCGACGGACGCATGCCATGGCAGGATATCGGTGCAGGCTGGAGTGAGAAAGGTGGCCGGCCCCAAAACTACGAGAATGGGTTGAAGTCACTCCACCAAAAGTGGTGGAGTACATCCTATGATAAGGCACTTGACGAGCGCATCGCCAGCGTAATGGCAGAATTCAAAGACTACCTGGGGAAGCTGGAAGGAGGAAATACGGAAATTGTATCCCTATGAGGAGTTCAAGCTGGCGCAAAATTTAAAGTGTAGTATATGATTGTGACCCGACGCTGGCAGTCTATACCTTGACCTTTGAGTATATAGCCAAGGGATCGAGCAAGCCAATGTTGCATATTGGATAAAGTGAGAATTTCGCCTCGCGGAATTGTGGAAGCACTCACGGAGGTCACAGCCATCAGAGTGTAGAGACGAGCAGTAACCTTCATTGTGACAGAGGGGTTGGTTTTATGAACTGAGATGTTTCTGTCGGAACTTGAGTTGTGCAGGAAGGCTTGATGTTCAAGAGTACTGAGTTTCTGGGGGAGCCATCGACATATTTGTGCTTCTTCAAAGCAACGGTCAAGTCATCTCTCTAGTCTCATGCCCTAGAAGTTAACCCGGAGTATGAGCGACGGTAAGCAGACGCTGGTCAATGAAACCAGGATTATCCATTCTCCTGAACAAGCTGTATAGTAAAATCCCTGCCTGGCTGCCTGGCTCCGGCCTACAAAGTTCAGATACGGAGAATGACACGGGCAGGAGATTTTCTTAGATTGAGAAAGAATCAGTCCGCTCAAGCCGTTCTAACAAGGTCTCACCAACAATCAATGACCGACAGCTTGAGCTAACCTCGCACACTGTGCAGCAGTGGTTCGATGACCAACAGATGCTAGATTAAACGTATGGATCCGAGTAAGCTTACTCTATACCAACGGCCTCAATGCAGGGAAGTAATAGGGTTATCGTAAGGGGAAATTCAGCAAATTGTGTTGTCTGAATGAACTCAACCTTCCGTAGGTTATTTTCTGATCCCACACTTCTAAGGTTACGCATCTTGGCGTAGCTCAGATCCACCTTGTCCGATGTATACTGTGTAGGTTGTCTTACTCACAGGATGCAGTCTGTTTTTAATGCGTACTCCCCATGCTGAAGGCTTCCAGTATCAGTCAAGTATAGTAATAGAGCAGCCGGGCAGCTTCCTGACATTACCCTAGAAAAAGCTATTACGATGTGTTCAAATGATAGATTTAGCAATTGTCTAACCGCGTTCCACAGAATATGACAGAAATTTCATTGCAGGAATTTCAGGGTAGTCACATACATCGTCAGGACTCAGGCGTCCAAGCATTGATAAATGACACGACCATAGTGTTTTGATTTGCATGAGTGGGGCATCAGATATTGTAGATTGATCGCCACATACTAGGGAATACAGGCAATGAGTCGATGCCATACTCCGTAGGGCCAACAGCTATTTTGAACATCGATTGGTCCGTGAAGACTCCATAAGGTACTCGAAGGAAATCGGACGGGATGTCCACGCGTGTGAGGCCACCCATCGGGGGTTAGTACTCCAGTAAGCATGCGGAATTGGCTCCTTTGTGTCTTACATGACCAGCTTATTTTCGCTCAATGCATTGAGGTAATATATATTAAAATACCATTCCCGACTTCTGGCGGGAGAGTATCTAGAACGCATACCCAGCTGTTGCTTTCCTCAGGGAGTCTTCGGTCTCGTTAAATATCCAATGAGACATGTGGTGTCTTTTATTTGGGGAAGACATTCAGCAAGGGCTGCTCGAGGAGGGTATAGAGAAAGAAACAAACCGGTGTTGGACAAGGAGTCTTTCTACTGTGATTGAATGATTGTGAAAATAGCAATAGTCATATGACTGTTGGGGCAATAGCTGGATAGGGCTACGTTGACTGGAGGTTGACTTCTAATCGCGTTGATGATACTGACTGAAGGATGGTTTAAGTGAACCGGAAGGCTGATTGTCGCGCTATGTGGCTGTGTGTGAATTAATAAGATCCAGAGTTTGAAATGACAGGATACTCAAATTGGGGGCAAGCTTCAAAGTCAAAGTGTTGTCTGTATACTGGGAGATAGCAAGACAATGTCAAATGACATGAGCCATTTGTCCACGCGAACTGACTGTGACACTCTTCTCCTCGAGGACTCCAAGACATCAGTACATTATCAACTCATCCTTGGGTTGGTCGCCGGTTTTCCACCTCTCAAGCACGACTTTGACACCCTGAGCCACTTTCACTGCGTAGTCCGGGCCTGGAGCTCCCACAGGCACGTCCGCTGGATTACCCGCGATCCAGGCAACAGGCTCTTTCGCACTGGCGCCGAACCTGTCCTTGAGCGCCTCAACTTGTTTGGGCTCAAAGCCGCGACCAAAAATTACTGCCCGAGCGGGTCTGGTGTAATCATGGGTGCCGACATCGTTGGGGTTCTGCGACTGGGGGTCGCGACCTGTGAGGAGATGGGGGAGCTCTGCTTCTGCTGCTTCATAAGACTGGATGAAATGTATGACTGGAATCCCATTAGACACAAGACAGGGTAGTTTCTGAAGAAGAGCATGTGGTACCCTCGTATTCAGGGAGCAGAACCTGGGAGACGGGTCCACCGATTGCGGTTTTCCTGCCGCATAGGACGACAGGCGTGGGTTGAGTACGTGTAGACATGGTGCGGTACGCTTGCGTGGCACTGAATAGGGTGCTTCTGAACATGAGAGCAACGATGCGCCTACCAGAGCGAATCCGAATTGATTCTCTCAGCTCCTTTATATATTCTTAATGCCTGCGACTGATTCCTATTCCCCACATGAGGGGTTTAGACCAACATCGGACATCTTTGTGGCCGACTGCCGATGATTTCGTAAGCTGTAAGCCTTAGTGTATTCTGGGCTGATAGGCAAAGAGATCCATTCTCTTGCTTACTCCGTACGGAGTAGACAGAATCTCACTTCCATAGCCTTCCCAGAATATACAGGGAAGCTCGCGCGTGAAAGATAAAAAAGTTATCATGCTCAAGTTTCGTTCGGCATACCGTCTGATACTGTGCCTGATCTCTCCTAGTACGTATAGGGTCTGTTTGGAGAGACTCTCGAGGAGGAGGATTCGCTGTCGTAGGCCTGGTCCAATGGCGCCCAAGGACGCTATTGCTTCATTTCTGCAGATTTTCAAAGTCATTGCAGTCCGATCCTCGCGGTAATCGTGGCATGTAATAGTGGTTTTCTCTATGCGAGGAAACTCGGGGATATGGCCTGTTTTGATGTGTCCAAAGGCTTCTGCCCGCATGTTGAAGCACCCGCTCATACGACGAGGAAGTCGATGATCGTTCCTGGGTATGTATCGAGGACATCGAATACGCTCAAGAACAGTGTGAGCAAGATCTCTATCTAGGCAGTGGACTCTGGGGTGCTGTCGCGACTGGTGCCAATCTTGAGCAAAGGATAGATGCACTGGCGATGGAATGAGCATCGCTGGAGTCACGGCAGCTCACACGCATGACCCCGTCGTTGAGTCTGGTAGCGGAATTGCCTCTGGAAGCTTGTTATGTGTGACTGAGTCCTTCGAGTGCAGTGGAGGCCTCGTTGGTTCTCTGACTGCATATTAAAGTTGCTTCTGTGTTGTTTGGCCCTGACAGAAAGTCGTTTCTCTGCTCATCGGTCGGTTCGACAGCATGACAAAATCGTTTGAGCCATTGCGATCGATCAATAGAAGTAGGAATTACCCCCGTCCTATTTCCAGCGTCTCTTGATATCCCATCAATCTATTCTTCTTTCCCCAGTTTTTATGTTGTGGTATGTGAGTCACACGAGGCTTAATGTGCAAAGCTGGGTCTGTCCGGGTTTGAGTACGAAACACCGTCTTCCTCGTCGCATTGGTATCGTTCAGGAGATCTATTCAACTCCACTGGATTCCTGTTAATCCTCGGATGCTACGTTGGCATCCCGAACAAAGGTCAGATCTTCTTGACGGGTTGGACGGAGGGGCGCACTGGGACGTGTATATACTAGGTTCGCGAAGTATATCCAATCCACATTTCAAATTAAACTCATTAGGGTATATACATGAACGCTCTCCAGGAATGGGTTGCAAAAAAATGACCTCCTACAGAACGAAGGCTACACCAAGCAAGCCGGCAACACCAGCAAGGCTCATCGCAACCGCACCGGTGGCAGCAGGGGCCGCATTGGGAGACGAAGTCGGAGAAGTAGCGGCGGAGCTCGAGGACCCAGAGCTAGAGCCAGTCTTCGAGGCCGGGGTGTCGGTGGTGTGAGCGTCGGAGTGGGTCGCGGTGGAAGATCCAGAGGCTGTCTCAGCGGGACCAGCAGTGGTGCCCTTGGTGGAAGCGTCACTGCTAGAGCTGTCGGAGCCAGCCGATGGGGTGGCAGTAGCCTCGACGCCGAGATCGCCCAGGGCGGCGGATGTAGCCCAGGCCTTGACACTCTCGGGCAGGCTGGAGTACCAGGCAGGGTAGGTGCCGTGCTCAATATCGTTGACGATGGAGGAGACGGAGGTTGGGTTGGCCATGGCCGCGATCCAGGTAGAGGGGACGGCGGTTGCCAGGACGTTCAGGATGGAGCTTGGAGCAGAGTCGTAGAGTGACAGGAGGTCGCTTGTGTCAAGGCCGGAGGAGTCAGCGGTGCCCGTATTCTGAGGCGCGGGGGAAGCCAGGGCCAGGGAGGCGAGAACGAGAGGAGCGAGGGTCTTGAACTGCATGATTGCGGTGATTGAGTTAAGGTGAGATAGTGGCTGGTATGACACAGAGAATAATATCGATATTCGGTAGATCGAGACAGTGAAAGAGGACCGACTGGTGAGGAAGAAGAGCAAAGAAGCTGTTGTGCTCTATTTATGGCAGAAGGTCTGATAGAGATTAGAGACCCCCTTTTTTTCCCGTCCCAAGTACGCCCCAAACCCCAGCAGAGTCAGCACTAACAAGTAACCGGCCTAGACTACGCGCCATGCAAAGTTAAACATGCCACTAACGTCTTGTCCGAGGGGAAGCGGACCAATCCTCGGATCTCATTTCTCGTCTAACCTTGTTCCAGATTCAGCTGGCGGCCCTGAACGCTTCTTGTTTTGGGATTATTTTAGTTAGAGACTGAGGCTCTGCATTCAGGGGGTCAATGATCAATCCCATGATCTGATTTTCTGTCTGTGCTGGTCTGCGAGGAGCTGGAACTGGAAGTCTGGACAGGATCTCAAACACGCACTGGAATAGAAAGATCAGAGGTTTGATTCAGAGGTGCCTACAGTGTTACACGGCATGTAAGGGACAGCTCTGAAACCTCGAGAGGAAGCATGTCCAGAAACAAGGGTTTTGCCCAGCCACGGGCCCACGAGGCATCGCCCCGTTCGAGGGCTCAGCCATGCACACTGCACAGCCTTTTTTTTGATTCAACGATCAGAGTGGAAAAAGAAAAAAAAAAAAAAAAAGAAAAATCATCCTCGAGATGATGTCGAATTGGTTACCTAGTTTTATGCAGGCTAATAAACATAGCGAAAATTCTTGTTCTCCCGATCGGTCAACCCGGCCCATTTGGTCTCATCCTGTGCGAGTTGCTCTTCTCCTCCGTTGGCAGTCACGGACTGCTGACGGTCTCGGCGCTTATTTTCCCACACATAATAGAGGAAGAGAACTACCGACAGCACCGATGCACCAGCCTGAGTGGCTAGCACCGCAATCTTGGCGGGACGATAGTCTGGAGCGTCGCGTGCCTGGAAGGTCTGAGGCCCGATGATGTTGCCGACCGAGAAGGAGCCGGCGACCAGCGCACTCGCAAAGGCACGTTTGGTATGTCCGGCACAGTTCGCAGTGGTCCACTGATACAGAATGGGGAGGGTAGCGACGACCGCATTGACCAGATAGATTCCGATTAGGACACCGGCCTTGTTGTGCTTGGGAAGGAAAGAGAGTAAACCGCCGCCGATGATTCCAGGAATGGTACAGGCGATGAGCCAAGCCCACCGGTGCGACACACGACGGATCCCGATCCCGACAAGAAGAGTGAAGAAGATGCTCACAATGCCGGAGGGCATGTTCAGCAGGGCTGCGTGAGGGCCAGTGAAGCCGAATCCCGCGATCAGGGTAGCGGAGTAGGATGTGACCACACCACTGGAGACGGAAATCTTGAGAGGTGTTAAAAGCTTCGTTATGACAAAGCGGGACGAGGACATACCAGCATGGTGATGAGCATGAGCAGCCATAGTTGCACATCAAACAGGGACTGCAAGATCTGTCGCGGCTTGAAGGCACTGCTCCACACACCCGTCTGATTGACACTGACGTGATTTAGAAGCGCCACCTTCTCGCGCTCGCTCAGCCACTTGGCCTTCATGGGGGTATCGGGGAGGAAGATAAAGGCCAAGGCACCGACGACGGAGGTGATAAGCCCGAGAACAAGGAACATGATGCGCCAGCCTTCGAAGGAGTGTTGTACGTGCTGAAACCCAAAGGAGATCAGACCGCCGAGGATCTGCGCGACACCCAAACCGAGATACCAGAGGGTAAACCGCGGTGCCTGCTCACTCTTGTTGTAGTACTGGCTGCTGAGCAGCATCAGCGACGGACCAATAGTCGCTTCGAAGATACCGAGGAAGATGCGCGCAACGAGCAGAGTGCGATAGTCGCGGGCACCCGCAGAGGCAGCTGAAGCAACACCCCAGAAGAAGACGTTGGTTCCCAGCCACTTGGCAGGGGGAACTTTTTGAAGAAGAACAACTGGGAGCCAGGTGTGAGTATGGGGCCGATGACAGTTTAGTTAGGGAGCATACCATTGGGGACTTCTGCAATCAAGTACGCGATGAAAAACCATGTCGCGGCATTTGTAAAGTCATTTCCTACCAGCTTGAGATCTGACCTAATTCCCATCACAGCTGCATACTGGCAGTCTTCGTTAGATGCATGTCATCGATGGGGGAGGATGAAACTCACGTTGAGCATGACCTTATCAAGGAACTGCAGGATGTAGCAGCAGAACATAAACGGAATGATGCGGTAGTCGATCTTCCGTCGCAGCGCCAGGAGATCGACAGTCTGCTCATCCTGGACGTTGGCATGTTCGTGCAGATATTCAAGAGCATCGTCGCGTTGACCAGCAACCACGCGAGCCTCTATATCAGCCTGCTTCTCGGCCATCTTTGAGATACAGAAAAGATCTACAGAAGCAGAGGAAAGGAGAGAAAGAAAGACACTTAACACGTCAGAATCTTAAAAGGAGGGGGTGGTGTAACAGTGCATTTTCAGGAGCAACGTGGATGCTGCTGGCCAGGGGAAGATAAATACTTGCAATGCATACACGGGAGAGGGGCAAGGATGAAAGAATGCAAGATGCAAAATTGACCCAATCCCTATACTCCTTATTCGACTCGATCGCTATGCTACGACCAAATGGAGTTAAACATGCCGGAGGAATGGCACGTTCCGGCCAGGGATCCTAGTCTAGCGTCTCGATATTCGCCAAGGGCTTACATCTAGATGCTGATGGAAGGATGCACGCATGACGCTAGGACTTAGTTTGAGCTACTACATGAAGTGAAACTTGCAGGCTAGCAGCAGAAGGAAAGAGAGACCCGCGGCCAATCTCATCGAGATCCGCTATCATGTTACTTTCACCGGGGGATATTATAAACCGGGCTTGGCTGTCTGCTACTCACACAGTCGTCTCCATATCAGACACAAAGTACAAACCGTCATGCACCTCAACTTTTTTCTTTCTCTTGTTTGATCGTCTCCTACTCCGTATGTGATCCTCACCATGGGCTGGGTATACAATGCGTCTCCCGAGGTAGAGGCCCAGTGCAAGTACCGCGTCATTCTCGGGGTGTGCATCAGTCTGACGGTGTTGATGGTTCTCACCGTTTGTTTGCGACTCTTTGTGCGAGTGAAACTGGGGAGGTTTGGCGCAGCCGACTATGTGATGGTGTTTGGCATGGTATGCGCATCGTATATGCGAGGTTCTGGGAGTCCTATCTCACTTTCGCCAGATCTTCAGCATCATTTACAACGGGCTTTGCATAGCTCGTAAGAACTTCTCCACATCATGAGTGGCACTTTCGCTGACAGCTGCAGAAAGCCGATACGGATTAGGTCTTCCTTTGGCAACACGCCCGAAAGAAAATCTCCCCATTTACACCAAGGTATATCATTCCATTGTTGTGGCTCTTTTGACAGCTTTTGACCTGGACCAGCTCAACTATGCCGGTCGGCCCATCTATCAACTAGGAATTGCAGGGTTTAAAGCAGCTTTGTGTATCAGCTACCTTCACCTACTCTCCAAAACCTCAAAACGGTTCTATCGGAAGCTCATCTGGGTCGTTATTGTTGTCTCGACTCTGGGACACATTGCTGGCGCACTTGTTCTGATACTCAACTGCCAGCCGGTAAGGCCCTCGCAGTCAATCCACGATACTTGATAACCTGTCTAACCGCTGATTGCCATAGGTACGCCGGTCTTGGGACCCGACCACACCCGGAACCTGCCTCCCAGTAGGCCCTACCTTCTACGGCCTCGCGATCTTCACCATTGTCTGCGATGTGGTCATCATCTTCCTCCCGATCCCACTGCTGCTTCAGCTGAACATCAAGCCGGCACAGAAGGCGGGTGTGGTGTGTCTGTTTCTCCTTGGGCTGTTCACTACGATCTGTTCGATTCTGCGATTGACGCAGATCCACCGGGTCGTGGCGGTCGATGGAGACTCGACCATGTTGGTTTTATGGGGAACCATCGAGTTCAATATCGGAGTGAGTACCGGGATCATCTGAACCGAAGGGGCCAGTATTGACTGTCTAGAATATCGTCACCTCGCTCCCATTCCTGACTCCCCTGCTCAAAGTGTTTATCCGCGACTTTCGATCTCGCAGTGGCAGTGAGTACCGTAAAAACATCTACACTCTGCAGTCCTTCTCCAAGGGGCAGCGTTCACAAGCCAAGTCGGAATACTCGAAGGAGCCGATGGTGGTCAAGCGAACTCCCAGTGAGGAACTGATCCTGGATAGCGATGATTTGGGCCAGAGACGGGACGCCGAAATACACATTACAGTGGAGTACCGAGTCTCGCTCGAGCAGAAGTGAGATGTAGGTAGGCCATTTTCGTGTACAATAATAGCAATATTGTTCGAAACTTCGAATAAATTAAGACATTCCGCGATTTCCTCGGTGGAATTCGCCATCTAACCATGAACCTTGATCAGCCGTTCCCACGCGGGCCACGCCTCGTAAGTGCGGGAAAGGCCCACCTATCATATGATCATATCTAGCTTCCAGATGGGTGAAAATCCGAGGCTTAAGTCTGCTAATATGATACTAAAGCGACAGGGATTTGCCGCTAAAAAACTACCCGTCTGGTCGACTAAGCCCGTAGTGGGAAGGGATGCCGCTGTCCCGGCATACCTGTAACATTCTAAGACATCGTCTGATCCAATAGCCGTATAAGAATCTTAGACAGGCGGTTTATTACCTCGTTTAGCTTTGTAAGTTGTAAGCATCATTAGGCCGTTCCAATAAGTTCAATAGCACATCCATGCAGGTCGCTTCGAAACGTCCGTACCGCAGCCGGCGTAACCAGTCGATGATGAAACCATGCATGAGAAGGGATGAAAACTCTGCTCTACTACGTAAGCCCATTAACCGATTGCCGTTCATTTCCGGCCGCTGATTATTATTGTTCAGTTGCCAGGATACCCCTGAAATGGATATCATGCGAGAATCTCGACTTGAATGCAGGGAGGGTCCCCGCACATACACGACTTATTGTCAGGGTTGCGGTATTATCCCACCATGCCATACAGGCTGAAGGAGGGAAGGGGAAAAAAGGGTGCTGGGCTGCTTACCCCCTCCTGTTCTTCAAAGGTTTTAACTCGGCTACTCTGACAGGAACAGCCCCCGATGTCCAAAAGTCAGTCGAGTGCCACCATGTCTGATCTCCCAGTCCTCATCATCGGCGCAGGGATCAGCGGCTTGACCCTGGCCCAGTATTTGCACAGATCAGGCGTTCCCTTTCTTATCTTTGAACGGGATTCTTCTATCAATATCCGTAGTGGAGGATGGGGTCTCACTCTCCATTGGGGACTGCCGATCCTGCGGGACCTGCTGCCCCAGGAGATCGTAGCACGGTTACCCGAGTGCTCTGTGAACAAAGAAGCATCTGACAAAGGCGATGTTGGTCGATTCCCGTTTTTCGACCTCAGTTCAGCATCAGCGCTGTTCGAGGTACCCGCTGCGGAGAGAGTGCGGGTGAACCGGGGGAGGTTGAGGGAGCTGTTGACCACGGGAGTTGATATTCAGGTTGTTCTTTCCGTTTACAGAGCAGAATTCCCTGCTGACAGATATAGTGGTCGAAAACGATTGTGGACGTCACATCCACAGAGGAGTCGTCTGTCACCGCACACTTTGAAGACGGGACTTCCTACACAGGTAGTCTCCTGATCGCCTGTGATGGAGCTCATTCCCGAGTTCGTAAACTTGTCTATCCCGATACGTGTCAGATGAATCCGCTTCCTGTTCAGCTCCTCGGTGTGACGGTTCCATATACTCCGGAGCAAGCAGCCGGTGCCCGAGCCATAGATCCCTATATTTTCCAGGGAGCTCACCCGGAGTCGAACGTTTTCCTATTCTTCAGTTGTATGTATCGACCTTTTACCGCCATTTACAGGTACTGACACGTCTAGTTCTTGATACCCCCAATAACTTTGAGGACAGCACCGACAACTACCTGTGCCAGATTATTGTTTCATGGGCCGATAGTAAAAACATTCCACTTCCCGAGGACAGCCCAAGCCGCATCGCTCTGATGAAGCAGCTGACGGCTAACTGGGTGGAACCGTTTCGATCACTTATACAGAACATTCCTGATGGCCTGGAAGCACGCTCCATTCGCATTGAAGACTGGTTGTTCAATCCAGGCAAGACGGCTCATGCTCGCGTGTTGATGATGGGAGACTCGGCCCACACGATGACCATGTGTAAGTTTCTAATCTCTTGTGCCCGCACTTGGTTACTGACTCCCGAGCTGGTTGAAGTCCGTGGTGAAGGCGCGAATAACGCCATTGCCGATGTGGGAGATCTTGTCAAGAGGATTGATTTCACGTCATCGAGGTATGGGGACCGATTCCGCTGCAGTAAGGCGTTGGTGGGAAGCTAACACCATAACAGCTCTCTGTCGTCAGACTCTCTGCGTCGATCCGTTGAGCAATATGAAAATGACGTGTTCACTCGGGCAGGCGCAAGTGTTCTCAACTCACGGCAAGCCTGTCTAGATGCGCATGACTTTCAAAAGATTCTCAATGGCAGTCCCTTGGTGGCCAAGAGGGTGCTAAATTGAGAAGGACGGCCAGTATGTGTCATTCTAGCCGAAGCCAGTTGTCGATAGATAGATGCCGTCTAGAACCGCTGTTGGTTCCAAAGTCTGTAAGGGCTTGACCTTGATCTGAAAGGGCAATTGTCTTTGTGGACTATACCTTGCTGTATAAGTCAAGGAAAGCATTCAGAAGATAAACATGAGGGCACACATGTGGTTTTCATTGGCTTTCTTGTATAGACCGTCACCGAGGACCGTTTGCTTATTAGTGAGCCATTGGTGATGGCAGATTATCTTTGCTAGTATGTAACCGTAGTTGTGTCCTGCATGAAGTACCTGGAACATTGCAACCAAAAAGTGGCCATTCTTCAAGGTAGCCCTCTCGTTAGTATGAAGTAAGTTTAGGTAGTTAATCTGGGTGAAAGATAAATTCAATCTGACGAATCAAAACACCATGAATTGAAACCAGTCAATTGTATTACAAAAGATATATGTATGAGGCTCTATCGCCTAGTGATGCTTCAGTCTACCAAGGTCTGACCGGGATCAAGATAAACCAAGTCGATTACCCGGGAAGAAATTAGCAATTGAGTGCCTGCACACTGATCAATGGCCGAGTGAGATCATCTTGGTTGACAAAAAAGGTTGCTACAACGGCTGGCTGTATGTGGTTATGGCGTAACCCTAAACGTCATCGACTCGAAATTACGGGTCGAAGGCATCATATATCAATTATGGTTTCCAGGGCACTGCCTTCGATTGAGGACCGACTGCAAAAATTTGCAGATTTGCGATAACCCACCATGCCGAATCACTATACTCTTGCGGAAGGTGAGTTATTCGCATATCTTATAGATACTGACAATGTGATACTGATCCTACGGGAGGCTGCCCTTACTCAAACGCGGCAACCAGCGTCCAGCTGCGAGATGGTCGTGGCGGAGGTCTTTCATTGCTGCAGGACACCCAATTGATTGAGAGCCTGGCTCATTTCTCTCGAGAGCGTATCCCAGAACGGTAGCTAGCCGCAATCGTAGTTGAAGCAGCAGCAGCAGCAGCAGCAGCTGATATTTACCTCTTTAGAGTCGTTCATGCAAAGGCTGCTGGTGCTCATGGCGTATTCGAGGTTACCGATGACAACAGCGACATTACCAGCGCCTGCTTCCTGAACGGAGTGGGCAAGAAGACCGAATGTCTTGTCCGTATCTCGACCGTGGGTGGCGAAAGTGGCTCCTCGGACACGCTTCGTGATGTTCATGGCTTTGCGATGAAGTTCTTTACCGAGGAGGGGAATCAGGATTTTATCTTCAACAATACAGCAAGTATTACTTGAAGAGAGGAGTGACGGCACCGCGCTGATCTCATGTAGCCTGTGTTCTTCATTCGCGATCCACTAAAATTCCCCTCGTTGAATCGATCTCATAAGCGCCATCCAGCATCGCATCTGCCCGATTCAGCCATGGTGAGATTCTTTCCATACATAGGCGAGCAGAGGTGACTAACAATGGACAGTTCTGGGAGTAAGTCAACCTGCAGCGTAGGAATTCTTGATACTAACTGGTCAGTTTCCACACTGGAAGCCCTGAGAGCATCCATCAACTGATGGTTCTCTTCAGCGATCGAGGAACTCCAGCCTCGCTGCGTAAGATGAATGCCTACAGCGGACATACCTACAAGTTGACCAAAGAGGTACCGCTAGCTTCCTACGATTACCAACCGAAGCTGACCATACCAGGATGGATCCTTCAAATATGTCAAATTCCACTTGAAGAGCAAGCAAGGGATTCAGAACTTTACCCGTGAACAGTCCGAGCAGATCAACGGCAGCAACCCCGACTATCTCATCCAAGACATGTACGAGGCCATTGAACGAGATGAGTATCCCTCCTGGGACGTCTGCGTGCAAGTCATGGATCCCAAGGATGCCGAATCCTACCAGTGGAATATCTTCGACATGACTAAAGTGTGGCCGCACAAGGATTATCCTCTGCGGAAGCTCGGACAGATGACCCTGAACCAGAATGTAAGTATTTCATCTTCTCGGATAGACAAGTTGCTGATGGGACAGCCACACAATTACTTCGCCGATATCGAGCAGGCTGCTTTCTCTCCCTCGACCATGGTCCCTGGAATCGCACCATCTGCTGATCCTAGTACGTTTTGTCATGCTCCGTACTCCGTAGAGAATCAACTGACAGAACCAGTGCTCCAAGCCCGCATGTTCGCATATCCCGACGCCCAGCGCTATCGCCTTGGTGTTAACTACCAGCAACTCCCGACAAACCGGGCGCGATCGAGTGTCTACTGTCCTTTTGAGCGCGACGGTGCCATGAACTCTCATAATTATGGTGGGCACACGAACTACATCGGCTCTAGCTTGAGTCCCACTGTCTATGCTACGTCGAGTAAGGGCAGTGGCACGGTTGCGAGTACGATGACTGAGCATGAGAAATGGGTCGGTGAAGTCGTCAGCTACATCAGTCCAGTGGTGGATGCCGATTATGAACAGACAAGGGGACTGTGGCGGGTTCTGGGTAAGGAGGAGGGACATCAAGATCGTTTGATCGGCAACCTGGCGGATAAAACCAAAAACGTGAAGGATGTAAGCCTGCGGAAGAGGGTTTATGGTATGTCTCTCCATTGTTCAAGCCATAAAACGGAGCTGACAGGTCAGAAATGTTCGCCCGGGTGGATGAAGGCCTAGGTCAGCGACTGCAGGAGGAAACAGAGAAGCTTGTTGCGTGATATATGCAACATATATAGAGAGAGAGAGAGAGAGAGAGAGAGATATTATTTGAATTATGGAGAACCTCAACAATAGTATAATGCAACAGCTATGTGACTGCTAGTACAGCTACACCCCAGGGCGGGATAATTATTGAATACGCCCCATACGGGCTGGAGATGTTGTGTATCTCTGGACGAAGTAGCACATCTGATGGTAGATTTCCCGCATACTCAGGGCCCGAGATCATCTCAAGGGTTCCTGACTTTGTCTCCGGGACAACCACATCAACAGTCTGATTCTGTCCTTGGTAGTTGGCCATCTTGATATGGAACGTCGAATTAGTCCGCGAGGCCACCCAGTAACATGGCCCGAATCCAGTCGACGATGTCACTGGTACGATCTTCTCACCCAAAGTGGATGCAAACATCTTCTGCACAAAATACGATGTAGAAGGAGTCAAAGAACCTGGGCTCGAGTCTACCCCGAATAATGTGGGCTACTTACACCATCAGCACAGACAAGGACTTGATAGGGTCAAAAAGAAAGTGACACTCACCGACCACTGCGTGAATTTGAAGTTCTGTACCAAGGGAGCATACGCCGACATCTTGACCACGTCGCTGTTGCGCTCCATTCCGATCATGTAGACGGCCTCTGCGCATGTCCCGCGCATGTATGTCCAGAATTGCCCTCGCTCGGCACTTGTATTTCTGCAGCCCCATTCCCCAACCATGAGTGGTTGATTGCGAGGGACGTTATCATACTGATTGAACATGGCCACTAGATCATCGTCCGAACGGTAGTAGTGGAGATCGATGATGACACCTGGAGGAAGGGCCGCGGGGAGACACTCGGGGTTCCCATGAGAGGCGATTAGGGTGATGTTGGGGTACTTGGAATGGATCGCATTGTAGATCTGGGTGAATCGATCAGGATATGTGTCGCATCCGCCTGTTAGATCGTCTTCGTTTCCAATCTCGACATATTCAATTGACCAAGGTGCTTCGCGGCCATGTTTGGCGCGAAGACTGCCCCAGGTTGAGTTCGGCGGCCCCGTCAGATACTGCATTTTGTGAGCTATCGTATCCGTGATCAATGGACCAATTCATACCTCAAGCTCGTTCATAATATCGTCCACATATGGTTGCAGTTCAGGACCTGAGACTATGCCTCCGTATGACTTTCCATCCCATACGGCGAGGACAGGAGTCATGTTCATGTCATGGCACCACCACATGTACTCATCCAGGCCTATACTGTCAGCCTATTTCTGCATATTGATCTGGAGTCGCATACCCAAGGCATCAGTATTTGGGTAGAACCAGTTCCCTGGACGTCCTGGACGGTCAACAACATCTCCAATGGTTTGATTCCAGATCCATCGGTCCGCAATACTGAGTCCTTCGCTACATTTAGGAGAAGAGTTGAGCTTCATAAACCAGCAAGGCTTTGGTTGACATACATATTGTTCCCTCCTGGAAACCGAAGGAAGCGTGGTCTAGAGGCCTCTAAGAAAGTTGCAACATCGTGGCGCAAGCCATTTGTCCTTCATTGGAATCAGTCAGTGAATTTCATCTGCCATGTTCAGAGGATTACCTATTTTTATAAGTCGGTGGGAATAGTTGCGGTAGTCCGAAATTGAGAAAGCTACCACCGACTTGAGCTCCATCAAACAGTAACTGCCATTCGTTCTTCCCGTCCTCGGCAGGAGAAGACTCTAGGCTCGTCTCGTAGAATGTAAAGTGCTGCGGATTACTCTCAACTGTGATATTCTGTGTCGCAAACACAGTGCCGTTGATCGAATCTACCAACTGAATGGTAACCGTCCCGCTATATCCACCCATCACCCAGAAAGATGTCTGGTAAGTCGCTGCCGTGACGGGAACACCGGCGTAACCCTCATTTGCAAAGCCAACGTAGCCTGTCGTGCCAAATGGCACTGCTACCTGTAGCGACGATATAATGGCATTGCTTACCGGGGTCAAATCGTCCTGAATGATACTGACACCTCCAACAGGCTTGTAAGCAGTGATTCCGGGCTCGAACCCCTGGAAGCCATTATTCTGTAGGAGCTGGCCGTGGATGCCACCGTCTCCTATACATGATTGTCAGCATACTTTTTTGGGGGGTTGATCGCTGTGAGATCGTACCCGAATGATCCATTTCCTCGAACATCGCGCCATAAAGAAGCGGGCTTGACTGGTTTCCTCCGGTTCTCGACACAGTCAGAGTAATAGTCGAGATTGTCTCGTTCCTACCATCTTGGATATTGTCGGCATTTTGCGCATCAATTCCATAGAAAAACCCCAGGATGATGAGCGCTTCAAGTGCTCTCCAACATGGCCGTGTTCTCATCGTGTACTGGCATATAGACGAGCGATCGGATGAGGGTAGAAACGAAAGGGATTCTACCTGAAGTCTGGGAATACAACCCAATATTTTTTTTTCTATTATCCTTGATAGGTGAACTAGGTGCTTGCAAGCAGACAGGCCGTACCTTCACTGGAGACGTCATGATTCAAGGGGACGTTGCACCCCGCCAAAGGAGTATCCAGTTACTGAACCTTATTCAAAGTCACGGTTGACAAGCCATGAGATGCAATGTCCCTGGCCTATTATATCATTATACGGGACTGGGAATATTCAAAGCCTCGAAGTATTACGTCTATATTCCTATCAGTATCTTGTCTCGTTGCGGGAAAGCGACAGAGACGAAATCACCAAGCCAACCAACTGGTATACATGTCCAACCTACAACCACAATAGTAAGATAATAAAAGTAAAACCTAGAGAGATAGATAAGTCACTAAGAAGCCTTGACTTGCCCCCCCATGGAATCTGCACAGCCTTCTGTACTGGACTTTTCTCAAGCGGATTAGGAACACATAGTAGGTGAAAGTCCCGAGTCTGACAATGATCCGATGAAAAAGCATTCGTAGAGGTGACTGATGAGATCTCTCTATATAAATTATGTCTCCATCTCCAATTGGACGGATCTTGTTCTTCACAAGGACGCCCGGTGGCCGCCGGTGAGTCTCATCAAAGAAATCACGGGCCATGAGACTCGATAGAAGTCAGGAACAGACCTCAATACAAAGAGAACGAGTGTCTGAAACTCGTGATAATCACCAAAATAAAAATGTGGCGCCGCGCTAATCTTCTTGCATTGTCTCCCTTTGTCCTTCGGAAGACAATGAAGCCATACCGGGCGACACTGGAGGGAGTAGAATATGAAACGCATGTGCTGCACTGTCAGATTTACGGGACTCTCTTCTGCCACTCCCATTCAAAATGCTATATACGTGGACGGCAATGATATTTACATTGCTGGTTTTGCAGGGTCTACTAGCTTGTGCATCACCAACAACCCGCCAGCCAGAAATGACTACGATTAACCCGACACGGTCCTCGGCTGCCCCCCATGCAACACACATCGTCAAAGTGGGATCGAAGGAAGATCCGCATCAGTACTCGCCTCATAAGATCTCTGCAGCTGTAGGCGATGTCATCACTTTCGAGTTCTACCCGCGTAACCACTCTGTCGTCAAAGCGGATTTTATGGCACCGTGTGTACCAGCTACGGGGGAAATCTTCTATTCGGGTGTTTTTGACAGCTTCGATCTGGATAGTAGTGGTCAACTAAAGGGAAATGTCAGTCTCTCCCCTGCTGCTGGATGATGCATGCTGACTTGGGTTAGCCACCAACATGGTCATTGGTTGTGAACGATACCACGGTAAGCTTTTCGATATGGCATATCAAACCAAAAATTGACAAGAGTACAGCCCACCTTCTTTTATTGCACAGCGATTGACTCCTGCCTTGTCAATGGCATGGTCGGGGTTATTAACCCGGTAGGTCACTACCTGATCCTCCATACTCATCTGACACGCTTAGAACCAAACCATGACCTGGGAGGCGCAATACGCCCGAGCACTCCAGTACCCTTACATGCTTGTTCCCGGCCAATCACCACCAGCTGAGGGGACGAGTGCTTCTTCCTCGCATCCCAACACACACCATGCACCTTTAAGCGGAGGCGCAATTGCCGGCACTGTCATCGGGGCTGTCTTTTTCGTTGGCGTGCTACTCATCCTGTTCTTTACGCTGGGTCGAAACCGAATCTACAGGAAGTGGATGTCGTCGGAAGACGGCCGTATGGAGCGAACGGCTCGCTGGGCATTTTCCAGCAACCAGGGTGAAGTCAAGAGTGACCAGGGGCTTGTGGCCCCGTCGTCAGTGGGGGGACATGGAACGTTTCCACCATCCTCGAATGCGTCTCCGCCGGTAATCTCTCCGCCACAGGGAGGGGGATATTGGGATTGGGAGACGGCTGTGGCGAACCAGCAGCGAGAACAGCAGGTACAGATCCATGAGCCAATGGAGCTAGAGGCCAGAAGTGTGGTGGGAGGAAGGCCAGGAGGGATGTATTACGGATGGAGGTGATGCAGCATCTGAATTGCCTTGTTAGATTATTTGTTGTCCCACTTTCTCTGCTGTTGTTTATTAATGTCCGTCATCTGAAACTTTCTATTGTCGTTTCGTTTTATCAGATACCATGTGAGATTCCGGTCTCAGAAATAATGATAGTGAAGGCTAATTTTATACATATAGACGTAAGAGGGTGGATTCACCTGGTACGTTGCAATAGCATCAAGGCCCGAATCATGGAATCTGTTCATAGATCCTGTCGCCGGACTTGGGAGGCTCCAGGAAATCCTTGGGAATCTGAGCCGGCAGTTGGTTCTTCTCAGCATACTGTCGGATAATTTCAAAGTTCTTGCATTGATGCTGCGTGTTGAAGTCGACATATGCTTCGGGATGCTCAGGATGAATCCAAACCTGGCCGAGAACACCGGTGTCGATGGTGCACATGAGCTGCTGTCGCAGGATATCCAGACAGTGAGCTGGTAAATTAGTATCTACCAATCATGAATTTACCAAGGCTGGATACTTACAGACGTGTCGTCGGACGATAAAGTCGTCGTTCTTGAAGGCTCCATGACCCAGGTCATGATAGTAATCGTAGTTGTAGTACAGGGTTTGCCGGAGAAGATTCTGACCCGTCAGTAAGATTCGCACACTGTTCAGAGAGAATCATACCAGACAGTGGAGATGATGGAAGCCTTCGACATTTGCTGGATATCCTCCACCGTACTTCTGGCTGATCTTCACCTGGTCCGACGCCAGGCCAGCTCGCTCCGCTTCCTCAGCAGGCACTCTCAAACTTCGATCTGTTCGGGTCAAATATATTCGTTTAGTCGGCTTCTGGGCACTTACAATTCACGCCCAATGCCTCCCAGGCAGCGTCGACCTCGGGGCTCGCATCTTGTCGGTAGATGTTCTCCTTGAGCAGCGACCCGTTGAACCGCTCGGGTTGATACGTGATGTCCACATTGGAGACCACCGGAGCTGTAGCCATTAGTATCGTGCCTTCGTTTCAAAGTCTCGCCTATTTCTCCATCATTTTATGGAGACTCACAATAGTGAGAAGTATGGAAAGAACAGATCTTGTTCAAGTCCGGCACTTGGTGCCCGATGAACACCCCGACTACGCAGGAAATGACTGCGGTCGCAACAAGAAGAACGATATTCATCCAGAAACTCAACCGCCTTTCTCGAGGCTGCTCGTCATGAGTCCATTGCTGGGCCTCTTCGTTTTTCAGCAGACCGTAGTTGGCGTCGGTTTCGTGATCGGACTCGAGGCGGGCCATAATGTGTATGAGAGAGAGGGATTGTTGGACACATCAAGCAGGATTCAACACCGAGACGAGAAGCAAAGGCCATAAATGCCGCACAATCATCCCAATATCAACATCATTTTATTACATCCTGCACAGCTCGTGTCCGTGGGTTTGTCTCACCCCCTCCACCGCTGGTGGATTATTGAGGAGTAACGGGGCGGATGCAACCTGCGCGATGAGTTGTAAGACACGGAAAGCCCTGTTTGGCATGCCTTGTCGGCTTTGTGCGATCCGGGCACCGTTTGGCTGCAGGTTTGTCTCAGCTAGGATGTCGATGAATGACATGAGTCGTGGCGTCGTGATGCAATTGACTGGCTGGCGAGGCCCTTGGCCTGCATCGAAGAGTCACGAGCCAGCGGGGGAGGAGGCCATCCCCAGCAGATGCAGGCATTGAGACATGCAGGAAATGGGTGCAAATTCCTATTCCGGCCGTTTAAATTTGGTCTAGGTATCCAGTCGATTCGAGGGATGGCGTGGTTGTCCAATCGAAGGGATGTCTGAGAGATATACTTAGAAACCGACACGATTTTTGCCTTTGCAGTCCCACGGCTGCCACAAGAACGGTTCAACGGAGATGAACGAAGATCATTGTGTGAAGCTTGTGGCAACAAGGCCTTGTTGGATGTAACACAACATTCAATATAGCTTAGATGCATTGTTTATCCGTTGCAGCAGGTGGTGGTTGTGATTGGAACGCCATGACAAGCTTGTCTCCAGCCCGGCTCTCAACCACTGCAGTCACCAGAGACTTATCCAATAACGAGAGCTCCTACGACATCATGGATGCAGATGAACCCCGTTGCTATTCCTGAAAAACACGGCGGGGATGCCATATACTGACTGCTGGTCGTCTATAAAGACCAACAATCCTTGTCCTCGTTGCTCTAGTTCTTCCCTCTCCTCACACACCAACCTCCCCTCCTCTTCGACCTTTCCCACCCCGAACAATGCACTTTATTAGCAAGGGAGCCGTGCTCCTTCTGGCGCTGGGTGTCAGCGCCCGTCCCGTCGAGGAAGCCCGCGCCGAGACCACTGCTGCTGCTGGGTACGGTGACTACAAGGGCTACGGCAACTACGGCAAGTATGGCGACTATGGCCACTACAAGCGAGAAGATAAGCCCTCGGCGACCACTACTCCGGCCAACTACGGAGACTACGGCAAATATGCCAACTATGGCCACTACAAGCGGGAGGACAGGCCCTCCACAACCACCGCCGCCGGCTACGGTGCCTACAAAGGCTATGGCAACTACGGCAAATACGGCGACTATGGCCAGTACAAGGCCAAGAGAGAGGATGAGGAACCCTCTCCCAGCACCACTGAGACTAAGACCGAGACTCCCACCCCGGGAGACTACGGCAACTATGATGAGTATGGAGACTATGGCGACTACGGAAAGTACGGCGATTACGGTTCGTACAAGGTGAAGAGAGACGACAAACCTTCTCCCACGACCTCGACCCCGACAACCTCGACCTCGACGACTTCGACCTCGACGACTTCGACCTCGACGACCTCTCCCACCCCGGTCAATTATGGTGACTATGGTAACTACGGCGACTATGGCACATACGAGAATTACTAGATGAGTATCTGGTGCAATGGGGACGGTCAGTCTGCTCGTCGACGACTTCTTGGCTTTAGCATAAAACTGACATGCAACTCCAGATTTCCAATTGAAAAGTGTGTTTCGTTCGAGGCGAGATGTGATCTGATCATGCATCAGAGGCGATCTTTGAGTCGGCAGTTGTCATTGATCAGTTGGGATTTATGTGACAGATGATGAATGATATGACTACACTCCTTTAATGCTAATTTCATCTGGTAATAGCTGCGGAGTTGCACCCAGTAGGCTAAATTGATATGAACAAGGGTACTACACACATAATACGAAGTAGAGAATAACCGCCCTAACTACATAATAATTGCAATATTTTACACATACAATCCGAGCTAGTTATAAATGTTATGACAGCGCGGTCCCACGTGATACAAAAAGCCTTCCCCAGGCTCCACTACGGTCCAGATGGCCTTAGTAGAATTCTCAAGATTAGACACCATTAATGATCCAATTAGAAAAGAGAGATCTATAACCAGGAAGCCGGTATCGGAGTGCTCCAGAATCTGCTGGCTCCGCTAGCGATAAGTATAGCCCTCATCAGTCGCTAAGAATGATCATCACCCGCCAGCATCAGTACGCATAACGATACGTAGGCGACAGGTCTCCCATGTACTCCAACTGTTCTTCGGGCAGTGCCTGCGGATCAATCGATCCATCTGCGATAGCACGGTCGCGCTTCTTGTTGTCGTGGAGAATCGACAAGAAGTAGACGACGGCCAGCGCCGCTGAGAAGCACAGGAAGGATAAGCTGATGATATACCCGTTGCGGTAGAAGGGCGCATCCTTTTTGAGGAAGGAGTAGGTTGAGATGATTCCACCAACTAGAATCCGTTAGCATAGCACTAGATAATGAGCATCGAGTGGCATACTGTTTCCAAACCCAATCTGCCAAGCCGTCCCTACGCTGCGACGGCGATGACCTCCCAGATTCATGGAGAACCAACAGACCAGCACCGGCATTGCGCTGTAGCAGCCGGCAGTCACGAGGAACAGGGCGCCATATTGGACGTGATGGTTATTGTGAACATTGAGCAGAATGGCAAACCCGGCCATCGCAATGACCATGGGAATCATGGCGAAAAGGAAGCGATGGCGGAATCGATCCGAAAGGTAGGCAATAAGCATGGAGAAGCCGAAAGCAGCGGCCCAAGGAGGGATAGAATAGAGCTGGGTTTTGATTGCTGGACGGGTTAGTTAGATATATCGCCATAGGAGTAATACTCGTGGTCATACCATCGTAGCCGTAGGTTCTGATAATAGTCGGCGCAAAGTACGCATATCCTGTCAGAGTTAATATGCAACCCGATTGATAGCGGCGAGTAGAGGCATACCGTAGGCAGTCACAACCTGTCCAAAGTACATCCACCCACCGATGAAGATCTTGTCTGCTCCATGTTAGCTTCCCATGATCATCGTCATGGAGATAAAGCTTACAGTCTTTGAAAACAGCCAGCACGTCCCGCCATCCGACATTGACATGTGTAGCAGATGTACCGACATCATCCGCCAGCTTGTCGCGGATGAATTCCCGCTCTTCTTCAGTGAGCCACTTGACATCCTCTGGGAAACCAGGCACGATGAAAAAGCAGATCATCGCAGCCACACAGGTAATCACTCCCTCGATGATAAACACCCAGCGCCAGCCCCCATAGCCACGGAGACCATCCATCTTGCCGATTCCGCTCGCCAACAGCCCGCCAAATGCACCGGCGAGTGTGGTCGAGCCGAAGAAAAAACTGAATCGCTTTTGGGCTTCGCTGCGCTTGTACCACATGCCCATAAGATAGAAACCTGAACCATGTTAGCGGAGTACTGGTTGAAGGCGAAGGTCACCTACATCCGGGGAATAGACCGGTCTCAAACATGCCCAAAAACCAGCGAGTGGCCATTAAGCCACCCCAGTTCTGCACAAGGCCCTGGAATACCATGACAAGGCCGAAGCCAAACATGCAAAGTGATACTGGAGCGTGCGATCAGTACGGAAGCTCATAGAGATGAACGGAGGGCACATACACCAGACATGCGGGTTCAGTTTCTTCAGCAGAATGTTCGACGGAATTTCAAAGATGATATACGGTACGAAAAAGATGGTCAAGGCAGTGTTGTATTTTGTCCCGGACTCGATATTCAGGTCTTCCTGCAAGCCTAGAATGGCTGCATTGCTAATATTGACACTACAGTGACTGTTGTTCAGTATAGCAACCAAAAGGCTTAGACGGCGGAGATATTATACCGATCTAAAAACGCGAGCAAATACATGACACACAGACACGGAATGACATGCCAGTCAATTTTGGCCATGAGTTTTCGCTCATTGATCGATTTTGGAACCGCATCGAACGATGAATCGTCGCCATTCTCGGCGCGTCCTTTCTCTTCTAACAAGGGGTTAGCTGCGTCAATTCAGGGCGGAGACATGCGACCGACCGATGACCCCCATGGCTGGCGTGAAATCTGACTGGGATTGAAACTATCAAAGGGGCGGCTTCGAAGAGCGTCGAATGTTTTTATCCTACGGGCGTCCGCCGACGTCGGAGGCCTACGCGATGATTCATAACTGGGGAAGATCAAAACCAGGTCACCAAACCGAGAAAAATGGAGTTGGTCCCTTCCCCAGAGAGAGTTCACTGGAGACTCAATAATGCAGCCATAATCCGCATGTAGATCGATGACTGGAATGGGCAACAATCGGCCCGGTGCAATCAGCCACTCTGACACTATCGCAGATGGCGCTTCTTGGCGGGTCAAAGTCCAGCAATCAGACTTAGACGACGAGCCTTGTGTCTAGGCTTGGTTGGTTTGGAGATTCTGAACGTAAAGCTTGGTCGATTGTACAAGGCAAGAGGCGAGTCTGATGCATGGGAATCCCAGATTCGAGCGACGTGATCGCTGAGGTGCCTGCGAAGCATAACCGGATAAAACTCTATAATAATATTCAAGATCAAGGGCGGTATTCCATATCCATCCTAGGCTGATTTATCCAGATTTAAGACATATATGCCGATATACGGAGTGTAACATCAATCGTGTTTCAAGAGTTGGTTGCCACTATGATGTTCTCTGCTTATATAGTGAGAAGAGCCGAACGGACACTCTAGGAGACTCATACTTGGACGACTGATCGGTCCGAGCTACATACTAGACCAGTCTAGTTGCACTATCGCCCCTAGAGAATGAAACCAGAACTTTATGGATTACAATCGTGTGATGGCTTTGCAAACGCTGCCGACCAGACCGGATCAGCAGTTTTAGCTGAATTGATCTGAAGCGATCGGGGCCCTAAGGATAGACCTGTAGACGATCATGGACGCTCCCGACCTGAGGTTATCAACTAGGTCGAGTCCTAGATCTCATCTCGGATTATTATATATCGCATTCTGCCCCAGAGTAAGGGGGATGTGGTACCCTTGGCGTTGCTATATCACTGGATCCCCGGCTACTCTACAATAATCCCTCGTTCCTGCGAGTGATCTTAGCATTGATATACCCCAACCGACACCGTACCGAAGTTTCTTTTTGACCACCGAAAGCATACATGACATTGGGATTGTCACTGTCAACGCGGGTATTTGAATTCAGGCTGTCCAACAAGACTCTCCCTTGAGCCTTCCGAATCATTCTATCCGTGACTTGCCGCCTCACAGTGCTTCCTCTTGACTGCTTGTTTTGTTAATCTATTAGGGTTGTGATTTGGGTTTAGATTGCAGCTCAATAAAGGCAAAGCTAGTCATTGAAGAAGCATATATCAGACATTTTACATTGGATGACTCGCACTATCTGCAAGGTGAATACGATATGGGGAAGAGATATATCGAGTCAGGCATGCGACAGAACAAGATCACACTCCATGTCCACCATCTTCTCATAATTACATGGATCTGTTGAAAACAAGGCATTCTTTTGGACAGAATCCGTCTGCCGTTTAGGTTTTGTAAGGACGACCATGGTTGCTACCTAGAGAATGGGCCGGACAGCTGCCACGAGGTCGAGGCAGCAATTGACTTTCTTGGCCGTAGTCGGTTTTGGACCACGGCAGTTTACCGAAGCTAAAAGCAAGAGCCGCGGCTTCACTATCAGGGAATTTCTCAGTGATCGGCGAATCAGAGAGGCTGGAAAAAGCAGCGAGAAAGAATTGCATTCTTTGACTCCCCGCAATTTGAACTCTCTCGCTTGTTGTCCCGGCCCCCCCGCTACCCCAGAATCCAGATCCCTGCGAGATGCGAAATAGGCCAGTTGAGCTAGCTTCTGGCTAGTCGCCAGTCGCTACCAGGATAGCGAGCAGATAGTTGGGTTCCCAAGATTCTCAACAGTGGAATATGGGGATTCTGGCCTTGAAGAGACTCCATCCACTGACTTGGGGATGGATCGTACACAGCAACGGGCAAATCAGGAGGAAATGCCAAGTTCGGCCGCACAAAGCTAAACCGCCACGCAGGGACCACAAGCCCGTATAGATGGCGGTTTTTGGTGGTCAGCTGTCCTGCGCTTCTGCAGCACTAGTCATCTTCATGCGATATGCTCCGGAATTGCTCCGCTCTGCCTGGAAATACTCCAACCCAGTCACACAATGACTAACAGCTCGCCCAGGATGACTATAAAGACGATCATAGCCACAGGGAACGACCGGTATGGCGACTGTTCCTGACGGTAAAAAAAAAAAAAAAATTAAAATTCTGCGAGACCTCAGATCAATTTGCTAAAATGACCGACGTCAAGTCATTTAGGAATCATGTCGACGATACTGAGGCCAAGAGGGAACTCGTTGAAGAGGAGATCCCCATGGACGAGGAGACCAAGAGAATCGACCGTGAGACGGTGATGAGACTGGACATGCTGCTCATGCCCATGACTTTGATGCTGTATCTGCTGGCATGGCTGGATCGTGCTAATGTTGGAAATGCACGGGTGGTAGGTTCCTTGACAGCGGGGACTCGAGGATAACGTGCTGACAATCCACCCAAGGCTGGTTTGGAAAAAGACCTCAAGTTGACTGATCTGCAATACAAAACCGGTATGTCCCCTTAGTTCCTCCACTGCGATTACACTAACCGGACCAGCCATTACCGTGACATACGTCCCTTATGTCCTCTCCGAACTCCCCTCCAACCTCCTCCTCAAAATCATCGGCCCTCGCATCCTCCTCCCAACTCTGTGCGCGCTCTGGGGTCTAGTCACCACCCTTCAATCCCAAGTACACAACTACCCTGGATTCTTGGCGTGTCGCTTCTTCCTGGGTCTGCTCGAGGGTGGTCTATTCCCGGGCATCGTCCTCTTCCTCTCCAACTTCTATCGCCGCCACGAGCTGCAGGTCCGCATCGCCCTATTCTTTTCCGCCGCCTCTCTCAGCGGTGCTTTCTCAGGCCTCCTAGCGGCAGCTATTCAGCAGATGAGCGGCGTCGGTGGCATGAAGGGCTGGCAGTGGATCTTCCTCCTCGAGGGTCTCTTCACAATCTGCTTCGGCCTGTTCTCCTTCTTCATGCTTCCCAACGGACCCGAGAAGGTCCTCACCTTCCGCTCCGAACATGCTGAGCGCTGCGTCGCCCGTCTCAAGCAGGACGGCAACACCTTCGAGACTGAGGCCAAGGTGACCCTCAAGGAGGTGTTCTCCGTTCTGAAGGATGTCCACGTCTGGATCGTCTGCCTCATCCTCTTCTCCAACGGCGCCTGCCTCTTTGGTCTCGCTTACTTCTCCCCCTCGATCGTTCAGGGCTTCGGATACAGCTCCACCAAGACCCAGCTCATGACCGTGCCCCCTTACGCCTGCGGCTTCGTCGTCACCATGCTGACAGCATACATTTCTGACCGTCGGCAGCAGCGTGGCGTCGGTGCCTTTGTCACCAGCGGTATTGCGCTGATCGGCGCCGCCATGGCCGTCAACGGGCGCGGTCTCGCCGTGCGCTACTCGGCCCTTGTGCTTCTCGTCACGGGTGTCTATGCTTGCGCCCCCTGCCTGATCAGCTGGGTACCCAACAACACCGCTGGTCATGTTCGTCGTGCCACTGCCGTTGCCATGGCCTTCATCTCGACCAACGTCGGTGGTATCATGAGCACTTGGATCTATCCCAAGGAGTCTGCTCCATATTACAAGCTCGGCATCCGGTTTAATCTGTCGCTGTTGGTGGTTGCGATGACGCTGGTCGTGGCGCAGGTGCTGTGGTTGCGCAGACAGAATCAGAAGAAGGAGAGCGATCCTGTCGGGCTGTTGCAGGGAGTCGAGGATCTGCCTTACGAGGAGCAGCTGGCCAAGCTGGGTGATAGACATCCGAAATACAAGTATACTTATTAGGTGGAATGACAGTATATAGGTAGTAGTTGAATCACACTAATCTAATAAACACTTGTTTGATCATACAGTCTCCCACGTATCGTAGTGACTATGAGTGGAAGAGGATTCGTATTCTAATATAATTTCTATAGTATCCAGTGCCAATGTAGAAGCTGTAGTTGATGAGGAAGCTGAGGCCCATGATGTGCAAGAAGGGGAGGAAGGCGAGAGCCGTGTCGCGATGAGTGAGCACGCTGGTATCCACGGCCTCTGCCTGGAGAAGATTGGCGACGATGTTGTAGTGCGACAACATCACGCCTTTCGATAGACTGGCCGTGCCGGAGGAGTACACCAGAACAGCCACCTCTTTTTCGGGATTCGTAATAGGAGGAATGTGAGGACGGTTGAAATCATCGTCTGGGATGGAGGATGCGTTGGTCTGCCATACATCCTGTCTGGCATCGTCCACAACGATGATCCTTTCGGCGCTCAGACCAGCCTTCTGCCGCTTCCAGAACAGTCGCATACTGCGTCTTTTGATCGTGAGTCTTTGAGGTAATGCACCAAGTCCTTGGCCGGGAAATTGGGATTGAGAGGGCTGACAGTAGCCCCGATGGAGAGCGCTCCCCAGATGATGGGAGGAAGATCCAGCGCATTGGGTGAGATGATGCTTAGGACATCCCCCTACTGCCAGTTCCATTTCTGTTGAAGATTTCGACCAAAGCTGAGACCTAGCTTTCGAGCATCTAGAAATGTGTATGATCTGTTTGTAGGAGCGTCCACAAGGACAGTCTTGGAGTCGGGAAAGGGGCGATTCTCCCGCTAGAAGAGGAAGCTCCAGAGGTCGATTTGGGGGACGACCACATCGGGGTATGGGGAAACGGTGACCATGTTGATTGCTAAGGAGGGGAAATAAATGCGTCATGACGGTCCAGCTCTAGGATCTTGCTATTTATTAGAGTTCGCTATCAGCTATGCTTACTTCGTACTCGGGATCACCATGAACCAATTCATCCGGGCTTTGATGATCTATAGCCCAAAGAGTAGCAGCAATATTCGGATTTCCCCCATTCTATCTCCACAAATCCCCCGCTAATGCACGCTTGGAGCTCTTTTCCCCACGTTCGATTGGCCGCGGTCGGTTGCTTGGGGGTTCCCGAGGCTGCGTCTATTCGCATAAGAAGTATGGGAAAGGATGCAGGGGAAGGGAAGGGACAGCCACAGAGGATTAGATACCTGGCTACTCAAGGGTGTGAGGATGAACACCTGTTGGCTATTTTCACTTCTCTACTCAGGGTGAATTCCATTCAGGAAGAAGATATACGATTCTCACTGTCAGAAAAATTCTTATTCACCTGGACAAACGCTTCTCGAACCGTTATTTGTATCATCCGAATCTGCACGTGGACACATTGACGCGATTGGCGTTCATTGGAGATTTAGACACCTATTCTCTTCGAGCTTTATACAATCAAGCTATCTAAACATTTGGAGCTATGCAGAATGATTGATGGTTGGCTGTTCTCGTCCGGATGCTCGACTAAACGTATACACCAGGACACCGAGAACTACACCACTCTCATTGGAGCTCCCAGGAAGTGAACGAGTCAATTGATAACGGCTAGATCTGTGAGAAGGGATGATGATTAGGGATATTATAAGCTGGAAGTCGCTTAATGCTAGTAAGTGTTAATCATTGTCTGCAGATGATTGGTCAGTGTAAGACTCTGACTCGTATCATTCGATGCATTGCTGACACTGTTGGCGTTACACCACCCGATGTGATGAGAATTGGCAGACAGTTGGCAGTGACGTTTCGCTCTGTGTTGGAGTAATGTGCTCATTCGAACCAAGTGATATCGGTCAACTAGATTGAAAACAGTATATAGAGGGAGAGAGAGAGAGAGAGAGAGACTTGGAATGGAGACAACTGACGTCAAGAGTCAAGCCAACAGAGGAAACCGACGGCGGTTGATACAAAGTCAACCAGAGCCTTGAATAAATATTCCCAGAGTGCGCTGACGCTGCGTGCATTCGAGCGCATTCTGACTAACACATCTCGTCATTTGATGGTTGCATTCCCAATGTTCTTCTGACGAGTGTTCGGACGGAACTCCCGGAATCTGTCATCTATCATCAACGACCCCCGAATAAAGCGGGACAGACATCCGCTTCGTCTATCATAGATAGACATCTGTATCGCCTCAAGTTCCAGAATCACGACAACAATATTTCGCATCGCCATGGAGTTGGTCCTTCCGGCCTGGCTGCCCTTGTCAGTGTATGCCTGGATAATTCAACAGCTGTTCTTCCATGCCGCCGGTCTAGCTTTCGAATGGTGCGATCGCAAGGGCGCCATCTCTCATCTCAAAGTACGCGAGATCGACCGCATATCATACCGCCAGATGCTCCCGCAGGTTCTCTGCAACCAGTGTTTCATCCTGCTGCCGAGCATGATGCTCGCACAAGCGACAGGATACTGTTTCGTGGGCTCGGCGCATCTCCATCCATTGTCCTTTCTCCTCGCGCTGCCGGCGATGGCGATCGGACACGACGTGGTGCAATATCTCGCCCATCGCTATTTGTTGCACAACCCCAATTTGCGGCTCATGCGCATGCTGCAACACTCTCTCCATCATTCCACGGGAGCCAGCCGCGGGATCAGCGCGTGTTACATGGCGCCTGCGGACTTCTTCCTCGAGATCGTGCTGCCATACCTGGTTCCCCTCGCTCTGGTGGGCGGCGGGGGCACAGATGTTTTATTTCATTCGTTGGTCGCAGGGTCAGGGGCCATAGGTGGTGTGTATGAGCACTCCGGGTACGACGGTTCACTGCTTTTCACCCCGACCCCCACGGCAATCCACGGCAAGGATGTGTTCGCGGACTGGATGTCGGGACTATTTCCCGTCCTGCACGGTCTGCTGGATAATCGTGCTCACGGGGAGCATCATTCTCGCGCGAATGTCTCCTTCTCGGACGGATTTGGCAGTCCTGGCATATGCGACACTCTGTTGGGTACGCGGTGGGACTTGGTGGCCTCTCGACGAGCGGCGGCTGAGCAGGAGTGGCAGGCACAGCAGGCAAGACATATGAGTGCCACATAATGGCCATCATGGCTTCATCATATTAATTATCAATTCGCCGGGAATGCATTACCTATTCCGTCCATCCTATCACGGCAAAGCAAGATATGACTCCCAAGGTCGGAGAATAGTCCGCAGTATAGCCCGTGATATCAGAATCCCCACTTTATCTGCGGCTAGTAGCCTAGTGCGAAGGATTTTGCGACGGTTATACTCCGTACAAGAGCAGTCTATCTATCTAGTTAGTCGTTAGTGCTAGGGAACGATGGTAGACTACAGATCTATATCGGGATATCGGATCAGTGTGTCATTCCAGCAAGTCAGGTGGGCGTAGATATACCTCTAATCAGCTATCTATCCATACATCTGTATCTATCTCTACCTATCTAGGTACTATTCTACTCCGTCTATTCTATACTTCAACCTATCAGAACCCCCCACTTTCATACAGAACGGAACTACGTACTATCGTTTTATCGCTTATCATCGGCCAGCAGCCTGAGGCATCCATTTCGATTGAGTAATGGTCAACCGAGGATCCCCCGAAGTAGTCTAGCGCACTATGATCCCCGCATTATTTGGAGACGATGTACTGCTTGTGTCTTCTGTCTTCTCTTCTTCTCCTCTTCATCTCTCGCAAGCTGGTCAACTGGGGCTGGTTCTTGAGTGACAGAACAGAGAGTACTAGTCCTGATCATCTATCTTCATCATGGAAGGCAACACCCTCCCCCTCGCGCAGTATCTGTTCACCCGCTTACGCCAATTGGGTGTTGACTCCTTGTTCGGCGTCCCGGGCGACTATAACCTCACGCTCCTTGACCATGTCGTGCCCTCGGGCCTCAAATGGGTGGGGAACTGTAATGAGTTGAATGCTGGTTATGCCGCGGATGGCTACTCTCGAATCAAAGGTATGTTGCACTCACAGTTCCTTTGCCTCTAACCACTGACGTCGCAGGCATCGGTGCCTTGGTCACCACATTCGGCGTCGGCGAGCTGTCTGCCGTCAATGCCATCGCAGGAGCCTACGCTGAGCGAGCCCCGGTAGTACACATTGTGGGAACACCGATGCGCGCCTCCCAGGAGACCCGCTCTCTCATCCATCATACCTTCAACGATGGTGAATATCAGCGATTTGATCGCATGCAAGAGCACGTGACAGTCGCGCAGGTCGCCTTGAGTGACCATCGCACAGCACCTGCGGAGATTGACCGGGTTTTGTTGCAGTGTCTGCTGCACAGTCGCCCCGTTCGGATCACCATCCCGGTGGACATGGTCTCCGTGTGTGTTCCGAGTGTCGGCTTGACCTCTAAGATTGAGATCCCGCCCCCCGTGCGGCAACCGCTGGTAGAAGAGGCGGCTCTGACATGTGTTGTGAACCGAATCTATGGTGCAAAGAAGCCTATGATTCTCGTCGATGGAGAGAGCCGAGCGTTCGGGACACTTGCGCAAGTGGACCAGTTCATCAAGACCACAGGCTGGCCCACGTTCACAACGGGCTTTGGCAAGGGTCTGGTAGACGAAACCCTGCCCAATGTCTATGGTGTCTACACTCCAGCTTCCAAGGAGTTTGTGGACTCGTGCGATCTTGTCCTCTCTTTCGGACCACACTTCAGTAACACCAACACCTATATCTTCCTGGTTCGGCCGAATGACGAGTCCAGCATCCTGCTCAACCCCACATCCGTGCAAGTGAACAAGGACATCTTCCGTGACCTGCCAGTCAAATACTTTATCCATCAGCTCATCCAGCGACTCGATAGATCCAAGATCCCGAGTCACCAACATGACCTGGTCCATCCTTCGGCCAAGTCCCTTCCAGCAGTTACCCCCACCGATCTCGTCACTCAGACTGGTGGATTCTGGCGAAGATTATCCCCCTTCTTCCGTCCAGGTGACATTGTCCTCGGGGAAACTGGCACACCAGGATATGGTGCGAACGACTTCGTCCTGCCGCCGCGGACCCGTCTCTTCAAACCAGTCACCTGGCTGTCCATCGGATACATGCTCCCCGCCACACTAGGCGCCAGTCACGCACAATGGGATCTCATTGCCCGGTGCGAGTACCACGATCTTCTGGCCGCGCGCACAATCCTTTTCATCGGCGATGGAAGCTTCCAAATGACTGCCCAAGAGTTAAGCACCATCATCCACCAGAAACTCAACGTCATTGTCTTCCTGATCAACAATGACGGCTACACAATTGAGCGCTGCATACACGGCCGCAACCAAGCCTATAACGACGTCGCGCGGTGGCGGTACCTCAAGGCACCCGAGCTATTTGGTGCCGACACAGAGGGGGAGTATGCGACTCGGACCTGGGAGATCCGCACCTGGGCGGACTTTGACCGCGTGCTGTCGGACGAGCATTTGGTCAACGGCAAGGGCTTACGAATGGTCGAGGTGTTTATGGATCGGTTCGACGCACCCGATGTTCTGATGAAGTTGTTGGAGCAACAGGTTGAGCGGGAGAAGACGCAGTAAAAGAAGTCATTTATCGTTAACTAGGACTAGAACTAGACCTTCCATGAATGCCACCTGCCTCAGCGGATAATTTAAGCATTAACCTTCTTCCAGCTCTCCCGGGCCTTCAGCTCCTCCCACCACTTCTGGAAATGCGGGTACTTCGGGATCAACTCTGCGAACCCAAACTGCTCCACAAAGACGCCATATGGCAGATGCGCCAGATCCGCAAACGTAAGCTGGTCGCCAGCCAGATACTTCTGCTTGGACAGCACCCGCTCGTAACCCTGCAGCGCCAAATCCAGCTGTGACAGAAGGGCCTGGACGCGGGCCGCGTCCGTCTCACCGTGACCCTTGAGAGATTTAAAGACCTTCTCGTACGCGATGCCGTAAACCACAGGATCGAAGTAGGATTGCTCGATGGACAGGGCCTTCTATCGTTAACTCTGCTTCGATGTGCACCAGATGTGCTGGCTTACCTGCTGGTACAGAGCCCAGGCTTTCAGGTCGGATTCGGGAGGGGCCAGCTCAGTTCCCTGTCCGCGGTATTTGTTGATGATATACTGAGCAATTGCTCGGCTTTCTGCAAGTATTTAGCATCATCCGTTACGTCAAGTTCTTCGAAGCTCGAGAAACCGACCATAGATTTGCACACCGTTCTCGGTGTCCTGCAGTACTGGGATTTTTCCAAAGGGCTGGAGCTCATTCAGGTAAGTCTGGGTCTTCTGCTCGCCCTTCATCAAATCGACAGTGTGAAGTTCATAGTCAAGGCCCTTCTCCGCCAGGACGGTGCGGACACGCATGGTGCAGGTCGAAGAGGGGTGCCCGTTAATTTTGAGGACCATTGTGAATAGTGAGTTGAGAGCGAAGAGCAAACAAGAAGATAGACGGTGGAGGGGACGATGCTTTGAGGCTGAGGTCTCGCTTATTGAGCGACAATATATAGTTCGTTTTATATCAGAGATGGCGTCAGACTTAGCGCTGATTGATTAACAATTTCAGCTCACTGATATTAGCAATCGCCGGAACTAATTCCGTCTGTTTCCCTGGTGATTATTAATTTTCTGTCTGTATGTACACAGTAGGCACTAGGTACTCTGTGCACAGCTGTTAATCTAGCTAGATGACATGCATTTGTTAGCCGCCAGTGGGAGTCGACCAAATCGCCCTAGTTCTCAAAGGGCAGGATATCATAATCATCTGCATACCACGGAAGAGGGATCGATTCTTCACTCTGGAAAGTTTCCAAGATAATCCATCTTCTCTGCATCGACCTGGCATGATAGATTTTCAGCATCAGAGACCTTGGGAGACTTCTCATCAGTAAGCGCAATCCCAGTTGTTTCAGCATGGCCGTCACAAGCAGCACCCCAGGGGGCGGAGAGGCTTTGATTTGTGACGCTACTGGGAGGTTGTGCTATAGTAGCAACTGTCATGGTCAACTCCGTGTTCAGAAGATCTCGATAGAAAGTTGGGAGTGAAGGTATCCAACTTCCTCTTCAGATGCTGAATGGTGCATGTATGACAATCCCTGGTGACGATCACAGAGAGAGATGGAGTCTTCAGAAACCACCGAATGACTCTTGCGCACAGAAATCTGCACTGGTTACTAACAAGGGATGTTTAACCCAATATATAAAAGTCAAAGGTCCTCCTATGCTGGTGTACTGCACCGTCGAGACATCACACCACCAAATCCCTCCTCTCGTTATTGGACAGCCGCTTCATCATAGATCCCAGGGATTCTCAGAGTACCTTCGATATGGATAGAAGTGAAGAAGCGGCCCCTTTAGAGATGCTGCCTACAGCAAGGAGATCCATGGTTAGACATAGCCAACGACGACATAGTCTATTAGGCAACACGGTCTCTGTGTACAGGCAGCATCGCAACAATATATGCCCTCACGGCCAACCCAGATTGGACTATCAATCCATCAAACCTACATCTTCTGACTTGCACCACATACAACATGCCGACCGTTACTCAAGCCCCCGAGTGGACTATCGCCAAAGAAAAGAGACTCCCAATTCCGCCTGTGCCACCTAAGCCGGTCACTCTGGATTCCATTATGGAAGACCTGCTGCGCTGCGACATCTACCGCTTTTTCGAGCTGGACCGCCATCCTAACCCTCGAGGAACTTGGACCTTGGAAGAAAATGAGAGATATTCGACTCCCGAAAACCTCAGTAAGCAAAATATGTGCGCATCTACCACCATCAGCAACCCGAACGCCAACCAGCATCAGCGAACGCCCTGGCCAAATTGGACAAAGCCGCCCCTCTGGGCTACAACTCCCACCACGGACTGGCCGCTAGACGTATAGTCAAGACGATGCTAGTCTCTAGCCTCCTGGACGAACAAGAGACCAACATGTCCATGGGTAAATCCTCGGCCTACGTGGGAATTCATCTGCGCCAAGCCTTCCACTGTGAAGGCACCATTCTGGATCTTCGACAAGAGTTTGATGGCGCTCTGGATTTTGCCATTTGCAACGCCGAAGAGCTGGGCACCCAAATCAACGCCCTCGTCTGGGTGAACCCATATCCATTGAGCATTATGTGGCAGTGCATCTCACTCATGGGTAAGCTGAGCTCCACTCAATAGTGCAGACACAGACTAATCCGCCGCAGGAGCTGTTCATAATGCTCGCGAGCATGAAAACAAACGAATCACCGCGGTTTACGGGATTGCGACTGACGGAGAGGAATTTTACTTCATCGAAGTCGACGACAACGGCATGGTACGCTACGTCTATCCGATCTTCGAGCAACAGCAAGCCAACGATCCATAGGTCTCATGGCACCGAACCACCTGGTCTGACAGCGTCAAACAAACTACAAACGAAGTGTATTCGTACATGCGACGATTCTTCCACGACATCACTGGTCGGAATAGCACACCCGTCCCCGGAACTCGGACAAAACCTCCAAAACATCCACTGTCAGTTTGGTGATTGGCATGGATGATCGATATCTGAAACATCGGTTTCAAATATAGCACATACACGACATACCCGACGATTATCGACAGTACGCCGTCTCATTCTGATTGGTATCTACTCAGTCAGTCAAATCGAAGCTCACCGGCGTCAGCATGGCATACCTTTTTCCTTTTGCTTGGTTTCCTCTTAACATTCGATTGAGGTTTTACAAGCAACGGGTTTTTTACTGGTGCCTGCCATAGGAACAACCTCGGCTCTTACCGACGGAGGGAAGAAATGGGGATTGATGGAGTGTATTGGATTCTTGTTGTTCTTCAAGTCATGTATTTATTGATCTTCTAGCTACATTGAAATCTTGCCACGTCATCCATTTGGTCCCCAGCGATCCAATTGTCAGTGCAAAATCGTAGTTGAAGTTGTTGGTCAGGGAGTTGAAAGAATTAGGAGAATCTCATATGATACTGTGTAACATATCAATTCTTGTCAAAGGATGTCCATTATCAGCAGCCTGAATATGTTTAGAAAAGAGCCCTTGGTGTCGGAAATATGTCGTATGTGAGATAGTTCGTAACGTCGGACATAAATTAGACAGGCCAGCCTGTCTTTTACAATTATTCTATATATACAAAGTCTCATAGCGTGATCCACCGTGGAGTTTCACACGAGCCCAGCTCTTGTGCAACAGCATCAATCCGACCAGTGATCCATCCCGAAGTCACTCCTGTCCTACCAATTCCACGCTTCACCCCTTTTGACGTGCGACACTTGTCGGTTGAAAAGGAATACTGCAGACAGTCTGGCTTGCCGATGCAGAGCGCTTTACACTCGGTCAGGCTGCCGACTACTTGTTCCTCCTCGGAGAAGTTGTCCCAGTCATCCTGTAAGGGGATGAGGTGCGGCTGGACAAGATGGCGAAACACATCGCCATGCAACATGACACTGTTCTCCTCCTTCTTTGGTCAGTCGTGTATAAGGATAAGAGGATTGTGAAACTCACCTTCTGGAAAAACCCCTGATCGAACTTATCCAGCTCACGGATATCGTCTCCTGTCACATGGTGATATGCGACAGGGGGATAACACCACGCCTTTCTGGAGTAACCGTCAGCGAAGTGATCGAACTCGGCCGGGGTGTTCGACTGCAACATGGGCCACGACCAGAGCAAGGGTGCTCCGGCATCATGAAGTAGCTTTCCTAAGACGCAATCGCCCGCCCATTGCTCGCTGGTGAAGCGGTCCCACGCGTCGAGATCCCTTGCACGCAGTTTTGATGCCCTGTGCATGGCTTCTCGCGACAGAACGAACCCAGACCCGCCATGTCCGAAGATGACATCGGCAATCTGCATCTGGTTGCCCAGATAGTATGGTCTATCGGGGTCAAGTTGGGCCAACCATTGCAGCAGATTCGGCCAGATGTAGTACGTGTCTGCCTCCATAAAGACATACCACTTGGCGTCGTCGCGGACCTGCAGCGCTTCATCGATCATCGGGAGGAATTTCCACTTGTCCAACTTCCATCCAGGGTTGTCGGGCATGCCGAAGGGGCTGTTTGGAACACGGCTGACATCGTTTTGAGAGAGTCCGTTGCGCCCTGATGCACGCAGACGGTTGTAGAGATTGAAGTCGGGGTTGGTGCGCTTGATGGATTCATTGACGCTGCGTAAAACATCCTGCGCGGGGACTCCGGCAATCACTTCGTCGTAATCGGAGAATAAAACAGCGTTGGGGATGCAGCGGAGGGTTGTCTGGAAATGTACCGGCACTTTGTCCAGTGCTTCTGTAACGCCTGTCTTTAGGACTACTAGGACATCCTCGATCCCTGGAAGTGGGGGACAAGGCGGTTCCTGTGACGAGGTAGTGGCGATTGTTGAGGAGACATGCAGTGGTGTTTCGATATAGAAAAAGAGGTAGACAAAGAGAAACCCAAGGAGGGGGGACAAGATATATATCCGTCGCGAAGGGGGCCGACTCTGGGGGTGGAGGAGCGTCATTGAGAATGCTAGTACTATAGCTATCTAGCATCTACTTACTAACTGACATTTCCATCGATGATCCCACCAGGACCGAGACAAGACCGTTTTTTAAAGACAACTGCTTAGTCTTCGAGGGGGGGGGTGATGGGATCATGGGCGTCTCCTTTCATGTCGTTGGACTCCTTGTCGTCCTGATCATCGTCCCACAGGACGCGTGCCACCCAGCCATAGAAGCTTGGATGGCTAATTCTTAAACCAATGGAGGAGTGGCCAGCCCCATTTTCCCAGCGCTAACCCGCCAACCTGACCCTCCTAACAGGCTACGTCGGGAAAATTGCATTGTCATTGGCGCTAATGCCGCACGATCAGTGGAGGGGGCCAGAAGAACTGCTATCAATAGCAGTGAAGATCACCAGTGGCAGCGCCAGCAACAGGCTGGAAAGCAAGGCGGAGTATGACGCCATGGTGAGAACAGGACGTCGAACAGTAATTGAAGGGGTCTCCTCAAGTATGGACATTTTAATGCCCAAGGACATAGATGCGCAAGGGAAGAAAAAAAAAAAGAAGAAAAGAAAAACAAGATGACCAGTGCCGGGCTCGATCCGGCGACCTTATCGGTGTTAACGATACGTGATAACCAACTACACCAACCGGCCATTGTTGAATGCTTGGCAGCGACTAATGCTACATAATGCTACAGAACCAAGTTCCTAGTCTTGGCTATGAATAAGGATCAAATTTCAAACAGCACACACACATCATTACTCTTATTATCCAAATACTCACACACTCATGTTATACATCGTCTGCTTTCACTCCTCATCGCAATCTCTATTTATCCGCAATCAAAACACCGCGATATCGCATCTTGCCCTCTTCCAGAGTCTTCAAGCAATCCTGAATCCCCTCTTCATTGAGTGGATACGTCATGATGATGGGCTTGATATTATGTAGCGCCGCAAACTCGAGCATGTCGCGATGAGACTGTCGCGGTGCAACGACGGATCCTTGAATTCGCAATCCGTTGGCTAGGAGTGGCATGTATGGGAACTTCAAGTCCTCATTGTCCACCGTTAGTGGGGAGATGACTGCGCTGGGTGCTAGGACATCCAAATAGAGCTTCCAGTCCGGCTGTGTGCTCATGGTGACAATCAAGTTGTCCAGCGGCTTGCCGATCTTGAGCTCTTTGGCTCCCTTGGTCGCGTAGAACTCCCTTGCTCCCAGTTTCATGGCCTCATCCTTCTTGCTCTCGGTGCCAGAGAACACGACGACCTCACATCCCATCTTGGCTGCGAACTGGATCGCTAGGTGGCCCAGTCCACCGATGCCGACGATTCCCACGCGCGACGTGGGTTTGACGTTTCCAACAACCATAGCGTTCCACACAGTTGACCCGCCGCACATGAGCGGTGCTGCGTCCTCGTTGTTGAGCCCGTCGGGGATCTGGAACAGGAAGGCTTCGCGCCAGACCGCCTGCGTCGCGAAAGAGCCCTGATCGAAATCGGCGAGCCCGTAGAATTTGCGCTCGGGACAGAAGGTCTCCTGACTGGTCAGGCATTGCTTGCAGTGTCCGCAGCAATCGTGTTCATACCCCCAGCCGACCCGGTCGCCCTTTTTGAGGTATATGACGTCGGGGCCCGTTGCTTCCACCACGCCGGCGCCTTCGTGGCCCAGTGCCATGTCGGATGTCATATAGTGGACATCAGTATAGCAGACACCCGAGTGTGTGACGCGCACAAGGACTGAATCGCCTTGGAGATCATCGCGATGCGTGGTGGCCTTCTTGATCGACCCATCCTTGGAGCCTCGGTATACGGTGAAATCGTAGCCCATGTTGATTACTGTTTATTTTAATGTATCCTTGTATGGGTACCTTGAGAGACGAAGATCTACTTTATACTACTGCGACGGGCATTGCTAATGAATCACTAAGTTTCTACTATGATCGCGCTTCGCATCGCATCGGTGGACCCGGAAGCCGATGATGTAGGCAAGTGGAGGTGGCAACGGGAGGGCATACATCATCGACTCGGTTGTTGATACAGTCTTTCAAGATTTAGATTTTATACGGAGTATTTGCTTAGCAAGCATGAAGAATGGCTCCCGAAGTATCCAGCAAGATAAGGCATGATTATAAACAAGGATAAGTTACTGTCACACTGTCCACATTGCATCACTTCAATCCCCTCATACATCGAATCCATATTTCGCCTAAATCACGAAGCTGAACCACACAACAATGGGTACGATCCACATGAGCAGAGCAAGGTTCGGTAACCTACTGCAAGCTGTAGACTTTTGATGTTTCCCATCGTTATCTCCATTATGGTGCTCGGAAGTATCACTCGACTCCTCGCTAGTATCCCCGAACAGGTCGGCAACAAGCCTATCTCCCAGTTTCGTGATACTTGTTTCAAACTCCTCGTAGGTCTTCGCTTTCCACTTGGCTTTGGCGCCAGGGACGGCCTCTGTCCCGGTAAAGGCAAGATAGAGCACATCCGAGCCATCGTATCCGCTATTCCCTGCGATTTCCTGACCAAAGCAGGCCGTCGCGAGGGCGATGCTTGCCTCGCCGACCATCGGATGCTCCCCGTCGTCCCCGTTAGTGTCGCCCCAGATCCCGTACACGAGCTGATCGCGGCATACCACGGCTACCACGCTGAGAGGCTGCACGCCCACAGAACGCGGGTCAAACGTTGGGCTGTAGTTTCCCTCGTTCCCTAGCACCACATATGGATGGATGTTGGCGTTCAGGTCGCCGATTTCGAATTTGTGCAGATTGGTGCTGAAGGTCGTCTGACCCTGCGTATCGGTCGACGACTTGCAGCGTCCATCCCCGCCGCTCTGTTCACCATCGCAGTCGATATCCATGTTAGCCAGGTCAGATCCAGGGCCTTTGAGATACAGTCCCTTGCCGAGCGGAAGGTATTTGGTGCAGTAGGCTGTATGCCCCCCACTCTGCTCGGTGTTGAAGAAATCAGTGGCAAGGGCGTCGGGTCCAGAGCATGTGCCGCCATTTCTGACTTGGTTATAGAATGCCTGCAGGCTGGCAGGGATCTCCTTCGCTAGGGCCTGTGATACCCATAGGACCATCGATGCCGCAAGAGCAGATTTGTATAACATTATGATGAGCCAACGAGTGAATAGATATGAGTATGATATAAATCGTCGAGTAATAATCGAACGAGTGAATATTCGAAAGCTTGATGAGTGAAAAGCAATCAATCCTAGGATATTCTTTTAGCGCCATCAGTCTGTGGCCGGCATCGTTGCCTGCATCCGTGATACTCTATTCTAGGACAATCAACTTCGTCATCATTGTCCTGACATTGTTTGTGTTGCGAAATCTGATCGTTCGAGAATTTAGACTATGGCTGCCTGAATGAACGCGATATCTGTACCTGAATACAATGAGATTAATTAAATGAGCGTGCTATTTCGTCACCATACACATATATCAAACTCTGGAAGCTAGGCGGCAACGACCCCGCGAGTCATGGACACTATCTCTAAACGACAGAACGGTACCTGGCCATTTCGTTCCTGTCAAGTCTTCCCAGAGCGGAGCGGTAGGAGGTGTCTTACTCTATATGATGTCCTTATCCCAGGAGTTCCCTTTTTCTTCTCAAAGGCCGAGACGACATATTCAGGATTGTGAAAGTCACGACTATTCAACTCAAGAGGTTTTAAAAATAATCCATGCGCGGTGGCATAAGGTATCCCGGCGATATTGAACGCAGGGAACATCCCTCTGCCTACCGCATCGGGGTAGGAGGAATGTGCAACACCCATTAGGGCCAGTATAGTTAGGAAGTCCCTGCAAACTCCAGAGACCTTGTCACTATAAGGTGCCTTAGATATCAAGTAGCATGGATGAGATTGGCCACCTCAAAGCGAGCATTGTTTCGTGAGCACCACTCAACCAAGTGTTGCACTTCATTTCTGGTCACTTCGGCGGCAAGGTGGCTTGCACAGTTCATGGTTCGAATTCCAATTCTTCCTGCCGACTTCCATCCCAGATTGGTACCCTGCGTTGTTTAATCAGTGCACTTTGTGGCTACTCCCATGTTGCTTGATGTGTCATCGCGTGCCTCGGACGTATCCTTCCATCATCATAGGTGAAGAAAAAGGCACGTGGTGCTCTGATGCCATGGTTTGACTATAGGAACTGGGGTGATCGTTGTTCTATGGGTGATCACGCTGAACTTTAGCCGATTCTTCTAATGCCGACGAAAGTTTACAGCGATAACTCGATTGCTGGGAACTCCGTGAGGACATCCAGGCATTTGATGACACCGAGACAAGACGACTGAAAGGGAGTCAGTTAGGCAGTGTGCAGCTGGCTTCGGGTCCAAGCGGTCTATGATCTCGATATATGGTAGGGAACGATTAACATTATTAGCTTCCAACTATATATTTTGGCCTTTGATGTGCTGCAATCACAAAAAGCTGGTGGTTTGTGCCCTCATGCAGATATTCCCGCATTTCTTGGCGCACTATTATTGTCTATAGTGTCATCTGTGAATATGCTTCATACTCCTTGTATCTGGAAGCCTAGACCATGGCCAAGCGTTGTGGAATGATAGCTCAGTTTTCAATGGAAAGGATTCGGCTAGTATTCATCGAAGGTGAGGACCCCATGAGTGCTAGAATGTTATCGCGGACAGCCCGACAGCGGATACCTAGACAGCGGGGTGTGCCAAATGTGATGAGTTTTGCTCCAAGGGTCGAAGACAACGCATTTGATCGATAGAAAATCATCTCATACGATCATATCAGTCTGAACTGCAGAGAGAAGCATTGTCCAGGGGATCCTCACCGACAGTGTCCCCTTTTCCTTCCCCCTCCAACGCTGGCCAACTGGTCGAATCCTCCGGGTCCTCGTGTCGGTTTCCGGCCAAGCTCTCCTCTGATTGGATGCGGGAGATGCTGTGGATTACGTGTGTATAGTGCTGTTCTGTTCCGACGGGCGATGCAGAGACTCAACTTCTTTAGGGAGAACCCGGTGGGAGGGAAGAACTCTTTAAATAGGCTAAGGATCCGGCTTCTCTCTCTTGTGTAAATCCCTGGCCACAATCTGAATCATGAATTGTCCCTCCCGCACGGACGATACGCTCCTGCACTGCGACTGGAATCAGAATCCCCCATCTCTGGCCCCGGATTTGACCACCCGCCAAGACCTCAATGGCATTTCCAATGCTCGTGTCCACAAATCTGGAGGGCTCGCCGTTGACTCATTGACATGTCTACAAACGACTCAATGCTTGTCTAGCAGACCAAAAACTCTAGAAAAAGTCAAGGCAGACCAGCAGGGGGCGTCTCTGACTCTGTCAGGTATTGAAATTCGGCCTGGGACTTGATGAAACCGAGGAGCTGTTTGCTGACTGACCCGATTCAGGACGCCCCGTTTCCCTCAAAGCCAGAGATAGTACTGGCCAAATTTACTATCCGAGTCACTGTTCCACTCAATCGGCACCTTCTTCCCTTGAGAAGATCAAGAGCTGGGCATGGTGGCTGCTGTCGGTGCTGTTCACTTCTGCCGTCATCTCCCACGAGATTGTGGCAAAATACCTCGGCTTAACTGTCTCATTCGCGAATCGTTCGGATGGCGCTGAAGCCCCAGCACGACTGCTCAAGAGATCAACCTGTGCCGAAGGAGGCGCCAATCGTGGCGACTACAACACTCCCTTGCACGTCGCAGCTCTCTTTATCATCCTTGCCGTTTCCACCTTGGCTTGTGCATTCCCCATCCTGGCCACATGGTTTCCTCGACTGCGCATTCCACCCTCCTTCCTCTTTGTCGTCAGTCATTTTGGTACTGGCGTTCTCATCGCCACAGCATTTGTCCATCTGCTTCCAACGGCCTTCACCTCTCTCAACAATCCATGTCTCTCGAGTTTCTGGACCTCCGACTACCCAGCCATGCCCGGAGCCATCGCCTTGGCCGGCATCTTCCTTGTCACCGTCATTGAAATGGTCTTTAGCCCCGCTCGGCACGTCTGTCGCGGTGGACTGCGAGTCTCCGAACAAAAGCCATGTCTTCCTGATCATGGTATCGACAATGCGTATGTGCCAAAACTGGAAGATCCTGCTGCAGCGGAGGACCCCATGCGACTCGCCTGTCCCAGGCTTGAAAGCCAATCGCATCTGCGTGACCTTGGGCCCTTGATTGGTAGATCATCCAGTATGAGTCGGACCATCAACCGCATCGGCGAAGACTCCGACCGCATCATACGCATTGCATCTGCTCCAGGAGGCAGTCCGACTCTGGAAGAAAGCAAGATGCAAGCGGTCGAAGACGTGGAGCGCAGTGATGAATTCACTCTGGCACCGGAACAAAAGCATCGAAAGGCTGTCATGCAGGTGCTCTTACTGGAGATGGGCATTCTCTTCCACAGTGTATTCATCGGCATGTCCCTGAGTGTGTCTGTGGGCAGCGAATTTGTGATTTTGCTGATCGCCATTGTATTTCATCGTATGTGACCCGGCCCCGAAACTCACCTGACTTTGGCTGACAGTACCAGAAACTTTCGAAGGTCTGGCGTTGGGATCTCGCATCGCTGCGCTTGACTGGCCAGAAAGCGCCATGCAGCCATGGCTTATGTCGCTGGCATATGGATGCACGTAAGTTTTCTCGGTCTCCATAAATCCCATGCCGGTGCTGACCTCAACTAGAACCCCAATCGGCCAAGCGATCGGCCTGGCAACACATACCCTCTACAGCCCCGATTCTGAGGTTGGACTACTGCTTGTAGGCACCATGAATGCCATTTCCTCGGGTCTGCTCATCTTCGCATCGCTGGTCGAACTGATGTCGGAGGATTTCCTCAGTGACGAGAGCTGGCGGGTTCTTCGAGGTCGGAAGCGGGTTATTGCCTGTGTCTTGGTGTTTGCAGGCGCGTTCTGCATGAGCCTTGTGGGCGCTTGGGCATAGTCAATGCGAATACAGTCTGATCTAATGCTCTACACTATCTAGAAGTCCTCACGCTGGCCTGAGGCACCCCTAGTTCGCATCATACTGTGATGCTATTGTACTATCTCTTCCTTCGTTCTTCCCCATCGTTCATCATCGTCCATCTCCATATTACTCGATCTTCGCTCAACTCACGAGCACATTTCTCCGGCCTTGAAAGGTAGCAAAAACAGACCTGTGCTTGGATGACGTCGCTATTGTCCGCTCAACTACAGGGAACAACGACTCGAATTATCGCTATCCATCCGACCTGGCCACGATCAACTCTGCTAATTTTTTTTTTCGGTCTGCAGCTGACAAAAATCCATCAGGAAGCGTTCCCAAAACTGGCATCAATTCTTCTCAATCGCTGCGATACCGTCATTTAGCGAACGGATGCAGCAATTAGGGTTGGCTGAGTGAACGGAAAAGAGAGGACGGTTGCTTATGATGTTTCTTTGCAGGAGCAGAAATGATTTGCTCAAGATTGCTAGCTTAACTGATCAGAATTTACCTATTGCTTTAATGATTGTTTACTTTTGATTGCCCCTTTCTGGTGTCTTTCTCGGCAGCCTTTACTGGAAACCATGGACAGGAGTCAAGATTAGAGTCTACATCTTGAACCGAGACCTGTCGATACCAAGCGTAGATATCAAGATGATCCAAAGATATGTACTACGTATGGTCTATGGAGCATTGAACAGTAAACCGATGTCACCTTGATCTAAGGTCTGGAATCTGGAGTCTGGGCAAAAGGAACCGACCGATTCCCGGATTGGTTCAGAAAAGCGGTTTATCTCGGCTTCTTTATTTTCGATTTTCACACCACTGAGCAGGCCGAGAAAGAGAGAATGACCATAAAAGGTCCCACTCGCCGAAATGTTGGTTTGATGGGGGCCGAGGGGCGTAGCCTACGATTACCGCTTTGGGTAACTGATGCCATCCACAGCCGCCAAAATGCATCTGACGAGCTACATAAGCCGCGAAGAAGACGTTCATCGTTTGGATCTCTGTTATATAGTCAAGAATTTAAGCCCATTCAGCCATTCTCTCACACCACAAACTTTTATCCACAAATCTCTATCATGGCATTCTCATCACATATCTGCGTAATCGGTTCGCTCAACATCGACTTCGCAGTGTCGACATCGCGGTGTCCAGGGCCCGGAGAGACATTAACCGCCAATTCACTATCTGTAGCACCAGGAGGGAAAGGTGCCAACCAAGCCGTTGCCTGCGGACGAGCCTCGCTCGCTGCTGAGGGCCAGCAAGATGTGGCAGTCACCATGATCGGGGCCGTCGGTTCCAATGACACATACTATTCGACCTTGATCCGTCCGATGTTAAAGGATTCGGGTGTCAATACGGAGCATATTGAGGAACGAACAGACAGCACCACCGGGTCGGCGACCATCATTGTCGAGGAGGCAGCTGGCGGCGAGAATCGCATCCTGGTAGTACCGGGGGCCAATCATACGGGAATGCGTGATGTTCAGAAAATCCTCACTACATTACAGCAAATGCCACAGAGTCCAGCGCTTGTTGTCTTGCAAGGCGAGATTCCCAAAGATACTGTTGTGGGGTTGCTCGAACACTTTAATAAACCCGACAGCACCACACACGTTCTTTTCAATCCGGCTCCGGTCTTTCCAGACGGTGTACCCCTGTCGGCACTCATCGATACCACTGTCCTGGTGATGAATGAGACGGAGGCAGCCCAGATGAGAGCCTCGATTCTGGGAGAATCGTCAAGCGATACGTTGAGCGCAGACGACCTGAGACCAGAAGAGCTGGCAGCACAATTCCACGAAGTCGCCAAGGTCAAGATCGTTCTGATCACTCTCGGGGCCAAGGGCGTCTTTTACTCCACTATCACCGGTAAACAGGGCATGGTCGACGGAGTTCGAGTACAGAAAGTGGTCGATACGACGGCAGCAGGAGACACCTTTGTCGGATACTTTGCTGCGGCATTTGCTCGCTTTGTCTCCACATCAAGTTTGCTGGCCGGGTTTGATGATGACATTGAGAATGCTGTGCAACGGGCCAATTGTGCGGCGGCGATTTGTGTACAAGGGCAAGGGGCAATGCAGAGTATCCCGAGGATGATGGATGTGGATAGTTTACAATCCCACCAGTCATAAGCACAATAAACACCGGTTTTCGCAGACTTCAACCAAAGTTATCATCGTCGCATGCCATGCGCCACTGAGACTTGAGAGCCTCAATCTCATGGTCGAGCTTAATACCGGTGAGGAGGGTAATCTTCCGTAGACGGTGCAACACAGCCGATTGCTGCGACTCGTGCGTCATGGCTCGAGCAACCGTGAGAAATCCAGCGATAACAACTGGATCCCACTGCTCGATTGTATCGTTACTCGTAGTGATGCCGACTAGAGATTGCGCATGCCATATATGCGACGAGAAGCACCGGGGACCCGGCAGCGTCTTCACGAAGCGAGGTTTGTGAGTGAGAAGTAGGAAGCAAGTAATATGGTACACGGCATTTGCAACTAGCGCGAGGGAAGTGGTGTATATCAGAATTGGAAAGGAAGAGGCATTTTGGGGGTCGATCAGGTCAGCATCCACGGCTCGAATATCCAGGATCGGTTGCACCGGCACAGGGAGACTCTGGTACCATCGCCGACACTCGTTCCACAGATAGGTCCATTGGGATACAAGGTTAGGCTCAGGACCAACCTCACTGGTATGGTCTCCCCACGTCCAGGTCAGGGTATGGGCTAGAAGAATGAGAATCCGCTGGTAGATTTGCTGGATCGAGTCTGGCTGGGATGATGGTGCGAATGAGCGAAATGGTATTTTGGGGGCTTTAGAGCTTATGATGGATGCTGCGAGATCTGGAGCCCATCAATGAATAAGAAGAAAGTTTCTCAGACATGGCATACTTACCAATTCTGAATGGAAGCCAAAATAGAGCCCCCAAGGGTTCGTCCTCCAGTGAGATAGATAAAGCACAGCTCCTGAACACATCCATATGATCAGCTACTAAGATCTCCCACCGCGATGGGTGAGAGGAAAAAAAGCTCTGGAGCATCAAGACCGCCGTCACACTGCGTTGCACAACATGAACCTGTCGCCCTAAGTCACGCTCGGCTTCCTCTCGGTAGTGAACACTGCTAGCGAGGTCTTCCGCAGCAGAGCTCGTTGAGATTAGCGATCTCTGATATGCAGTGAGAGCGAGAATCGCGGCCATTAGAGGCCTGGCCTTTCTTCCAAGGATCAACAACGTGAGACCAAAAGCGCGCGTGGTATCTCCAACATCGATCCAAGGGGCCAGAGCATAACAATAATGACGAAGCAGCGCAGTCTCGAGATCGCCACCTTCAAATGTCCTATCCAAATGATTCACAAAAGCAGACGAAGTTCCCCGGTTGCTCTGGGGTATGGGTTCGGGAATGTCAAATTCAACATGGTCGATAGTGTCATTGAGATCCAATGCCGAGTCCAGAGCGTCGGCAGCCAGATGGCCATAAGTCTGGGACACCTGCACGTTTGATAGGCTTTTACTTCTTTGGGAAGAAGGAGAGGCCACAGGAGCGTCATCAACGAACTATTCGCTGGTCAGTCACCGCGCATGAAACTGACAGGGAACAGTAGTCTAGCCCATAATCTCACCCTGATGGAGCTGTAGGCCGGGGTAGTCCCACTCAACTGCGGGCCTGACGCATTCGAGACTGACACAAAAGTGACATTGGAGGGATATTTGCAGTCAAATCCTTTGGTAACGCAACTTTCGCAGCGTGGTTTGGCCTCGTCGCCTATTCATGCATTAGCATAACGCGCGTTTCCAGCGGGAGTTCAATCTCCATACATTTTCTCCTCCGTCTGCGACATGTCCAGCACCCCGTTCGAACGCGTTGTTTACCCGCTGGGGTATTTCTTTTCGACGGCATGGTTCATAGATGCTCACCATGGCAGTTGCACAATCCCAAAGAGGACCTCGAGGCTCTGTCCCTCGGAAAAGAGCGGAGTGGCGGGACGCGGATGCAAGTAGCCTGTGTTGGGCTGGGCTGGCGCTTCTCCGGGCCGATAAACAGCACTAGGGAGGGAAAAAATTCAGCGATCAGAAGACTAATAGCCTAATAGGCAAAGGTGGTCCTGTGACATAATTTATATGCTTTTTTTTGGGATATTTTCCCCACATGTTGTGATTCTGATGTCTGTTCTTCTTCGCACCAGCTACTAGGCGTTTGGATGTCTAATTGAAACCAGATAGATATAGGTAGCATTCTACTTATCTGCCGAACTTGAAATCATTTATGATCATTACATCTCAATTTAGACCCTCTCGACAAACTTCTCCTCGAGCGTCATCTCTTTCTTGAGCCCATTGTGCGCCTCTGTCATGGCTAACAACGCCGTCAAGCCCACATCTCGCTGTGCCTGCTGCAGCATCTCTGCGTCGCGCTCACCCGTGTGGCTGTTGAACACCCGGTCCATCTCCTCGAGAGACACATTCTTGGTCTCGGGGAGGAAGAAGTACACCCAGATGATGCCGACAAGTAGAAAGACGGCGAAGAAGATATATGTGCCCCATTCCCACGACTGAAGCATAGGAGGCACAAAGAAAGCAATAGCGAAGTTGCTGAGCCAGTTGCTCGAGGCTCCAATGGAGGCGCCTTTGGCACGGATTGACAAAGGAAAAATTTCGGAGATGAGAGTCCACGAGACAGGACCCCAGGTCGCTCCGAAACCGGCAATGTAGAGCCAGATCAAGGCTGGGACGAGTCAGAAAAATGAAACCAACAGCGAAGTTTATTTGAACCAAGAGTCTTACCAACTGCAGTCCATCCAGCCGCCACATGTCCAGGCCAGTCGTGCTGGAATTTGGCGACAATCACGCCGACAATCACCATGCTCAGAAACATGACCACCGAGCCGATCAAAAGCATCGGTTTGCGACCCACCCGGTCGATGATCAACTACTACGGTCAGCTCCGCCCTGGATATACAGATAAAGGAGGATAACTCACCATAGCTGGCACAGTGCTGACCAAAAATACAACGCCGGTGACACCAGTGGCCAGGAGGGCGATGGTGCCTCCGGTCAATCCAAGGCTCACAAAGATATTGGACGCGTAGTAGATGACTAGGGTTTTGTATTAATTCCAAGATTCTTGGGATATGTACCGGTTCAACAACTTACTGGCATCAATACCACTCCATTGCTGGAAGAACATGATCAACCATGCAGTGGCAACGCGCTTGAAGTTGTCCATGGTCCGGAAGCAATTGGCGTACTGGGCGATCTGGTTCTTCCACACACTCTTCTCCGCGGTATTTGGGAACGCTCTCTTCTCGAACAGAGCCTCGGCTTTGATCTCCAGGTATTCCACCTGCACCAGATTATGGTCCGCTGGGAGCTTCCTCATCCACGCCAGCGTGGTCAGGGCCTCTTCGTCCCTTCCGACCTTAACCAGCCAGCGCGGGGAAAAGGGCATGAACCAGATGCCACAGGCCAGAGCGATAGCCGGAATACCCTGGATAATCGATGGCAAGCGCCACGCGAGATCGGACTGAGTTTCGCCGGTGCCTCCAATGTAGTTGCTTCCGTAGCCAACCCAGAAGGAAATCATGATCCCGAGAATAGTCGCGAACTGGTAGAACGATACCAGCAAGCCTCGCATCTCTGGGGCTGCGAGTTCGGCATTATACAAGGGACCCACACCACTGAAGAGACCGACTCCCAGGCCGGTGAAGAATCGTCCTGCGTAGAGAAGAGAAGCCGAACCCGCGGTTGCGCCAACATAGAGGTAGCTGCCCAGGATGACCCAGCAGCATGCGGCGAACATGGTGTATTTTCTCGAGAATATTTCACCCAACACACCTGCCAACAATGATCCGACGATCCCTCCCAGCTGCAACACAGAGGTGAGCCATCCGGTAGCTGTGGACGATTGTACAACTGAGGGGAAGTTCTCCGTGAAGCGAGTCATCACGAGGGACTGTCCTAGGACACCTTGCTGGTAGCCATATTCAAACCCACCAAACCTGTTCCGATGGTCAGTTGAAGATTGTAGGGACGGGATCTGGGAGACATACGAGGCAAAGAAGGCGATGAAGAGGACCTTAGGATTCTCTCGCAACGACTGCCACATACTCTTCTTCTCCATCTGGGCTCGATGTGCTGCGTAGCCCATCTCCTGAGCGTCAGACGCTTCGAGATCCGTAGATGAACGACCGCCCATTGTGGATTTAGTGCGAAAACTTAAAAGGGTGTTGCGAGAATCTGTACAATCTCAGAGACAATACGGGGCAAACGTGCCTTTATATCCACATCTCCGCGAGCGAAACAAGAGAGACAAAATCAATTCCGGCCCTTCGGGACAGGGTTTTAGTAGATCAGCTCACTCCATGACTCCAGGATTCCCCAGAAAACGCCTGAATTACTCCAGAATTCCGTTGGATTGGGGTGAATCTGTGGGGTGTCTCATTCAAGACAGGCAGAGAGGCTGTAGGCTATGGTTTCCCATTTGGGCTGTGAGCGAAAACCCTGCATTCCCGCCTTCGCTCTGAATTTGGGGGACGGAGCCTCTCTCTCTGCGCGAAAAACCTCACACTTGACAAATCACACGAGCATCAGCAGGACTCTTGTTGCCGTCAACCCCACTTCCCCGTCGAATTATAGGCAAGTGGAGCAGCCTGAGATGTAACCTTTCTTGCTGGGGGATGGGGATTCTGCGGCATTTGAGATTTCTTCTTTGTTCAGATGATCCCTCAAGCCTACGGTGGATTTGTGCATTGGATGTGGGAACCGGGAAGGACAATAAATATCAAGCTTCAACTGGAAATCTGTAGCCTACGTTGCACGATGACATAGGCAGCATGCATTTTCATGAGTCTCATCTTCCACTACGTTCGTACCTCGTCAGAAGTGTAAGTGCTTGGTTGACTACTCGGGATCTCTGATGTCTTTACAAATTCTAGGAGCATCAAACAGTCGATAAAATCTCTCCCTGGTCATATCCCCAGGCCCGCTCCAGATCTCTCAGGCGCCACAGGGCACCCCATCCCGTGCTGTTCTCAATTTTCTTAAAGAGCCTGGCCACCGTAATATGCTCGGTCCGGTGGCTTAAAAGCTTCCCCGCAATGTACAGGGGCTGGATCGCGTTGATGAGATTGCCACTGTGCGGATTTGTCAACGAGATCCCGCAGATTCTCCTTGCATGCCAAACCGCCGACGAGTGGGGGCTCGGCGGCAATGGAGGTGTCCCGGTCGGTTTCATCTGCAACATCATGATGCAGGCCGTATGGTACAGCTGATTACCAGAGATTGCGGCCCAGTGCGCGAAAAGAATGTCGGGGAAGATCCGGTCGCCTCCCGTAGTGGTAGTTCGGATCGGGAGCATGGCCGGGCAACGGTGCTCTCGCCAGAACTGCAGCTCATCCCAGAGCCGAACCCATTGATGGATGAAGGGCCTCATATCGTATTGATCCAGTTCTCCCAGCTCTAGGAATCTGGATTGCCGACACGCCATGTTACAAGCCTTGGCGCAAAGATACACAGCCCAATTCGCATGCAAATCAGGATTTGAACAGTCATTACCGCAAAATAACTCTCGGATCAATTCCTCTCTTTGCTCCTCAGATTCCGCATCCTGCGGAGGAACCCACTTGTGAAGTGGAAGAATGGTGCTTTCCGTTCCATCCGAGATGATGGCTCCACACAGCTCCATTCTCGCATAACACCAGAAAACGGCCTGTAGGTGCCCTCCAGAAAATCCGTGAACGTTGTACGCATCAAAGAGAGCCGCACAGCCCTCAACATGCCGTCTCCAATCGCGTGGACTTACGGACATCAACTCCAGACATCCCAGGATACAGACCGTGACCAGAACATCCGGATCTCGAGCTTGAAGACACGGACCCAATAAACGGATTGATTGTTGATAGAGCTCTAAACTGTCATATGACTTCTCTAAGCATGCCTTCCGCTCGCTTTGACGGGCAGAGAAGGCCAAGATGGCGTAGAACAATGCGGGTGAGCTCTGAGCGAGAATGGGGATGTGAACACCAAAGTGACTTTCCTCGTCGAACTTGTCCAAATGGGGTGCACATTCGATGATCCAGTTCTTCAGATAATTGATCAATCTGATCTTGGGAATGGACACTTGGGCAAAGTCAAGACTGTTTCTCAAGAGTCCTGGCCCAGCCTCCTCCACGACGTCGGTTGGTCGGGGTGAAGCACCTCCAGCCCTGCTGGGAGCATGACTAGCTGCGGCGGTAAATAGAACATAGCGCAGCTCTTCTTGAAGTTGTAGAAATCGCGGATTCGCAGCATACTCGTCCGAGCTTGAGAGCGTCCCAGGCGAAAGTGTTGCCTCGTCCTCCACAAGGAGCCTTCCGATGGAAGTGACAGGTTCATTCATTTGCTCAGCTTATCGCGAGAACAGCCATCAATCTGGAGCACGAGAGACTTATAATCATTGTTCACGACATATCTCGGGTAACGGTGATTAACTCTGACAGTCGTCAAGAATCTGTTCGCCTCACAACGAATGTTCCACAGAATACTGTTTAGGGAATGCTTTTGGGGTCTGGTAAGGGGAAAGATCATGTGACTGAATCATGTGACAAGTAGTGCAGGGCTTGATGCCTAAGGCCGCCAAGTATACACCATCACATATGAGGCCAGCAGCTTCATGGAACAAGCCTGGGAACCAAGTTCATCAGGCAGTGGCACTTGTATAGATCTCCCTCTTCCTCGCTAGCGCAAGAACATAAAGACTGTCTTAACAAAGACATTGACATCACCGCACATCCTACCAAGACCATTACAAGAGGAAACTGATGTCATGGATTCCGGGCATCCGAACCTCATCGGAGAGACATATAAGAAGAGCATTCGAGTCCGCCAGAGTGATGGGTTCAGAAGATTTTTGGTAGAAGAAAGTGATCGTATAAGGTTATTGACTACCTCATGCCGAACTTCGAATTAGCGCGCCAGGTCCAGCACCTCATCGTCCAGCCGGCGGACCAACGCCTCAATCCTTCCGAGAGCTATCTGTTCGTCCAGGATGGCCTCATCATCAGCTGCGGCGTTCTGTATGCTCTGTGTTATCTGTTCTGTATGATCCGGACGTACGCCGATAAGACGTACCCTGGTGCTCGTGCCGGCAGCATTCAGTTTCTGTGAGTATAATCCTATCGCGTCCCGGATTCGAGCGTTGACAGGGTATGGGAGCTGTTTGACCATGGCGTACGAGGTATTTTATGCCTTTACGACAACGACGACCCGGTTTGAGAAGCTCGCATTCCTAGCTTGGTTCGAGCTCGATCTGAGCTTCACCATTGTTGCTCTTCGAGAGGCCCATACACCCCTTGAAAGACGGGTCATACGGCGGAATATGATTGTCGGCTTTCTGGCTGGAATCATGCTTCTCCAGATCCTCACGCAGATATACCCAGACGAGCGCCAGCAAGTCACTGCCTACTGGACCGGAATCCTTCTGCAATTCCCCATCGGCTGGATATGTTTGTATCTTTTATGGAAGGATCACAGCACCCGTGGTCATTCCTTGGAGATCTGGTAGGACGTGTCCCACCCATATTGCTGAAGCTCTGCTGATCCTGCAGGTTGACACGGTATCTGGGATGCTTTACCGCATACGGTGTCTTCCTATGGCGGTACTTCAATGTTCCCCAGAATTGGGAATATGTCTGGTCCCCGTGGAGTATCGGAATTATTGTTACAACTCTCCTTCCAGAGACGATCTATCCTTTCGTTTATGTGTGGGTGCACAAGACGCAGAAACCAAAAAAGGCATAGTTTCGATCTGGCCAGGGCGTCCTGACGCGACGAGGCTGAAGTTTATTTTACCATACTCCGTCATACACGGTGCTATCTGGTAAGCTGTGGTTCAAGTGTCTGAAGGGACCAACTGACCATGTAAGCACTGATCTCGGGGATATCCGCATAGTGGATGGGTTGTCCAAGTAATCCGGACAGCTCAAAGAGGAATATGTATCTTGTCAGTTGTCTATTGTCAAACTAATATACATCAACCTAGGGCAGCCGAGTCTATGCTTCTAGTTGATTCATATGGCTCGGAATATTCCAAGGGTCGTAGTCCAAATGTACAAACGCACGCTCCACGGTCGGGACACTCTCTAGCATATATTGAAGACTCTCACCCACATCATGACCATCCCGTAGACTGGTGCCCTCATCGAGCACAATGTCCACCTCGACATTGAGATGATCCCCTGCGTAGTAAGCTTTGAGGTCCTGGATCTTCCAGATGATCTTGGAAAACCGCATGGTCATGTACAACAGCACACTGTGGTCGGTTGGCGAAGCTGCCGCACCGGTCAGGTGGCGGATATGCTCAGTCGCCGTTCCACTCCAGTTCCAGATGATGTAGATGGAAAGCAATAGACCTCCAAGAGGATCCAGGAACCACCATTCAGCAAAGTGACCGACTGCGCAGATTGTGAGCCGAGGTTTAGGGTGACAAAGAGGGGGTACTTACCGAGGGGAAATAGAATACTAAAGAGGTTGAAAATGACATCAGTCATGGCATCCTGGGCGAGAGCTTGAACACTCGAGTTCTTGATCAAGCGACACCAAAACCAACAGAGGAGTTTGACCACGACCGTGCTCGCCATGATGATGATCGATGGCAGCGAGAGGGTCACCAGTTCATGGTCAGAGCCAAGCAAGCGGCCTAGAGAAGTGATTGCCACTTGCACAAACGAAGTCGCCATCACCACCGCAAAGACCAAAATACTGAGAGGCTCCAACCGTCGGCGGCTGATGGGGTATTGATCGCGGTCCTGCCTCTGCACAAGTTTGGTGGTTGTCCACACAATGACCGTGCTGAGAAAATCCAATGCACCATCCACTAGACTGGCCAAGACCGACATCGAACTTGTTAATGTCATAACCGCGATCTTAGCCGCCAAGAGTAGCACGTTCGCAATGAAGTTGATGTAGATTGCAATAGTGACGATGCGATCGCCGCTATTGACGAATTCGTGGTCCTCTGGCGAAGCGACCGGAGGATACGGAGCGTCCTCCTCGATTGTTGGGGGAAGCAGCGGCGACCGTTCATCAGGGACGCGGTATAGATTGCGAGGCGTCCTCTTGATCCTTCCGGTGGAAGTGTCTGCCGCTAGTTCCGCATCGCCATTGTGGTCACGATCTTCAGCCTGATGGTGAACCCCATTGGCGTGATCATGGTCATATTCCTCTATCAAACGGTGTGGAAGCGACGAGTCCAGCAGTTGATCAATGTACAGGTACTGCGACACCAGTTGATTGGTGCGTTCGTAGAACTTGCGGCTGTGAGACTCAGTACAGGGGAAATGGCACACGTGTGCTGACGATGACATACATTTTCTTCTTCATGCCCTTCAACTCCTCCGGAGATTTGTAGTACCGGTGCCTACGCACGAATGAATCAACTCAGGATAGCTCATATTCTCGTCTAGACGGAGCAGGTAATCCTACCATTGATACATCGTATTGCTGGCGCCGATCAGAGTCATGCCTCTGAGGAACACAGGAATACTCCCGTGTCGGTCCCTGAAGGGAGCGCCATCCCCATACTCGACTATATACTCACCTCGCGCAGTTGATGGAGGAACAGACAGTGATCGTCGACGCAGTAGTCCAGGAAGGCTCTGGCCTCGTGTCGCGAGAATCTCCCGTTCGGGTTCGAGGCTTGGTCTCCGAGCCGGGGTGCGACATTCGGAGGGGGAAGGGGAGGCAGGGCGGGACATTTCGGACAAATGAGATGACTGAGATTGCGTGGTCATAATTCAGAATACATCATCGGCAAGCCAATTGAAATCACTGAACATTTGAACAACAGAGTCGATAGATTAATTGATGATGGATGTTGCGATGGATGAACCTTCTTGTCTCTGTTGATTTTCTTTAATTTTTTTCTTGTGCTTCTTTGCTGACGTCACGCGTACCCGCACCACGTGATGCGATCTCTGGATCACCATCCACTGCACCCATGGATGCTTTCAAGAGAGACATCAAGATAGGAACATTGATTCAATTGCCAGATCTGTTAACTTGAGGTGGAAAGAACACATAAAACTGCTGTTTTGGTTTCTATTCCGGCTTGTCCCGGAAGAATTGAAGGAAGAGGATGTCCATGAATGTTCAAGTCCCATAAACACGAAATATATTTACATATATGTATCCAAAATCTACACCTGCTGATTCCACTTCACCACGATCACCTTCAACGACCCTTGCATTTTCTTAGATGTACTGCCAGGCGGCAGCAGTCTGGTTGGCAGGGGCAGTCCAAGCAGAAGCCGCGGCACTGAAGCCAAGGCAGTGAGCAGCGTTACCAGAAGGCACGACAGCGTTGGGGATACTAGCGAAGACCTGGTAGGGAGCGGGGGCATCGCCCTGGGTAGGGCAAGCCATGAAGCCGGTGGCACCCAGGCCAGTAAAGGTCCAGCCACCGATGGGCCCGTCAAAAGTGTAGGAAAAGCCCTCGACAGCCGAGCCAGGGGGAATGTTGGCGGAGTGGGCAGTGGTGAACTTGACGGCACCGGAGGGAGCAACGTAGATCTGCTGGCCACCAGGAACCAAGACATCCTGGAATGGATAGGTTAGCAGTGAGTCAGAGTTAAATCCAGGGATATCCAGCATACCAAGGCGTTGGTGAACAGAACAGTCTGGGTGCCATCGGGGCAACCACCGTTCTCCTTCACGATGTCGGGGCAGTAGGTAGTTGTCTCGCCGCCCAGCCAGAAGCTGTTACCCGAAGCGGTCATGCCGAGGAAGTGGATGGGGGAACTAGATCGGAGGGCTGTGACCTGGAAAGGTCCATTGTCACCGGCAGCGGCAGTGGGCAGGCAGTGGGCTCCAACGAGGAAGGAGCTGACAGAGGCAACAAGAGAGAACTTCATGGTGAAGGTTGAGGAGATTGTTGGTACTTTGAAGAAGTAGTAAATAGGAAGATGCTGTTGTGATGAGATGGAGAATGGAAGATCGACTTTGGCGAGGATATCCAGCATGTTTATATACCACGATAGGAGGTTATTTCGAGTATATTCTTAACCCTGCAGGCTCATCGTGGATGTAACCCAAGTGAGACCGGCATCCTGCTTGTCTCAACTGTGTCTATCGCTCGAAATGACCGATACTTGCTAGTCTAGTCCTGTGCTCGGGGGGGGTGCAGTATGTTGGATGTCGCTCCCCGTGGAGGTCATGGTGGGTAAGGGTGGTACATACTGTGCATGACCTAATCGAACGGTGTTTCCAATTCTCTACTGCCTGACCGCTCCTCCTCGGTCTGACATGGTTCAGCAATAATACTGCAATGATGGAATGATTAGAATGTAGCTGTCTGTCATACTGGAATGTACTTAGTAAGGTCTGGGGGTCTTTCATAATTTCCTACTCCGTATGTTCATTCAGGTAGGTAGCCTAAATATTAGGCGAAGGACAACCTTGAGTATTGATTGGCCAAGTGTTACAGATCCCTTGCTTGGACCCACACAATCACTCCATTTCTCCGCACGCTAACCCAGGAAAGGATGGTGATTGACAATTCTCGATGCTAAATATACCCTCGGCTATCAGTTTCCGGAACATGATTGGCTGCTGTGTTTCAGATCGACATCATGGTGCAGATCGGCAGCTGACTCATGCCTGACCAGGCCACAAGGCCAAAACACTGAGACATACTCCGTAGATGGCTTCACCCGCCCCCAAGCCAAACGAGCATAATTGTGGACGCAGGACGGAGTATGGTCGAACAGACTCCTGGAATAAGTACATCGAGTTATAGACAGTTAGACAGTTAGACAGTCCCTAGTCCTACAACAATGGCTTCGGCCCAAATGAAGAACAGGTTCCTTCGTCTTCTATGCCCCACGTCTTTCGACATCACACAGCAATGTCCTCCGGTCTGCTCTTCAATCAATGATGACAAAGTGGAGAGTGTCAGGTCATTGCCGTGCGTTGCCACAAACCGGTGCCCGTTGTCTGCAAGCTGACCGGTAATGCACCTTCGGAGTGGCCGTCCATCACGACCAAATTCCACGGTATAAGCCTGAACGGACAACATAATGATTACTATTCATCCAGCAGAGGTAGAGTGTGATTGCGAGCAGTTGACCACATACCTCGATGGTGGCTTGTCCGTCGGCAACAACCGTAACAGGTGGGACCCGTTCCTTCGCCGCCAAGTGGGGGTCCGCGCGATTATCCGGATATGGACTGTCTTTTCAGGGCTGCGAGGAGAGACAAAGAGCGTGTTGATACGTCAGGATTCCCCCATTTGCTAGAATTAGCCTACTGCGACCTTTCCCTTGCCGCGGCTGTCAGACCATCTCTGTGATTGCCTTGGAGGGAGTCAGTAATGCTGCCCTGTCTCATCGCGCTATTCAGGGATTGAGTGAATGCATTTGGCCTGCAGAAGAACAACCACGGTGGCATACGAATAAAAGTCGAACAGGTCCATTTCATTTGACGTCAAGCTGGGCGAAGCCAGCCAGGAGTCGAGGGATTATGCAATGGCCGGATTGGAGTAGTAATCGGGCCGTTGCCAGACTACGGACCAGCACAGAGTCAGCATTCAAAAGACAAATCCTCAAGTGCTGACCTACACTCGGCGGCATCCATGGACCCAGCACCACCAAGAGGGAAACTCCATCGGTCCTGCGGGATCCCCAGTCTAGTGGCAAACTTGACCGTCGTGATCACACAAGCCGCAGCCAGATTCACCGTATTGAATGCATTCTTTCGGAGGGGGTCTCCGTGCCTTGTCAGTGGCATCCCATTGGAAGGTCAAGTGGGTGCATACACGGTGAGCAAATTATTCAATTCTCTCTACTGGCCGTCCAGACGAAATCCGCTGGACATGCTTGGAATCTCCAAGCATATGGATGCTGGATAGCCACCCGGCTGAATTCTTCATACAATCAGGCTGATTCCTCGTGGTTCTCTTTCAGCGACTGTCGGCGGTGCGCATGAAATGCATTCCCATTCAACGAATAGATATGGACAGGTAGCCTGAATGAATAGATGACATCCAGATTGTCTGTTACGACTGTGTTAGCTCAAAAAGGAGATAGGGCCGCGTGGACGTCACCGCTGACCTCTCGAGAAACGGTCCGCAGAAGGTGCAAACGCCTGTCCTACTGGAATCGATGGCTTCCTCCATCCTGGTGAAGGGAGCTTCTTGCCTTGATGCATGAAGTCCCTATTAAGACTCAGTTTATTGCTACACAGAACAGGGCGAAGTAGAGCGTACACGAGGCTGATGTTTCACCACCAGAGGCCACTCTCAGTGCTGCTTCGTTCACTAATTTCGCTGGTTGGTTTCCGCTATGGCTATCGGCGTACTGTGTATATGTTGGATACACTCCCGGTCTGTCTGCGAGAAGACTTGGAAGATCAACCTAGGGCCTTGTCCACGTCCGGACCACGCTGACAGCATCGAAGCTTGACTTGAGTATATGGGGAGTAGCCTGAGGATATTGCGCATCAAATAGAGCAATTTTGATTGCCTCGAACATGAGATGAGCCGGCTCCTTCGCATCTTTGATTCTGGTGGATCTGTTGCGCACATCAACAACGCCAACAATAACAGGGATCATGGTGGAAGGCATGACTGTCCCAAAAGCCACGGGAAGATAACTTGGTCTCATATACCGCGATTTTTGTCGCCTATATGGGTTGACCCCTGGCCTTTGGACAAAGACTCTGTGTTCGATTCCTTCCTGTTTTCCTTCTTTCCATGCTTCTCTTTGATTCTGAGCGTTCCAATACCATCTACACTACGCACCTACACCCCTAAATCTTCCCAATGTGGACGGAAAGCAAATCGGTGGTTTACACCGCTGCCCAAGGGGATGGCGTGTCGGCGAAGAATGAAACAGCTCAAGACCACTGGGATATGTGGCAAGTGGGACGGTAGCAGGAGCTGAATGTATGGGACAATCCCATGAGGTCTCGAGGAGGAACCTACTCTGACTTCTATAGCGGAAATTCCAGTTTCTGTCGGTCCTGGGATTCACGGCAGTATTGATATGTACCTGGGAGGCAGTTCTCTTGTAACATTTTTTTTTTCTTTTTCGTCATGTTGAACAAATATATTCTGAACCAATCAACTGGGTAGTGGCTCCTCTTATGGTCTGGTCAACGGTGGCAAGGGAGGCATGATCTACACATATCTTGGAGGGTCTTGCGGGTTTTAGCTTCGTTATCCTGTCTATGGCTGAGATGGCATCTATGTACGTGTTGCGCATGGACTTCAACAGTGGACTAACAGGTGAAGGGTCCCTACTTCCGGTGGACAGTATCTTGGGTCTCAGAATCTGCAAACCCAGCTGCTAGTGTATCTTGAGTTATATCACTGGCTGGATATGTGTCCTCGGATGGCATACGGGTATTGCAGGATGTTGATATACTGTGGCCAACGTGATGGTCGGGGTCATTGCCATCAACTATCCAGAGATGTATACCTACGAGCCCTGGCATGTTACCCTACTAGTCATTGCTGTCGCATTGACTGCTTTACTATTCAACACGCTCTTGGCGCAGAAGCTACCCTTGATCGAAGGGATCATCCTGGTTATTCACTGCTTTGTGGCCACAGCAAAATATTGTGTACTTAGGGGATGACAGAATTTTCGTGTCTCTTCTCGCGTTGTATGTGTAGATGGTATCAGACTCATCATCCTCAAAAGCCCATTGAAGAATACAGTCCAGGAGCTGTGGTAAGAGGCGAATGTGCTCGATTACTGTCATCCTGTTCAGTCAATCTTTGGTTTGGCACAGGTTGATCATGCGGTAGTTCTGTAGAAGATAGAAGAAGAGTTTAATTGATTACTTATGAGCTTCCATGAACCGTTGACAAACAGTCCACTATTCTGTCCCCTGTCGAGTGGCATCCACTTGTACTATTGATCTGTGATCTGGATACACTGTACTATGCTAATATCTATGCAAACCAGCAAGCCAAAATGCTTCGATAACCCGGATAAAACGCGGAAGACCCTCACGAGTAGCCTCTTAGAACATACAGGTTCTAATCCCTCCAGAAAACGCGCCCCTCCATGATGCGACGGGCTGTCCGAAACACTGTTGCACAGCTCAGATGGCCCGCGGGATCGATATCGGCACTCACCAATAGATTTCCACTGGCATGACCGAGAGTAATGCCGCCAGAATCCACAGGCTGATTGCTCATCACGCTGGCCACCACGCTGCCGACGACTCTGGCAGCTGCCGCCAAAGCCAGTGCGACAGTGATGGGGACGGCCTTGTGTGGCTGACCGACGGATAGGGCGCGGACAACCAGATCTACATCGTATATTGATTGCTTCAAGTCGGAAAGGGATGATCTCGAGGGGGTTGAAACTAGACAGATCTTGGGAACACTCCCAGGTACCTCCTCTGGCGATGCAGCCAAGCCCATCCGCACACCGGCTTGTCGACGGATGGAATCCAACCTGGTGAGTAAAGTCGGGTGGGAGTCAATCTCACTTGGTGTTAGATTGCCCGCTACACCTAGGTCTGACGAATGCACAAACACGCACGGATTGCCCACATCGATGCAGGTCGTCGGAGTCTCGTCCACGATGTCGACAACGTTGCCAGTTGGCAGCAGTTGACCAGTTCGGGATCCGGCAGGATCAATAAAATCCAGCCGAACCCGCGCTGCTGTTCCTGAGACACCGTCGATGGCAAAATCTCCCGAAGTGGCAGCCTCCCCGTCTACCACGGGGAAGGTTGACCGAATGATTTTACCGGTGTTCGTGTTAAAGATGCGCACCGAGACCGAGTCGTTGCCTTTCGCAGCCACGGGATACAGACCTGTATCGACAGCATACGGTCCTACTGCACTGACCATGTTGCCACAGTTGCTGGAATAATCGACATCGCAGTTTTTCACGCCGAGGGAGACGAAGGTGTAGTCCACATCGGCATCCAAACGGGCGGATTTATTAACCACACAGATCTTGGACAGGCTGGATATACCTCCGCCCATTCCATCTAGCTGGCGTCCATAAGGATCAGGACTACCGATACTACCGCGGAAGATACCGTCCCATTGTGTTTGATCGCGGGGGAGATCCTCCCGGCGAAAGAAGATGGCCCGGGAGGTACCGCCGCGGTAGTATGCGGCTGGAAGGCTGTGTTGCTTCTTGACATAGAGCCAGGCGCCGGAGCTGAACCGGCGATGTGTTTGGAGATTGGTAGCAGCAGATGACCGCATCGCCTGCTGAAGCGGTGTGATGGCCATCTTGGATTTGTTTATTGTTTGGTGAACTTAGAGTAATTTGACTACATTGCTTTTAAGGGGCGCCAAGTAAGTGTTCATGGCAAAGTGGCGAAGACAACTCATGGTGCTCCGATTTTCGGCACTTGCGAACCTACGGAGTCGAGTCATAGTAACTGTTTCAATGTTTTAAAAGGACAAAATGAAAGAATTGCCCGTCTCCCAGCAGGACAGAACCCGCCCAGTGAATCTGGCTACCAGCAGCCTGACGGTGTTACCCGCAATATCCGAACTGGTTGTTGCTAATCATCTCATCAGACATGTTCTCGTGCAATTACCTTCCAATTCTCGGTCTCTTGTTCGAAGATCAGGCAGGTGACATGCAAAATCGTATTTAAGTAATATCTGGGCTAGTCTATACATTTTCCGCCAACTAACGCCCTCCTCTATGCAGTATAATTGCCGAGAGCGGATAAATTGTCAATGCGACCAAGAAGAAATTCCAGATGACGATAAGCCGCTCCAGGCGTGTATTGGGGAATCTCTATTTGATCGTCAGCACATAAACCGCTTGTAGTTGGGCAGTCTGTCTTACCGTGACCTGCCAAATTGACGGTGGAGAAGGTCAGCCCGCGCTCTGTGTGCGCGGTTCCCATGTACCCAGCTCCTGCATCAAGAATGAATGGATTCGGGGCTGTGGAACTCCAGAGCTCTGCCAGACCATAATGATAGGGCACAAAGAGCGGTTCTACCGGGGCATGTTGGAAGCCTTGAGCTCCATTCCACGTCATATTCTGAATCGTCGCCAGAGACCCGTTCGCAAAGAGCAAATAGTCCAACCATCCATGGCCGATCAGGACATTGTTGGTTCGTTCAATGACACCAGGGAGTGGCCCCAGAGCGCTAGGGAGTGATTGATCGCCCTTGGGGAAAATGGTGGTATCTCCACAAACCGCGTAGTCGGTCGGGGGTACATTCAAAACTTTCTGAACGTCGGATCGGTTGAAGTAGTTGTTGGGACCGCCCGCAAGAGATGGGAAGCCCATCTCGTCCCACAGATAGGGACAGAAGTCGGTAATATGGTAGAAATTGAAGCAAGGATTGACGTAGTAGGCCGCCTGGATGATCTCGTCCCACAGGGCGCAGTTATTCTTACTCGGGTCTGGAGGGACCGGGAAGTTCTTTGGGGGAGGGAAAGTTAAGGCTGCGTCCATGAATTTGTTGTAGCCACAGGCTTCAGCTCTTTCATTGACGTCCTTGACAAAGGTATCGTTAAGGGAGAAGATGTTCAAATACTGGTTCAGATGCCTAACTGCCGGAGCTTGTTGACTGTTAGACGAGGGCAGGGAAATGGCAATCAAGAACAGTATAACCTGCACATACCGTATGTCATCACCGAATCATCATTGATCGAGGGATCGTTGATTTGGATACCCTTGACGTTGAAATACTGGTGGTCCTTGGTGTCCAGCATGGCCGAGGCAATATAAGGAATATACTGCCCTGCGTAGCTCTCACCCGTGATGTATACTTTCCGGTTATGGACGTTGAACGTATCAACAAAGTGTTTGAACCAACTCTTGAATTGGTTTGCGACATCCTCTTCATTGTTGACTGTCGGCGGACCGGGGGAAAAACCCGTTCCAGCCGGTTGGTCCACATATAGCACGTTGGTGAGATTGGTCCACGAGTATGGATTACGGATGGGCTTATATGTGCCCGACTGCCAGAGAAACGGTCCGTTTTCCTGCAGCAATCCGTCTAGGGAGCTGCACCCAGGACCTCCGTTGAGCCAGATGGTGATCTGTGAGATGTCAACGCGGATTTTCATATGCATGACGGATTCCAACCCACCTCGTCCTGGGCCTTAGGGTTAGTCGATGGGAAGAACCAGAAGAACAAACTGGAATTTCCGGCCGGAGTGTTGGGAAGAAGGCCAGCATACGACTCGCCCACGTCGAAATCGACCTCGGGAATGGCAGTGCCGTTGACCAAGAACCCTGAAGATGGTCAGCGCTCCATATGCCACGATTCGGATCACCTACTCTTCGTCTGGGAGGTCAGATATCGATAGTTCCCATGATCGGCAACGGTGACAGCTCTGGAAGATAGGCGGTGATTGTTCTTTTGCGGATACCTAACGCCCTTGCGATGAGGGCTGTCCAGCGCCGTGGCAGCGCCTGCAAGTAGCAAAGCAACGGCAGTAACGGAGACACGCATTTTGATTGATGACCTATTTGATCAATATTTTTTGGGCAGCCACAGGCCTTTAAAGTAAAAGAAATGTCGATCGTCTCGGCTGATGAGTCGTAATGCACATTGTGGAGACGCCCCTCTCTTGGATCCCTTGAGTGAAGCTTCGTGTTGCTTGAGAAGCTTGACATGATAGACAGATTGGCGCGGTATCACCGTGAAGGACAGATGCCTGCCTATGGGAGAGACTACGGTGGGGCGTAATCCTTGCTGACGAGGCATTTCATTTTTCCACCAGACCCTGTGAGAAGGCTGTATCGACGGCAGTCCGCCGGATGTCCGAAATCGTCATCCTGTCCCGAGAAGAAGAGATCAACGTCCTAATAATATAGCGATGGTGCAATCGGCAGAATTGCCGCATACTCTGTAATCATCTTCCAGCTGTGTGAGACATTCACACCCTGGAGATCTCCACCCGATTCTAGCCGATTGTTGTCATTTGATAGGAAGCAACATGACAAAGTAACAAAGGCATGTTAGAAGTTTGGCAAGGGCATTATTGTCCAAGTACATGAGCCCACTGCAAGAGCCAAGACACATGCTTGAGTCGACTGATCGTGTTCTGATCAGGTAGATGGTAAACAGAACCAACGGCCATTTCCTAGCCTGACACCTTCGCAGCTTAGATAGAATCGAAGGAAACCATCTGTACCGTGTCATCATCTCTCATCGTCTTGCTCACCGGGGGATCGACTGTCATTACCCCTATGAATAGCTGCCGCTGGCGCCCCCAAAACGCATTTTTGACAAGGTGCGTCGCGCCATTGTTGTCTTCGTAAACAAATCACTCAGGCTGGACCTTCCAGTGCTCCCAGAACAAGGCCCATTCTGCAATCTCCACGCGGGCATCTCCTCCACCGACTGCAACCGGGATGCCACTACCAATATCTGCAAAGGAGTCGGTCCGGACGGCATTGATCCATTATCCGACCGCTTCCACCGCTCCATCGTTAGAAAGATGATTCCAGAGGCCGTCAGAAGACAGAATCAGAAATTCCCGTTCCTGAAGCTTGTAAGTCTCAATTTCGGGGGTTGCTTCAAGGTATGGTGGATTCACAACGTTTCCCGGTGCAGGTTTGCCAGAGAACCCCTTCTCGCACTTCTTCAGGGTATTGTTCGACCATTTCCAGCGCGCATCGCCAAATGCCCGAGTCATCGCTATACCCACATATCGGGCGCAGTCTCCATCGCGAATTGTGACGAGGTCCTTCTGGTCCTGATGCAGGGCTTGAACCCGCTCCGCCTCGGTCGGGTTGGACGGGGTATGTACTGAAGGCAGTGATAATACTCTCCAGGATAGAACCTTCAGCTGTCGGATTATCGAAATAAGCCCGCAGGGAGCGTTCCACATAAGGGATTAGGGAATGCGCAAGAACGAGTGCAGTGTGTTGTCCACTGTGTCAATGTCAATGTCACTATAAGTTTCCTCCTATGGGCTGTTGGAGACCTACACGTGTCCATCATACACTGCCTCGCATTACCATGTCCCTCCTTCGCCAACGTCGATTCTATTAGAAGCCATATAATCCTCGAAGGGGCAGTTGCTGGCCACTTGAAACTTGACACTTGACCAATCTCTCCTGCGTTGAATACATAACTGGCTTCTTTCTGCTTGATCTTCTCCGTAGCTGAATTGACGTCAAGTGCAGGTAGAGGGTGGAATTTCTAGTCCAGGCCTGGGTTCGACGATCCTGTATTGAAGAAAATGGTTGCTGGGAGTGTTTTTGTGGAACTGACCGAGTCGTAGGCATGTGGATTGCTCTTTGGCTTTCACCGGGCCCCGTCGCGTATTAATAGGCCATCCATGGCTGTACAGTATGAGTACGACCTTCCTCCCATCCGTCACTAGACCAAATGCTCTTTTTGGAACGATGAACTACTCCTGTCAACGGGTGACTGAAAAGAAAACATGCCAAAACAAGCATATGGGATTCTCGGATCTGCGTCGAGCGGGGTGTTGGCTGGTTGTAGATAAGAACCCCCTCCCTTTCTCCCTATTAGTCGAGACCGATGGAGAAAATGAAAGCAGAATGGAAGGGACGAGAGGACAGTCTGCAAGCTCGGGCATATAATTGGCTTTGATGTATGGCTTATCAGTAACTATCAGACATTACTAGTCTACTTGCCAGTCAATAACTACATCATGTATGGATAGACGAACGGCCGGATCAAGTTCTAGTATCCGTGCTATCACATCCCCGGTCTCTTGAGAAAAGCGCTGTAGGGCCGTGAACATGCCCAGTGAGCATGTCTTCCTGTCAGGGGTAACCGGAGCATGATGGCAGGATGTATGTGCAGGGATAGGCGTTCCCCGAAGAGAATCTTCGGTGGATGCATGTTGCCAGGGAAGCTGTGGCACGACCAGCACATGGAACAGCACGATAACAGACCAAACATCCGCTTTGTACCTGTCATCTTCAAGGATGGTAAAGACCTTGGGGGGCATGTAGGGACGGGTTCCTGAATCGCCGGGGGCAACATTGATCTAGGAACCTGGCGATTCCCCGGGACATCCGACAAAAGTCGAGCTACCGAAATCAGTCAACCTCGCTCGCCTGTCATCTGTCAGGAGGACGTTTTCCAATTTGACATCTCTGTTCGCGATGTCGTGATCATGGATACGTTGAACTGCTAACAGGATCTGGGTCATGATTGATAGTAGTCTGGATGGTCGGAGGGGGGTCGCGCTCCGCTGTAAGGCTCCCAGAATGGAAGGCCGTCACGATAGACCAGATGGCAGGCAGTCTACGTCTCAACGAGGAGATCTCCGGTTGTGGTAATCCACTCATGCCCATTGATCAGCTTTGCAACATATTATTTCAAATTGATACATTCCTCGAGGGCTCTCTTCCGCGGGGTTGATAGCGAGGGGCCGATAGGAAACTGCTTGACCGCAACCAATGCCTGGTCAGACGTCCGATACGATTCATATCTGGATCCTGACAGTTTGATGGGACGGATCACAACATAATCGAGCATCCATGGGTGTGGTGAATGAGCCCCTTGTTGCGGGGCTGGCGCCCTTGCATGTAGCAGTAATAACGACAAGATGAGGAGAATGAAAAGCATGAGTGAAGAGGACGAATGTTGACAAAGGCGGGATTCTCAGGATTGGAGAGGCTGGGAGGGGTACAGGGTAATTGAGCCCCATAAATGGAAGCCTAGTTAAGACTGGCAGATGAGGCGGGACTAATTAGAGTTGGATATGCACCCTGGATATGCCTAGTATCCAGAATTAGGCGAAGACACGCAGGGAAATGATCTAACCCTCCCTATAATATTTCCGTCAGGTGGAGACAAACGATAGACCTAGACATAGTCGATAGGTTTAGATGTTCAATGCCATCCTACTAACGATCACACGAGCACATTCCTCAGCAGGAAAAGTAAAGCTTATCCCAGCATTAGTCTCATCGCTTATGCTCTTAGTTGTATCACAGTGCCACCAGGAATGTCTTAGCCTGACATATCTCATTCGATGGAACTGACCCAATCCTGTTGCATTAGGGAAAACGAAGCGACGGACTCTTCAAGCCTCTAATCACTCTTATCATTCTACTGTTAATTGTCTGCATCATCCATAATGCAACTGTCATGCGGTTGTCGAGCAAACCAGTGGGCATATTCCGCCACGTCCCAGAGGCCAAAGCAGTGGTTGAATTTACACCCGGGGTTATGCCACCGGTCCTGGGACCGGAGTGTATGTAAAGCATTAAGAATCCCACTGAGAAGGGCATACTAACTCCAGGTCGACATACAGCCACCAAGAAACCCGTGTTATTCCAACTCAATGAGAGCTTCCTAGGTGATATGGACAATGGCATATCCGGCATGGCACGATATTCTGCCTCGCGCTCGTCATGGGTGGGTGACTCCAGAGAATTTTATGGAGTTTCTGGGTATACCATCAGCTGCATTGTGTCGTATGTTGCTCGTCTTTGCCCACTCTAACGTTAAGGTTATACTCACCCAATCCAAGTGGCTGCTCCAGCAGATAACAGACATGGCAGTGAAGGGGACAAAGCCTAAGGCTCTCAATGATGCCCATATGTTCCACTGTGCTGAATATCCGCGGCAGTCTGTGATGTGTTATGCAGATCCGACCTTGGGGAGACGATTCGAAGGCATTCCAGGACCCTTTTCAGCCAACAACAATAACTACTTGTGCGTAGATTATGTAAAAACTGCATAAAGCCAGGAAGATGTGTTCGACCAATCAAGATACTCTTCGGAACCGTTCTTCCGGCACCCGGTCAGACAATCGCTTGCTGCCTGGGGTATCGACCTGTAGATGCCTGATTCCCCAGCTCTGCTCCGGGCCTCCGGCTGGTCTCCAGCTTCATCCAAGGTCCGTTGACATCGTTGACAATTTGCCAGGACTTGGAAGTTGAAAGATCTGGTGGTAAACTGGACTGGTGAAGATACAGAAGAAACGCTTGTTCAAATTCCAATGGGTGGTGAGGGAGGGATTGATAGATAAGTAGATGAGCCATCTCAAAGTTCTTTAAACAGAGCGAGAGAAGGCGCCTTCTCCCCCCTTCCCGCCCCTTCAATGTATCGGGTCGAATATTTACTCATCCAAGGATCATCTCTGTCAGTTCAGCGACGGTATTTGTTCTCATGTCAGCTGCAAGATATAACTCGCAGGATGGGCTTCTAACCCTCACAGGCGTCTTCATCAGTGTTCTTTGGTAAGTATGGGATGATCTGACAGTCCACCAACCAAACTCTTGCGGTCTTGGAAAGTACGGTTGGCGTAACTTGGCCAAGCCTAGAGATGTTGGAACAATTCTTTATATTTAGTATTGTTGTTGTGCCAGCTAGCAAGATACCTCATGGAATCTGTGCTCATGAAACTAAAACTTACCTCATCAGTGTTCTGCAAAGACGTGTTATCTTTCACTATCATGAGTCCCAAGTATAAGGCATATAGGCGCCCCAATTTGGAGACAGGCGGGAAGGAAATTCCGCTGCAGAGTTGGACTAACGGATGACGAATGATTCATCTGGTGTATACCAGTTTGGTATCCAGCAATCGAAAGTCTCGTACTGTGTCACCCTTTCAACGCCGAATCACAGGTCCCCCCCCCAAATGATAGGTCGGTCCTCTCCCCCCTCGCAGGAGCAGACATACCGCTACTTGCCCCCGCTGAACTGTAGTAGCACCAATTGCACTGCTGGAATTTGTTCGGCAAGAGAATGAAACGTTCATTCATCCATTCCTTCAGTCGGTTCATTCACTAGTCCCGGATGTCCCACCGTGCATGCCTGGTGACATTACTATCTGATCCGAGTCGTGAGCTTGACAATCCTGTTGCAAGCCAAACCAACCAATCATGGTCGCAAAGCAATCGGGATAACGCAATTGGTTTTGTTCAGAGATTTTCGCTGGACTCATGGATTAAGGCGAATCATGGTTGGTGCCTCTGCGTGGAACCATAGCATGATCTGGTTGGGATTTCGAGCTTGAATATCGGAACAAGACAGATTCGTGCCTGCCTTCTCCATCTGATAACCCTTACCACATCGTCGACAAGAGGGGCTGTTGTCAGATCTAGCTGAATCTCAACCAGTATGAGCGCCGTTCAAAACAATTGAGCTTGAGTTCAAGAACACCGAACCCAAAAACTGTATAGGAACGCCTGAAGGGAGGTGGGCAGCCAATCCTGCACTGAGTGGAAAAGCAAGGACTCCGACCGTCTCCCGGCATCTGCGTATCATGTGTCGTACAGCAACATCGGACCGAAGCAGGGAGAATTGTATGTAGGATGACAGCCGGGAGTATGATGCGTGGCCATCAAAGACTACCTATATGTCAACGAACTTTGCGATAGTTCGAGCTTCGGCTATAAAAGAGAAGCCAACTCGAGAGTAAGTGATCAAAATAAAATTTCAGGGAGATCCCAAGCACGTTCTATTCGATTCCACTCTACTCCTGATTACGCACACAAGATCAATGCCTGGCCTCGCTCTAAGCCCATCTACCATGCCTTCTCTTGCTGAAGTCCAGTGGGCACAAGTAGTTAGGACTGACAGCTCCGGTGGGATCACAGGAACAAATGTCTTCCAGTGCAGTCACTGACAAGTGACAGAAATAAACTACGAAAGGGTCAGAATCCCTCGCCCCTCCGTGGATGAGGTGCTGGTTGAACTGAAGTTCACCGGGGTATGCCATTCGGACCTGCACTTGCGCAACGGTGACTGGCCAATCAAAGCGAAAGATTCCATCATTGGTAAGAAATTTCGTCTGCCCCCTTCACCTTGCATTAAGCTCAGAGTAGTCAAGGTGGCCACGAAGGAACTGGCATAGTGGTTGCTGTCGGTCAGAATGTCGAGGACATACAAGTCGGGGACAGGGTTGGTATCCAGGTAAATATCGTTCAGACCATCACCCGACTTCAGCGCTGAACAAGGTCTGGTAGTGGATCAATAGGACTTGTGGCCAATGCGATGATTGTTCTCGGGGCGATAATCTACTCTGCCCGCAGGCCGAGTTCTCTGGCTGCACTGCTGATGGCACTTTTCAGCAATATGGCATCTGCAAGGCTGAAAATGCCGTGCGCATTCCAGATGCGATACCCCTCGAGACTGCCGCACCGGTGAGAGATAATTCAAATAGCCAAGAGCCATTTTTATCCCCATTACTGACCCAAGAAAGATTCTCTGCGCTGGGGTCACAGTGTATAAGGCCCTCAAGGAGAGCAATCTCCGGCCCGGCCAAACCGTCGGTATTTTTTTTTTTTCTTTTTTCTCCCCTCTGTTTGGCTCTACCATTGTCACTACGATATACTCACAAAAGCTTGTAGCCATCGTTGGTGCCGGCGGTGGCCTTGGGACTCTAGCCTGTCAATATGCCAAGGCTTGTGGATATCGTGTGCTTGCTCTGTCTAGCGGAGCGTCCAAAAAGGCCATGTGCATTGACCAACTGGGAGTTGATTACTTCATTGATTATGCCACATCGCCGGATGTTGTTAGCGAAGTGAAGTCTGTCACTGGTGGGGGCGTACATGCTGCCATCGTGGTTGCAACTGTGGTTGCTCCGTTTCAGCAGGCATTAGAGGTAAGCAGCAAGGCTGTTTGACTCCATGATTGGCGACACACTCACTGAAGGCACGTTAGTACATACGAGGAGGTGGGACGTTGGTTGCAGTGGGATTGATCCCGGGAGCGATCACCTCTGATATTTTCTCGCTTATCACACGCAAGCTCACCATCAAGGGATCATACGTCGGTACCAGGCAGGAAACAGAGGAAGCGCTCGCGGTGCTCGCTCATGCTGGGTTCAGAGTCCAATATGACGTTCGGGAGCTTTTTGAACTGCCCGATGTCTTCGAATCGATGGAGCAAGGTATGAATAGTCCCTAGTCAACACACCCAGCAACAAATGAGGCTAAGATCCACAAGGTAAATTACAAGGTCGAACAGTGCTCAAGATACCGACCAGAAAACCGGTCTCTGGTAATCTCAGCATGGGTCTGGCACCGTCGTTATTCTCCGAGAATGAACACAACATCGGCACGCACTTGGCATATCGACTGGAGGAACTGGGCGCTCTACACTATTTCACGGTGCCGGGTAACACCCTCACTCAGCAGAACTTTGATTTGAAGGAGACTGACGTAGTCGCACAGGCGATTTCAACTTGATTCTAATTGATCAACTGCTTAAGAACCAATCTCTAACGATGGTCGGCTGCTGCAATGAGCTTAATGCAGGATATGCAGCAGATGGGTATGCGCGGTCTTCGCCCTCGGGGATCGCCGTCATCGTGGTGACCTTCATGGTGGGCGGCCTATCGGTGATCAATGCAGTGGCCGGGGCGTACTCGGATAGGTTGAAGGTGATCGTCATATCTGGATGTCCAAAGGAGGACACATTTGGTCAGGATGGCCCCATCCACCATACTCTGGGGCTTCCCGACCGCGATCACACACTCCGAATGTTCCAAGAAGTTACCACAGCTGCTGTCCGCCTTGATACAAAGCAGAACCCGACGGAGTTGCTTGACCGGACGATTAACCGATGCATCGAGGATTCCCTTCCGGTGTATATCGAGATTCCGTCTGATCTTTCGACCTTCCCGTGCTCGGCGCCTGGTCCTCTGGTGCATACCAGACTAGCGACAGGGACTTCGAGCGAGCTCGGTCCCTGGTTGGATGTTTTCTTGAGATCCTGGAAGGAAGCGAAGAAAGCCGTAGTCATGATCGGCAGTCAGTCGCGTGGAGCCATATCGACCGAACTTCTGGTCGCCTTGGCAGAAAAGCTGGGATGTCCTGTGTGTTGCCAGCCGGATGGCAAATCCCTTTTTCCTGAAACCCACCCTCAATTTGTGGGGACATTCTGGGGCTCTGCAAGTACTCCCGGGTGCGAGGAGATTGTATTAGAGTCGGATTTATGGATTGTTCTTGGAGGCCGATGGAACGATTTCCATAACCCAGGCAACAAGTTCGACTTGACCAGCGACTCGCGGCAGATACTCGATTTGAAGACTGGGCGCACCAACACTCCGAATGGCAAATTCTTTGGTGGTATTCCCTTGCACGAGATCGTTACGGCCATTGTCGACTCTGACGTTGAACGAGACCTTGGGATGCGTCACTCCATCTCTTTCATTGCGGATCAAGCCGATGTCAATGGGTTATCAAATGAGACAGCACCCTTGACGATGGCCAGTATTCTGCATTCGATCCAAGACATGCTGCGAGGCAATGACACTCTTATCGCGGAGACTGGAGAAAGCTGGTTCAATAGCCAAATGATTCGGTTGCCAAGAGGGGCGGACTACCAAATGCAAATGATGTACGGGTCCATTGGTTGGAGTCTTCCAGCGGCGTTGGGATGTCAATTAGCCAAGTCCGAGGGAAGGGCTGTGCTGCTGATGGGGGATGGCAGTCTTCAAATGACGGCCCAGGAGATCAGTACCATGATCAGAATGAGAGCCAATCCAGTGATTTTTATCTTCAACAATCTAGGTTATCGCATCGAAGTAGGTCATTCTATTTCTCAGCCCTCAAATCCGTGACTAACCTCAAGATACAGTCGGCGTTCCACGATGGGCCGTACAACTACATCGCGAACTGGAATTATGCAGCGCTGGCTTCCGTGTTTCAGAACGCGGCCCATGCCATTGACCGGGCCAATCCTTTTGTTCCCTTGACTAGTTCCCATCCTGGGCTCCTGGCAATGCAAATCAAGACGAACGGAGAACTCTTTATGGCTTTAGAGCGGGTTCAGCAAGAGCCAGACAAACTTGCCGTATTAGAATGTTGCATCCATCCCAGCGATATCAGTCCTCTCTTGGTTCGGTTTGGGCAAGCAGTCTTTTCGGGAAGAGAGTGAAGACGCTACTGTGTCTGTAAATGGCCTCTAGAGTTTGCTGGTAATCCTGCATTCTCGAAACACCGGTGCAGTCGATCACTAGCTCGGGGCAGTCTACCGAGGATAATATCTGATTTTTGCCCTTGAAATGTGGTTATAAATAGTTTTCAAAGAATCGAATTCGCCGTTGTCGTTAAAGTGTTTCCGTTCTTGTAGTCCATACAGACTGCGGTTATCGGAAACTCTATTGGAGCATGAATCTCCGAGGTGACACTAAGAAAAAGGCAATAATAAGTTTACTTTGACTTGTTCTTCTCGAGTTCCTATGCCTTCTCTTCGTCACTGAATTTGATAAAGGAAGTATTTTTTTTTTGGCAAACATGGGAAATGCTTCTTGCAGAAACCGGTCAAAAATGGGGTCTACTGGGGGTTACGGAACAATACGTATCGTCAAACGAGTTCCTCGATGTATCCTATGACGCTACATCGTCTTGGGGTGTATAATCTGCTGGTACTCTAGACTTTCCGCGAAATACGGTAAGAAGCAGCCGGCTCCTGGATATTTTTGTCCAGGAGCGTATACGATTCATCCTGCTCAACCAGGAGGACTGATGTCCGATGCCTCCGGAAGCCTGGACATCAGCTTTACCCACAAAACTACAGAATGAGGCAGTCTTCCTCAGCCACATCAATTGATTCTCCCCGGTGATTTCTCTCAAGTTTACAGCTCTCCTGGTAGGGTCTGCGAAGCGAAAACTGCTTCATGGTAGTATACCGAACTCGTCATAGGTGTTCTCTCCGTTCGTCCGCCCAAGAACCCCAATCGCACTTGATGAACTGCTTACTGCTTCGCTAGGTTCGCCTTTTCAACCGTTCTGTATCCTATCATGTACCACTAGATTTCTTACCAGAAATGGCAATAAAGGTCCAGTTGCGACAGAAAGGCCATTCATGTTAAAAAAAAACGGCCAAGCCGGAGATGAAGAGCGGGTTGTGATTGGGAGAGTTGCGAGGAAGCCCAGGAAGTTTGCAGCGGTACGTCCAGTCTTCCACTGCCCGTCAAGCTCTCCAATTGGCTTTAGGAGGGTGGAAGCTGCTATGTATGATCAGCGTTTGGCGTTCTCTGATGCCCTGACTGGTGCACCGGCAGTGGACCGACTTGGCGCTTCTTGGCTTCAGAATAGTAGGGCTTCTGTCCAGCTTACACATTTGGGGGGAGAAGTTTATATTCGCTCACTGCGTCACCGTCGACTGGCCCACTGGCCAGCTCGAGTTTCAGAGTCAAAACGGTGACCACGCCAACTGCACTCTCAGCACAACTGAAGCATTCGGCGAGTGCGACACCAGGGACCCTAACAGATATCCTAAGCTCGAGAGCAACGATGCCGGGAGATTTCTCGGCGCCAACAGTGCCTTGTACGGGCTGGCACTGGTGGTTGCAGGCGTATTGCTGTAATTTGTTAGTGAATAAGAGAGAAAAGCGAGGAAGAGTCTGGCCTTGAGTGCTGATTGCCGATCATGGAAGGTGATCTGCTGGATCGCCGTCTGTTGTGCCGGATCATCGCATGTATGGGCCTGGATCGACTGGAACTCTTGGGGAGGGAGTTGTTCGTTTCTTCGGATGAACTGCATGGTTAATGGTTGGGATCCATGCTGATCATCCACTATTCCTATACCTTTATTTTTGTTTTTACTGCAGATGACCCATGATCTGTTTCTTGTGTAGAGCCGCAGGGTTGTTGTAATGGATCCTAAACACACAAGGTCAAATATTGACAATATTCACCTAAGGGCAGATTGGATCCAGATCTGATGTTCCTTATTGAACATCAAGTAGGGCAGCGATATCGGAGTCTGTCAACCCACAAACATTTCCGTTCACTACATGGCCTCCAGGGCTAATAATGCTTGGATTAGTGCACTTCTGATCTCATGGCATCATGAATCTGTCTTGGCCTCAGCTGTGCCAGCCCAACTTGAACTCACACTTGAAAGGTAGGTCTGGCACCACACATGCTCCACCTCCAAGTCATCCATCTCCTAGCCCTGGCCCAGAAGGGGGCGATTTGGATCCCAGCCAGAACTATTTACATCTCCGGAGCATGGTGTCCGAAAAACTGTTGAAGCGCTGATCATTCATTTCGGCGTATCCCACCTCGGGAAATAGCAACCCTAAATTTTATTTATCCTCGGAAGTTGTTTCATCTACTCTTTTTGGGACACGGAATCTTAGTAACACGGTCCTTGGAGTAGAACTTAGCTTTGTTTCTTCTCAGACCTGTCTTTCTCTTTCTTTCTTTCTTTCTTTTCTTTCTTTTTTTTTCTTTTACTAATAATAATTTCCGGTGGGAGTGCTTGCGACAGTCTGTACTGGTGGACAATATCCGTATACATCTAAACCCAGGAAGACTCAGACACCAACGGCATCTTCCAAGTTCACATGAAATTCCCGTTTCCAAGTGTCTCTTGAGCAAGGTACTACAACTTAAAGCTGCGTCACTAGTTCACGATTGGGACCTATTTCATTATTGGTCTTTAGACAATATGTCTATCCACAGCATATCTGTCAGACAGCGTGATGTGGTGCAGTCTTCCAGTACCGATGACCCATACATGCTCATCAAATTCCTGCCGGCTAAAACGCTTAGGGGGACTTCCAATCCCACATGTCAGCAGTACCACGTCCTGATCGAACAGCAGGGATCCTGGGGCAACTCATCCTGAGGAAATGAAGGGTTGCATGCCAAGCAGTGCAATGCGGGGGATTCTCCAGTGGGAGAACAAGCTACAGAGCCGAAGGTCACGGTAGTTAACAAGCAGTGTGGATTGCTTGCAGAAGAAACACCACTGTACCCCGATAAATATCCGTTTTTAGACAATTCCTGGGGTGCAACTCGAGTCACCTCGTATAATGACGAACGGTCGACCGGACTTGCAGTCTCAATATGCATACTTCCAGTCGACGTGCTGTTGTGATGAAATCGGTTGCGTCTCATATTGTCCCATAGATATACCACAGGTACTCGCACTGCACAGACCATGTCCAAAATCTCCGAGTTGGGTGTACTGTGTACAAAAGAAGCTCTTCTAGTGGCCGCGGACAATTATCGGATTAGTGCGTTTGGCGGGTGGGTATGAAAGAAACCAGACCTTCCAAGACATTTTAATTAAACATTGAAGAGCGAGAAGACTCCCACTGGCTAGAGGGCCCATTTCTTGGGTGGGCAACAGTATCAACGAAATTGTTGTGAAGAGTCAAGCGGAGGATGTCATCCTGTATGGCCTCGTGCTGTCTTGGAATGACTATAAGAATGGCCTCACCTCGCTACATTTCAATACACAGAATCAGCCACCAACAATCTTTCTAGCGAGCTTCTCAGTCCATAGGTTCCGGTCATCATGAAGAACCAAATCGCCCTTGTGGCAGCCAATCTTGTTGCTGCAGTTTATGGACATGGTTATATGACCATCCCGTTCAGTCGTACCCGTCTTGGTTTTGAGGTGACCTTTTCCTTCTCCAATTCGTTGCATAGCTAGAGTCTGAAGGACTAAATCTTGCATCTTGATACAGGCCGGAATTGACACCTGCCCCGAATGTTCGATTCTTGAACCTGTCACTGCCTGGCCGGACGTGGAAGCCGCAAAGGTTGGCCGCAGTGGACCTTGCGGTTACAACGCTCGCGTGAGCGTCGATTACAACACTCCCGGCGAGCATTGGGGCAAGTCCACCGTTGCCACTTATTCTCCAGGCGAGATTGTCGAGGTGCAATGGTGTGTCGACAACAATGGTGATCACGGTGGATTGTTCACCTACGGCATCTGTCAGGATCAAGCCCTGGTCAACAAATTCCTAACCCCTGGATATATGCCCACCGACGCAGAGAAGCAAGCTGCCGAAGACTGTTTCCTCGCTGGTGAGCTCAAGTGTACCGACGTCCCAGGACAGGAGTGCGGTTTCAACCCGGACTGCACTGGTGGAGCCTGCCATCGCAATGACTGGTTTACATGCAATGCTTTCCAAGCCGACCATCGTCGCAGCTGCCAGGGTGTCGATGGAGCGCCGTTGAACTCTTGCAAGACTACAATTGCCGGTGGATATACTGTTACCAAGAAGATCAAGATCCCCGACTATGCCTCTGAGCACACACTGCTGCGCTTCCGCTGGAACTCTTTCCAGACCGCCCAAGTCTATCTGGGCTGTGCGGACATCGCCATCAAGGGATCAGGAAGCGGTGGCTCAAGCTCGACCAAGACCCAGACTGCCACCAAGACCACGACTACCACTGGCTCCACCGAGACTTGCAAGGCTACCGGAGTTGTCCCCGTCACCTTCAATGTCCAGGCGCCCACCAACTATGGCGAGAATATCTTCCTCGTCGGCTCAATTAGCCAACTTGGCTCGTGGTCCACCAGCTCCGCTGTCCCACTCTCGGCGACCCAGTACACCTCGTCCAACCCCCTGTGGACTGTCACTGTCCAGCTCCCTGCCGGCGCCACCTTTGAGTACAAGTTCATCCGGAAGCAAAAGGACGGAAGTGTCATCTGGGAGAGCAATCCTAACCGGAGCTACACAACCCCCAATGGCTGCTCAAGCTCTCCCGCCACCAAGACTGACAGGTGGCATTGATTCGGCTGTGTGAGAGCCTTCGGGACTGAGATGCAAGATGTTGGGGGAGGATGGATATGAGACGATGAAATAATAGTTTTCCATAATGTGACTACCAATACTACTGAGTTAATTGTGATCCTCTCTTCATTTATGTTCAGACAGATACCCACGCAATTATTGTAAGGGCTTGGACTGTGCAAGTAATATTCCATTTCTTCGCTGCATTTTAACGGCAGCTTGAACAGGTTGAAAATTTTCAGCAGTGAATACGCTTTCTCGCTGTCCTAAAACTTTCTTTCCCCCTCTTTACTTCCAATTGATATGACCCTCTTTTGCAAGAAGACAGGTCTCTCCGAAGCAAGCGATACCAGACCCATTGGATCTGAACCATTCGAACTCCTCGTGTCATCTCCTTGAATATAGACCGGATACGTTCCCGAAATGGTACCATGAAACTCTGCCACTGATACTCCTCGTTATTATCTTCCCCGTGGAAGAAGATTGCGAATTATTGATGCTATTAGATTCCAATCTCATCCATAGCTTGGTATCCTGGTCGCATAGTGGCCTTGATGCTTCGTCGCACCCTTGGAGAGAGTACAGGGCTTACTACAGCCAGATCATGGATGCTTGTTCGATATGATAATTTCGGCTGGCCTGGTAGTTGTCGACAGCAATGGTAAACTCCGAAATAGCCAAACAGACGTCTTCTATAGCAACCTTAAGAGCAATAATCAGTAGCCAAGGTGCTCCTAGAGACATGTTTCAATTTACTTGGTATGTTATTGTTCGATATAGTGGGGTATAATAATTTGGTGACATTTGTCAACTTATATATTTCAAACTGGTAGCAGTTGCATGCTTTCTAACAAACATTCATAGTACCAATTTCTACTGGTTATATCTGTATCACTCTGATCCTCTCAGCACTCTT